CTGCTTGGGAGCAGTCCTCCCGCCACTCAGGTGTGCACGTTTATGAACAACATAATGGCGGATTCAAGTTGAGAGGGAAAATAACACCCCCTCATGGGAGCGAAAGGCTGGCGCTTGAAGGTGAGAGACAAGCTCATGCAAATATTCATAAGGAAAATATTAAAAATGAATTACCAGCTTCTGGCACAAACACACACACACAACGCATAGTAAACAACGCCAACTCTCAGAGACACGTCGCGAAGTTGGAAACAACCCAAAGCCCACCCTAAAGTAAAGTTGGAATGTTTATGTAGCGCACTGAAGCCCGGTCATATACTGGGAATCCAACGATGTTTGCAGCTAATTCACAGCCAAGCTTTTTATAAAGGTTAGTAAAACAAAATTTAGATAAATTATATTAAAAAAAAAGTTGGAAAAACGTTAAAGTTGGAGAGCTGTTACCTAATTAACTAGGTTTCCCATGGGTCTTTAGTAACAGCTTTTAGTAAATATTATTTCATGAAGAGAAAAACAAACTGGCAAAGCAAATTCTACTTTTCAGGTGAATTACATATTCTTTACAAAATATAAAATAGTTTTAATACATATATTTTTCATAATATTAACTTACTTTACAGGGATTTTTCTGTTGTTCTTTAACCTTCTTTTAAAGTATACTTTAAAGACTAAATCCCCTCTTAGACTACTCTTAAAACCCATCTTCAAGTATAAATCCAAATGCAAAGTCAATATATTTTCTGAATTAAAAGAACCACGACTCCCACTGAGCGAGAAATGAATTTCCATTTTTCTTTTTATGGGCCAAATGCTTTGAATTTTCAATTAGGCGAACATCAATGATTCCTCACAGAAACAGAATCAGAAACAGAAGGCTGGCTGGCGCAAATTCAAAAAATCATCCGCGTGAGGTCGGTTAATTTGCTCATCTTCTCGTGGACGCGTTCGTGCACTTGCAGCGCATCCGGCGGAATTGCTCACACACACACACACACAAGCACTCACACACTTGGGCTGCCTGTGTACGGCCGTAGGGCCTTCGTAGTCGCCCGGCGTTCATGCATGGCCACGCCAGTGTTTTCGCCGCTTCGCCATCCGTTCTCGTTTTCTGCCATCGCTTACATTTCCGCTTCCTTCTTTGGCAAGTAGACGATGTCGCCTTTGGGGGTCCTTGGAGACCGGAAAAAAAAGGAACATTTTCGATTCGATTTTTTGCCAATTGCCCGAGACTCTGTCCTGTCGGCGTATATGACGAATACGTTGAGTACGTGCCGCCGACGTTACTCATACGCACTGTGGGACGCCGTCGGCGAATGTTTTTTTTAAGCAGGAGAGAGAGAGAGAGAGAGAGCAGAGGATCCTCTGCTCCATGGGCCCTATTTGTTTTTCGTTTTTGCATATTTTGCGGGCAATTTGGGTAAAAGGATTTCCACACTCTGCCCCCAAACTTTGCGGCTTTCGTTTTTCGTTTTAGTTCGCGAAGGCTTCGCCTTGGAAGGAAAATCGCTCACGTAAAATATGCATGCGTTTCCTCGGCGGTTTTCGCTCTCAAGTGCTTGCAATTCAATTACATTTCAATTGATTTTCGTTTTTGGCCCCGAATAGAGGCGGAAACTCATGGTCTGGTTATGCATGGAGCGTGTTTTTTGGGCGATTTACGAGCCTGAACCGGCATTTTCCGCAAGTGTTGTTATGTTTGAGGGAGCTTACACTGGGAAAAAGCAAATTTGAATCTTACAATATTTAGCATTTTAAATAGGTATTTTTTTAGGCAAAAAGAAGAGTGGTTTAAAAATGTACAACAATAAATTCAAATATTTTAAAATTAATTCCAAAATCGTAAACAATTTGATTGATGATTTTATTGATGAACAAGAAAGGAAGCTAACTTCGGCACGCCGAAGTTTGTATACCCTTGCAGATATTATTTCATTACATTTTACCTATACTTATTATGTTTACAGTTTGACAGTTACAGTTTTGCATTCCCAGCTTTACATTTTCTCTACATCTACCGATCGTTTATATGGCAGCTATATGATATAGTTGTCCGATTTTTATGAAATTTATACCAAAATTCTGAAATAATAAAATAAGACTATATCTCAGATTAGATGAAAATACGTTGAAAAACAACGAAGTTATAATTTTTTTCCTATTAATTTCCTGATCGTTCCTATGGCAGCTATATCATATAGTCGTCCGATTTTCATAAAATTTTTACCAAAATTCAGAAATAATATAAAATGGCAACATCTAAAAAATGGTGCAAAAATGTTGAAAAACAGCAAAGTTAAAATTTTTTTCCGAAAAATATATCGAACATTTGTATGGCAGCTATATGATATAGTCGTCCGATCCGGCCCGTTCCGACATATATAGCAGTGAGACCATATAGAAGACTATATGCAAAGTTTCATTCAGATAGCTTTAAAACTGAGGGACTAGTTTGCGTAGAAACAGACAGACGGACAGACAGACAGACAGACAGACAGACAGACAGACAGACAGACGGACAGACGGACATGGCTAGATCGACTCGGCTGTTGATGCTGATCAAGAATATATATACTTTATAGGGTCGGAAACGTCTCCTTCACTGCGTTGCAAACTTCTGACTGAAATTATAATACCCTGCAAGGGTATAAAAAGGGCTCTAAAAATAAAGAAAATTAAATTCAAATAGTTTTCAATTGATTGCAAAGTCTGAAACAAGTCGGAATTAGTTAAACATACCTTTTTTTGAACGTTTATTCATTGTAAAACATAATATAAATACGCCTTTAATTGTTTGTTTTCCTTTAGAATTTATTTCGTGGAGTCGGATTAGCCAATAAAATTCACTAGCAGCATTCCATTCCATCAACATTTTTATTGCAAACGGCGAGACAGCTGAAATCGAATGCTGAAATCGGTGATACACAAAGCAGAAAAAGCCATTCAAATGGCAAAGATACACAGATGCAGATACGCCAATAAAAGTACAAGCCCATATAGATAAATGTAACCAATATGTACATATATATGGTTTTATACGTATGTAGTTACTTATGTTGGCCTTCGCCGATTGCTGCCTTAAAAAAAATAAATATAAAATCCTGGCAGCACGCCGAAAACAAATAAAATTAAATGGGGGAAGACGAAAATCCCAGTGGGTCCCGACGAGAGTGGGTCAAGTGTATATCGAAGGCAAATCAATAAGAAATTTCCTCGGCCTTCCATGGCAGGTTTTCTTGACTTAAATCCAACGACATTCATCCACTTAAGACTGAGAACTCCTTCTGCATTCAAATAAATGTATGTTTTTAATCAATTCACCTCTTCATGTTGCAGCAAAAGGTCGTAGAAAAGATTTATTCAAGCGAATTGATGACTCAATTATCCAAATGACTATGGCACTGGCTTAATGGTCTTTTGAGCAATAAATATCGGCTCCGAATATGCCTCAACCCCACAGGTAAATACACTTTGGGTGTATATATATATTCCAGCTTCATTATCGGATAGACAAAGTACGTGGAACAAAGTACAAGGAATCAATTAAAATTCGGCAAAGTTGTATCGCATCGCAAACACGCCCAAGGTCTTGTCAGCACATCCGCGGGCCTCGTTGAGATTCCAAAATACGCCCACGGGACCCATTCACCTTCAGAGTGGCCTAATACTCGTAACAAACCCAATCGCATGTGTACATATGTACATTGCAAACTTGGTTCGCAATTCCAAAGGCTTTTATGTATGTTCTTGGGGCGGCTACCTCGCCTACACCACCACCGCACATCCATCCTTTATGGGCACATACAGAATGTGAAACATTTGATGAGAAAATGAAGGTAGTTTGCATTGTGCTTAAATATAGACAGGTAATGTGGATGCATCTAAGTTATGGTCTGAGATTGAGAGAAAGATTGAGATATTTCTCTTAATTTAAAGAAGACAGTGCCATAACACTTTAAGACGATTTTAAGAAGATACCTAAAGTCTTAACCATATATAAAGATTAATTAACAAATCCCATTTAACAAAAGGTTTTCAAGTCAAAATTTAAGTGAACCTAATTAGGGTAATATAATTATAAATGCTACAAGCTTAAAGATGATTTATAAAATATTTTAATTCTCTCTTATTTCAAAATTAATTTACCAGAACACAAGGTTCAACCTCCCTTTTTAGGGCAATCTAATTCTATAACTAATTCTTATTCCATCTTGAAGCTACGATGCACGTTGAGCATAAATAAAAGCCTCGTCTGATACCATTCAAGTGCCGTGAAGGAGTCCTTCGGTGCTCCGGAAGCCGCGTGCGTCCTCAAAGGCAGCACTGCAGATGGCAGGCCGACAGAGAGAGCTCTCCCCCGCTTTGTGGGGGCAGATAAGCGGTCATAAGATTATTTTTACTAGTGACCCGATGACCGTAAAAGGGAACGCCCGCAGCAGCAACACTCGCCCATGCGGACATCCTGCGCCGGATCGGAGGTTCCATGTCCTGGCTGTCCACCAATTTGCTTTGTTGTCGCAGCAGCAGGAGCAGCAGCCAGCCCGTCTGCCGTTTTATGAACTGCGAACTCATCTTCCGCATTCGCCCTTTTTGTGCACTTAACCGCCTTTATTTTGGCACCAATGCGACCCCCTTTCCGCCCCGGTTCGATGATAAAAATGAGACTGGCCGTAAAATTTTACGGTCTAAGGATTGCGGCGGCATCGCCTCTGAGACCCATATATATTGTTCAGCACTTGAAATTAATGTCTGATTGACACCACCATCAAAGCGCGGCAAGGACACGGCGGAAATTATAAAATTCAAAACACATTTTATGTGGTCGAAGGGAACATACATATGGGAACTCCCGTGGACACTTGAGAAAATACATTTTGAGCGAAAAATGTTCTCTATTAAATAGATTTTATATAGATATAGATTTTATTTTATATTTTTATTGAGTTTTAGGTTTCAAAAGAGACTTAAAAAGTTCTTGAAAATAAAAGAATTAAACTTATAGCAAGATTATCTCAAACTCTCTGTAGTTTTGTAGTCTTACAAGCCACCAGCAGACGAGCCAGATAAAGCCTTCCTTTACCCCAACTGCTTGCGTCTCATAAGCTCCATGGTTGTGCCTTCCAACAGGACCTCTGTTGACATGGCCATGCCCTCCACTTTGATTTGCTGTTCCGAATTCGGAGGCTTGAATTTCATATCGATGGTCTCGCCACTCAGTGGATCATCGGTGGACTTGGCAATGGAGCGCAGCACACCGCTCACGTTCAGATTACGCCCGGTTTGCTTAACCTTGGGAGGATCTGCATCTGGAATCGGAGGCTCTGCAGCGATTTGTTGGTCCATCTTGGAGTACTGACTGTATATCTTGTATTGATTAAGGTCAAAAGCCTTGCCGCAATTTATATACTGCTTAATGGTCTTTTTGCGAAGTTTTTTACGATCCAAAGAGTCACGGGTTGTGACACCCACGGCCACCAAGGCAATGTGACTCTGGCTATGCTTCAGATGGAAGCCGTCGCTCTGGCAGCTGCTGATCACAGCCCGGACCACATCGCCAGTGTCGATGGTTTGCCGAAAGAGGTTGCCCAGGGCAAGGGCAATCCTCGACATATTCGACGGATCAAAGACGGCCCTTGCGAGCGGCGTCAGCAGAATCTTGTCCCGAGGATTGTGCTGTACCGGCAGAAGAGAGCAGAGTCTGCTGGCCGCCAGCAGGCCGGCCTGCTTCAACGTCAGGTAGAGCTTTCCGCCGCCAAGCCGAGGCTGGCCGGTGATTGGCTTCTGGAAAGTATAAGTGTAGACATAGACGCTTCCTCCACCATTGAAGACCAGGCGCCACATCTGATCCCTTCCACTCTGCTTCAGCTGGCGCATCTTGGGACCCAGCTCGAATAAAACCCGATTGGCAAAGTCCAGGCTTTCCAGAACTTGCGATTCCGGGCCACGACGAAAGTCGGGACAGATCTCGGCAAAAGTGTCGCAAAGCTTCTTAAAGTCGAATTCGTTGGCACGCCTTTGGGATCCGCTGGCCATGATTTTCTGGAGAATATTAAACAAAATTAATACGTAAGGCATTAAAATATTTTATAATGTAGAGATGTATAAGTTCAAATGAAACTTGTAAGCTATGTCAGTAAACTTTCTTTTAAGCTTTATTTAATTTAAACATATTTAAGATAATTGTTAACACCATAATCATTTATTTTTAAAAAGATTGGTTGCAGAATGATGATTTTTCAGGAACTTCTACACAATATGTACACATATATGTATATCATGAAGCTATGTCTTGTTTACAAAAAAATGCTGAGTTATGTATATAATCTGGGGTAAAGATTTAAGCACTCACACAAACACTTCTGCGTTTTGTTTTCGTCTCAGAAACGTTTGGCTCCCCTTGAAGTCAGGCTGTAACTGATTTGGATTCATGAATCATGACTGCAATAAAAAATGATCGACAAAGCTATCGCAATAAAGGCTCTCTTCTTCGATAAATATATGGAACACAGAAAACAATTAGAGGGTTTTTTACCTCAGGTATAGAATCTGTACTACAGATATATTGGATTTTATAAATGACATTCCACTTTATTGTTCTTAAAATAGCTTTCAAATAGAACCAAAGTGTAATTTTGAAGTTAAAAATCAGTAAAACAAAATTACAAAAGCGTTTAGAGAAACATTACATTATTGCCAAATTTTATATATGTATATTACTAATTTTAAATTACATTTATTCCGTTTAGTTGATGGTTTATTATTCGCCTTGTACGAATTTTGGTTTTATCATCATTTGAGCAAAGGTAAGGGAGATCGTATAGTTGAAATAATGCCAACTTCCCCAAGCAATTCCATTCAAATCTTCCGATTTTCCATCTTTAAAATACTTTCCGTTTAGCGAACTGTAATTATAATTATTTGTTTGAATTTGATTTTATTAAAATTATTAAAAGCATTTACCTGTATGCACAGTTTTTAAACCACCAACCACCATTAGCGTCTGCTGCACAATTTCCCGAATCAATATCATTATCCCTATCAAAAGTAGTGAACTTCATTCGCTTGTGATGATCTAGCGAATCTCCGGCTGTTCCTGAATAATTTCCAATCGATTTTAGATAATAAGCTTCCTTTTCGCTGCCAATTTCAAAATCATTGTAGTGAGCGTAGCTAGTAGTTCCATTTATATCTCCCAGCTGAATATGAAGTTCATAGGTTTTAGCTTGGGTTATGAGGTGCAGCTTTTCCAGGCCAATGAAAAACTCTCCATGTATGTCCCCAAATCCATTCTTGTAAGCCTCCCAGGTCCGATTAAAGTCCACGTCTCCGTTAATCCGCTTTTGGATGATCAACCAGCCTTCCTTAGTGCAAGGAGCTTGAGAGACATTCATTCCTCGAACATACATTTTGTAAATGTCTTCTTTATCGACGACTGGACACCACTCGAAAATCCAATTAGTTTGATTCCTTAGGGAATTTATTTCATCCTCCATATTTTTTATTTGCTCACTTTTGGCTTGGATTTCCTTGTTTTTCGTACTTAATAGCTCGTCTTTGTCCCTAATTTGTTCATTTTTGTTTTTGATTAGTTCATTTTTGTCTCTCATTTGCTCATCTTTTTGGGTGATTATCTCATTTTTGTTCTCAATTTGAACCTCAGCAATAGCTAACTGACTCTTCAAATCACTGGTAACTTTCACAGCTGCTTCTTTAAATTCAGCGAAATGATCAATAAACGGTTTGCAAATGGATAAACAATATCCCTCGCACTGGTCTCTAGATCCTCCAGAGTCCTGCCGTAAAGCATTGTCTGGATCCGCAAACGCAAAACCCAACAGAAAAAACACGAAAACACCCGTTTTCATAATGTAACTGCACCACGAAGAAAAGTGAACTGAATTCGAATATTCATACATTGTCTTTATTGTTTTGAGTGATAACGAGGGTTGACTCTTGCTACCCTAGGGAACAAGGGTTCTATAGGTTTGTGGTGACCGAGAATTACCATAGAGTATAAATATTTCAGATAAGCAAAACATAAATGTTTATTTCCTTTTCTACAACATTTATGAAATGTTATCCATTATTTTTAGGTGAAAACGAGTATGTCGTATACTTGAACTCAGAAAGTTTTGAGTACTGGGTATCTTACATTCGAATACACTGAATATTTTACATTTATTTTTACTTAACCCTTAATAACTTTGATTATTTCTTCAATAATCTTACAACGAAGCTTTTATTGAATATGACTTTAATAATCATATAAGATATATGTGCAACATTAAAATAATATTAACTGTAGTCATGGGTAAAGAGGGAAAGTTTTCCTATCGGACGGAACCTCGAGAACGGTCAAGTTCTCAGAAATTGTATTACTGATAACCTTCTACGGGTTTAAAGAAGATTAAGATACATACATATGTTGAAAAACAGCAAAATAATATTTTTTTTTTTTTTTATTTGTCAATCTCTTCTATGGTAAATGATATAGTCATCCGGTCTGGCCCGTTCCGACTTATATATGAGTGAGATAGTGAGAAGGCTAAATGCAAAAATTCATTCAAATAGCTTAAAAACTGAAGGACTAGTTTGCATAGAAACGAAAAGACGGACATGGCTATATCGACTCGGCTGTTGATGCTATTCAAAAATATGTACTGTCTTCATCACTGCGTTCCAAACTTCTGACTAAAATTAAAATACCATGCAAGGGTATTAGAATATATATATTTTATTTTTTAATTGAATTAGTACCTTTTTTGGCCTAGATCTTCGTAATAAGCCTATCGTTCTTAATAAATAAATCTTTAATAATTCAGCCCTTTACCGTGTGTTAAGAAAAAGCAACAATGTAATTGAGCTTCGCAGCTTTTACTTACCTGCCCGCGGATATATTTATGTGAAAAAGTATGCAGTAACTTGGCGACAGACAGGCAAGGCTGCTTTTCACCTTCGAATTTAATGAGCTTCCACGGAACGTGATTATTAGGCGAACGAGCGTACGTGTGGGGTTCCGCTTACAAAAGGTGCTGACAATCACCCCGGCTCCCCAAGGGGAGTGTGTTCTCCTTCGCGGACGACGACTTAACCACATCCACATTGGCGCACCGCCGGAGCCGCATGGGTGCGATTTTCGTAGTTTGGTTGCCATCTTCCGCCATCTTCACATATTCAAAAAATGTTTCCCTTTTTGCTCCTTTTTAAGGGCGGGAACATAAACAATTTTTCGCGACGCTGAAAAACTTTTAACTCGCTTCGTCCGTACATTTTCCACACGTGTTTCAAGGAGGAAGGTATGAGAGCATACACATAAATACATATATGTAAAGGTATATATACTAGGTCCTTACAATGTACAAAAATATACAAAGCATCCTCACCTAGCTTTAAAAATTTGTGATGCTTTATGAATTTAAAGGTTAAACAATGATGAATTTAAAGTTATATGGTTTTAAAAATAATTTTGTAAGCGGTCTTGAAAGCTTTTACTTTATTTATTTAAAATTTTAAGGGTATTACTGCATTCACAATTTTGCCATCTTGTTTATCCTATGGTGAGACCTCTTTTGATTATGTTTAGCGTCGCCAATTGGCTCCAGCATACCCTCACCGAAGCTTTGAGAGTAGATCACCTCCGACACTCCATCGGCGATCTCGTCTAGAGTCAGGGGATGCCCATTGGCCACCATTACCGCCAGGATAATGGGGGCTAAGATGTCATTGGCGCAACCATCCATTGGGCTAAATCCGTTTCGTCAAAATAGAACAAAAAATGAAAATGAAAACTGCAGCTCAATTTAGAATACTCGTTGCCCTGTGTGTGCTTATGTGAATTTATGACAACTCATCTGACATGCCCGGCAAGGGCCACTTCAACTCTATCCCATCGGGTTTTCCACTTCACCACGGAGCGTTCGGTGGGGAAATTCAATTTGAAAAAGTGTCACTTGTCAGTTGGTCACAGCAGTCTATTGTCATGCCCTTTGTTGTTGCTGTGCATTTTTCGGATGCGGCATATCAATACCCCGGAATAGTGGCGGCACTGCGGGGAAGTGCAGATACATTTCGTATGCAAATTGCTCGCAAGTCAGAGACGGGCAAGTCAATAACAAAAAAAAAAAGAAAGAAAGAAAAGCAAGACACCACCCACACCAACCCACACATATGCAAATGAGACCAGAGGAGAACACCACCCAGCCCACCCATACAGACTACAGACAGAAGTGGCACAATCTCAGGCTTATTCCATTTCATCTGGATGTTACATGAGCAGAATTCAACAGTAGGAGCTCAGGATTTATGATTTCTTGACTAGGTCGGTGCGGTTTTTGAAAACAAAAAAAGGGAGATTTTTCTGGTTATTAACAATTAACTTTCTAGCTACTGTGTTTAAATATCTAAATATATTTTAATCTGGAAAGTTATCCCTTTACTCTAAAAAATTATATACAAATTATTCACTATTTTAAGATTTTATGGATTAAATTGTTTTGGATTTTATAAATCAGTAAAAAATTATAAGCATAGTCAAACTTAAACAACAAACTATCTATAGCAGAAATTAAATTTCAAAACTAATAATATATAAAAGTAAAAGTATTAATATATAAAAATAAGTACCGATAATTGGCTATATATTTTTCCAGCCCTGCACTCAAGTGATCGTGTCCCAGTCCAAAGTATTGGATATATCCATGTGTGCATGCATTTTATATAGTATGAATGTGGTTTAGGGGGATTGCCTTTGGCTTTGTTCAGCGCTCCATTCGGATTTCAGTCAGTTTCCGACTACTGGGCGCATTGCAAGCTATATAAAAACGTCATTAATCGCTGAGTCTCAGCTTTTATACTATATTTGTAAGATAAATAAACAAATATTATTTAAGATTCAGTAAAGTTTTTTCGCGCCCTAAATAATACAATTAAATTATTACTAAAAGGCATGAATCTTTGCAAATAATTAGTGAACATTTTATGTGATTTTTGGGGTGTATAAAAAGGCATCTAGATATGTGCAAAGATAAAGAAAAGTATATATGTATATATATATAAAATATATATATTGAGACCCCAGTGTTGTGTTTAAATAGTGTAAATAATTAAAAAGCTGATAAGCTTTGGACTGAAAGGGAAAACAGATGGTGAACAACGGAAAGCAAGTTAACTGCGAATACACTCGTAAAAATATTTTTCTTGATTTAAAAATTTTTCTTTAATTATAAAAAGTTTCCATGAATTCAAAACAAGGCATTGCAAAATCAAGAAAGCCTCCATAAATATATTTCCCCCCCTTTTTTTTAAGTGAAAACAAAGTATGTATATATACTCATAAACACACAAATATATACCGACCAAGAAACGCTTTAAAAAAAGTCCAATATCAGCGATTTGTTTGTTTACTTTATATGACTTCATAGAGGCATTATCTTGAGGAAGAATATGAACCTTTGCTTATATACTCCTATATGGATTGAGAGCTTTATATATTTTTTTTACCAGCAAAACAATTCTTCTCTATTATTATTTACAAAGTTGTACGTGACTTGTTACTGAAGTCAAATACCCAATACAAATTTCTTTTATTTTGAATCGAACTTTGCCTGAAATCTGATATATTCACTTCCCTGCAAGTCTCTACATAAATTAGATTATTACATTTCAAGTAAACAACCATTTAAAATATTAATATTTCAGCGCTATGTCGGATCTTTCAAAACCAAAATTCGTCTTTGATTTCGTAAAACTCAAGCAGACATTTACCGAAATCTGTCCCGACTTCAGTGAGGAGCCTTCCTACGACCAATCCACAACCAGTCGTCGCTTTGCCGAGAATGTGATCTTCGCCTACAGCAAGGAGGCCGCTGCAGCCAAGGCTAAAAAGAAGGACGTGTCATGGTCTATGCAGTTGGCTGTGAAAAATTCCAAAGGAACCTTGATCCGCAGTGAGGTGAAGATCCAAACCCATTGGGTCCGCGAACCGCCGCAGAACCAACCCTTCGTGCTGCGCGGCCTCCTGGTGCTGTCCTTCAAACAGGCCAGCCTGCTGGCAGTGGCCAAGTACTGCCAGCTGGTGCCCCACCAAGTGAAGCGTGGCGAGGTGGTGCTCACTCCCCTGGCCGGAGCAGTGTTCTCGAAATTCGAGATACCCAAGCTGGCCGAGGATGTGGGGGAACCTCTGGCCGATGTGGTGGTGGCCATTATCAGCAGCTGCCAAACCGATGGCTACTATCTGGAGCACAGTCGCTGTCACATTGCCTTGGTGGCCATTATCAAGACGGTAACCGATCTAAAGATGCAGGCCTCCATTGTCAAGAAGACCATCAAAATGTACACTTTGCACGGCAAGGACTTGGACATGGACAAGTTCAAGCAGTGGAGCACGTTCTTAAAAAAGTCTGGCCCCCCTAAGGTAAACAACAAGAGTAATGAAGACTTTGACATGCTGACCGAACAGGTTCTGGCTCTTCAATTACCTTGCGAGGAAGAGCAGTCCCCCAAAAAGGCAATAAAATGTGCAGCCAACTTTCAGAGTTCGGGATCCTTGAAGTGAAGTCAACTGTCGGGGGTTATACACTTCAGGATGTGCCTGGATGTAAGCTACTACTTGAGCCTGTTGGCTTCCGCTAGCCTTGCATTGAACCAACCAACTGCAGAAATATCTCTTTTTAAGGAGAATAATATGTTTAATACATTAATGTATCTGTTAGATACTATATCTTTTGTATTTACACTGGAAAAATATTTCAATAAACTACAGTTTTCTTCGGTTCAATGTAAAATACTTGTTTTTAACTCATTTTAAGCCATTAATTTTGCCATTTTTTATATTTATATTTATATTTTATTATACCTTAGAATACAAGTTTGATGCAGTTATAAAATACAAACAAAAACAAACAATACTTCTGAGCAATATACACGTTTATCACAAATGAATGGAATATATTTCAGTTCAATTTAATTATAACGTAAATTAAATAATTTATCTTTAATGTATCGTTAAAACACAGATAATTCTTCGTTTCTTCAACCTTTAAATATACACTTGGTCTTTGCTTACATTATTTAGTTTTCTCGCTTGGCTTCAGCTTCCGCTTCTGGATCTGTATCATTGATAACTTGAGCTGCTGGTACTCCTTGTGCGTGCAGAGTCCCACGGACTGCAGAAATAACTCCTTGGTGCGTTTCGGCTGGTCATTTTCCGGCATCTTCTCGGCTGGCTTGTTCTGCGAGCGGGCTCTTTGGAGGGCTGCCTGCAGATTAAGACGGCTTGCTGTGACCACATTGGCTGGGGAGACCAACGGCAGCGGTTGTGGAGGTTCCGGAGCCACGACGGGTTTTAGTGACTCTTCCCCTGGATTGTCCATGACGAAATACTTCCTCAGCAACTGATCCTCGGTGGGACGTTCCACAACGAAATACGGTTTGATGGACACTTCCGGGTCAACGATGAGCGGCACTATGGATTGACTGACAATGTCCGTGATGACCAGTTCATCCGGCTTCAGGTCATGCTCGGTGAAGGCCAAGCAGAAGCGATCGATGTCGTCCTGGAGACGCAGCACTAAATACTGGCATTCTGCATTTAACTGGTACAAGATTTCCTCCAGCTCGTGCAGGTAGTTGTTCTTGATCTTGATCTTGGCCTGCAAGACAAATGGGGCTTTAAATAAAAGAAACACAACTATCTTAGGAGTACTTACGGCATCCTCTTGTTGCCCAAAAGCATCAACAATTGTCTGCAAGATAGAACATGTGTAAATGGTTTCTTTAATAATAGTATTTAGATCAAGGCAAACCTGATGTGCTACAAGATGAGACTTCATGGCTCGCTGGCAGTAGGCTATATCATTCACCAATTTAGCGGGCACTTTGTAGAATTTACGCAAATAATGCTTGAAGAATTTCTGCACATGCCAGTCCTGGCTGGGCACGGAGTTGGCCCCTTGCATCTTGACCAGAAAGGCCTTGATGATCTCGTAGCGCTCCTTGGGCGTAAATTCATTAAAGTTGATCGTTTCCATGGCGTTTAATTGTTTAAGAGTTGTGAAATATCATTTAACTTGTAATGTTTTGTCTCGACGCCGCAAATTGCCGCTTCGCTAAACAGTGTGCCCACATTCGCGATTTTATTGTACCCTTAAAACACCAAAAAACGTAGTGGTAGCTCTGTGATTTCGATATACATTTGTCGATCGTTCGTTATTTATCGGTATTTGAATTTGATCTCTACTGAGATCTATGCAATTATTCAACATATTTACTATTTAGCACTTTGAACAACAAGGTACTGTGCCGGTAATTAATGACAAACCCCAATTTACGACCAGAGCCTGCCCAGCTGTCAATTCAGGCTCACTGTTGTGTGTTATGGCCGTAAATATGATTGATAGTATCGGCTGTGGCTGAGCTCTCTGTGCACCCATGTGCGTAAATAAAATAATTACAATTTAATTATTCACATATTGATCAGCACATAGGTGCCAAACTGCGTCCATTTCAATTAAGCATTCTCGCAAATAAATACAGTGGTCGTAAAAGTAAACGCCCATTATTGAGTGATTTACATGCTGCTGGGCTCGCTTTTCCTCTTATGCATTGTTACAATATGTATATTACAATTTCCCTAAATGGGCATAAGTGTAAACTGAGGCATTAATGCATCTGCATAGTTGGTTGGGTCTAAGAGAACTAGATTTGCGATGCTGCAGGCTCCTTAGTTGTATTTTCACAGTTTCCTTAGGCAACATGAAAGCTCTCTGGCCCGGCAAGAAAACTTTTGACCGCAAAAGGGTCTGCCGGAGGAGCTCTATAATCCTCAAACGGCTTTGCCGTTGCCAAAGCAACCAGAATACGCAGTAAATCCTGGACAGCAGAGCGGCCTTCACTGGGAAAAGGCCAAAACAAATGCAGCTAAAATCTCATCATAAGCTCTGTCTTGGCCAAATCTGAAGTTCGCTTTCAGCAAAACGAGATTTAAGAACGAGGCTGGGTTTCCTTGACTTTCTTCAACTTATTCAGGGAAATACTTTCTTAACAATTAAATAAAGTATCACATTATTTTCGTATTGAAAACTATAACTTACCTTATATAAGACTGCAAATCACAGAAAGAACAATAGCAGTACCTGGTAAATAATTTATTTTTATTGTTATTTTTATTCGGGGAAGTTCCAGGGAGTCCGCCTTAAATATCGTGCAGCTAATAATAAAAGTCGTAAACGACGCACTCCGCGTACTCCCTATAACTGATGGCTTTTGGATGCTGGGCAATATTCATCTTGCGACTTCAAAGGATGGGCGTGGCAACAATAGATGGGCCCGGGACAGAACAATACTCGCCGTTGTCCTGGGCAACGCCACGGTTAAGGAGGCACTTTTCGAGGCAAAAAAAAAAAGGACGAACAAAAAGGACAATGGCACCTAATGGTCCGATGTGGTGTTGGTGGTGGAGTGGCCTGGTGTTGCCGGTGGTTCCGGCCGGAACAGTTGCACGCGGGCTCCGACAGTGTCCCTCATTTATCATTTACACACCAACGCACGGGAAAACAGTCCGAACATAGCCCCATGATGGGGATGCTGGGTATGTTGAGGATGGCAGGATAGGGATTCTATTGCAGAACCCCGGCAGAAATTCCATTAACGCTTTATGTCGGCGCATGAGGCACAGCGGCCCGTCATTTGCATTGATTAAATCACTTTGCGGTCGGTTCGGCAAATGGCTTAAAAATCCCCACCAACTTTCCGCTCAATTGTTGCTCGCCGTGCCTCCCCCTCAATTTTTATGCACTCCGCTGGCCTGCCTCATTTTTTCTTTATTTTTTTTTATTTTTGGGTCTCTTTATGTGTGCCTTACAAATTGCTATTGTTTTTTATTCAGCTTTTTCCACCAGAACTGCCGAAATTCTAGCCATGTTTGGTGGTAGGTTGTGTGCCCATGTTTCCAATAAATTTCACTCTGTAGCCCCTCTGATGGCAATGTGGATTTTTGGTTCGTGTGAATTCCCGCTGATGAGGGAAAAGGTGGAATTGTGGGTAATTGATTCCCATAGGAACAGGCCAAATTTGGCCATGTTTGTTCCATCAATGGTGCTTTTACTCACTCGGCAGCCTTGGTTGCCATTTTCTATCTTTATAAAAATCATTTGTTCAGTGAAATTTGTAAATTAAATTCTTTTGCATTTAACGAAAGATTTAAATTTGAAAGTAGTTTAAAATTAAGATTTAATTTAAAATCACATCATTCTAAAGGTCCTTCCTTAGATCGATAAGATATGTTTCTTTTCGAGAATATATATATTTATTCCCAAAAATTATTATTCCACAAGGCTTACACCCATTACTTTTAATAAACTGAACTACTGGAGCTCCCATTGCATAAATATGATATGCGGATTAATCAGAATTCACTTCAGCTGCAACATTCAACGAGAAACAACTGTCGAAATTGAATATTGAACCCCCACAAACCTACTTCCCCGCCCACTGAAAGGGATGTATGAATTTCCACTCAATTTCCATGTTGTCTGCAGCAGGCAGACTTTCAAACAATAACAAAACTGTGCCAATACACGGCTCGAAAGTTTAAAACAAAAGCAAAAGAAACCGAGGATGCTGCACCTTTAAAAGGAAAAAAGAAAAAAACACCATGAAATTGCGAAATATGCCTATAGGGTGGAGGGTATGAAGAAGCAAATATTTTTTCGGCAAGGAAATAAGGAAAATATCCAGACATTTAAAGGTAATTCTGCTTAATAATTTCAAACTTAACGGTCAATAACTGATAACAGCTTTCAGCAACAGCTGATGACAGTTGTCAGGGTGGCAACGCCTTGGCATTATCAAACAGCTGATTGCCGGTTTTATTTATTCTTTTTTTTTTTGTTTTGCAATTGCACGTAACTTTCAAAACACTAAAGTTTGGTGGAGAATAGCTGAGAAAATGTTAATCCTAAACAAATGCTCACCTCTTAGGCAGATTCTTAGACGCTGTCATCGTCAGGGTAAGTAGAAATACTAAAAGATTTCACTGATATTTCGACTTATCTCTTGAATTAGTTGTGGAAAATAGCAAAGTTGTTAACAAAAACCTAACCGCATTCATGGGAAAATGGCCTGAAGAGGAGCAACAGGATTTTCGGCTGCACATGCGCATTATTACGGATTTTATCAGCGAATTGGAGGAGCAGCAGCTACACGAGGAAATAGAACCCTATATGAGTCGATTACGCTATGAGTTTGATCACTGGGATGATGTGAGGGATATAGAATACACATTAAATGATATATATATTCATAACTAAGATCCTTTAGGCCATCCATGGCTTCCGGGAGACAGAGCGCAAGAAGTGGTTCCCCCACAACCGAGAGGTTCTGGAGCGCGTGCGTCAGGTGGCCTTCGAAGGCGCCATAATGCCATATGTGCATATCCTGGATCTGGCAGCCGATGGGGTTATCAAGCCTCATGTGGATAGTACCAGGGTGAGATGAAGTTTATATTTATAATATTTTATATATATCTTTTAAATGCTTTCCTAGTACTGTGGCACCACAATCTCTGGCATCAGCCTTCTAAGCGACAGTGTCATGCGGCTCGTACGCACGGATGCCCAGCGGTACCAGCAATCAGGGACGAATGCAAAGGAAACGGACTCCCAGGATGCAGATTCGGATGCTGCATATCGCCACCAGCCTAAGGAAGCGTCGCTGGAAAACAAATTCTACGCCGATCTGCTACTTCCTCGACGCTCCCTGTACATAATGAGCCACACGGCTCGCTACAATTTCACGCACGAGATACTGGCCAAGGAGCATTCACAGTTCCAGGGCATGCCCGTGCCCAAGACACGTCGCATTTCCATCATTTGTCGAAATGAGCCTTGAGGCAAAGCGAGGAGAGGATGACCCTCTTTAGAAGTGTTGAAAAGATTTAGTTTTTGACTTTTTTCCCCCAAATATTTATCCATGTATTCTAGTCTAGTTTATATTTTGTGTAAATATGGGAAAACAAATTGTATTTCCTGAATATTTTAATTTAATAATTACAATTTTGAAAGCTAATTGAGAGATTTTATTTAAAAGGAATTTATTTAAGCTTTTCCTCTATATTTCCCTTGTTAAGCAGGCTTATTTCAACAACAAATAATTTAATTTAAAGTATAATTAAATATTTGATTAGTTAAGTACAAACTTCCCGAGTTTGGCAATGCAAATTGTAGTAATTACAGTCAATAAGTTAACTCGATATCCTGGCAATAGTTTCCACCTAGTTCCAACTCGTTTAGTAGTTTAACTTTCGAATGCATCAAGTTGTTAAATAACACAGCAAGAAGTGCACTAAAAACTTTCCATTCGATTTCCTTGACTTTTCCCCAGGCGACTAGATAAACACACGTAGTACTCCAAGAAAAGTGGAAGTGGGTTAAAGGATGCTCGCATCCTTGATTAAAAGTTAAGGGCTCGAACAGCCACAACAAATCAGCGTTAGTGGCATTTCGTTTACTCAACGCTTGACGCCCTTTAGCCCATTTGTTTGTTTATTAGGGGTTTCGCTTCACATCGGCTTATTTGCGCAGGAGATTGAAGACATCTCTGCAAATCCCAGCGTAAATATAAATCTGTGGGCGTTATTTTTAGCGCCCGATAACAAAACATGACGATTTGCAAATGATGTCATAAATTTATAAGAAAGGAGGTATGCCACAGGGCGTATACGTATTGTTTATGATGAACGTCGCGATTTGTTGTGGTTTTTGAATTTTACAGTATCTGGGGGGGGGGTGGCGCAAAAGCTCACTGTTAAGTTAGTTTCTCTTACGCTGTTAGAACGCCTTCCACACGGCTGTTAGTACTGTTAGTCATGTTAGTTCTGTTCGTCCTTTTATAGTCCTGTTAGTTTGCTCGAGCTTGAAATGGGATTACTAACATTTACTCACGCGATTGTTCAGATTACAGACAATTTAATTAATGATTCTGGAACAAGCTGTAAACTTGTAATTCCTTGTTTACAAAAATGCAAGTTCAAAGATATTTAACCTGTGATTTTTTACTTTACTTTATTTTTATTTTGTTAATTAATTAATTTATTTATTTTTATTCCTCTACTGATATTTTGCAAAGGAATTTATCAGAGAATTTTCCCCTACATTTTTCCTGGTGACTTTATTCCCCAGTGATTTCTTTCCACCAATAACAACATACCAGGAAAATTTAAGATCTTTTAAAGAAAATCAGAAAATTTTTTTTAATTCACTTTCAACTTAAAACTTCAAGAAGTACTGGGCAAAGTAGAAATCAATTGAGCATTAATCTACCCTCCATTAAAATGCTTAACAAAGTTGCAACAGCGATCAAATGAATGAGCCCAAAACACGGTTGGGTTATAGTCAGTAGCAAGTTTAGCTCTTTCGTTCACATGCACTCCTTGTCCAGGTGTTCAGTTCATCATCGGTTTAAGAACTTTTGAACATTGTTCAGGACTCAAGTGGAGAAAATGGCTAAGACACGCAAGGACACAAACACGAGCGCCCGGCATGGCGACTCCAGAACAAGAAGGATAAGAGGAAAAGGCAACTCGAGTGGCTCGGAATGGAAGCCAGATGAAGAAATACACCTGCTGCAGGTGAGTCGATAAAAAAGCCATCAACATTTTGTTTGCCCCAGAAACTGGGAGCCAGGCTAAAATCTGCACAACAGAAACTGTAAAAAAGGGGGAATCCCACACCCCCGAATTCCCTCTGACCAACAAAGTGGCAGCTCGAAGTTCTGAACAAATTATCAACTGAAACAGCAGAAATAACAACAATAATCTCGGCGACAATTTCAAGAGCCAGGACCTCGCAGGAAAAAAGGGCCAACAAAACCGAAAGCTACTTTTTTTTTCGTCCTCAGAGCTCCTTTATTTCGGTTATTGCTATTGCTATATTATTATTTTTATTATTATTATTATTTGCCCGCCATCCACTCGTAACAATTTCACCCTTTCTCTGTGTTGTTGTCGGTCCCCGAAAAAGTTCAGCGAAACTTTTGGTTTTTCATTTCGCTGAAGCAGTTCCCGAACTCCACTCGAAGGGATTTTGGCCCCCAGAAAATAGGTCTCCTCGAGGGTCCAGACCTTTGTTTAGCGAGTAACAATGGGGGAAATACGTATTTAAGTATCTTGAGGGGTTTGAATAAATTTTAAACAACATTTAACTCACTCGGTGGCACTTGTATTTTAAACACTTTCAAAATAAGCGACCTTAGATGAATTTTTGAAGAAATTTACTAATAAATATTTATACGAAATTACGTTTAAGATGTTAATTTTAATCAATTTTTCTTTAGAGTTTTCTTATTTATTGTTTTACACCTTTGCTAACAATTCCAATGCTTAATGATTTAAAACTCTCAAATCTTCCATGTTTCTTATCCTCTTTATTTCCTAAACTTTTTATTTTTATCTAAAAAAAACAATTTTCCTGTCACTATTTTTTAGAAAGACACTTTGCTTGGTAAAATCTCCAAATTCCTTAAAATTTCCACCGCTTTGCTTTAAGAAATTCCCTGAAATTCACCAGAACTAAGACACTGTTGGAAGGGCGGAGCGAAGAATGCGCTTTGGGCAGGGCTTTTGTCCTGTGCCGCCTGTCGAAGGACTCGAAAGGACATTTTCGCCTTTTCTTGGACTTTTCGCTGCCAAATATTTTCTTTTGAGCGGCAACAGGACCGCTTCTTGGCAGCAGGGCCAAAAAAAAAACACAACAAAAAATCCAATTAAATGAAGTCCTTTTTTTTGTAGCTCCTGCGCTTTTCCAGCGTTTTCCCGACGTTTTCTTTACTGTCCTAGAGGAGGATGGGAGCCGAGAAATCGACGGACATGCAGCTTAATGCACAAATTCTCACCCTGACATTTCAATAATCCCCGGATGCAGTGTCGCGAACAGTGGTAACGGAAATTAATACGTTAAGTAAATCACTTCAGACCTGCAATTATCCTCGCTTAAGGCAGCAAAGCTACCCACTAGATGTCATTGGTGGATTAACCTGTGAAATGCAGCCGTTTTCACCAGGATGCACTCAGATAAAATGCTTCAGGGGAGGTTAGGGAGATGTCTGTCTTTGACAATAATATATTTCTAAGCTAATATAGTGGATATCTTTCTTAATTTTAATATTTTTTATGTAACAAAAATATCAGTAAATAAATTAAATAATTTATCTCCCTGGAAATATTTTTAAAATATTTATACAACACTCCTAAACCTGCTCAAAAAATATTTCTTCAAGAAACCCTCATAATTTATCATCAAAATAAAACTCATATAACTACCTACCATCAATATCCTTTAATTTTTCTGAGATTTTCGTCAAATAAGCTGCACTGGTCCCACATTCATTATCATTGACCGGGGGGAATAGGGACTATCGATTGGCTCTGCCTTTCCCCAGGCTCTGCTTTCCGAGATTAATTGAGCATAAATTTTTACTGCGCGATGCCCCGGAATTGCGTGAATTGTGAAAAACGTGAGCCAGGGCCAATGTGTCCTTGAGAATTGTTTAATAGACTTTTAAGTCATTTTTTTTTTGTTGCCCTGCACGAAACCAGCCAGACCCGGCAGCTCCTTTTCAAGGACCCAGGTCTCGCGAACTGCTGTCACCTGCCGGCAATCACGGCCATTAATCACGATTATTTCGAACTGAGATCGACAAACGAGCCGCCGCGGCCTGTTCGTTATGTTCCCCAAGGTTCGGCGCTATTACTCACATTAATAAGTAATTATTTTAACTTGCGTGGCACAGTTTCGCAGCTCCGAATTGGACCTGGATTGAGGTGTGCCATTATAGCCTTAATGCTGGAATTTTTTTGGACTTAAAAAGCAGTTTATTGGGTGAAAATATGTGGCTTTCCTGGCGCCTTATTGGAGAATTCAGAGTTTAATTATTTATTAAGTTTAACAGTTTAATTTTACTAACTTTATTCATTATAAAAAAATGTGTATAAGAAAATCTGCCTTCAAAGAAAACTTAAATACGCTAATCTAATAGTTTTTTTAACTAAGTGAAACTCACTGAAATGAACCATGTCTAAACGGGTTTACTTGGTTTTACTTGATAAACAGAAACACTTTAATCCCCATTAGATGGTCCACACTGCGGAGGCTGGATTGAATCCCCAGGAGATCTGGGTTCTCTCCCAGCGATTAAAACTTTCTGCGGCGGCCGCTGTTTCTGTTTCCAGTTTCTGGCCTGGTCCTGACTTCTACCAGGCCACAAACAGTTGGCCGAGTCGAAAGTTTTCCCTCTGCGGTTAATTCGTTTTTTTTTTTTTTTTCACTGGCTGTGCGATTGTTTAACCGGGAGAGAGCCTCAAAGCCAACTGGCGCTAGTCTGTCCCGGGTCTTTCCATCCCATCCTGACCACCACAACAAGTGAGATGTCAATCAATAGTTTTGGGAGCTCACTCTGAGCTGCCAAACTTTCCCCGCCCAAATAAATGTGACACGAACCGAAAAGCAAAGCCCAGATGTGTCTACGAATGTCCTGGAATATCCTTAAAGCACTAAGTTGAATACGAAGTTTTAGTTGAGAATTTATTTGTTATTTATATTAAAGTTACCAACAAGAAAGTCAAGTTAATAGGAGGAACTCTTTTTAAACCTTTTGCTTCTTTTACTTTCTGAAAAATGCAGTCAAAAAATTCTATAAAATATAAAATTCCACAAGTAGGTAAAGGTAAAGGAGGGGGGTATCCTTGCAAGACTAATTTCAATATTTATCTACACAATTTGTTTGTTCTGCTTAGCAAAAATCGATTTTCTTGGACAGCTGAAAAGTAAAAGGTGTCTTTGATTTTCCTTTTGTCCTGCCAGAGATCTTGTGCAACTGCAGCCCCGGAAACTGGCTTACGACATCAGCAAAAACTACTGGAAATGCGTAAACAATGAGCGTTATGGTCATCCATCCATCCATGTGTGCGTAAGGGGAAAAATCCGCAAAAAAAAAAAGATAATGGAAATGCAAGCGTTCACGTATCCGCAGTCTTGGCGAGTATTCCGTGGTCCAGGTAGTAGGACAAAGGACTCGAAGTCATACATACAAATTGCGTGTTCAGCGAGCGCTCGGTACTCAGGAAATTGCAATCAGTGATGCAGAAGAAGATTACTGGGACTAAGGTATTTTTGTCTCTTTAATTTGTATCTTAAAATATTTTTTTAAGGTAAGAAGATCATATATAGTTTCAGAAACCCATGCTTAGTGAAATATTTTGAATTAATTTAGCAATAAAAGGAGTCAAAAATCACAAAATACTTTAAATATAACGACTATTTCCTCAACACTTTCAATATCCAGGTAAAAATAAGGTTTGTACCTTTGCATCTCTGTGATTGCAACTGGGTCAACGAACCAAGATGTCCAGCAGCCGCCCGCTGTTTTGCCCTGTTGTTGCCAGGACAATGCCCAAGACAGAAGTCCTGCGGCGCTTTGTCTTGTGTGCAAACGATAAGCATCTGCAGCGCCGTGGTCCGAGTGTCCTTTCTGGGCGTTTTTGTCCCAAAAAAAAGGCGCTTAAAGAGCATGACCTTTCCTTATCCCTAAAATGGGAATCCAAGGACCTAGATCTAGAAACTGTTTTACCCAATTCCCGCAGAGACATAACATCTAAATAATATTTTTTCATCCATTTCTTAATTAAATATTATAATAAATGTATTCTAATTAGCTTTTTAATCCCTAAAAATTTAGTAAAATTTTTTAGACCTTATATGGCGGAAACTTCTTCTTTTCCTTAATTCAAATTTTGCGCAAAGTTAAAATACAAGTTAGCCATGTTTTCCACCTTTGACCAGGATCGCTCCTGAAACGCTCATGATCCTAGCGTTGCCAGACCTTCTCACACCCTCTATCCACCAAAGTTATCCACCTTCGTTTTGGTTATTTTTAGGCAATTATTTTTTGCCGTCACAACGTGGTTTCCAGGGCGGTCACACTGGATCGAGATTGAGTGGGAGAGCGCCGATTTGAGTGCTGTTATCACTCTGGAAATTCCATAAACAAAAACCTGTTAAGCTCTCATTTAACAGAAAATTCTGTTAACGCTGTCTGTTAGATATTAGTGATGCAAAAACATCGATGTTGGACAAAATACATCGATATATCGCCTTTTTAAAAAACATCGATACTATCGATAGTGACATCGATGTTTTTGTCTTTCATTTTGGTTTTCAGGGCGGTCACACTAGATCAGCGTAGGACCGGGAAAAGTCAAACCTTTCTTTCATTTCTTTTCAAACTTTCAAGCGCGATCTGCGAAAAAACAGGAGCATCCGCGTCGGTGCTGCCTAGAATTAGAGTTCAAGTGTGGTCTGTGTGAGCGTAGCCAAACGAGGAAAACAAATTCCACCGCTCCCGTGACGCAAAAGGCTGTAGAAATTGAAAGTCAAATGAATTCTGTTCCCAACTGTGTGTGTGAGTGTACAACGAGCGTCAATTTTGATGATAAAATTTGCCTGCGCTTATGCGGATGTCTGTGAGTGTGTGCGTTGAGCATATGTCTGTCAGTGTGTTGGTGTGAGCGTCGAGCATAAGAAAGCAACAACAACAACATAGAAGAGCACTTGGCGACGCTTGACGAAAGAGAAACAAAGAGAAGCGTGAAATCTCCATTTTAATAGCGAGGAAAATCAAGGAAAGGGTATCTACGATGGCCAGTTTCCAGATCCACCAGGACACCAACAACAAGGAGAATCCCGGCATCACCGTTCCGGCCGGAGTCAGGGGCGCTAAGCAGCCGCTGGCCGTGATTGGCAAAGAGAAAATTGCGCTTGCGCCACGGGCCAACTTTGCCGTGCTCAACAGCAACAATAACAATGGGAATGTACCTCGTCCGTCCGGAAAAGCGGTAAGTCCCGGGAAAATGCTCTGAAATCCATAGCATGGCTAGACATTCTAATGCAGCTGCCGATTTTTTTTATGGTGGTGGGATCTTCACATAAGGCTGCCTGCGTTTGTGTGTGTGTGCGACCAGTGGTGGTTGTTTTCTGTCCTCCCTCTCCTTTTGGGTTTTTTTTTATTATTATTTTTTTGGTGCACTACGCAGATAACCTTTGCTAATTATTCGCGCCTAACCTCTAAGCTAACCTAGAAAATGGCACAGCCTGGCGACTGCGCGCCTTTTTCTAAGAACAAAGCACTGGAGCAAAGAGGACAGCAATAGCAAATGCAATTACATGACACACACACACTCGCGCACGCACACCCATTCTATGGGAAGCCAAGGAAAGGCGCGCAACTAAATATCAACAACAACAATAGCGCCCGTAACAGGATCATTCCAAAGGGGGAGACAGAGACAGAGAGAGCGCAATGGCAGCAGGCTACAGTTGCTGTAATTGTTAACCCTTACTCATGCATATTTATGGCTCCTTTAGCAGGTCTTCCGTGAAGTAAAGGTTAACAATACGGATGAAAATGTCAACTATGCAGCCAAGAAATCGAATGTGGTGCCCGTGGTGGAGCAGTTCAAGACCTTCTCGGTTTACGAGGACAACTTTGACACTCAGGTGGTGCCACCAAACAAACCCCTGGCCGATAAAGAGAACCAGCAGGCTGCCGAAAAGTGGTAAGTTTTAGTAGAGTAAACTTTTTCCTAAAGGTTTTATTTTGAATTATATATTCTTTTACCCAGCGATGTGCAATTCACCGTCTGCGATCTGGACACCACGCCCATGTCCGTCACGGACGTCCAGTCGCCCATGTCGGTGGATCGCTCTCTGGCCGAGGTAAGCGGCATTGAAGCGGTCGCCAAGGCGGGCGAGGTTTTCAAGGAGTTGCCGCCACGCAATGATCGCGAGCGTTTCTTCGAAGTTGTCCAGTACCAGAGGGATATACTTAATAATTTCCGGGAGAGCGAGGTGAGTTTTTTTAGTTTAAAAATTAAACAAAAATTGATAATTTGAGATGAATGAAATTTTCTATTGTAAAGTTCTGCAAGTTTATTTAAATTACATTTTTCAAAGTAGTATGATGTAGGGTTGGCTTTTTTTTTTAAGAAAATATAGTTTAAATTTAATCGCAAGTGAAAGGAATTCAAAGTATAGGTTTTAATAACCTTATAGAAATGAAGAATACAAAAACAATTAGTTACTAAATTGTATTCGGTCATAGGAACTCAGGATTCCATAGCATAAAGGCCTAAAGTGGCCTACCTTCTAACTATAATACAAAACGTATACAACCTTATAGATGGAGAGATAAGAAAAATCAAGATACCACCAAGGGATTCTCCCCTTGAGTGCCTTGGTTGCCATGTGTCTGTGTGTGCGTTGTCATGCAAGGCGGCAGGCAGACGTAATTTCTTTAGGTGAAGGAGTGGGGTGAGAGGTAAAAGGAAGACGAACGGACAGACCCTAAGTCGCACCCTAATGTGGCATTCCCTTCACGCGCCGCTGCCTGGGTAGTAGTAGTTGTAGATTCCCTGCTCTTCCTTCCACATGTTTACCGGGGCGAAAATGCGCGCCGCCTGCATCTGGTCCTTCGTTAGGTTCTTCGTTTATATTGACTCTTTTGCGTCTTGTTATTGCATTGCTTGAGAGTTTAAATAAACTCCAACCACCATCCGAGACGGTGAACACGGAAATAATGGAATTAGGTTTTCTTTTTACAGCAAAAAAATACTCTTAATTATTGTTGACATTTTTGCACAAGCTTCAAAGTCGAAGTTGTGGCTACTTTTATTTAATTTCCTGAATTTAAAATGTCTTTAATTTTATTTAATTAATTTTTTTCTTGGTGCTTTTTATTATTTGCATTTACCAATCGTAAACATGTAAATTTATCTTGAAATGGTCTTGAAACAAACCCTTTAGAATTTCTAAAGTGTCCTCGACACGGATGAGAAATCGCCTCACCACATACGAAAATGGAATTTGATGTTGAGGCCGCTTCCCAAACGCGTCCAGGTCACCGACATTAACCAAAATCAGGGTTTTAATTCTTGAATTTCCTCGGTTAACGAGAGTTCTTGTTGAACTGATCGTAAAAGTCATCCGACACGGCATTGCTCAAAGCCACTAGAGCATCCTTACGCTGCTGATCCTGTTCCACTGCCAACTTAGCATTGGCTCGCATCAGTTCATCAAACTGGGCTTTGCGTCGCCGCTCGTCCTCGATATGACCAAGGACAAGGGTGCGATCCATGTTTATGGCATATTGCTCCCACTGCTTGTCCATCATCTGGGCCTCGGTCTTACGCTGCACGGCCGCATTGAGCTGCTGCTCCTGACCCAGACGGAAGTTACGCAACTCCTCGGGCGTCATGCCGCGATACATGAAAGCAATCTTCTTGTTCGGATCGGTGCGGGATTGGGCCACATCCGGATTCTCGGTGAGCATGTCGCTCGATAGCATGTTGTAGATCTCGGCCATGTCATCCTCATACTTTTCGCGCTTCTCCCTCTCCCGATCCATTTGCTTTTGCTTGGCCATATTTATGTTGAATTGGCGCACTTGCTGGATCACCTGGTTGCGCATCTGGTGATCTGACTTGGCCATTTCCTCCAAATGCTTATCCCGGCAACCCAGGTTCTCCATTAGCATGTTGTCCGCCGTCTTGCGTGCATCCTCTGCCCGCTTACGTTCCTGAATCTGCTGATCCAGCCAGGCACGTTGCTGCTGTCGCTGCCGAACCTTTCGTTCCGAATTGTAGAGATCCTCGCCGTGAAAGATTTGGGCACTGGAAACGCCCAAAGTAATGTCGTCATCGGCAACGCGAGTTGGACGCGCCTTCTTCAGGTAGTTGGGGTCATTCAAGTCGAATTCGCGACGCTGCTCCTTGCGCTGATAGCGGCAGCGATAGTAGTTGAGATCCGAGTTCGCCACATGCTGCTTCTTCTCCAGCTCCTTGGCCTGGGCGGTGATCAGGCGCTTTTGCAGTTGTTCCTGCTCCTCGAAACGTTTGTCGCACTCCAGCTGCACGCTTTTCTGCTTCTTTTTCTCCAAAATCTGGCGCTCCAGCATGTCCAAATCGAGCTATCAGAAAGGATTGCTTGTCTTAATCGTGGATTCTCCTAGAGATTGGTTTTACACTCACCCCATAGAGGCGTTGTTTGGCATTGAAGATGCGCCGCTTTCGTTCCTCCTCGTACTGCTCGCGCTTTCGCAGCTTCATCGCTTCGTCCAAATCCTGCTTGGTGCATATTCCGATTTTGAGCGTCATCTTGCTGTATTGTACCAATAGGTTTAAGGGGTTTTTATATTTCTGGTATGTCTGAAAAACTTGTATTCTTTTCTGGACTGAGAAAAAGAAACTATTAGTTGTGTTTGAGTTTTGGTTGAGTTTGTTTGCCGGGTTGCCGGGTGAGCTTGGCTCGTTGGTTTGTTTGTTGTTGGTCTCCTCGCCTCTCTAGCCATATTTATTTGTTTATTGGGTGGGGCACTTGAGTTGTCTTGGATTCCTTTAATTGCCAAGGAAAGAAAAGGAATAGAGAAATTACTAAACATGTTAATATAATTTATATGAATATATCAATTTCTTTTCATTACCATTACTGCACCGGTTTGCCTTACTTTTTCGCAAAATGGTCTAAAGGGTTTCCCTTCGTTGCCTTTTCTGGTACAGCCCGCACACGCCCGGCGCTTGACGTGTCCAATAATCGTTCAAGCGACCATTAAATAAACACCTAATGTACATATTGCCCATATATAGGCGATTTTGGCAAAAGATTTCTACGTTTGAACGGAGAATTTGAATATGCTGCTCACGTACCACGAAATAACCAATAAACAAATAAAAATTGGTAAATTTGATTCCCTCGCTTTTGCTGGCCACTCCTCTGCCTTCTCCCAAGGGACTCGCTCGCTGTGGCATTGGCCACATTGTATTTAGGTTGGATTTCGACATTTGTGGTACTTCTTAGAATTCTATTGTGTCGAAAAACTATTAAAACAGTTTCTCAGGGGAATATATTTATATATATTTTAAAATTGATAATTTATTTGTCTTGAAAAAGAAACCTTATCATTTATCATTTGAATGACAAAATTAATAAGATGCGTAACGCCAGAAAAGGCAATTCAAATTAATAAGAGTCACTCATCCTTTTTTTTTTTACATGTTCCTTAAGTTCTCACTAGTTTTACGAGGTATTCTACAGTTGATACACTTAGATTGCTTAGAGATGAGTCCCAGAGTTCGACGCCAAACAAATAAATTCATGGAAATAAATAAGCCGCTCGCGGGAAGCATCAAGCATAACAATTTGTGTGAAATATGTGTGTGCTAAAGATTAGGATCTCACTTATGCCTAGCGAAAGAGTCTCTTGTGTGCTGCTTAAAGTTTGCTGTAGTAATTACAAAGTATTAGCTTACTAATTTTGTTGACTCAACCTAATCGCTGTGTTTTATCAATCTGAATTTTGCAGAAGAAACATCGCCCGAAGCCGCACTATATGCGCAGGCAGAACGATATCAATCATAACATGCGCTCCATCCTGATTGACTGGCTGGTGGAGGTGTCCGAGGAGTATAAACTGGACACGGAGACGCTTTACCTTTCCGTCGCCTATCTCGACCGCTTCTTAAGCCTGATGATGGTGATGCGCACCAAGCTGCAGTTGGTGGGCACGGCAGCCTTGTATATTGCCTCGTAAGTAGCATATTATTTATATTTATAGAAACTTTTTTTAATTATAAATCCTTTTTCTTGTAGCAAATACGAAGAGATTTACCCGCCAGAGGTGGGTGAGTTTGTCTTCCTCACCGACGACAGCTATACCAAGAAGCAGGTGCTGCGCATGGAGCAGGTCATCCTGAAGATTCTCTCCTTTGATCTGTGCACACCCACAGCCTATGTCTTCATCAACACGTACGCAGTGCTGTGCGATATGCCAGATAAACTCAAGTTCTTGACACTGGTAAGTAGTCCTTGAAATTAAATTTCTGGCAGTCCTAATCCCACTTACCATCCACGCAGTACATTTCGGAGCTTTCACTGATGGATGGAGATACCTTCATGGCATATTTGCCCTCGGTAATGTCATCCGCTTCGCTGGCATTGGCACGTCACATTTTGGGCATGGAGATGTGGACACCTCAGCTGGAGGAGATCACCACCTATAAGTTGGAGGACCTACTGACTGTCATCCGCCAGCTGTCGCACACTCACAAATGGGCCAAGGACCTCAACACGCAGGCAATGCGGGAAAAGTACAATAGAAACAAGTAAGAAATTTTAAAAAACTTAAAGAAGAAAAGTACTAAGTTTTTTCTTTTCCCAATAGGTACAAAAATGTGGCCACACTCGAGGCAATTGAGCTGACCAAGGAGGACCTGGATCAGCTCTGTCAGTCGTACAATGCCAAGCAAAGCGAGAAGAAGAACGAGCAGCAGCAGGATGAGAATTTGTTTTATAAGTTTTAAGTGTTTTGCCATGCCTCTCCCCCTGCCATGGTCAAATTGTATTGTAGCTTAGTGTTTCTATGTAATATTTCGTAGATTTAAATTTAAGAAGAAAGTCTCCGTCAAAAGTTTGCTTACCATTTGTTGGCCGTTGGACAAGCTCCCGTTACAAGTACTGGACAATTTTATATGAAAGTCATATAAACGCACCTTGAAACCAGCCAAATTCACACACCTGTCCACGGTGAGAGTTTGCCGCGCCAACAACGAGAGCAAACACAAACGGTGACAGTCTTTAAAAAACTTAAATTTAGCTTAGTGGCAGTCAGCAGTTTGATATTTTATGTTTTTACCATCAACAAATGTATTTTTATGTATTTATAAAATGAACCATATTGGATGTATACAACGTGTCTTTAGCAGGTACAGCTAACTTTGGAAATTATACCTACTTAAACGCATATTTATATATATATATATACATACTAACTGTTAGGCCATAAAAGTTCTGTGAACCACGCAACAACAAATATATATGTCGATTTAACAACAAAGACACACTCTGCAAGCCACTCTACACACTCGTACACCAATCGTTCCCTTATCCGTTTCAAATGCTGCGCTCAACTCGTGTTCACGTAAATCTAATGACGCTTACTAAATGTTTATTTAACTTAGTCTAATCTTCCGTGTGGGTGGGTGGATTCAGGTTGCTGATAGCACAAGCAGCGCGCTAGTTAAATGCAGAAGCCAATTTCTCGATGTTCTTCTACGCTAACATACATTTTTATTTTACTAACTACTCAATGTAATTGCATTGCAGGCCGTATATTCCATATACCTATTGTATTCAATAAAATTGTGAAAGACAAGCACAAACAACACATGTCTTGCCATCTTCTTTTCAACATTTGTTTATTCACAAATCATAAAAAATAACTACAACAATTGGTATCGATGTTGTTGCTTTCGCTCTGCGATCAATCATATCGATCCCGGAGTCGCAATATCAAAGAGTTCTGGGGATTCCACTGGTGAGTTGAGCTTCTGATTCGGGAGCAACGGATTAACATGAAAGAAATGGACAAAAACCGAAATGCAGATTCTTCTGTTCGCGCCTTGGGCGTTCTCCTCTCTCTGTTTAGTAGGCGAATCGAGTGTCCGGATGGTAGCCAAGCTTATCCAGAGCCGGATTGCAGGCAAAGTTGATCATGGGCGGTGGGCCGCAGAGAAGCACAATTGTGTCGTCCTTGGCGGGTAGCAGGTGGGCGGCAATCATGTCCTCGTTGATGAAGCCAACACTGTATGGCCAGCCTGGATAACAAAGATTTAAAAAGAAATATTTAGTGAGGATTTTGGAAAAATATAAACAAGCTATTGGTGAAGACAACCTGCACACAATCTTTCCCACTGGCTTGGCCTTTGTGAAATGAAAGCAAAACTTAAGGGCACAGCTGAAGCTGTGTGCTAATCCTAATAGCTAAACCGTTGCTCGGCCCGGTGACCCAGTCGCTCCAGGCCCGGAATACACGTATAGTTGACCATGGGCGGTGGCCCACACAGCAGGCACAAAGTGTCTGCATTCGGAGGAAACAGATGCTGCTGCATCATCTCGTCATTGACGTGGCCCGTGTTGTAGGACCAGGCTATGAACCGCGCATTCCCCGTTCGCGGCGGCATCCGTTTGAGGGCAGCATGTGGCGAGGGGCACAAGACACAAGATTCTTAACATAATAGATGATTGGCACAAGTTGGCTCTAGGTAAGTGATGGTGGAGACGAATGGTTGATGCTACATGCTAATGAAGCTACCGAAGGTTATGAAATCTCAAGTCAAGGAAAAGATTGGTGCAGTGTTCTCTCGAGAAAAATGAATAATAATTACTAATTACTAATAAAAATATTATTCAAGGCTGATGAAATCAAAGTCTATACAAATAATAAAATGAGTAACTTATGCTTTTTTCACTCTTAGATTTGAGATGGATTCTGGATTCTATAGAGTGACGAATGATATGATCTTATGATCTTTAGCACGGGACATTTACAAATAAAAATCTAAAAATACTAGAGCTCACCTTCAGCTGCCCTGTCGACGGTATACCAGACCTTAAACTGGTCAGGATGCTTCTTGGCCAGCTCGTCCAGCTCTTCACGCAGCAAAATGTCCTTTTCACTCTATAAAAAGGTAAAAATAATTTAAGAAAAATATCTAAAAATAATAATAATTATTCACAAACCTGATTGGCAAAGAGAAGCGCCAGTTCGGTCTTATCCTTGTCGCTACGCTTAAGCACTTCCCTGGCCAGTTGCAGCATTGGTGTGATGCCAGTGCCACCAGCAATCATATTAACCCGCTTGGCAGTCACATGCTTGGGTGGATCCTTGCGTAGCTTCTTGATCGAGAAGGTGCCATTGCCAAGATACTGCAGCCTACCAGAGGGACCACGGAAGGAGATCTTATCCCCCACCTCCATCTGTTCCAAATACTGGGTCATCTTGCCGCCTGCAGGGAACTTGGGATGCGAGTCCTTAAAGTACACCTTGACCACCAAATCCACATAGCCCACATCCTCGTCGGACGAAATAGGTGTGTACGGCCGGATAACAAGATCGTTGTCAATAGTGGCAATCAGATGGATGTGCTGGCCAACGGGCAGGCCGAGAACATGCTGCTTGGAAGGCAATCCAAAGCGGAAGCGCCTGGTGTCATGACTGAGCACCTCCTTCTCGATGAGTGGCAGAAGGTACTTATCATTGGGATCAACCAGGGTGCGCAGGCGAGCGGTTCTATTGGGTTCGCGACGAGGCTTGGTGGATTTCTTGTTGAGCAGATAGTGGACGATAAGGGCGCCGGCAACCACAGCGACCACGCCTACGGCGATTGGTACAAACTACAAAGAATATAAAGAAAAAATTTTATAAATAAAGGTTTTATTTATATTTAATACTACGCCGCCTTACTCGTAAACAACAAATATTATTATATCACTTTTAGATTAAACCAGGAAGCTAATAGCGTGATTTTAAGATGCATTACAGCTGCTGATTGTAATAATATATGCTGATAAGCTTACTTAAGTAAAATATAGACCTGTATTTAAGAGACTTTAAAATGCATGAGTTGCATTTTTCAGGTGTGATCGGATTTCCGTACATTCTATCGTGGGAAAACTGTTTCATACGCTTTATAACTTTAAAACTTGCTAATTAAAATGTTTAAAAAATTCGCCGGGTGCTAATTAAACCTTAAGCAGCATTACTAATAAAAAAAAAAGGAACTGAACAGTAGTCATATCTCCCAGCTATAGATTCGTCATTATAACAATTATATTTTACTTCGTTGGGTTGCCTAACACTTGATACTATTTTTGTGTGTGCTTTGGACTGATGAAAGGTCACGATGGTCAGTGGAAACCACCGCCAGACATCTAAAGTGATAAGAAAATAACTAAAATAATTCCACATCTGAGATAGAGATCAAGTTCAGCTGGGGTAGAGACACTTTTTTAGAGACTGCGAAGCCTTAAAAACCTGCAGTTTATTGAGGTTACAAGCTTGAGACATCAAACTTTGGCCCCATATCAGGGGTGACCCTGAATATTGCATTAGTGGAGCGGCTTTGGCAAGTTATTAACCATGACGTCACACCCCCTACATTCATAACAGAGAGCATACGCAAAGAGAGCGAGCAATCAAAAGAGTAATAAAATGTCAAAGAGAAAGCTTTCACGGAAGTGGACTGGAACTTACGTCGAATTCGGTCATTTTATTTGTTTGTTTTTAATAAACACTTGTCGAAGTACGTTGACTTGACTAATTTCTAATTTGAATTGCGCGTGGGTCTGGAAAGCAGGCGAATTTGTTTGATCGCGTGTTGCCGCGCACGATTCCGATTTCCAATTGAAATGAAGTCGTCGCGTGGATGTGCCGCTATAACCAGGCGTTCTCTTTATTTCAGCCCCTTTTCCACTGTATTTCTCTGGGTGAGCAAGATGCAGAGTCAGCACTAGTCAGCACAGTGGTAGCAAAAAGTAGGAGGAACAAGAAAACGAGTTAAAAAAGCACAACTTTCATGACATTGAAAAAAAAAAGTAAAATTTTGAAGTAAATGTCTCTCATGAAAAAAAATATAAGCCCCCAAATATTTAATTTTTTTGTACTTAGAACCATTTCAATATTAAAACATTAGTTTGACTTGTAGGAAAAATTACGTAAATTAAATCCACATACATTATTTTAATTTTTAACTTTTTCCCAGGAATAAAATTGTATAATGTTTCAAAAAAACATTTAAATTAAGAAAATTCGAATAGCAACATATTTTTTTTCTTGGCAAAGTAGGGGTATTACTTTAGGCGCTACTGTACCTCAGATAAAACAAACCCGTTTCAAGAGAGCCGAGATAACATAAACTGAGGGAGTAGAAAGCAGAGAGTAGCCAAGTCTAACTGAGAGTTTACGTTTACTGATTGTGAGTTTGCATTTTATTGATTAAGAGAAATAGTGGAATGATAGAGTTATAATTTAAGAGTGGGTGGGTTTCTGACTAGCCACAACAGCTGATTGCCTCTCTGCTTTGCTGTGTTGAACTTGACATTGTCTTTGGTTTTGATTTTTTTTTCTTGAGATTCGATTGGATTGGAGATTGCGTCACAGGAAAAACTGGCGACACCGCTTCTTGGGTCTCCTCGGCTGCGGCTTGGTGTGCAGAGCCTGCGCTTCGAACACCTCGAAGGCGAAATCCGCGCCCGAATGCAGACGCATAAGGGCCGCCTTATTGCCGCATCGATAGCAATAGTTGGGCGCCGACCAGATGGTCACCAGCTGGTGGCCAAAGTGCCAGCGATAGCCCTCCTGGACCAGCTGATGGGCCCGGCATATCAGAGATAAGCCGTTCCGCCTACTGAACTCGGCTACCACATCGCCGCCAAAAAGCTGACCGTGGCCCCGAGGCGATGCCGTCCATCCAGCTGTCTCCTGGGGATCGCTCCAGAGTAGATCTGCCATGCAGCCGCTGTCGGGGATTTCTTGGCAGCGATCCAGCCGGTGCAGCTGATCCAGCTGTTGGATTTCCGGCGACAGGCCTCCGTGCACACAGAAAACCGATCCATCAATAGTCGCCGCCAGTGGCAGGAGATCAAATACGCGGCAGAACATCCTCCAGACGTTCGGGGAACCGTACTTGGCCAGGCACTCCTCGTAGCATCCGTAGGATCGCGTGGCACTGCGGCACTCGTGGTTGCCTCTCAGCAGGCTCACCTGCCCAGGATTCTGTACCTTGAGCGCAGCCAGCAGCAGAAAGGTTTCCACGCTGTTCTTGCCCCGGTCCACAAGGTCGCCGAGAAACAAGTAACGGTGCTGGGAGACTGGTCCGCCCAACTCTAGAAGGTGCAGAAGGTCCTCGAACTGACCGTGGATGTCCCCGCACACGATCTGTGGACTCTGCAAAGTCAGCAGGTTCGCCTCTGCGGTGAGCAAGTCGCTTAAGGAGCGACATAGCCGGCGCACCTCCGCCTCTGTGGGCAGACGGACTGGCACCTGGCGCAGCTTCGCCACCAGACGATCTGCATCGCTCATCCTCAGGTCACTAAACGGACATCATCACTATTTATAAACCAGAGACGTCACCGGGCAACAGTGATGGGAAGGGTACTATTTTGTTTTGTTTACCTAGGTACGGTACAAGGTACATTTACATAGTACTTGTAAAAATTGATTAACTTTAACTATGCAATTGTACATGCACATATTACATTTAATCATAATTTTCAATGAAAAAGAAGAAACCATTTTAGGGTAAATATAAATAGAAGCTGTATTATTAATGAAAGTACCTAGTATCTATTTCCCATCACTGTTGACCAAGTAATATACCCCAATGCGAAACCACTTAGGCAGTTGGCCAAGAGAAAATCGGGAGGGATCTTCATCTCGTGACAATTATGAAATGCCAGAAAGCAAGAACAAGGAGAAGAAAAAGGAGGAGATGGAAAAGCCAAGGAGTTATGTAAAAACAGCAGCCGCGAGTTGGATAATTTCCAGTCAACTTACATTGCTCTCGATGAGACGCGCCATGGCCCGCGGAAAATCAATGCACTTGCGGGCTTAATCCGCTTATATAACTCGCCAGTTGCAACGCACTTTTTATATCTACTAGATGCCGACTAAACTAAAAATGCAGACTATCGCCGCGAAGATAGTGAAAGCAATGTTTTTATTTCCACGCACTCTCAGTAGGTGTCTCTCGAAGAGAGAGTGCGGCGGTTCTCTTTTGAGTTTCTTACTCTTCTCCTCTCTTTCCTTGGGTATTGAAACAGAAGCTTGGACTGAAAAGGAGACTTACGTTAAAATAGGGCTATTAAAACCAGGACCAGCATATATTTACTCAGCACTGAAGCAGCTACAAATGCTCTATTTTCATAGCCACTCTGACTATTCAAAATTTTAGTTGTAAAATATAAATTTCATTCTCTTTTGGCTCCAAACAAAGCGGCAATTCCAGTGTAACCAGATAACAAATTGGCTTTAATACTATAAAATCTGGTTTTAAAATCGAGTACTTTAGTATTTTGTGAAGGAAAATACCAGTTCATCATTTTTTGACACCCTGTTTCATGATACAATTATGTAAGGTAGTCAGAAATCTTTCGTTATATTTCCGACGCGACTATCTTACATAATTATACCATGCCAGGCTTAAGCCTAGTTCTAGATTTGTATTGTTTAAATTAAATAAATAAACACAATATTAATTGTTCCATTTTTATTTTTACTTAATTTTCAATTTTTATATTGTTTGAGAAAAGGTATAATTTTCAACAGAGACATATAAACAAATATTCATGTAATTCCCAATATTTATGTTGTATTTTCATATTAATGTTTTTTTTTTTTTTTTTTTTTGTTTAATAATCCAAAACTTTGATTTAAACAATCTCTACAGCTTTTCAGTCATTTCGCCCATTTTTTTAAAAACTTTGGTAGCTGAATAACAGAAAATATCGAAAGAGCAATATTTATGGGAACATTTTTCCGCTGCCGATATTTAGATATTCCGTCCGCAGTCGCATAAAAATAGAGTTATTTTTGACGACAGTCATTTTAACAATAATAAAATAAACAAAAAAAAAAACTTGAATATCTATGAAATATGTTTTTAATGTTTCTTTTAAAAAAAATATGACTGCCGATATTTTCGGTAATTCAGTCGTCAAGGGAATACCCTGAATAAATTTTCTAGGGTGAAAACTGGATTTTTTAGGGGGAAATTTCAACTTTTTGCGATTTTCATTTGGTAACACTGGGCTACCGTCTCTTTCTTTCAAAAAAAAATTGACATTCTACATGAGAATTCGACCCCAAAAACGAGAATTCGACCCCAAGCATGTAAAACTTTGTTTTGACATTTTACTTTGAAATTCAGAGTGACCAAAGAAAAAATATCAAAAAATATCATCAAAATATCGCGATTTCTGGGCAATAAGTTTCACGATATATCATTTTCAGGAAAAATACCTCCCATCTTTCTTTCAAAATCGCACGTTGAGCAGTTGAGATGGCGTAAGTGTAATTGTTAAAAATTAAGTACCATCGCCCAAGTTTTTTAAGTTGTTTGACTTTGGAACGCTGGACCAGGGTTTAATGGTCACGCTCAAATAGATATTTCTTAATTTCGGCAATCAGAAACCAGCTTTTTAGACCTTTTTCCATGTCCATATCAGTTTGGAAATGATTGCAAAAGTAAATGTGATTTTTGTGCTAAATATGCAACTAATATGTGGGCTGCCATCATTTGCGCATTAGTTCGACAGTTAATCAAGCTCTTCAAGGCGCTTCAAGTATTGTTTTTCCGGTAAATTGAAAACTAATTCGTTTTTCTCTTTCTGCAGGTCGAAAGTTTCGCGTGACACGCTCTATGAGGGCGTCAATGGACTCCTGGAGGCTTCGGCCAAGAAGAAGCGTGGCTTCCTCGAGACGGTGGAGCTGCAGATCGGCCTCAAGAACTACGATCCCCAGAAGGACAAGCGTTTCTCCGGCACCGTCAAGTATGTTGGCTAAATCACCTGCGCCTGTGTGTTGAGCAGCTCCCTCGGGGGCCGAGTCTACCACGGCATCAGGTAGTCGAGTATGTGGCTGCCACATGGCACAGCTCGGCGGACCTGCACTCAGGGTCTTTAAAATTTGAGTAGGTCTCCAGCAATGGACACCGTCCCCCTTTTTAAATAATTTTGAAAACATGCTCCCTCGTGGGCCTTGTAAGTTTTCCCCGCCCCCTGCCCCTCCAATCCGGTTCTCTTGCTGCTGTCTAACCAAACCACATTTCTTGTAATCTTCAGGTTGAAGCACATCCCCCGTCCCAAGATGAAGGTGTGCATCCTTGGCGATCAGCAGCATTGCGACGAGGCCAAGGCCAACAATGTCGACTTCATGGATGCCGAGGCCCTCAAGAAGCTGAACAAGAACAAGAAGCTTGTGAAGAAGCTGGCCAAGTCTTATGATGCCTTCCTGGCCTCCGAGTCGCTCATCAAGCAGATTCCCCGTCTGCTTGGCCCTGGCTTGAACAAGGCTGGCAAGTTCCCTGCCCTCCTTTCGCACCAGGAGTCCATGATCGGCAAGATCGAGGAGGTCAAGTCGACCATCAAGTTCCAGATGAAGAAGGTCCTGTGCCTGTCCGTTGCCGTTGGCCATGTGGGCATGAAGTCCGATGAGTTGGCCCAGAATGTCAACCTGTCGATCAACTTCTTGGTGTCGCTGCTGAAGAAGAACTGGCAGAATGTGCGCTCCCTGCACGTCAAGTCCTCCATGGGCCCACCCCAGCGTCTCTACTAGATGCGCCTCTTTTTTTACATCTTACAATAAAGGAGAAGCTACATTTCAATAATGTAACTAAAAATAATGTATTTTTTTGATTAAGATTTAGCTTTATATTTCAGTGGAGCTTATGGTTCTAGCTAGGAAGTCGCGCACTTCCAGGGCTGCATTTGAATCGCTGTCTTCAGGTGGGTCTTCAGGCAATGGCTCCGCCCGAAACTTGGACACGTCCACTGCATTTCCCCACTCCAGCAGATGCGGCTCGCTCAGTTCCTCCAGCAGATTATGCAGCACTGCCGCGGCAGTGATTATGCAGGAGGCTGTGTGGAAGCTTATGTCCAGTGGCTGGCTAAGAAAACTCCAGCGGGACATGAGGCGATGCAGGGCGCAGTCACTTAGCTCCTGGAGGTGCTCGGCCACCTCGTTAAAGTCGTGCTCGTGTGGAGCAATCGGATCTATATATCGCTGCAGCAGCCATGGACGCAACGGGTAATTCTGATAGACAGGAGCCAAGACAAAGGCCGGAACTGGCCGGGAGTTGATGCTGAATTTGGGCAGGGTCGAGAGGTTATTTGGTGCATGGGAAAACATGGGCACCAGTGTCGCCCGAATCCCGCATCCCAGTTGTAGTTCACGGAAAAGCATCCGATCGTCCAGCAGATATTCCATGCGCAGCACCGAGCCGGCGGTTGAGTGCTTAACATCGCCACCATTGGCTCTTATGGGGATGGAGCACACGCCCAGGACTCCGATGAGGGCGGGTGGCATGTTGCTTTCGCGCTGGAATCCCTCTGCCACTCTGTTGCAGTCCACCGGAAGCTGAGGCAGCTGGCGCAGAGCACGTCCCAGAGTCGACATGACGGCATTGCAGAAGACCTTCAGGCACTTGATCGTCCTTGGCCGGGGCACGGAGAAACGCTCGGCAATCAGAGAGAGGCGCTCTCCGCTGGCCAGGAAATAAAGGGCCAGGGCCACGCACTTTTCTGGCGAAATGCTTGGCGTTTTGCGTGTCAGTTCCTCGGCATTCCTGAGAGTGGGAGCCAACTGTTTGCATAGCGTGTCGAAGGTTCCACGTGTCACATGGAGGGTGCTCAGGAACTCGGATTCGCTCAGCTCAGGAATCACATCTTCAAAGAAACGGGAATCAAATACCGGAAAGTCTGTCGTGATGACTATCTCCTCTGTCCCGCTAGCCTCGGGCTCCTCCTCCTCATCATCATCATCGGACTCGGCTTGCTTTAGGCGCAACAGGGCAAACATTTGCAGGTAGTTGGAGTGCATTTCCATCATCTGCTGCATAAAGAAGGAACGCATCATCCTCAATCTTCGCCTCGCCCGCTGCTGAGCCCTGCGACGCAAGGTGACCACGGTGGACTGAACATGATGCAGGTGCAGGCGGATCAGCTTGGCGATTTTCTCCCTTCGACTCTGCAGGTCTGCACTGGCCACTTGGTCCTGGGTGTTTTTTAACTTTGCCAGGGCACTGTGTAGGTTTTTGTTTATTAATTCCAATTCCTTGTCCATGTTCGTTAATACTAGAGCTGGAAAAAATTCGATATCAACATCGATTACACCGATTCTTTCTATTTTGGTCGAGGCATCGTCAAAATCACCAATCGATATCGGTTGTCGATGGCTAAAGCCGGGAAACTTAATCAATTTAAAAATTAATACGTTTTCTCAGCAGATACTTTAATTAAGTGCAAAATAAACACAAAAACATTTTTTCAGGAAATATAGAATGATAAAATAATATTTTTTCGATTTCACGAAGGTATTATTGCTGTTTATTAGGGTTTTTTTTTTGCAAAATAAAGGAAAACAACACCTAATCATTTATTATTTATTTTTTGAAGTGCTTAAAAAAAAGTTCTTTCTTTAAGGGAAATCCAGTATCAACCTTCGATAAGATTAATATCCAGTTGGAATCCCAAACCATCGAAATTTGGCGACTTCTTTGCAACAATAATCACATTATTATAGGCTATGGTAAAGTCATCCGGCTTGTTGGAACCACATAGAGTTTTAACTGGTTTCACCTCAACAGCATTGACAGTATAAAATCGTATATTGTCCAGATTGCAATTGTTCTCCGAGCCCATGTCGAATACTGCAAAGGCAATAAATAAACAAAATAAATTAATAAAATCAATTATTTTGATTTTTCCCCACCTGAAAAGCTAAAACGCAGATTTCCGCCAGGTGGCACGGACACAGTCCAAGAGCAAAGCGAACTATTGCGACCTTCGTAGGAGGGATTCCCCACATGGCTCCCCATTGATCCGTGCACAGCCAGGTCGCCACCACAGCCGCTGGGGAACTTGTTGCTGGTGGAGAAGTAAAAGAACTTGAGGGTGCCGACACCCACACTGTCGAGGCGCAGTTCGTTGGTGGTCGTAATCCTTCCAATAGTTTCCCATTGAGTGTTTCTGGTGGTAAAAATAGTCTTGTTGGTCTTAAGGTCCGTTACCTGAGAGGGGATGAATTTATGATTAATATTTATTTAACTTTATAAAAAAAAAAGATCACTTACTTTAAAGTATTTCCGATCATCGCTTTCGAAAATAACAGTCAGGATGTGCAGGGTTATACTGTAACCTTCTGGCACTCGAATATACTCTGTACAGTTGGCCAAGGAGTCGGTCTCAATGATTCGGCTTAGGTCCGTGTAGTTTCGATTGCAGGCTAAAAATATATTCTTGCTTTAGTAATTACTAAAAATATAAAATAAATTATGAAATACCTACTTGGTTTGCGTCTTAAAACTATTTCGAGTCCTGTTAACTCGGTGAACGCTGAGCTGTGGAAGGTAAGCTCTAACTTGTCACGTCTTTGGATTTCCTTAATCATTTTATAAGTTTGATTGTAGTGACCGCAAAAGTCTTGGGAGTAAGACGTGGAAAATGGCTGTGAAATATAGTTAAAAATTATAATAATAATAATACATTTAAATATATATAATAGAAATATATTTAAAGTATAGAACATTTATTTAAACTCACAGATTTCTTAGCCAGTCTCAAGTAGTCCTCGCACTTTCCCGTCCTTTGAGATACTTCTGGGAGATTGAGATACTTTAATTCAATTTCAACATCCCCTTCGGCCCTGATGGTCCAAGTGCATTGAATATTGCCCTCATAGCCCTTGGTGGCATTATCGTACTTCAGGCTCAGAGAGACGCTCTGTGGGAAGATGAGAATCGATTTACATAACCGGGTCTACCTGGCAAAGAACAGACTTACCTCATTCACTCGCATATCGTACTCCGTTTCACCACACACCGTGGCTTCCATTTGCAGGATTAGCTCAAAGCTGAGATTCTTGGACACCATTGACGTGGCGCTAAGCTGAATGAGCATGTCCGAGTAGGAGCTAAAGACCTTGGTCCGGTTCGAACCCAAGGCATAGAATTTGCCCAGGCTTTGACTTTCCACGACCTTGCTGTCGCGTATCTCCAGGTAGTTGCAGGTGCGGCAGGAGTTATCGTTTAGCTGCAGCTTGCGCAGCTCCACGGACAGCCGTTGGTTTGGCGGCACATTGGCTCGGAAGTGGCAGAGTAAGGTTTCACTGGCATTAACCCTAAACGAGCGCATCAGATTCATCCGAGGCACAGACTGGTCCAAGGCCACTTGCTCGTTGCAGTTTGGCGTGAAGCGAACGCTGGCCAGGAAGCCCTTGTGATTGTTGGAACTGTCCGTAGAGAGCACAATGAGTGCCTCGTTGCTGTCCACCATTATAGTGGGTGGCACAGTCTGATTGCCGCACAGCTGCCGCTGCATTTGCTCTTTGTTGGCCGTTGAGCCACGGTAAATTGTTAAACTATCAAAGTGGCACATTTGGCTTCTTTCCAAGTCAAAGTACTTGAACTCCAGCACAATGGCGTGCTGAGGTGGAGCCGTTACCCGCCATGTGCACTTCAAGTTGTGGGCATATCTGCCAGCTTCTTCAGCATCTTGCGGGGGTCGCAGGGAGAAGGGTTCAGTGTGATTGCCACCGCATCCTATAAGCTGGTATTGCAGCTGGAACCATCGCATTGCCGTGGAGACAAACCGTAGGCGCAACCATCCACGGCCATTTACCTCGAATTCGGGACAAAACCTGCCCAAGCTCTCCTCCTGATCCTGTGAGCCGCCTCGCCTAAAAGCCTCGAAATAGGACTTGGTGCAGATAAGCTCGGGCCATGGACGCGCCATGGTCTTTACACTGACTGCAAGTTGGTGGTCATTGCTCGACAGGAAGACATAGCTGCAGTTAAGCTTTTGACCACGTGAGGCTGGCCAGGTGGGACTGGCGATCGTCTGCTGATTGTGTTTAGCTTGCACTGTGATATCGCAGCTGGGGGCGACGGTGAAACTAAAGCCGTCACCCGTTACATTGGCATTCGTACGAAATATGACACGCATCTTGGAGGAGGGAATTAATATTTCGCCTGGCACCTGCCTACCACATAGGCTGATCATCTCGACAAAGGAGCCTGCCTCCCGGTCGTAGCGCTCCACAGTCAGGCGATCGTTCGTGCAGTTGGGAGATGTCTCAATAAAGAATCTATCCTGGAACTGCATCATTTGGGACAGACCCTCTGTGGTGGCAAACTCCCACATCCGCTCCATGTTGTTTACATAATCTGCGCTCTGAATGGTAACCGGTGGCGATGGTCGCTGGTCAAGGCGGATCACATTACCGCTGGACATAGATCTCCGTACTTGCAGGGTAAAGGATGTTCTTTGCTGCAGAACTCGTCGATCTGCATGGTAGATGATCTTGGTGAATATTCGCTCCAAGAGCGTGCTATTGAGGGTCATTCCCCGACAAAGGTGAGCTATCTCCTTGTTCCCGTTGAAGATCGCAAGGTACTCCCGATTGCAGCTGTCGGTGAGGGTTACATTCCCCTCTAGCGTATAACCATTGCTCTTTCTCAGCGTCCACAGGCACTCCACTTCCCCGTAATCATCATCAATGAGGGACAATAGATCAGGAGACTGAATCACAAGCCCCTCGGATGCATCCAGATTACCGCCACAATTGTGGCGTCTATAAGTGGCCTGGAAACGCTGCAACTTGACGAATTTACTCTTCAAGAGCGTCACACGTCCCGCCGTGGTGGCTATGGATACAAAGGCATTGGTGACATTGGCATACAAAGGCGCTAAGGGAACACCCAGGACGTCATCTCTAAAAACAACCGCTGGACCGCCAATGGACTGGTATAAGTACTCTGACACCTTAAAGGAGAGTGTAGTGCTAGGAGTGCTGATAAAATGGATGCTGCAATAGTAGCTGCTTAGCTGGGATAAAGGTTGAATGGACAATGATCCCGAGGCCTGGTCTCCGATATTCGGCGGGCAAATAGAGGATTCACTGGAACTGTAGCGTGCCTTCAAGGCTGTAGCACTAAAATCCAATTGGTTACTCAGCACAGTCACAAGCATAAAGTTGTCCGTGGACTCGATAATGCCGCTGCCATTGTAGTTCTCTAGCCGGAACTCTGCTATCTTGGAGAGGGAACTGGCGTCGTTGTAGAAGGAAAAGTGTGGCATGGTCGTCAAACGGCTGGGTACTCTTAGGTTACTGAAAAATATTTTAAGGGGTGCAAAAATACCTTAATGTATTGTAACTTATCACTCACCTAGCTGTGTCCGTACGATTGACAACTCGTAAATCCATCAAGTTGAGGAGTTCCAGCTTAACGCGCTGTCCCTTGGGCACGTTGATGCTCCAGCGACAGAATCTCAGCCAGGTGGAAGGTGCCATGGGCGAAATCTCAATGTTTCCTGAGGCTCCGTTCACATCCCGCGAGCATGTTCCCACCGAACGCTTGTACTCCAGCTTGAAGCCTCGATAGTTGTTCACATTTTGTATGGCCACAAAGCGGATAGCTGCATCATTGGTGTTCAGGGTGACAATCATGGGTGTGATTGTACTTCCGTCCAGGATCATTAGCTCTCTTTCGTTATTCGACATGTCAATTATTTCGAGACGATCGCTGGTGCTTTTAGATGATGTTCCATTTGGATCAAAAGGCAAATGGAGATCGGTGATATTCAGCTGGATGTATGTGTCCTTGGGCAGCTGAATTCTGTATACGCACTGCGATGGCTTGGGATAGCCACCCAGAGTGGGATAATTCTCGGAACTGATGGAATCAGAGTTGCCACTGAACTGCCCACCACAAGTGCTCAGAGACACGTTTAGTCTAAAGCCTCCGTGAGGTTCACCCAGCTGCGAGGTGTAGTGCACCAAGAGTAGGTTACCCGAACTCCTTAAGGTTCCCAGAAGCTTGCGGCATGTGCGTTTGAGGAAAGTGGCCATTGTGGTGGATCCATCGTAGAATTCGACATTCTCCTTGTCGCAGTGTCGCAGACTCAGCTCAAAGGGATCCTCGAAGTTGGCGGCCACAGTTTCACCCGGCGGTGCCATCACCAACCATGTGCAGTCCGCATATGGATGCGGCAGATGCGGATAACCTGGCGAAGTGATCACAAACGATGGAGCCTGCTGGGTCAGCTTAATCTCACCATCACAATCACTGAACTCCCGGTAGGTGAGTGACCATGAGTCGCCCGACTGGCTATTCGCAGTACTGCTGACCACGTATTTGATGTAGGCATGCGAGCTACTTGTCCGGAATGATCGCTTCCGGAAGCCGACAAAATTACAAAACTTTCCATGTTCCAGCAAGGGAGCATGATCATCGAATCCATCGTAGATGAGGCCATAATATGGACATGTCCCCGTATTACCAGCTGGATTGGCGTAATCGATGCTTATGTCTATCTTTCGGCCTGGTCGCACCTCAATGTGCCAGGCGCAATCCACGAACCTGGTCTGCATGGGAATGGTGCCCACTTTGCCCGTCATATTCGAGCCACATTCTGTGTGGAGTACTCCATGGAAGCCAGTTTTGTTAAGAGAGGCATCGCTACGGAATTCTATCCTGAGATTTGGTGTACCATGGATACGAGGATGCCCTTCATCCTTCTTACAAATCTTTAGCTCTTCGGTCCAGTGGCTAAGGTCAGGGGAAGTTAGTATTCTCACATAGTCGGCTGCGCATTCCGGAAAGTCCTCTAAATCAGCCTGGTACATAAGGGTGGAAATATGCATTGAAGGATCCTTCGGCTTAAAGGTCCATTGACAATTTAGATTGGGTGAGTAGCCGAAGGGATAACCCTCGGTTTTCACCACCTCACGTGAGCCTGGTGCCATTGTATACACCTTTGTGCATTCACTCGTAGTCACGGATTGGTTGCCTTTTACTATATTGATACCAAGGGTCTGCCAAGTCAAACGGAATGGACTGAGAGCTGGATTTAGAGTCTTTAGGTAAACCACATTACTGCTGGAAGTGAAAGTCCAGGGACTGCTTTCGATGGAAACAGCCAAGGCATTGTCATCGTAGCCATCAAAGAGCTGGAAAGAGTTATGATTCACAGTTCAGGAGATGTGTATTCAAATTCATTCATTCGTAGATGCATTTTAATTCATGTTAATTTAATTGAATATTATAGAAACACCCATATATTTCTACTCACCGCCAGTCCCGAAATGTATTCTTCAAATTGAACAACCACAACTTTCTCGCGCTCTGTGAATATCCGCCAGGTGAAGGGCTGATCATCGCCTCTAACAATTGGCGGAGACACTATGGTTCCATTGGACTTCATTGTGACTTCCAAGTTGTGTACTGGAATGTATAAAACACATGATGAACTCTTCCTTTAAGAGGATTATCCCTCTCACCGTAGTTCCACCTCAATTTAAAGCCCGCCGCCGTGTTGCCCGGTTTGCTGCGGAACTTGATCCACAGCTGCGACATGAAAACCAATGGTTTGTCTGGCACTTCCTTGCTGCAATATAAACCCAAAAGTCGGCCCAGCACACCAGAGCGTAGCTCCAGATAGTCTTCATTGCAGTGCTCCGACTGTACAATATCCATGGCCTCAAAATTAATTTCCAGGGCATTTCCCGGTCGCGTCTCAAAGCTCCACACGCACTCCACATTGGACGGATAGCTGTTTGGGTAGCTGGGAGAAGCCAAAAAGCCACGGGGAGAGGTGATGTTCCCACCACAAGTGTTCTCCAGAGTACTATATTGAGCCTCCAGGATCACACCTTTGGTCAGGATGCGCACATTCCTGGCGGACACTAGGAAGTTGGCCAGATGTTCGGGACACATATGGGCAATCTGCACCTGGTCATCATCATTGAGTATTTGAACACCGTTTGTGGAATTCTCGGAGCCTAATGAATCCTTCGAGCAATCCAGGTGGCTGATATGCAGGTTGAGTTTGCTACCCGGCGGCCCAGTTACCAGCCAGCTGCACTCTTCGTCCAGTCTGGAGCGCAAGTAACCCTCGCCGGCGGGGACTGGTCCACCGCACTGACGCTCGTAGTGCATGGCAAAACGACCCCAGGACCCAGCTTGGGCCTTGAACCGCACTCGCAGCTTCTGGCCGTGAAGCATACGGATCAGGGGAGGACCATCTCCGCAGGCCCGCTCCAAAAACCTTTCCGTATTGTCCGCCTCCAGCTTGGTGAGCTCCACAAAGCTGACAGAGCAGTTGACCGAATCCGTGAGGTTGACCTGCTCGAACCAGAGTCGAATGCCATAGCTTTGAGAGACCTAAAAAGAAAGCATTTTAGATCAGGACTAAGTATAAGTTCCTGGCTACCCACCTGCACAATCCAATCACACTCCACGTTTGTGGAAAAGTTAGCCACGTTGCTGCTGTCCGGGACATTGTGATACCCTGGAGATGTGATAACTCCGCTGCTGCTTGTCATAAAGCCACCACAATTGGCCGGTACCTGGACATAGGAGGCTTTGAAGTACTTCCTTGCTCTTGAGGAGCTGCCAACAAAACGTAATCTCAGCTCGTTGCCGGGCGAGGTGAAGGTTTGCGTTTGCATCTCCTCGCGACAGCTACGATATAGCTCCACCGAAGAGTTGAAACCAGCGGGAGCAGATACAGTTAGTACATCCTCGAGTCCACACTGCCCCTGGGAGGCCTCAAAGTGGAGTTCATGTAACAGGAGCCGGACTTGCATGCCCACTGCCACAGTGATGACCCAGTCGCAGTCCATGTCCACACTAAACGGGGCCTTGGGAGATTCAAATCTTCCTCCAGGACCAAATAAATGCTCCCCACAACCCAAGCGCTGGTACTCCGCCCGGAAGCCCTGCTCCTGGTCCGACGAGTCGCTCTTGAAGCGAAGAAGCAATCGATTGCCCACACTTGTAATGGGAGCAATGCCTTCGGCAGTGCACAATTTCTGCTCGCTAAGAACCTGATCGTCTTGCATGTCCTGCACCGTCACGTAGTCGAATAAACAGTTGCTTAGGGGACGTTCAAAGGAGAAGTGTGAGAACACAAGTCTTAAACGATTCGTACGTCCGCCGGCGCGTATATCCCATTCGCAGTTGGACCTAGGCGGATAGTTCTCCGGAAAGTTGGGCGACTCAATGGCTCCCTGCCACTTTTCCAGTCTGCCTTGGCAATCCGTTTGGTAGTTAAGCACAAAATCGGTGCCATCAGGATAGGCACTGCTCACATCGTAGCGGATGAGGACGCGATTACCAGAGGATTGAAGCGGCTGTGCCGTGGTTCCATTGCAGTGCAGCACCAGGGGTCTGCTGGCCGTATTGGGACCATCGAATATGGTCAACTGTCCCAGGCAGAGGCGCCGATCATTACTCTCCAGTTGCATCTTTACCCGAGAACCCTCTGCCACTACAATCTGCCAGTCGCAGGCCAGGACACCACGATTGCCGGCCAACAAATGGGGCGAATGGATGGCTCCATTTTGTGAGGTAAGCTTGCCACCACAGCCGGCACCGATCTGCTGCCAGGTGAGAAGGAATCCAGGTCGCTCTATGCTGTCATCTGAATGGAATTTTATGTGCATGACATTGCCATATGAGGGCAGGCGAGGGGGAATCTGTGTACCGCAATATCGTCCAATCAGGGGGGATGACCCAGAGTCCCCATTTCTGTGAGGGGATTATTAAAAGGGATACGGGTTTGGATAAACCTTGGAGAAAGAAGCTTACCTTATCTCCAGCCAGTCGGTTGGACAGTCGTTATCGTCGCTGAATGAACCTTCCAGCGTAAAGTTCTTCACCACCAATTCCAAACGTTGACCTAGCGGTGCTCGGATGATCCACTCACAGTTCTCAGATTCCCCATAGTATTTGGGCCAATTCGGTGACTTTATATAGCCGAATTTGTTTGTGAAAGTTCCTCCACAAACTACAGATTATATAGAATATTGAGTGATATAAATACAGAGGATATAAGGATAAGATTTCAAAACGTCAAGATATAATTTTTGTACCTGTCTGAACAATTTCGAATTTTACCAAGAACATTCCCGTGGGCCTGTCCTTGAGATAGTTTATAGTCAACAGATCTCCATCGAACTCATCAGTAAATCCCGTTGAATAACTGTAAAGATATAATTGCATAAATAATATAATGGTTTTAGAATCCATTACAAAATATAATGTAATAATAAAATGTTTCTCGCATCCTTCTCTGTGTTTTAGCCTAGTTTAAAGGATTTCAAAGCCTTATTGATATATTTCAACTATTATTCACCTATTTAGTAAGATTCCTGGACTTGTGCTGTTATCATATATCTGAATCTGGCCAGAGATAAACAAATCTCTGACGATTATTCGTTTCCTTCCCGGCTGATCAATGAACCACTGGCAGAAGGAATTCCGTACATTTTTTAGGTGAAGTTTGCCTGGGACATTAAGGAATCCATTGCAGCCGTTAGCCATGGATTTGTATTCCAAACGCATTCCTCGGCCACTGCTCGATCCGTGGAAGACCAGACTGGCCCGGTTGTAGTGGGAAATCAGCAAAAGATTATCGGTGGACTTGACAATATGCCGCTTCTCATCTTGGTCCAAGTATACCTGAAAGATTAGTAATTGTTTTTTGGTGCTTTTGGATGCTTAATTAATATAGTCTTACGTCTAGGTAGCTCGTTTCCCTATCATCATTGGACCTGCCCAGGGAAAGATCTGTGATGTTCAGGTGAATTACGCCGTCATTGACAGTGATGTTGTAGGTGCAGGTCATGTCTCCGAGATAGGAGTGCGGGTAGTTGGGCGTGGTAATGTAGCCCGAGGGACTATTAAAAGTACCCGTGCACACTAAAAAAATATAAAATATTTAAAAATTATTTATATTAATTAATTTATTAATTCTTTTTCTTTTCCTACCTCTACTATAACTCAACTCGAAACCCTTTTTCAATGCCAAACCACTCAGTGCATATTCATAGCGCACCAGGACCTTATTTCTCGCCGAGATTAGCGGCACAAGCTCACTGGCCTCTGGCTGGCCGCAAATCCTTTGCATTAGAGGCGCATCCGTGGAGTCTCCATCATAGATTTCGATCTTGTGTAGCCGACAACTCTCCGACCGCAAAAGATTCACCTGATCTAGAACCAGCTTCACCTGGGTGAATTCTGGCTGCTCTATAAGGTAGAGGCAGACCTCGGCATTCATGTGTGCACTGATACGACCGCGTGGCTCTGTGTAGAGACCCCCGCAGCCTGGCTGGCCCGCCACCACCTCGTAATGCATCTGGAAGGAGCTATCCGAGCGGAAGTCATCAGTGTGCAGCTCCAATAGCACGTTATTCGAGCTGCTATACAACGGCTCCGGCTTGGTGGACTTGCAGGCTCGGAGTAGCTGGCGATCCATGTCATAGACGGTCACGGAATCTTGGCTGCAGTTTAACGCCGCGGCTTCGCTACTGCCCAGTGTGATGTCGTAGAAGCGAAGGAGCAAACGAGTGCCGTAGGGCGAAGTCAGCTCCCAGCGACAATTAAGTCCGGATCGGGCCTGGCCAGGATAACCCGGAGATCGTATAATTCCAGTCTGACCAAGCGTTAGATTGCCAAGGATCTCACCGCAGGCGAACGGCAGAGAGTTCCAGGCCACATGAAAGCCTTTTCCCTGCGTCTCGTTGTCGGAACGAAACCAAAAGAACGCCTGCTCCTGAGTGGTGATCACCTGGCCGGTGCCCAAAGGCATTTTCGATCCGCAAAACCGGCCAATCAACCGCGAGGCCAGGGAATAACCGTCGTGAATCTGCAGGAAATCCGCAGAGCAGTCAGCGCTCTCCTGTAGTTCGAACTGGGTGAAGGTCAGGTTGAGCACATGACCATGAGTGGTGCGTATGATGAAGGGACAGCGCTCGTCCGCTTGGTATTCGGTTTCGACATTGTTTGGCGGATAGTGGAGCTGACCTGTTGGTCCACGGATGGTGCTTCCGCAGAAGAACCGAGTATGGGAGCAGCGGGTGCCGGTGAATCCAGCTGGACAGTGGCACTGGTACAGATTACCTGGAATCAAACGGCAGCTGCCGCCATTGAGGCAAGGACTTGGGTGACAGACATCCGATGAGTTGCACAGAGCTCCAGTGTATCCTGGCTGGCAGATGCAGGTGGTTCCCCTGCCATTTTGCACGCAGGTTCCATTGTTCAAACACAAATGTTGATCGCAGGGTTCACGGCTTGGATCCTTGGTGCAACCATCGGCGCCGTAGCCATGACCAAAGCTGCCCAGTGGGCAGGTGCATACAACTGTCCCAGAAATTAACTCGCACTTGGCCTTTGGATAGCATATATTCTCCTGGTCACAGGAGTTGGAATCAGCGTCAGTGCAGCTGCGTCCATCACCCCTCCAGCCTGGTGGACAACGACCACAGCGATGGGAGCCCTCTGTGTTGATGCAGGCCACCCGAGGCTGCAGGCTACAGCCGCCGTTATCCTCGCCAGCGCACTCGTCTATATCGCGACAGAAGCGTCCATCGCCCGTGTAGCCACTGGGACAGGGACCGCAGCGATAGCTTCCCGGCAGATTTATGCACAGATCGTGGCAGGGATTCACGTTGGGAGCACACTCATCCACATCCCTTGTGCAGGGACTGGCACTTGGGGAGGTCATGTTTGCATCCGCCCATGTCCAGCCCTGATCGCAGACGCACACGTAACCAGCGGCGCTACCTGTCTGTATGCAAGTGCCGTGCTCTCCGCAGAGTTCTTTAGAGCCACTTCCCAAGCAAGAGTTCTGACGGAGTCGGCAATGGGCTCCTGAGAAGCCATTGCGGCATACACAACTGAAAAGGTTAAGGGGAAAAGTTGTGTATATTTTCTGGATTTAAGGCTGCTCCTCCACTTACCGATAGCCACCGGGAGTGTTGATGCACTGGCCATTGTTCAGGCAGCCGGCTAAATCCGTGCCAGCCAGGGTGATGCATTCATTTACGTCTTCCTCACAGGTGGGACCCTGAAATGGGAGGTTTAAAAAAGATTGAAACTATCTGGAAATTTGCTAGAAACCTAGACTTCCTCTTGGTAAACATCCCAAAAAAAACTATATATATACCATCCACTCAAACCATGTGAAAAAACGCCCACTAACTGCGTCGAGAAGACGCCCCTTTTCACTCACTCACTTGCCAGGCCGCCGTACACTCGCACTGGAATCCATTGTAGGCATCGTGGCAGATTCCACCGTTCTGGCATGGACTCGAATGGCACTCGTCCTTGGCTAGGTTCGCTGCTAAAGTCCGCAGGATGCCCGAAACCCGCTCCACGCGCTGCAACTGCCGGCGTAGTAGACGTTGGTTAAGACCAGTCCTTTGCGTCCTGTTTCTCGCATTGGACACCCGTCGTTCAATCTTAGTGAACTTGCGCTTCACATCCCGGAACTGATCCTTGACTACGTCCACAGAGAGGGGCTCCCTTCGAGCCGCCGCCTGGCGATCGGCTATGATCCTTTGGCGTCGTCGAAGCAATGTCAGCATATCCACATCGTTGATCATCACAGTGGATGCTTCACCAATCAGACGCAGCGTCACATTATGATCTTTTTCAGCTTTCAAAAACAGATTATTATTTGATTCTTTGCCTAAATGGGCGCGATACTCCTCGTTATCATCCTGAGATCCTTTGGCGGAGAGGATTTGCAAGCATAAAACCAGCACAGCACAGATTAGTAACTTAGGGAGAAATTTTCCCATTTTTATTCATTTTTGATTGCACAAATGATGGGTTTTCAATTTTTAATATATCCTGAGAGATTATTACAACACAGAGTTCCTTGGAAGGGACGAAAACGGTTGGAGCTACACGACCATAGGGGATATCCACGGAAACTGGCCGCAGGCAGCTCTGCAAATCTGGTTTTATACCAGAAAAAAGTGGGCGTTTCCGATAATAATATATTAACAAGATATGGAAAATCATTTCTATTGGTAAATGAAAATTTAAGAAAAAAAAATCAATTGTCATTTATCGATTTCGTTATTTTTTGCACTGCAAATATATTTTTTTTAAGTTGTTAAATCTTTGTTTCTTATATTATTATATTTGTTTAATACAAATTAATTATATCATTTATTATTTATTTATTATATTATATTAATGTATTTTTCTTGAAGAAAACGGGTTGAACCTAAAACCAAGTAGTTTAAAATATTATTCATTTTTGTTAAAACTGTAAAAAATATATATAATATAATTTTAATTATACTAATTATATTTAGTAAAATTAGCACTCCTTAATCAGCTCTCTTAGTCACTCAACCGATCTAGAATTATTGACCCCCCAGGCCTAAGCCTATATAAAACGATCGTATATTACTGATAAGAACTACGACGAAATCTTCTAGCTAAAGGCTATTAAACATTAAAACAACGAGTTTCAATGCTTGTGTGCAGTGTGTTTTTGTTAATAAATTCGGACAATGAATTTTGGGAGGTTCTATGGTGTAATGGTTAGCACTCTGGACTTTGAATCCAGCGATCCGAGTTCAAATCTCGGTAGAACCTGTAAACTATTAAAACTCTTTTTGTTTTTAGTTTAATTTTATATACGATTCTTCATAAAAACATGTGATATATAAAAAAAATATATCATAAATATGAAAACTAGGAGATGAAAAAGTTTTGTTTTGATCATCACTAAAGCAAAGATCTTAACTATTTATTTTATGGATACAGGATGCTTATACCCTTTTTGGATTACCTAAGCTTCCTTTCTTAAATTAAGATTTTTAAATAAGATTAACATTTTAAAATATCTTTTAAAACGAAACAATAACAAATATAAAATATAGAATATCTGGTGCAACTAGAGGTTTACGCCGATGGTTAAAGGCATCGGCGGCGGCGTAGAGGTCAAAATGACTCGGCGGCGGCGGCGTAGTAGTCAGAAAGAACCGGCGGCGGCGGCGCGTCAAATAAGGCAAAAAGGCCATTTTAATGAGTTATTTATTTTTTTTAAAGTTTTATAAAGAACAATGACACTGAAGGCCGCGCTGAAGCTGCGCCGATGCCGCACCAGCGGCGCGCCGCGGCGCGCCGTTATTTTCATAATTTGGCGGCGGCGCGTCAAATAAGGCAAAAATCGGCGGCGGCGGCGGCGTGGCGCGGCGGCGTATATGTCTAGGTGCAACATTAGCTGCATTTAATAATTTTTAAATTAATATTATTCATTCTTATCTGTGAATCTTGTGAATATAGCTTCAAATCAACTGAAATCAAAGCCGAATGACAATGACCTTGGTAGCAATTTGCACAACAACGCCCTAGCATAAGCACGAATATTCATTCATTTAGCATAATCTGTGTGCATGAAAGATAAACAGATACATTTGTAACTAACTATCTATCATGAGTATTTTTTTCGCTTAGATTCTAAGTAAAAGCAACGCCATGACAACGAGAGTGAAAGCAAATTAAATCAATTTAGTTATAATGAAAGCGATGTATATATATGTGGATATATATATGAACTATTTATAAAAGGGGAAAAAAACAAAAGCAAAAATCAGCTGCTTGGCTGTGCGAGCCCCCAACTAGGGCGACTTGCTCTCCATGCTCGGGCTACTTTGCTCAGTCACAAGCGAGTCGTCGAGCGCATCTGGACACCAGCCAGCCAGTCGGTTCGGTACTCTATAATAAGACAACACAGCCGAGGCATTATGTCAATTTTCTCAAAAATGTTGCTTTTCCGAGCGGGTAAGTCATAAATATATACCTAACATAAGGCAGCCAATAATGAATTGTAGAGGCAGTAAATACAAATTGTTATAAAATCTAAATTACTTTGCATGTACTAAAAATCTTATTAAATATCTTAAGTTTTCTAACGACTAAAAGATATTTCCCTGACACTTAAAGATACATATAAAAATATTATTTTTTTATTTTTTACTAAAAATCTCCTTAAATAAACTAGGTTTCCTTAAGGACTAATAAATACTTTTCTTGACTCTTCAAGATACATATTTAAATCTAAAAATCTTACTTATTAAAAACTCTATTGAATTAACCATTCCCAGCTGGCGGACGTCACTACAGTGCGGCAGCCCAGTCTCAACTCCGGGATATATTGAGCACTCAGCTGGCTGGGATTAAGGAAGCGGGCACCTTCAAGGCAGAGCGCATCATCACCTCCTCCCAGAGCACCCAAATCACAGTCCAAGGCAGCGACAAAAAGATTCTTAACTTTTGTGCCAACAATTATCTGGGACTAGCTGTAATAAAATACCTTAAACACTCACACTTCCTTGACTAAGTTCCCTTGTTCTTCCCCTAGAACAACCCGGAGATTGTGGATTATAGCCAGAAGCTGCTGGCTCAGTATGGAGCTGGTCTCAGCTCGGTGCGTTTTATCTGCGGCACTCAGGATATACACAAGGAGCTGGAGCAAAAGATAGCCAAGTTCCATGGTCGCGAGGATACCATCCTGTATGCCTCCTGCTTTGATGCCAATGCCGGGATCTTCGAGGCCATTCTCACACCGGAGGATGCAGTGTTTTCCGATGAACTGAACCACGCCTCGATCATAGACGGCATCAGGTTGTGCAAGGCCAAGAAGCAGCGCTACAAGCACAGGGATTTGGCAGACTTGGAACAGCAGCTGAAAAGCAGCGATGCTCGTCTTAAGCTCATTGCCACCGATGGTGTCTTCTCCATGGATGGCAACATAGCTCCTCTGGCCCGTATCGTTGAGCTGGCAAAGAAGTATAATGCCTTGGTGTTTGTGGACGAATGCCATGCCACGGGTTTCTTTGGAAAAACGGGTCGCGGTACGGAGGAGTATGCCAATATCATGGGTGAAGTGGATATTATTAATTCGACGCTGGGAAAGGCATTGGGCGGTGCCTCTGGAGGATATACAACTGGTCCCGCTGAGCTCATCACTTTCCTGCGCCAAAAGTCCAGACCGTACTTGTTCTCCAACACCTTGCCGCCAGCGGTGGTGGCCGTGGGCCTCAAGGTCATGGACATGCTGCTAAAGTCCAGTGAGCTCACCCAGCGCGTCCAGAGCAACACGCAGCGCTTCCGCGAGGCCATGACCAAGGCGGGTTTCACCATAGCCGGTGAAAACCATCCCATATGCCCCGTAATGCTGGGCGATGCTCGTCTGGCTTCGAAGTTTGCCGATGAAATGCTAGGTGAAGCCTTACTAAACCTTATAATATATATTATCTATATCATACTTAACTTTTTTCCAGGTCGTGGCATTTACGTCATAGGCTTTAGCTACCCTGTGGTGCCTCAGGGCAAGGCCCGCATCCGTGTCCAAATCTCTGCTGCCCATACAGAGGCTGAAATCGATAGGGCCATCGCTGCCTTTATTGAAGTTGGACGCTCTCTGAAGGTGATCCAGTAGGATAAAGTATATCCTAGTATCAAATCTTGCATTTATAAATTATTTTTTAAAGAAAAAGCTGCATTTGTAAATGGAAATAATAAGTAATTACCCTTAAAAATATCTATAAAAGTTGTAATTATAAAGGGGAAACCGTTTAAATAGTTTAAACATTGAAATCACTTGTCTTTGTGTTTATGGAGTTGCTTTATTTGGTTCATAAGTTTAACTAAGGATCATTTACTATGTAAATATAGAGACTGTTGCAGTTGCGTTTAACTTAAGCTTAGATTGCACAATAGAAGAAGGACTGGCCCAGGCCGTTAAATGCTTAACGAAAGATGTCATGGAAATATATATCTTTGGTTTTAAAATCATTTAAAATTGTATCATCAGAATCATGATGCAATTATATAATTAATTAAATAATTGTATCATGACCCAAATACAACCACGAAATGTAATACCTTACAATAGAAATATGACAACTTTACACTGGAATTGGGACCCAAAAAACTCCGTTGCATATTTTTAAGACACATCTTTAAATGATTTCAAAACCTCAGAGATTTCTGTGGCACTCTTAAAATCAATAACAAATAACACAGGTCAACAGGTTTTTAGAACCACGAAACGAAAAATACTTTTCCCGATAGTTTTTAAAGCGCTGACCTAAAATATTTAAACTTAATAGATCAGAAAATAAGGTTTTTCAGTACGTTTGAGGTGCTATAATTTCAATATTGAATTTACAGCACCTCAAAAGTTTCAAAAACCAAATTCCTTGCACTTTTAAGATGGAATATTTCAAAAACCTGATGTAGAAACCATTTTTTAAGGCCAGATTCCAGATCAGCCTATCAAAAACATTCTGAAAATAATATTTCGGTTCTCAAAAACTATCGGAAAAGTATATTCCGTGATTTTAAAAATTTTGTTGGCCTGTGTAATTAAAGTCGAGTAACAAAAAAACATTTAAACAATTAAGGAAATAGCTTCATTAACTAAAATGGAATTAATGGTTGAGTTGTGGTAATGCCAGTGTCTTGAGCTGGCAAAAAATAAAAACAATAAACATAAAAGGAAACTTGCAAAGCTTAAAGTGTCTTGGAGTGAAGATTGGGCTAGGTTTACGCATTGCGTTGACTATAAATACTTTGGTTAGTGCTGTGTGTGTTCGCATGAGATTGGTTAGCTTTAGTTTATAATTCGATTCGAGTTGTTTTTGCGACTATTATTTGTTGACCAAACCACGGGCCTTGGGATACGCCGAGGCAGGCTTCTTGGCCGCCGTTGTTGCCACACGGCCCGTGGGCGGACGTCTGTTGGAGTCCAGATTGGAACCGGCACTCGGCAGTCCGCGGCTGGACTTGATGTTCCTTACATTCGGCATGGAGCTGCCCATAGCTACTGGACTTACTCCAGATCCTGCTCCCGCTGCCGCCGCCCCCTTGGCATTCGCATTGATGATGTTCTCCAAGCGGCTGCGCAGCGAGTTTGTGTGCGAGTCAACAATGTCGATGTCATCCCCACCCGTTTGCATCGCCTGGGCTAGGACTGCCTGCAAAGAGGCAGATACCTTGGGCGTACGATACTCCTGGGTGGTGCGGCAGGGCATCTCCAGCTCGTAGTTGACGATATTCTCGCTCTTGAAGCGCAGGGAGCTGGGTGCATTCGACTTGGCCTCCTGCAGGGCATGCTCGGAGATGGGTCTTCGTCGCTGTGGATGGGAAACTGGACGCTTGCTGCTGAACTTGCCATCGCCGCCGGGGGGCAGGGGCAGTGACATCGAGGAGAACTTCCACTCCTCCTGCTCCTCGTCGTACTTGGCTTGCGTGTACAGGCGCTGCTTCACCTCGATGGGCACAAAGTTGTCTATGATCAAAAGCTGGCGCTTCAGCTCCTTGACCAGCTCGTTCTGGGCCATCTCCAGTTCCCTGAGGTCCTGGTTGTGGTCGGACTTGCAGTCGTTTAGTTCCTGCTGGAGGGCCAAATACTTGGCATAGCACTTGGATAGCTTGCGTTTCTTCAGCTCTACCTCCTGCTCCAGGGAGACATTGCGTTCTCTGATTTCCAGAGTGGTTTCCTCCTGCAGCTCCAGCTGTTGCTGAATCTCAATCTCACGCTTCTTGCGCTCTGCTATCTCCACCAGCTTCTTTTCCAGCTCTATCTGCCGCTCGCTGTAGGTGTCTAGCAGGTTCTTACCTCCGCGCACTAGCTGACCCTCCAGTTCAGCCAACTTGGCCGCCAGTTTGGTGTTCTCCACTCGCTCTCTTTCCAGTTCCTCATTGGACTTGGCCACTTCGGCCTCGTTTTCCTTGTCAGACTCGGATTCGGCTTCTTCGGCTTCGCTCTCCTCCTCCACAGGCTGCTCTACATGGGAAGCCTTCAAGGAGCCAGTCATTTCCTTGGCCAGTATCTCCTTTTTGGGCTTTTTGGTGCGCTTCTTGGGCTCACTCCGCCTAGTCTGCTGGTGTTGCTGGGGAGCTATCAACCGCTTCAAACGCTCAATCTCCGCCTGGTACTCCTTCAGCTTGGCATCCTGAGGATCCTCATTCTTGATAGGCTGATTCTGTATGGATTTGGCCCGCGAGGCATAGCGCAAGGTGGTCAGCGTCTCATTGTAATTGTAGTTCGAGGGACCAATGTTGGCTATCATAATGGTCTTGGAGTTGCCCCCAAGTGAGTCCTGCAGCAAGCGTGTAAGCTTGGAGTCACGGTAGGGTACGTGGGGCGAACTCTCAGCCAAAGCGGAGATCACATTGCCCAGGGAGGAGAGAGCCAGGTTGATTTTGCTGGCCTCCTTCAGCCGCTCCGCCGAGGCTCCCGTCTTGGATTGCCGCTCGCTGCCCGCCAGATCGATGAGGTTCAGCTTGCCCACCTTAATGGTGTTGGTCTCCGTGTCACACATCTCGATTTTGATCATGAAAATGGCATGGGATCTGGAGCTGTGCTCATTCATGTTGGTGAATCCCACGGTGCGGTTCTTATTGCCCACCTGCATCACCCGTATCATGTCCTCAACACTCTTGCAGTTGATGGCATGCAGGTTGGGCACATACACACCAGATCCCCTTTCCCTGACCTCCAAATTCTTCGAGTTGGGCTTCAGTAGATCCCGCAGCTCCTCCATGTAGATCTCCAAGTAGGAGACATCCACTAGGAACTGAAAGTTCTCGGTGCGATTGATGTGCAGCCAGATCTGCTCAAAGGTGCGGGGTATAATGCCCATCAGTTCATCGTTGCCGCGCACTCCCTCCATGGTGAAGGTCTTGCCGGTGCCGGTTTGTCCATAGGCAAAGATGCAGCCATTGAATCCCTCCAGGACAGAGCTGACCAGGGGAAAGACTACCTCGTGGTAGAGCGTGGTTTGATTGGCGCTGGCATCGTATGCCGCATCGTAGGTGAAGACCTTGCGCTGTTCTTTGTTGGCGTCCACCACATTTTGCAGCTCCACCACGCCCCGGTTGGGATAGACATTGACCACCTCCGGTGAGCCCTCGGAACGCTCCCGATTGCTCATGGGCCGACACCGGACCACCACCTGGACGCACTCGTTGGGCGTCTGGCTGCCGGCGGTTCCGGGTCTCCTGCTCTTGGCACTCATTTTCGGAGTTCCTGGGGTTACCTTTGTTTTTTGCTTTGTGCTCTTGTGACTAAGGCTGCTCCTGCTCCACCTCCCTGCTGCTGCTCCCTGCTGCTGCTCCCCGCCTCTGTTGAGTAGCTGTGGCGACGGAAAACAAATGACGAATAAAATCAATAATTCCTTCCTGACGCAACCATCTGTGTTTGCCACATTTGCTGCCGTGATTCACGCTTTGCTGAAAGCCTCACTTTACGGTGGAGCAATGGGGCGAAGCGATTTGGCAATCTTCTATTATTACCTGTTATTTTAAAGCCAATTACTTCACCTTGAAAATCGCTTCTTTTTTTTTTGTCTCAGCTGCGGGGTTTTAACAGTCGCAAAGGGTTAGTGTGGCCAGCTTAGGCCAAATATAACGGAATAACGCCAAGCGCTCGGCTGGTTACACCAAAAAGAGGGCGGTTAATTTGAATAGAATGTTAAAAATATCGTTATTTCAATAACAACCACCCACCACACTACCTCCCACTCCGACCTCAACATTCAGCTGGGTTACCACTCAGCAGACGCTAGAACTAGTTAATTTTTTTAATTATTTAACTATTGATTAATTTATTTTCAAAAAACTATCATATTTTACGTGAAATTAAATTGTAAAGTTTTATATTTTTTATATAAAATTACAAATCACGCTTACTGGCCTTTGATTTGCTGGAACTGGTATTTTCACCCCGTTTACGTTTATTCAGGGGATTGCGGGGATCATAGGCATCGTACCAATCATCCCCCTTTTTATTGGCATCCTTGGCCAAAACGGGGGCAGTGCTGTTGAAATTCAAGGTGTGCGAGAGCCAGTCGTCGCCGATAATTTCCTGCTCCACCACCCTGTCGTCCAGATCCTTTGGTTCCGGTTCGCCATCATCTGAGCCGGACTTGTGCTTCAAATTGTCCAGCTTGGTGCGGAATTTTGAGAGTAAACTCAATGTGAACTCCTCTCTGTGGGAAATTAAGGCATTTTTAAATTAAATTTATAATTATTAGATAAATAGAAGTCCACCTTGACTGTCCTTTTGGCTGGACCTTGGTCTTGGCAGTATATTTCTCCTTGGATTCTATAAAATCACTGATGTAGTGATTTTCCTTGGCTCCCTTGATCTCGGCTGGTTTGATGTCCTTTTCCTGACCATTCAGAAGTTTATCCTTTTCTTGCTTATCCTTTTGATATTCCTTTTTCAGCGAGGCAATTTCCTCGCGAATTTTGGATCTATAAAATTGAATATATAATATAAATATAATGGATTTTTTCAGTGAATCTTACTTCTTTTCTGAGATTTTGCGACTTTCTTCCTGCTCGCGCGTCATAAGAACATCTTCATCGCTTTCCGAATCGGTCTTTTCCACCACCTGCTTTGCCTTTTTCTCTGAAGTTCTCTTTGAACTCTTGGCCAGCTTCATTTTGACGAGATCTGAGTTGGAACCCTCAGGTAGAGCCTTGACACTATTCTCAAGGCAATCGTCGGACAAGCGCTCCTCGCTTTCAGCTCGTTCAACTTTGGGCACTCGAATGGGTTCCTTGCTCAGTTTGGGATCATCGGTGACGTCGTGCAGGGATTTAGCTTTGCCTGCGTTCTGTTTTACATAAACTTTGGTCTTCTCTTCGTCATCCTCGGCTTCTTCGCCAAAGGAAAGCAGGCCAAAGTTTCTGAAAAAATATCAGAGGGGTAAAATATCAAGTTTCCGCATAATTGGTTACAGTTCCGGTTAACTATTCTTAACAGTTTTAGTCACAGTTAATAAATATAGAAACCCCTTACTTGACTCCTTGTCTTTCCTTCTTGCTCTTTTTACTCTTCCCAGAGGGCTTGGCCAGCACACGTGGAACAATGTCATCGAACGGATTGCTCAAAACCTCTGTGGAAACAATGCGATGGGCATGCATGGGACGCTCCTGGTGATCCACAATGCCTTCCTCCAGCTTGAGCATGTTGTAGATGGTATCCCCGGTGACCTTGCCAAACAGTGTGTTCTTGTTTTGCAGCTCCGGTGTGGGCGCAAACGTAAAGAAAAACTGCGAGGCGTTGTCATCCTTGCCGGAGTTTGCCATCCCGACCAGGCCGCGACGTGTGTACCGCAGACGCGAGTGGAACTCATCCTTGAACGGATGTCCGTAGATGGACTCGCCGCCAGTGCCATCGCCATTGGGATCGCCGCCCTGAACTATGAATCCCTTGACCAGCCGGTGGAACTCGGTGTTTTTGTAGTATCCCTCCAGGCACAACTGGACGAAGTTGCGGCAAGCCTTGGGACACTCGCGCGCCCACAGCTCGATGTCTATGTCGCCCACGGTGGTCTTCAGAAGCACCTTGCCCGATGTGGGCGGCTCTTGGATGTAAATATTGCTCATTTCTTCAGAATAACAAACAAAACAACTGCTTTCCAGAGATGGCTCTAGCGATAGTTTATCGATACAAGTATCGCACAATCGGTAACCGTGACTACTGTTGACATTCAAATTTGTAACCAGGCAACCATTTGCTTTTCGCGTTTGTAGTTTTTTACATTTTCTGATTAAGCATTTTAATTAGATTTATCATGAACTTTAATGACGATCCCCTGGCGGAACTTCTGAGCGACAACAGCCTGGACAATGACAACTTTTTCGACACTCCCGCGGGTGGAGGCCACAAGAAACCACCCAAGTCAGCAAAGCCTAAAGGAAAGCTGGAGGATTTGTTTGGCATTCAGGAGGAGACGGAGGCGGATGTGCAGGGGCAGGGGGCGCGAAGCAAACCCATTGCCACCAGCACGCCAAGAATTGTTAAGCAGAAGCCTTCCATTTCCTTGGACGACGAAGCGGCAGACGATGATGACTTGGGCTTCGATCCCAGGCGCCCGAAAAGTGGTGGCGCCAAGAAGAACCTCTTTGACGACCTCCTGTCCAGCAGCGTGGAGCCTAAGAAGAACATTTTCGATGAAATCCTGACGGGCTCCGGCGATCCCAGTAAGCGTCCTGCCACCGCTAAGCCCTCGATGTCCCGCCAGTCCACAGACACCACCACGGATAACTCGCAGGCCAGGCCCAAGACCTCCACGGGGCGAAGAAGCTCCGCCCAATCAGCCACCATTAATGCTGATCCTCTTGGGCTTTTTGGCAAGGACACGAATGCCACTGTTTCGGGTATGTCCACGCCGGTTTCCAGGAAGCGGGGAACAACTGCGGATTGGCTAGGTCTGGAGGCAGCTGCCGCCTCAGCGGTGGAAGCAGTGGAACAGCTTGAGCAGCTTCCAGTCGCCTCCAAGCCTCAAACCCCCAAGAGACAGCCCTCCACTGAAGTCCCTGCCAAGAACACTGCTGATATCCTGCGACTGCCCGACGCTGAGGAAACCGAAGCAGAGCTGGCGCCGGATCTAGCTGCTCCTCCTGGATCCTCTGCAGTGACTGCAGCTACACAGAACATACTGATGCTCAGCAATCTCAATCTGGAGAGCAATCACAAATTCAATGCCCTGCAGCAGCAGGAAGCACAGCTGGTGATTGCGGCTCAGATGAAGAACCAGGAGCGCACCTTGCTGGAGATGCAGCGGCGGCAGGAGAAACAGGATCGAAGGTTCCAAGCCTTGATACAGCAGCAGCTGCAGCGCCAACAGCAAATGGAGGAGCATATAAAGGGCCAACAGGAGCGGATCAACATGCACATACAGCTGATGATGGCGCAGCCAGTACATGTCCAGGAGGTTTCCTCTGAACCCGCTGAGAAACGGGATCAAGACGAAAAGGTGGTAATAAAGGAGGCCACCAAGGAGCAGGAACACTTTCTTCAGTTGGAAACAGAGGTCAAGCGTAACCAGCTGGAGAAGCAGCGCCTGGAGGAGCTGGTGGCCAACATGAAGGTGAACTACGAGCAAGAGATTGAAATGATTGATGCCTCATACAAGTAAGTCTAAAAAATCTAGCGAAGATGAGAGAAAAGCCAAGAAAAAATTATTTTATCTTTATTAGAAAACAAATAAAGGTTCTGGAGGATCACCTGGCCGCCGTGGAGGATCGACTTAAAACGGAAAACACCGACCTCCAACAATATTACATTGGGAAATTGGAGAAGCAGAAAGAGGACTACGTGGAGCAGATCTCCAACCTCAAGCAAGATCACGAGGATAAGGTGCGTAAGCTGCGTCACTCCCATGAGCTGGACATCGAAGGGATTCGACAGGCCAAGATGCTGGAGCTGGCAGCTGTTCAGGATCATAGCAACTACCTTGAGACCCTGCGACTAGCCTCAAGCAATCTCCAAGAGCTAAGGGATGGAATGACTGACACTCAAGAGCGAGAACGTCAGCTAGAGGCTCGCGAGCGTCGCCTGGCCGACCAAGAGCGGCGCTTAAAACTTGATGAGGAGACAGCCGACGAGGAAAAGCGTCGCCTTATGGAGCTCGTAAGCACTCTGGAGTTGCAGCTGGGCCGGCTTTCCAAAGACTCGGCCGAGGAGAACTGGCAGCTCCGCCAGCGCATGGCAAGCTTGGAGGCGGAGCGCAAGGCCTTTGAGCGTGAGAAGGAGTTCCATCGCGACCAGATGAAGCGGGATGAGAAGCGGGTCGAGGAGCTCAAGTCCATACAGTTAGAGCAGACGGAGCGACTGCATCAGGACATTCAGCAGGAGCGCACCCAACTGGCTGTGGATCGGCAGCAGCTGGAACTAAAGCTCAAACTCCATGAGCATGGCGACCTGGACAAGGATCGTCTGGAGTTGGAGGCCCAACTGAAGGTGGCCCGCGATGCCATTCGGCGGGCGGACGAGGAGCGGGATCGCTGTCACAAGCTGCAGCGCGAGGTGGAGCATCGCAAGCGCATCCTGCAGGACAGGGAGAACGCTCTGAATCTCAAGGAGGACGAACTCGCTCAGGCCAGCGGGGCCTATCGCATTGCTACTAGTCGCACCCACATGGCGGAGCACAAGGCTCGCGAGGCTGACCAGCTTCTCCAGGCAAAGCTGCAGCTAATGGGAAAGCGGGCCAATGAGCTCGCCGAGAAGGAGGCGCAGCTGGCGCAGGAGCGAATGCTCTTGGCTCAGGATCGCATAAACCTCCACAATTTGAAGAAACAAATTTCTCGCAGCCGGTGTGCTCTCTGCAAAATGGGAGCGGATAATGCTGAGCTAGCTCTGCGCACAGATCGAGGGAATAATACTTTGGCCACCACAGATCCTCTACTGCTCCAGATGCAGCCCAGCAAAGCGGAGCTCCTCCTCAAATTGGCCGCCAGTGAGCCGGGCCAAGTTCAGAGCGATATTGTAGACCGAATGCTGGACGAGAACATCGAAGCTTCCTATCGTAGAATGTACAATGCGGCACCTAGTAGTTCCCTGGATGAGCAAGACTTTGGTCTGGCTGGTCGGCTGGACGATGACTCCAAAGTGGCCATGGACCACGGAAGAAACCTGGACCTGGATCAGGATTTTTTTAATAACTTTAAATGAAAACGATAAATGGCTAGAAATATAGATTCTAAAAAAAGACGTTTGAAAACATATTTCAAAATAATTTTGACCAACTTCCGCTTAGCTTAGACTTCAACCGCTCAACAGGTTCTTCTCGCCCATTCGTGTTATCGATTTTTCAACATCGGCCATCGATGTTACTATCGATGCCCTGCCACCCCTATTGCTTGTTGCATTCCGTTTTTTCGTGTTATTCGTGTGTGACGTTATTGCACACACAAAAACGAGCATTTTAATTTAGTTTAAATAATATGTAAATAGTACGCGGTAGTGCAAGAACATAAGCTTAAGGAAAATCGAGTTAATCAGTATTTTGTGTGTCCGCTTACGCTTTGTATATTCCGTTTTTGTGACTGTTTTATGTCTGTGCTTATGTGTTCGTTTATGAGTGTGTGCGTGGTGTAGGTGTGTAGGAGGAGAAACACCTCCCCTTCCAAAAAAAAAGTTCAAAAACGAAACCTCTTTTCGGTAGTTATAACTCGCAAGCTTAGAAAAGCAAGTTAAAACAACAAACGGTGGGAAAGACTCGGCTTACCCCGGTGGATGAAACTAGAAGCCGCAGTATATTGGGCAACTGAATAACGGAACCGATAACTAGCGGAGGTGACACCTCAAAAAGTAAGTTGAGCGAATGCGAGGCACAAAGAAGAAGAGTAGCCGTAAAATGACAAACTACAAACATATTTACGAAAGTATGTTAATGACAATCACCATTATCAGCGCCCTCCCACCGGTTTTCGCCGTTTTGTACGTTTTGTAATTTCGCTTTTTGCTTCGCTTCTACTCTCCCATTGCCCCTAGTTTGTCTTATAATAAATTGGCAATCAATTCCGTTGATTGATGTTTATGAATAGTTAAAGTCAGGCCCATATGTACAATTTGTTGCAATGTATTGATTTACCTTAACCTTTTTTGCGGCAGATGTCCTCTCTCTGTCTCTCTTATTGCCTCACTGTCTCTCTCTCCCTCGCCGGTTCATGTTTTCTTATCTCCTATTCCGTCTCCTCCTCTTATTCGCAGTCACACACACAGTCACTCATATACATACTTGCTTGTGGCTGTGTTTATGCCCGAACAGCTGTTTCCTATCTGAAAACAAGCTTCAATGGGAGAACAAATCGTGCCGCTTCCTTTGCAGATATTTTAAAATGCATATTTGTATGTATGTACAAATGTACATAATAAAATCGCTTGGGAATTGGTTCCCCCCCAGCTTTCATTCACGCAAATTGATGCCGCCGCTACTGTTTGTATTTATTTGTTTATTTACAATTGCGTGCACAATTGCGCCTTTTTACGCCACTCCAATGAATTTTGCAATCAGAAATTTGGAGCGTTTGCATTTGGCCTATTCGCTATATGGACGATTGCTCATATCAGCACGGAATAGGAATTTTTTGTTTACTTTTGTTGTATTTTAAACAATGGTTGAAAAAGCAGCCATTTGCTTGGGTCGTTTCTTTTTATATTTTTCGTATATCCGGTCTATTTTTTAAAGAAAACTTTTACAAAATAATCAGAATAGAAAAAACCTTGATCTTAATTCTAAAGTGAATATAATACAGTAATTTATAAAAATATTGAATTTAAGGGTATTGAAGCTTCGATGTCCGAAAATTAGATTACTATTAGATTGAGTTCTCTAAACAAAAAAATGCTACAAATTAAATGCCTCTGAGATCGTTTCAAAAATACTTATGATGACGTTCAACTTGTTCAACAATTTAGACGGTCTGAATCACCCTAATAGCGCCGAGTGCCCCTGTCCCCTTATAGAACTCCTCCAAAAGCAAACCATCCACTCTTTCCAATGCTTTTCACCTGGTCTAGGAACACACACACCACCTTCCTGTACACTCCTAATCACTTTTATCGTCGACCGCTTGTTATCGCACAGATAAGCGAGTCGAAAAAGCCACCAACAGCCGCCTTTGTTCGCGCAGAAAATAACAAATACATTCTGACTGACGAAAACCTGCAACAGAAAAAATTCAACAAAAATTCGAAAATAGCTCATACCATGTTCTGTTCTGTTCTGATCATCATTAACAGTTCGACGGATCGGTAGAATGTCAAATCAGGCCCAGATCGACTACGACAAGCAGTTCCAGGATGACTTGGCCAAGGCTACGGCGCTTAGTCTCGAGCAACAAGCCCTCGACGACTATCGGAGGAACAAGAAGTACGGCTCTGGTTATCCTCCAAGCGCTGCTGGACGAGACTATAATGTGGCGCAGCGAAGTCAGAGCCTCAATCAAGGGCGCAGGCACTCGGAGGTTCACCAGGCCATCAGTACGTCAACGACAAATGTGGATCGTTCGCGCACACCGCCGGCCCAGGTTCCGGATAACGACTTGATCTGCTTTGCCAGTCCAACAAGCAAGCAACCAGAGAGTGCCACTCCCTTTGGGCGGCTCATTGAGGATCTGCAGCGAATGCAGGTGCCTAGCAATCCGCAGTCGGCTTTAGTGCCCATGGGACCAGTGGCAGCGGCCCCTGTTTCGGTTCCCGCATCAGCCCACTACGGTTATCATCCGCATCAGCCTCAGGTTGCTCAGGTTCAACCTCCGCCCTATGGTATGGTGGCAGGAGCACCCGGTAGCATGCAGTTGGTGCCATACCAACCTGCTGCACAACAACAACAGAGGCCCCTAAACAACGAGGAACTCCAGCGTCTGTACAGCATGCCCGCCCAGCTGGCCGTGCAACCCGTAGCGCAGCCCAACGCCTATTTGTATTATCCAGGAGCAGTAGTCACTCCCTATACGGCGCCCATAGTTCCCGGATCGGCTGCCTATATGCCGCCACAGTATCCCTCGCAAGGATACGGTTTCGGAGGGGCATACACCCACATGGACCTGAGGCGTCCACAATCGACGCCCGTGACACCAGGTCCAGCCACGAGTCATCACATCCAACCGTCCAACAATACTCCAGTTTCCTCCTCTTCGGTGGAGGCTAACGGAGTGGCCTTCCCGGCAAGGCGTCCAGTACCGTCCACTGCCAGTGTGGGCTCCCGTCCTGGGAGTAATGGACAGTCTGGTCAACGCAGGGGCAATGATTTGATTGACCTCAATCAGGAGGATTAGTAAGTATCACAACTATTACAGTTTTAAGATGAGATTTTATTTTAAAAATTCTTTGCTCTTTCAGCTCCCGTGTGAGTGTTTTGGAGGCCTTCGATCCCCTGCTGAACGACAATACTGGTAAGCAGTCACAATGTTGTAATTAGAATGTACTTACCACTTCCTGGGCTTGCTCTCATTTGAAGATCCTTCTAGACTCCTCGCAGCGTAACCGAAATTCAAAGTATTGTCTGAAATTCTTAATGTGGCAATTGCAGGGAACAAATAAAGCTAATTTCTGTCATATATAGCATTTCTCTGATAAGTTTAATTTGATTGCGGGGCAAGTCTTATATCTAAGATAAAAGATTAATTTTCATTCCATCCAAATAAATCGATAAAAATCGAGTTTTTGTTTCTAAAATATCTAAAAATAAATAAATTAAAATCGAAATTTGAAATAATTAAAATTATATATTTATACTCATTGTAGATTTGTAATTTTATCATAACTTTTGTACTTAATCTTTTTTATTTAAAAGATCGACATGTTCTTATCTCTAAAAAGAACAATTTCAGTTACTCTAGTTTATGGTCTTCTTCGGTCCTAACCCAAGTATTTATAGTTTTGGTGGCTTATTAACCAAGTAATCTTTAGCCTCGTAAAATGTAAATTAAACCAAAAACAAATAGCACAATTCAAGATCGTTTGTAGCTCTGTCTTGCCTCTAGTTAAGAATTAAACTGAATGTCTTTGTTTCTCTATAATTGCAGCAGTGTCGCAAAAGTAAACCATTTTAATTGCAAGTCCTCTACTACTACTATCAGTACTACCACTTCTACTACCAAAAACAAAAAAAACTGCAAAAAACAACTACTACCTTTACACCCACAACAACAACTACACCATCTAGAGGGTTTCGGGTTCATTCTCGGTTTCGGAGGCAAAGACAAACCCAAGACAACCTATATTTGTGTCTATATAGCAGCACATAATTAGAACCACCTACTTGCAACTAAAAAACACTAATGTAAAAATATAATCATGTATGTTTTAAGCCCCCAAAGTTGAAATTTGTGCCTTCGGCCATCACCGGAAACCGGAAACATTTTTAAAAGATCTTTATTTTCACTTTCAAATTTTTAAGAACTTAAAAAAGTATTTCAATGAGAAGGTTAGTCTCTTCTTTTTCGGTATTAACATGTATTACGAAATGAACACATTGTGATTTGCTGCTACATATATACACATGTATATATATATATCAAATGTCCATTAATATTCCCACATATACATACAAAAATAAATGAATGCATACATATGTTTTAATTCTACATCATTGTGAGAAAATAAATAAATAATTTCTTAATAAACAAAAATTTCTGTCTGTTGTTTTATTAATTGTTTATCTGCTTGTTTTTTAATTACATTTTTTTTTTAGAATTTGTCGAGAGCATATGTATGTATTTATTTATATATTACATTTTGGGAAGACTTTTGTAGACTTTGGAGTCTTCGTTTCCATTATACCCTTGTTGAGGCACTTCAAAATGGAAAGCACTTGAAATTTAAAGTTTTGGAAATATGTAGACTGGCCCTTTTGGTTCAAATAAAACATATGGGGGCATTTGAGGCAAGAGAAGGCGAATAAATCAAAAGAGGGCGCTATATAAATACAAAACAGATCGTTTTATAAAGACCACACATAGATACAGTGGATTCAAACTATAGTGAATTACATTTTTTGAATAAAACCAACTAAAAACTTTACAAATTCTTATCACTTATAGGTCGATTTATTATATTTAAAACATTTTAAAGTATTCTGCTGCTGATAGTTCACTGTACTAAGGGGGTGAGCGTGGGCGATGTATGACAGCAATCACAATTAGCTATTAGGGATGGCAGCCGCCTCCAAACGCTGACCGTCGGATTTGTTAGCGTAGATTTGCGAAGCATTCTCGCATCGCCACTAGTCCGTCCTGCTCCACTCTTTATTTTTTTGGGGCCGTCTCATTTATTTTTGGCCACACGATGTGTGATGTGGGGCTGGCTAGCTGTCTGTGCCCGTGCCCGTGCCCATGATTCTCGCCACAGTTGTAGGCCTCGGTTGTCGGACACACATTATTTGCATAACTGCTACGCTGGCGGCGATTATCGGTCTTGTTGGATCTGCGTAACTGAAACCGACTTTGAGCCGGAACTAAACATGCACTCGCTACTTGCAGGAAACGACAGCGCCTCCGACAGCACCTCCTACTATGCGGAATACGATCCCTTTGATTTCCTGTACAGCGGGGATTGTGGCACCCAGTATTCGGATCCCATGTACGAGGCTGTCAATCGGTGGGACAAAACTGCAGCCACCGTGAGTCCGAATGTTAGCCTGATTGGTTGGCGTCAAGACTATCTCTCGCAACCATCCCCATCTCCATCTCCATCTACCTCGCATCATGTGGAGAAAGAGTTACATTTGTCTGAGAATGGAGAATCGGGTAGCATCTCGCCGCCACCACCGTTGCCGCCAAGAAACCAGCAGTTGTATGAAATAAACCAGGCTCCATCGATCACCTCGAGGCCAGATCATCAATCCACCAAGTTCACGGACAGTTATACCTCCAGCATCCCAGCAAACGTGGTTTTGGATCGTCGGAAAACTTGTACGCGTCTTTACGAACTAATCAGCGATCAGCGCACAGATGATGCTGAGCTGCTGGAGTTCTATCACATGGTAAAGGAGCTGAGAGCACGCTATCCGCACGATGATGCGCCCACCAATGTGGGACATGTGGTGGCCGCCGAGTTCAACTATCACTACATAATGGACACCAGCATTAAGGTGATTGTGCATCCGGCTTTAAATACGCTCCAGCCGCATATCTTGGCTGCATCGATGGCTAAGGAGCAAGTGAAGGGTTATGGCACGCCTGTAACCTTTACATGTGATAGTAAGTAGGATTTAATTTAACTTATATTTTGATTTGATATATTTCCTGCTTCCTTTAGTTGACTCAGTGGTGGCCCAAGTGGTGGCCCAGGCTTTGGCCTCTCTTGAGGGTCAGGTCAAGGGCACAGTCACCGATTATGTAGTCAAGGTGGGCATACAACCATCACCAGGTTATCCTCCAAACTAATGATATTTCAAACCCACAGCCCATCGGTCTCTTGGAGTGGCTGGCGCCCACCTCCAAGCTCAGCCAGCTGGAGTGCGTTCACAATAGCTTCCAGCTGGAAAAAGATGTGCACCTGGGTCTGTGCCTAAGCACAACGGCCAACATGCAGGCCATAGCTCGCACGGAGAGAGATGATGAGCATGATGCTGATCTTCTGCCCGAGCAGCTGCTGCCCAACGAGGTGGTGCCCATTGTTACCTACGACAACATGATGATACTCATCGAAACCCTCGAGATGGAGATTGATAAGCTGGAGTCGGCGGCTGACGGAGCACCCGGCAGGAGTGTGGTCAGCTGCTCAGGTGTTGTGCAGGCAGTGAAGGCCATCTGTGCCTTGCTGGGCAGCATCGATACCATGGAGATAGCTCGCTGTGTGGCCGATCTGAAGCGCATTTGCGAGGTGGAGCAAACCAAATATGCAGCGGCGGGGGCCAGCAATCCAGAGATAGTCAGTGATTATGGTGACTATGCGCAAGTTGTGCTGCGTCCGCGTTCTCTTCTTGAGCAGATCAAGATGAAGTGCAATGAGCTAAGGGATGCCGTGCAGGAGCTGGTTGAGCTGTATGCCAATGTGTTCCGCGTGGCCTTCTCCGTAAAGACTCCTGATTACACAACAAGTAAGTTTGAGCGGAGAGTCTAAAGATTAAGCTTGCTAAAATTAATGTCTTACAGCTCCCATTCCCATCTCCTGTGTGTCCAAGCCCATTGTGGTCTGCATCAGCTGCCTTCATCGGCCGCCGCCCAACTGGAAGTACGAGGATTACTCTCTGTGTGTGCAAATCGTGTATGGTACACGTCTGTTGTCCAAGCCTAATGTGTTGACCTGCTCGAATGACACCAGCGGAGGCCTGTTTCCACGCCTCAATTTCAGTGCCTGGTTGACCTTCGATCAGCATCCCATTTGCACTCTGCCAAGGGAGGCTCGGCTTACGTTCGTCTTGTATGGAAAGCAGGCAGCCAGCGAAGGTGATCCCAACTCGGAGCAGAACGGGGAGCGCCGGCAGGTGACCACTGAGCTGGGCTGGTGCTCCATCCAGCTGTTTGACTTTAAAAGAGTCATGATCTGTGGTCCCTACCTGCTTTCTCTGTGGCCTCCAACAACGGATAAGATGTTGGGACCCGCTCCAGCGCGTGGCTGTCATCCGCATCCTGATTTCTGTCCTGTTTTAAGTATCGAGGTGCCCCCATACGGTGGCCGCATTGAGTTTCCCGAGCATCAGGAGGTGCCCAAGCCTGCGCCACAGTAAGTAAACACCTCTTATTAATTAAAATCAACATTTATATCATATTTTTCTTTACCAGCTATGACTTTGCCTCGCTCGATGCCAATCTGCAGGAGGAGCTGCTAGACACCGCCGAGCTGGGCTACTCTGGAGCCACAGAGCGACGAGAGGTTTTCTGGGAGAAACGTTTGTATCTGCAAAACTATCCCAATGCCCTGCCCAAGGTCCTGCATGCCGCTCATAGCTGGGACTATGCGAATCTGATTGATCTGCATGCTTTGCTGCACTCGTGGGCCCCGTTGTCACCTCTACAGGCTCTCGAGCTGTTGCTTCCTCGTTACCCAGATGCCAAAGTACGTGAAAAGGCTGTGGAGTGGATTTCCAAGATGCCCAACGATCAGTTGGTGGACTTTCTGCCCCAACTCGTGCAGAGCCTCAAGCATGATACCTACGAGGGCTCGGCGATGGCTCGTTTCCTGCTGGCCAAGTGCCTGGAGTCGCCTCGTTTCGCCCACCACATGTACTGGCTTTTAGTGCACAGTTTGCCAGATGATCCGCACAACTCTATTGGCGCCGCTATGGTGGATCAGGATTACGATGAGTCGCAGGTCACACAGGCGCGGTATTACCGAAGGAACAAGATGATGCTGCGTGCTCTGATGGCCATCTGTGGCGAGAAGATGTTGCAGCGATTTATGTACCAGCATCGAATGTGTCAAGTAAGTTTCAATGCAAATTTAATATAAAAAAAACCCCTAAAATACCATTGATTCTTTCAGAAACTCACAACCATAGCGGAGTCTGTCAAGGAGGCCAAGGAATCGATGCGTCAAAAGAGCTTAGCTGCTGGCATGGACGAGGTGCACCAGGATCTGCTGGAGAAGCCCACTTGCCTGCCACTAGGACCTGAACTGGAGGTTACAGGCGTGAGTGTGCGCAATTGCAGCTACTTTAACTCCAACACCTTGCCGCTAAAAATTACCTTCGTGGGACCTGATGCCGAGTCGCTGCCGGCCATCTTTAAGGTAAATAATAACCCCAGTAATTTAATCTATAAACTCAGCTAACAATAAATATTCTTCAACAGTGCGGAGACGACCTGCAGCAGGATCAGTTGACCATCCAACTGATTAGGATCATGAACAAAATGTGGCTGGCCGAGCGATTGGACCTGAAAATGGTCACCTTCAACTGTGTGCCCACGGGCTACAAGAGCGGCATGATTGAGCTGGTCAATGAGGCGGAGACCTTGCGAAAAATCCAAGTCGAGTGCGGTTTAACGGGCTCCTTCAAGGATCGACCCATTGCCGAGTGGCTGGGCAAGCAGAATCCCAGTCCGTTGGAGTATCAGAGTGCCGTGCGAAACTTTACGCTCTCGTGTGCTGGCTACAGCGTGGCCACCTATGTGCTGGGCATCTGTGACCGGCACAATGACAACATTATGCTAAAGACCTCGGGTCACCTATTCCACATAGATTTTGGCAAGTTCCTGGGCGATGCGCAGATGTTTGGCAACTTTAAGAGAGATCGCACTCCCTTTGTGCTGACCTCCGACATGGCGTATGTGATTAATGGTGGCGACAAGCCCTCTACTGACTTCCATTACTTTGTGGACCTGTGCTGTCGGGCCTTTAATATTGTGAGGAAAAATGCAGATCTGCTGCTGCATACCTTGGCCCACATGGCCACCGCCGGCATGCCTGGTGTCAATTCCAATGCTGTGACCTATGTGCGGCGTGCCCTGCTGCCCTCGCAATCGAATCCCGAGGCGGCGGCCACCTTTGCCAAGATGATACAATCCTCGCTAAAGAGCTGGTTCACGCAGTTTAATTTCTTTCTGCACAATCTGGCCCAGATGAGGTTCACCGCCGACGAGGGCACTGGGGAGTTGCTGTCGTTTGTGCCGCGGAAATACACGTGAGTTATAAATATTCATATAAATATTTTATATGCTAATTATATTATATTATATTAAATTATTATAAATTTAAATGTATTCTAATTTTTTTTTTTAGTATGCAACAAGATGGCCGCTTGAAGATTGTCAAGGTGGTGTGCTTCCAGAAGCATTACAGCATGGAGAAGTTTTATATGTATATTCTGGAAGTGACGCGGCATGGGCAGCCCGTTCCTACGCATTTGTTTCGCTCGTATAGGGAGTTTACCGAGTTCCATCAGAAGCTATGCATGCACTTTCCGCTGGTTAAGCTGCACAGGTGAGTGCTAATAATATATATCGAGAGAAAGATACCGATATAGGAAAGTAAATCGAGAGAAAATCAAAAAATATCCCAGTTTTATAAATAGATATTTGAAATCTCCATAAACAAAAAAGGAATCTAGTTTAGGCAAGCCGACTTATAACTAAATATTGATATATCTATTTCATAACTATTATTTAATTTATTTTATTTTTTGTTTAATGACAATCCCTGGTATATATTTTTAAAGAAGTTTTCTTTATCTATGGCCAAGTTAATAATTTTATCAAATTACCCTTCAATGTTCAAGTATTCAGGGAAATCCAAACATATAAACTTTTTTGTTTACACCCAATCCTTATCACCTTCTCACCTTCTATCTATCAGTCACTTATCTAAAAATTGAAAACTTAAACTTCGACTTGGCATATGATCAATAATTGCAAACAAATCACCTTGGGTATTCTGGGCTTTTCGTTTGTTGATTCACTTCCGTTTCAGAATTTTTAAAAACGTTCAATATAGTTTCTTTATCTTTAATGGCTTTCCTGCCACAACTTTACTACATTAACTATATATAGTCAAAGTGATATGGCAACTTATCATACAAATCATACACACATCATATATGTACATACATAAATGGATTATTGCCGTTTTGGCAAACATAATTAACACATAAAATACTGTATTTGCTAAGGATGTTGGGAGGTAGGGCTCTCATTACGCTTCTGTGTCACCTCTAACAATATTATGCGTCCTCAGTGCCGCTGTCATGGAGCGATGCTGGCTGATGGCGCGTCCAAAACCATCATCATCGTCCTCATCGCTATCTCCTTGAGAGACTTGAGCTCCAAAAAGGCTGGGCAGTCCGTTATCCGTTGGCTCGAAAACTATTGAGCGCTGCATGGGCGTGGGACGGGGCAGGTAGTCATCATCCTCCTCGGACTCTACACCGCTCGAGGTCACCACCTCGGCGGACTGATAGTACTGCAGGTTATCCACATCGAAGCGAACTTTCAGTGCTCGAGGATCACGCCTGGCTGGCTGGGGAGCTGACCGGGCTCCCCCATCCTCCCCATCGGCATCACTCGAACTGGAGCTGGGCAGCTCTTCAGGTTGATAACAAGCCAGGGGAGGAGCAGCATCACCGCGCACATTTAGGGTGGCCGAGGGTCTTGAGGATCGGGGGGCAGCCTGAGGCGCTTGGCGGGGCGGTGACACAGCCATTTCCTGGCACAAGTCCTCAAAGTTAGAGACACCATTGCTCTGGGCAGTGGAAGTGGTTGATCCCGCCACTTCTCCTCCATTAACCTCCAGTTCATCGTACAGATCCTCTATCCTACTAACAAAGTTGGCCTTCTTGGATCTCTGTTCCATTACCTCTGTGTATTTGGGTAGGTTGTGTCCACCCCTGGAGCTCTCCAGCTGCATCAGGGAGTCATAGTCGGGTAAATATGGTAGACCAGGATCATAGGGCGGTGGATCCACACAGGGAATCGGAGGCTCTGGCTCGAAGATCTCCATTCTAGGCTCCATCAGTTCCAGCTGATGGAATAGACCTTCCACCTGCTCTACATTATCCAGTTGGAGAGTGGCCTCGCTAAGAGTGGTCTCAACCGCGGGCACTTGCTCGACACTGTTCGGGTGGAGAGCCCAGTTGGGTTCTGGAACATCTACCACTGCGTCCAGATTTGCAAAGTTGTCCCAGTCTTCATCGATGCTCTTGCCAAATCCTGGCGGACTGCTAGCCGGAGGAAGCTGTAGCTGATCCACATCCAGGATATCTGCTTCATGTATCACGAAAGAATTACGTATGCGTTGAAAGTCTCTGTCCTGATTACCCAGAGGAAGTTCCAGGTCATCGAATAAACCTCGCTGAAGGGTAGGCTCTATTCTGGCAGTGGTTTCTGCTTCCGGACTACCTGCTATGATTTCCACAACAAAGGCAGAGTCTGCTTTTTCTGCTTCCTCAAAGGGATCTAGTGTTCTTTGGGGCTCAGGTGAGGGTTCAGATGATGGTTTCGGTTCGGGTTCAGGTGAGAGTTTGGGTTCGGGTTCGGGTTCAGGTTCGTGTTCACTTCTAGGTTCACTTCTAGGTTCACTTCTAGGTTCACTTCTAGGTTCAGCTTCTTTGGGTATTGCTCCACGATGCACAACCGCTGTCACTGATAAAGCTCCTTCCAGCCCGTCATCTGGTGTTAAAGGTTCTGGCGGAGAGTCCTCCGGAGTAAGCAATTCCGGGACATCATCCACAGGATCAAACTTGACATAGCGACCACTGTCCTTACTCCTCAGCTGTGTGGGTCTTGTAGCTTCCCCATTGGGCTTGGTACTAATCAGATCATATTTCTCCGCGAAATGATCGAAATTCGGCATGCCCAGTTCGCTTGGTGGCTCTGGAAAGGCTTCACGAGGTACAGCAGGCAGGGATTGGTTTAAGGGAGCAATTAGAGGCAGAGTTTTGGGTACTTCAGGAGTAGTTTTAGGTGGAACGGACTCCTGACTAGCTGGAGAATCAACAGGTTGGGCCTCGGCCAGCATCTCTGTCTGTGTTGGAGGAGCTGGTGGTTGTCGGGTTGGTGGCGCTGTATACTCATAATGCTCACTGTTGACCTCCAAGCGTCTGCGTCGCTGCTCTAGTGACTTTTCCCGATAGGAGACCTTGGTTCTTTGGTTATCCCTGGGGCTGAGGCCATAGAGTTGTAGGTTGGGAACACTTCCCGTTAAGTAGCTGTTTCCTGGAAGATTTGTGATATTTAAATTAGGTTGGGAATAGCTTTATCTTCAAATTTAAAATAGAAACAATAAAAATAATGGATTTACCACTATAAATTTAGACTGTAGTTTCGTTTCAATAATTTTGATTTGCTATCTTTACCTGTCGTCGTCGCTGGCGTTGATGCCGTTGGCCATGGGCTTTCGAATTCCTCAAGATTGCGACGTCGGAACACTCCATGGACAGCGGAATCGGTGCCGTTAACCTGGGGAATTATAGAAAATGCATTTTAAAGAGGGGGGTTTCAACATCTATTTAAGGTGGCTCTTTGCTTGAATGCGTCATTTAGAAGGTGCTCTACACATGACCACAGACACGCAAACTATGAAAATAAATACGAAACCACGTTCTTGCGATAAGGTGTGTGAGACTTTACACTTTGTTTTGAAGCTGTCTGTGAAATTATGTGTGATGTTGTGACCCAATTTAGGGTTTTTAATAAGTAATTGGTTTCATAGAGAGAGTTGTTGATATTCCAAAAAGCATTTTGATGAACAAAAATTAAGAGACTCTATAAATAACTACTGTAAAGCGGAAGCTCTTTACCATAACTAGCATTCTTCAGAGGCTAACAACTCTATTGAGCACTCCCTAGAATTTAAATGCAAAGACAGACTTCTAGCTGAGATTGAAATTAGTGAAAGTCGAATTCGTTTATGATTTGCATTCCTCACGCCCCCATCGCTAGCACACAGACTACACACTCTCCCAAGCCACAACACCTGTCTGCCTTATCACAAGCTCTCGTCGCGCGCTCATATATGTATAGATATTGGTGTGGGTGTATCGCCAGCGTAGGTATCGGTATCACATTAACCTTTTTTTGTTTTTTATTTTAACTGCGTGCATCGGCTGTCAAGTTCTTTCTGCTGATTTGCATACGCACCTGCGACTCAAAGGCTGCGTAACGTGGCGGCGGCTGCTGTGATTGCTGCTGCTGCTGCACCTGCGATCGATCGAAAGTCAGTCGTCGCCGGAAGCCAAAGAGCTTGATGCCGATCAGTGCAAAAACCAGACCCATGAGCAGCAGGGCCGAAGCCAGCGTTGACCCAACAAGAGCCGCCGGCTGACCTGAAGAGGATTACCCAAAGGTTATTTATTACCTGAAAATTATCAATTGGGGAAAAATCTAAAAGCCCTTACCTTGGCCTGGATTCTTAAGCTGTGCCATGTCTGCTTCGTCTTCGCCAGCAAATTAGTTGACTCGCATTCTGGCCAAAAAAATACTTAGTGGTTTTTCGCACTCCCCCCTTTGTTTTGGGCCAAAGAAATACATATAATGAAACTTCACCACGTCGCTGCTAATCGAACCGCTGGCGACTGTTGGCGCTTAGCTTTCAGCGCTCCGCTCTCCAGCTCGCTCCTCAACTGATTGAGCGCTGACGTCGGCGTTACCGCTTTTGCCAACGCTTATCGGCGCGATTCGGCTCCGATATCGGTTTGCTCGCACGCTCGGGTCGCTCTTCTTTCACCCACTACTAGCATTTGCTCGCTCTCTGGGGGTCTGGGTCTCCGTCTCCATCGCCACCTCCACCTCCGTTTTTTTTGTCTCTCCCTTGCGATGAAATCAGTCCGCTTCAGTGGCCGAATTATCAGCTATTAGCAATGTTACCTCAGAGCCACGGCTTTTGTGGTAGACGCTATGCCAGCACTGATAAGTAATCGCCAAATATATGTACTATGTTTTCCAGTGAAGGCGCCTTGACACAACCCGCTGACTATGTAAACACCATGAAAAATAATGCGATTCCAATTATTGGTGATTAGGGAATCTTAAGCACTATCTTAGGGGTGACAGTAATTGTAATAAATAGTAATAATTAGAAGATTAATTAAATATTCCTGTTTGTTTATGAAAATTTTAAGTTAAAGGATGAAGTTTTCAGGAGAGCGCTTTAAACTTTTTAAGTTAAAAAACCCCTCCCTTTAATTATTAATAATTTCTTAACTCTTTATATTTATAGTCTTCCTGCTGGCGTGCATGTGGGAAGGTCCAACATCAAGTCAGTGGCCGAGAAACGACTACCTCTGATACAGCGATTCCTAAAATCGCTGTTCGATGCCTCCGAGGAAATAGCTCACTCCGAGCTTGTGTACACTTTCTTCCATCCGCTGCTGCGTGATCAGCAGGAGGCCAAACTGGGGATGCCGAAGATAAAGGGTAAGATATATAAATATTTAAACAAAAGCTTTATTTGAATAGTAATATATATTCTCTTAAGACCAAAGTTAGTTTTTAATTTATTTATTTATTTATTTAATGCTAACTAATAGTTATAAACTAAAAGTTAACAAAGGATAATGAGCAATGGCTACCGAGGCCTTCCGCTCTTAGTTTTTAATTTAAAATCGAATGTTAACTTTATTTAAATAAATAAATAATTCATTTATTTATGTAACAGAGGTGAAGCGACAACCCTCGCGAGATAATCCCAACGAGATTGGCCAAATTCGACTATCGCTGCAATATCAACGCGGCGTACTTACTGTGATGGTGCGTTACAACAATTCTACTTGGTAATTGGTAATATAAATAATAAATAATGGGGAATTATGCATTGCAGATACACCACGCCAAAGGACTGCCCATGCTACAGGGCGGTCAGGAGCCCAACACTTATGTGAAGTGCTACCTAAAACCGGATCCCAAAAAGGAGACCAAACGCAAGACCAAAGTGGTGCGCAAGACCTGTGTTCCCAGTTTCATGGAAACGGTTAGTTTAGAGTTACTAATATATAAAATTTACAAAAATTTAAAAATGTAATATTTTAATATTTAGCTGGAGTACCGAATGCCCCTGAATATCATTCAAGAGCGGCGACTGCAGGTCACCGTCTGGTCACACGATACGCTGCAGGAAAACGAACTGCTGGGAGGCTTCGAGCTGGATCTGTCCAAGCTCGATCTGCGGCAGGAGCTCTGCGATTGGCATCGCTTGGTTTCAGTGCCCAGGAATTGACCACACCGACAATCAGGCCTAGGATTAAAGCAATACTAATATACATTTCTGTGCCTGTCTCCTCTTGATCGCAATAATACTTACTTACTCGACGTGATTGTACATTCCATACGCATATATCTATATTATAAATAACTCAATAGACGGTAGAAGTGTTATTTCTTTCGATTTTTGCCCCCAAATGTATGTACATATTCTATACCCACCTCACATTCAGCACATTCTTTTGTTTAATTAAATTTTAAAATTAATTAAATTAAACTTTTAATTATACAAATCTAAAGTTTAACTTTGCACACATTTTATTGATTGGTATATTTGAAATTATACAGAAAATTATACAGAAACAAAATAAATTGTACTTGGTGAATGCAGCAAGTTTGATTGTATTTCTAGTTTTTAAAAACAAACAAAACATTCTCTATTAGATTTTCCCGCTAAATACTTATGCTCCTGGAGTAGTCACACCAAGTTCAGTATTATGGCTAAGAAACTACTTGTTTAAGAGATTATAAAACTCGCTTTTTAGCACAGAAAACTGGTGAGGTAAATATGGAAATTAAAGTAAACAGACGAGAATCAGGCCAAATATGTTTTTGATTTATTTTAGAAACGTTTGAAGATAACGAAAAATCTAACTTTTACACAGGAACCGTAATCATTATAAGTGAAAAAATAAATCTATTGATTTTAATAAATTCTTTTAAAATATAATTTTATATTGATATAATCGTTCAAAGAATAATTATTCTTATTTTGTGCAAAAAATAATTATTTTTAATATAATCATTATTTTTTGAGCGATCTCGTTGCTCCAAGTGTATGATTGTTTTATTATTTACGGTTCCTGCTTTTATACACATTCAGCTTTACGCACAAAAAAATTATTAAAAATTAAATAAATCTTCACCAACATTTCAGTGTCTCTATGAGATTACCTCCATCTGGGTCTTGACTCTAAAATACTTACAACAAATTAAGCAACAGGCTACCAGGCAATAGTAAATAACTATCAAAGAGATCAAGTACTAAAAGTGTCTTAACAAATCTAACGAATATTGTAAAGTATGTATAAGATTAATGCAGATTATATTTTTATAAAAAAAACAAAAAACAAGTTTTAGAGCTACATCTGCCTGAGTATTTTAAATAAAAACTCTTCGATACTGATTAATAAATTTATGTGTACTGTAACAATTAATAATTGTATATTTATGTGTGAACAAATTAATACGGAAATTTAGGAAATACAATTCAATCTTTCTGTAAACAAATTGTACAATTTATAAAGTAAAAAATAAAACTTTTTTTTCGGCACAAATAAATGGGCATAACAAAATAAATCTAAAAAGCTTTGATTTAAGGGGGGATATATGTATATGTAAACCAAAATTTGTTGGGCAAATTTTTTTTTTGTTTAAAAAATAGTTTATTACTCAAAGAATATACTGTGTAAGTTTCAATATCGAATTCTAACTTGAAGTGCCTCAAATCAAGTATGCACGCAAGGTATACCAGTGTTAACGTGAGCGCATCAAAAACTTTATACGTATTTTTCTCAGCTTTTAATTTTTGCATTTTTACCTATGCTTTGGACACGATTCACAAAAAACTACGTAACATATCGCAGTGAATCAAAAAGTATTATGATCAGTATGAAATTATCTTCTATTTGAACCTACATGGTTGTTATAAAACGGAGTACTACTATTTTTTAAGAGGGTGGGAAGTGAAAACTGATCACCTGAAAATGTAATTTTGTCCTTCAAATCAAAATTTAATTTTTTTGTCTTGATTTCTTTTTAGTTTTTTAGGTTTAAATAGAAGATACAGGTGTAATGAATACAAAAAAATTTAGTTTACGGATTTTGGACAGGAATTACGAGCTCTATCGTGTCCATAGCACGGCAACTCAAAGCTCGAGGCGCTACGGCATATGTTCCATAAATCCGCCATTTTGTAAAATATTGTTTATAACTAATTTTTTTTATCATCTATGATTCTACTTTTAACTATATCCAAAGTTTCACGACAATTGCTTGACTATTTCTTATAAAAAAAAAATCACGAAAAATGACCAAATTTTGACCGCTTACATGTATATCCCCCTTAAGGGGGTTTCCTGATAGGAGGCAAAAAAATCGATTTTTTTTATTGCTTAAATCGATAGATAAACTATCTAAGAATATACCACAAAAATTTCAGAAGCCAATTCGAAGTATTTTCGAAGATACAGAGATGAAAGCAAAGGAGCGCCGGGTAGGTTTGCAGGCGCTTGGCGAACTTTGAGGCCCGTTTTCTTACTTTTAATTTTTTACGATTCTTTCGAATTGGCGGGAAAGATAACAAAAAACTTATTGACCGATTGAAACGAATAAAGGCTTATTCTCTTTAGAATTAAATTCTCTTCTATTTGAACTAAAACGGTTGTTGAAAACCGCTTTTTATATTTTTACAGCATGTTAAAGTCAATATTTCATTTTTCGGGATAAAATATTGACTTTAACATGCTGTAAAAAATATAAAAAGCGGTTTTCAACAACCGTTTTAGTTCAAATAGAAGAGAATTTAATTCTAAAGAGAATAAGCCTTTATTCGTTTCAATCGGTCAATAAGTTTTTTTGTTATATTTCCCGCCAATTCGAAAGAATCGTAAAAAAATTAAAAGTGAGAAAACGGGCCTCAAAGTTCGCCAAGCGCCTGCAAACCTACCCGGCGCTCCTTTGCTTTCATCTCTGTATCTTCGAAAATACTTCGAATTGGCTTCTGAAATTTTTGTGGTATATTCGTAGATAGTTTATCTATCGATTTAAGTAATAAAAAAAAAATCGATTTTTTTTGCCTCCTAATTCAGGAAACCCCCTTAAGGGTTTATATATTTAGTAGAGAGTTCAACTATTGAAGTTTTTAAATAATACAAAACCCAAGTAAACACAAAGTAACCCATATTGTTTATAACAATACCTTTGAAATTTATAGCCAAATATTTTAAATACACTCAGTCAGCTGGAAGCTACACGTTGATTTAGTTTGAGACGCTGGCATTCCGGTTCTAAAAGCGTTGAAATTTGAAATTTAAATTGTATATCCAGCAAATACACAGAATGGCGGCGGCTGCTAACATGGAGAAGGGGGAGCTGATTAGCCAGGTGAAGCAGCAGATCGCTTTGGCCAATGCCCAGGAGATGCTCGCGAAGATGACCCACAAATGCTTCACAAAATGCATCCAGAAGCCGGGCAAGGCTCTGGACAACTCGGATCAGCGCTGTATCTCACAGTGCATGGATCGCTACATGGATGCCTGGTATCTAGTGTCGCGCACCTATGGCAATCGCCTTCAGCGGGAGCAGTACAGGACGATGGACTCCATGGACATGTCAAACTAGAAGTCGATTTCTGATCCCCTTAATCGTTGCATAAATAAAGCTGAACTCGTTTTATTTTCCACTTGGTCTCAACTAATATATATGCAACCCTGCCTATTGCTTATCGCTGTGATGATTATATAGAATGTAACCCAAGGGCTGGGGGTTGGGCTGCCTTAGATAGCTGTAAGCTGTCTGCTTGATATGTGCACTTTTGCTGATCGCTATCGTGTTTGGAATGGTCTTGGTAGCTAACGGATGAGCAAGTGGTCGGTGCTCACTGGTCCCAATGCAGTTTGCGATGAGAGGCCAGTTGCCGGCACGAATAAAATGTGTAGTTTCGAGACCACTCTAATCCATTGCATTAACTTTCCCTATATGCAAATTCTAATTGAATTTCTTTTTTTTTTGTTTTGGTTGCTTTAAGATGGGGGTTTTACTTTAAATTCTATAATTATATTTAAGAAACCTAAGGAAGATTAAGATAAAAATCAAATTACGGCAATGGAACACCTTTGTATAGGGAACTAACTTTGAGTTTATGGTTTAAATAAAGCGACTAATAGTGGCCAAAGAAAGTTAATATAAATACAATAAGTTTCCTTAATTATTATATTTAATTTTAACATCGAAATAGGTTGATGATCTCATAGTCTTTTTATGATTATTTCAGTAAATGATCTCTGCTAAAAATATACTTGTATTATTAAAGGAAAACTATATATTAAGCTTTTAAATTTTCAAAGATCACTCACTTAAATAATCATAAAATAAACAAAGAAATTTAAACTTATGCCCATGCTAAAATTAGGTAATATCTTCCGCTTTACCATTTAATAATAATTATAAAAAATATGCACTTTCACTGGCTAAAGAAACCCACCCAAAAACCAAGGAACCTATAAAACATTCCCTGATATCAGTACTTTTGTACGGCCAAACATGGCCACTTATGGACTTTACGGATATTTTAGTGGGGGCAGGTGACCCCGTGCACTGGCCGAAATATTGCTGCAAGTAATTTCTAGAATTAAAAAAAAAAAAAAAAACAAAAATCAAAAATAATAAAAAAAATGCAAAAGATAAAATGCGAATTCGTGGCCGAACTTATTGGCTCGAATACCAGAGGTAACAAAATCCAACACTGAATTTTTCCTCAACTAGGTACATTCGAAGCCACACAAGTTACGATAAGAGTGCGGGCCAAAACCCCGCCATATACCAGGGTCCGGAGCTTGCTGCCGAAAGCTCTCTATGATACTAAAAATAGTATTCCACCTGTACCGCCCACCCCCACCCGTTCCCGGCAACAACCGGAGCCGTAGTGCCCCCAAGGTTTGAGTAATCATCATTGCAAGAATACGGGCACGATAAGTGCTGAGGCGGCCCCTTATCGTAGCAACTAATCGGATGACTTCGCCTCCGCCTAGGGGTGCCTAGTGGGCGGTGAAAGGAGGAGGAGAGGTGGCTAGGTCGGGCAGACCGTTACACTATCGCTCTGCTCTGGCCCGCAGGTCTCCCACAGGGCGGGCGACATTGGTGTCAGCGCAAGGTGAGCCGAGATAAAGGCTTGCTGACAGTCCCATTACTGGTGTAGATTAGGGAGATTAGAAATGCCCGAGAAGGAGCTTTCACGAGACAATATAATCGCTAATCACGATCGTTGGAGAATTTATTTATACCTTGGGGTTTTTCTTTAATTTTTAAAGCCTTGCAGGGGGTATGATTTTAGTGAAAAGCTTGTAAAGCAGGGAAGGAATCATTTCCGACCACAAAAATCATATATATTCATGATCAGCGGCAACAGGCATAGCTTAGAAATGCTTTCTAAATTATATGCTTTATTTACTTAGTTATGTTCGATTTTTTTATCCTATAGAAAACTGCAAGGGTATACAAATTTCGGCTATTGAAATTTTGTTTCTTCTTCTGTTATAATATGGTGCTATCTATGTTTAACTAACTTTAGTTTATAAAATAACTATGGTTTAAAACACCCCCTTTAAACCTACCCTTATAATACTCACATTTCTTCTGCATTAAGAAAAATTTCACAAAGTATCTAGACATATTTTATTTTTTTAACAAGTTAAGGTAGTTTCTTGGAACTAATACTAGCTGACTATTTCCGATATCGTAGTACACATGTAAGACACGAAACCCATTCTGTAAGTGTAGGGGACAACCAAGTATTTTAATTTAGTTAAACTATTTGCTATGTACAATTTCCTTTACAATTTTCACTTGAAATTTGGTTCCTGTTATTGTTTACTTTAGTCAACTTTCGAATATAAAAGAGCTGCCTTGGCCCAGCCGCGTCGCACAGAGTTAAATGTGCTTTGAATATGCTAGCGGGTGAGTGAAAATATAAAATATTATTTTAACTAACTTCATCACTACTATATTTCAGTGAATGTCCTATGGGCTGTCCTTTGGATCGCCCCCCAGGCTCTGGCGCTGGACACCTGCGCAGGGCAGTCGTTCGGATCTAGAGCAGTCGACCCGGAAGATTCCCGTTCGTATATTCTGTGCCTGGGCTTCCTAGGCCAGATTAAGAACACATGCAATGATGGATATTTATTCGATGCCCAAACTCAGGGCTGTGTGGCTGAGGGCCAAGTAATTCATAAGGCAGAAAAGAAAAAGGAAAAGGACGAGGCCAAGAAAGCAGTGAATATCAGGCAAAAAATAAGTGTGGATAGGCCCGTGATATTTAACATCTTCGGAAACTTGAATATCTTCGGAAGTCTTTGGGGTAATTCCCAAGAACCGACTACTTTAAGACCTCCAAACTCAAAATTTTCATTGGAAAATTCGCCAGAGGGAATTGCGTCCAGCCCAGTGGATATCTCTAGCTTATTTCATACGGATCTTTATGCCTTGGCTGATGCATCATCGTCGGAAATACAGCTTAAAGGTCTTGCAAATGAAGATCCCTCTGATTCCAGCTCGGAGCCAACGCCGGAAAGTTCCACACCGGAAAATGGCCAGGATTCGGAAAGTTCACTGACCACTGAAGGACAGCAAGAAGAGTTAAAATCAAGTTCGGAGAGTCCGTTGTCCACGGAAGCATCAACAGTCGAGGAGTCGACTTCCACTGCATCTGCCGTAGAAAGTTCCACCCAGGATAGTATCTCAAGCTCGGAAAATCCCTTGACGACTGAGGCTTCCTCTGAAGATGTAAGCTCAAGCTCCGAAGATCCGCAGTCTACCAGCGCTGCAGATGATTCATCCACAACAGAATCTCCTCCAGAAAAATCAACGCAAGAAAGCGACTCAAGCTCTGAAAATCCTTTGACCACTGAAGCATCCTCTGAAGACATTAGCTCAAGCTCCGAAGATCCACTATCCTCCACGGAATCTCCATCAGAAAGTTCAACATCGGAAAATCCGTTGACCACTGAAGCATCCTCTGAAGACATCAGTTCGAGCTCCGAAGATCCGTTATCAAGTAGCCCAGCAGAAGATTCATCCTCAACAGAATCTCCATCAGAAAGTTCAACACAAGAGAGTGAATTGAGCTCCGAAAATCCTTTGACCACTGAAGCATCCTTGGATGACATCAGCTCAAGCTCCGAAGATCCGCTGTCCTCAACAGAATCTCCATCAGAAAGTTCAACACAAGAGAGCGACTCAAGCTCGGAAAATCCTTTGACGACTGAGACATCCTTGGAAGATATCGTCTTAAGCTCCGAAGATCCGCTGTCTACTAGCGCTGTAGAAGAATCATCCTCAACAGAATCTTCACCAGAAAGTTCAACACAGGAAAGCACATCAAGCTCAGAAAATCCTTTGACAACTGATGCAGATATCGGCTTAAGCTCCGAAGATCCGCATTCCTCAACGGAATCTCCATCAGAAAGTTCAACACAAGAGAGTGACTCGAGCTCCGAAAATCCTTTGACCACTGAAGCATCCTTGGATGACATCAGCTCAAGCTCCGAAGATCCGCTGTCCTCCACGGAATCTCCATCAGAAAGTTCAACCTCGGTAAATCCTTTGACCACTGAAGCATCCCCTGAAGACATCAGCCCGAGCTCCGAAGATCCGCTATCCTCAACAGAATCTCCATCAGAAAGTTCAACACAAGAGAGCGACTCAAGCTCCGAAAACCCTTTGACCACTGAAGCATCCTTGAACGACATCAGTTCAAGCTCCGAAGATCCTCTCTCAACGTCTCCTGTAGAAGATTCATCCACAACAGAATCTCCTTCAGAAAGTTCAACTCAGGAAAGCATCTCAAGCTCGGAAAATCCCTTGACAACTGATGCATCTTCGGAAGACGGTTCCAGCTCATCAACCTCATTAACCACAGAAGCTTCACTTGAAAGTTCAACCGAAGAAAACGTGGCCAGTACGGAAAATACATCGTCCACAGAACCAGAACCAGAAAGTTCTACGGAGGCTTCTAATGACAGCACAGAAATACAGTCGTCAACAGAATCTTCCCCAGAAAGCTCAACAGAGGAAAATAATTCGAGTTCTGAGAGTCCGTCAACCGCAGAACCGCAGGAAAGTTCAACGGAAGCGAATATATCTAGCACGGAAATTTCTTCGGAAAGTCCATTATCTACTGAACCTTCACAAAGCACGGAAATTCAGTCGTCCACAGAATCATCACCAGAGAGTTCTACGGAAGCGAACTCCAGTACTGAAATTTCTCCCTCAGAAAGTACCACGGAAAACATAAATACTAGTTCCGAAACTCCTTCGGGCACAGATCCTATAGAAAGCTCAACTGAAGAAAGTATTTCCAGCACAGAGCCCTCAGATGCTTCTACAGGGACCACAGATAATAACTGGGGATCTGGAAATGATGGCTCCGGACACAGATCTTCAACAGAACCATCTCCTCCAAGTAGCACAGAGGAAAGTGTACTCAGCTCTGAGAATCCGTTGACCACCGAACCAACATCAGAGAGTACAACTGAAGAGAACGCGTCCAGCTCCGCCAACCCAGCAACGGATGTTCCATGCACCACTGTTACACCTCCAGAAAATTCTACCAAGATTCCAGAAAGTCCATCTACCTCAGAACCAACACAAGATACCACAGAAAGAGATGGGGGCTCTGGAAATGCAGGCTCTGAAAATGGTAACCCTGGAGCCGGGACTTCAACGGAACCATCACAGCAAAGTTCTACAGAACCCACAATCGAAGGTACCACAGAGGAGAATGTGAACGGTTCCTCTAACCCACCAACGGATGTACCTTGCACTACTCTGCAACCTCCAGAAAATTCAACTGAAATTCCAGAAGTTCCATCTACATCAGAATCATCACAAGATACCACAGAAAGAGATGGTGGCTCTGGAAATGGTGGCTCTGAAAACGGTAACCCTGGAACCGGGACTTCAACTGAACCATCACAGCAAAGCTCAACAGAACCCACAAACGAAGGTACCACAGAGGAGAATGTGAGCAGTTCCTCTAACCCACCAACGGATATACCTTGCACTACTCTGCTACCTCCAGAAAATTCAACTGAAATTCCAGAAGTTCCATCTACCTCAGAATCATCACAAGATACCACAGAAAGAGATGGTGGCTCTGGAAATGCTGGCTCAGAAAATGGTAGACCTGGAACTTCAACTACAGAACCCACATCACAAGGAACCACTGAAGAGAATATAGCCAGTTCTGAAGCTCCAATCACTAATCCGTGTAACACTGTTGCACCGCAAAATCCCTCAAATTCAGGACCATCAAGGAAGCTTCAAAAGGAATCCGAGAAGACCAACGATAACACGAATGTAGAACGCACAGTTTGTAGTAACTTGCCAAATGGAATTTTTCTCAGGGATCCAAAATCTTGCAGTAAATATTATATTTGTTTGAATGGTAAACCAATTCCCGGCAAATGTCCCAGCAATCTCAGCTTTGACATTAAGAGAAAAGTGTGCAATTTTGCCAATTTAGTGGATTGTTCTGTTAATGAATTACCAGAGGTACCTGTTTCGACAGAAAATCCATCCACTGCAGGAACATCCAGTACGGCATCAGCTTCCACAGAAGGATTACCATCTACTACCCAAGCACCACCATCAGATGGTTCAAAAAAGAAGGTTATATCTGCCTTAGTGTCACCGGAATCAGTTGATTTATCAGTGAACGCCAAAGATAACTCCACTGATCATCGAAAAGAACTTACTGATTGTAGTGACCTGCCAAACGGAGTTTTTCTTAGAGACTTAAAATCTTGCAACAAATTTTACATTTGTCTGAACGGTAAGCCCATTTCCGGCCAATGTCCCCGCAATCTCAACTTTGACATTAGGAGAAAGGTGTGCAATTTCCCTAGTTTAGTGGATTGCTCGGTCAATGAAAGTCCAGAGGTTAAGAGGCCACCTAAAGATCTCACAGATGGTTCGGTGCCTGAATGTAAATCTCAACGAAATGGGGCTTATATCCGTGACCCAAAGTCCTGTAGCAAATTTTATGTGTGCGCCAATGGTCGTGCCTTATCGCGACAGTGTCCCAGAGGCTTATACTTTGATTTCAAGTTGAAATTCTGCAATTATCCATCACTGGTTCAATGCTTGGCAGAAGAAAGTCCAGTAGATAAACCAAAAGCAGTAATTGGAAGCATCCGGAATACCCTCATTCCGAAGTGTGGAGAATCAGAAGAAGGCAGGGCTTTTGGTGACGTTAAACAGCATAATAAATATTATGTTTGTCTTAAGGGAATGGCTGTTTTGCACTATTGCAGTCCAGGACAATGGTTCGATCATCAAAGCGAGAAATGCACCGATCAGCGTCTGGCCAAGATGACTTAAATGAAGGAAGAGCATCTAACTAAAGTTTAAACTTTTATCTAGGATTAACAATGGTGAAAGGGTATTATTATTGGGTAAAGGGTAAAATGTAAATGCTATAAATATTCATTTATTAAGTGGTTACTGTTTTATAAAATATCTTATATACATATCTTAGCAATCTTATCTACGAATTAAAAAACGAATAAATAAAAAAACATGTACATATTTAATAAATTTAATTTGGTCACCAATAATACAAAGAAAATTCTATTATATTTACTCCCCTTTACAGCTACAAAAAACAATTGAACCTTCACTAAATAGGCTTTGAAAAATTCCATAAAATTCCTTTTGAAAGTCCGCTAAGCTGTTAAAAGTCAAGCCGCCTGTCTCTTATAATTCAAGCTCGCTATCTTGGTGCGTTTTCGCGTGGCAAAGTCCAGACGAACGCTAATTTCTTTGTGCCGCGGAAGTGACGGCCAGCCACAAAGTTATCCCATTTAAATTTAATTACGAGATAAACGCATGTTCCTGATGTTTCTTAGGCTCAACTGCGTCCGCTAGTACTTAGGGAGCGTGCTAGCTCCGGTTACCTTAAAGCCAACTCCCGACGTCTCCGGCTATAATTAAATTGTCCAAGAATCAAGAGGTGGAGCCTTGTGGGCGGCCGTGGCAGACTGACAGGCACTTTGCGTCACTGTCGTGCGGCGACAAATTACAGGACACGGCACCGTTTGCGCGCCAACTCATCGATAGTGGGACTGGGGTTTGTGCCCAGCTCGAAATCGATTTGATTCCAAGGCAAGTCCAGACGCCAGACGCACCAGTCTCATGTTACACTTGCCATCTGATAAGAGCTAGCGACGTCCTCCTTCTCAGTAATCGTTTAAAAAGCTGAAATCCTGGATATATACGAATTTCTTGCTGATAGTTATTTCGCCAAGGGGTGGCTTAGTAATACATAAAATACTATAAGGTACTATAAGGTAGTTTGTTTATAATTAATAAAAGTTCAACACCTTTCCTTGCTACTTTTAAAAGCATTATCCTTAGCCTAGATGTGCCTACTTGGGCGCCAAAAATCAGTACAGTGAACTCTGCCTTAAACTACACAAACCCAACTGGGGGGTTAGAGAGAGAGAGAGAAAGCGAGGGTTTGGGTAGATTCTCACGAAATGCTAAAAGAGAGTAAGAGAGAAGGTCTTAGGGGTGGTTGATTTTAGGTGGCAGGTTTTTTTTTTTGCTACCACCAAAGGCGCCGGCTTCAGTTCGCCTTCAACTTCGCACCGTTCCGGTAGCCGCAATGAATCAGCTTAAATACATTTTGTGATTTAAAGTGCAACAATTTAAAAATCTATTTTTATTCTAACTACAAACTAATAAGTAAACCTTCTTGTGTCAGTGATAAATACAATAAAAACTATCTTTTTACCTGGCTGGCATAAGAAACCGAAATCATTTTCCACCCTTTTTGGAGTCTCGGTGGAGCTGTCGTGCCATCTCTCTCCCACACGGCTTGGTAATCGATAAGCTTAACAGCGGGGCTGTCCACTCGTTGGTCACTGTTAAGCTCCTGGCAGCGAGTTGTTTCGAGGTAAATGTTAACGAGACGCCAAAATAATCGCCATTAAAAAAGGACTCGTACTCGTCGCAGTCGCTGTTGAAACGTTGAGTGGGAAGCTTTCGTACGCGCTGTGCCCATACCAAGTGAAATGTCTAAAAGAAAATAATATTTAAATAAAGTACAATGTACATGAATATATGTACTAAATTGTAAGCATAAAAAGAAGCTTCAAATTAGCAGACAAACTCATGTCCTAAAAGCATTTTTAAGTGTTTAAAGTTCGTTGTGTGAGTAGCCAATAAACTAAATCAAAGAATTTGCAAAAAGAAAGTCATTCGATTTCGGCCAAGTGATAATTTTGGGAACATTACTGCTGAGGGGGGCGGCTGCTGGGAATTTAATGAAATTATCCATAAATAACAAGAGCAAAGTGCATAATAAATTCAGTTACAGTGCCATAAAGAATCTACGAACAGCGAGTGAAACTGGAACTGCGAATAGGCACCGCTTTAAAAGGATCAGGAGCAGGAGCAGGAGCGGGAACAGGAGCAAGTGCGTTGGTGGAATCGGGGGTTGCTGCTCCCGTGTATTCCCTGTATGTTCCCGTGCGTTGAGGTCATTTGCACTCATTTGTCGCGGGCCCAAAAAGGGGGTGGATTTTTGCTCGGTCCGGCCACGCCGGCATGTGAGTGAGTGTGCGATGTGTGTGTGTGTGTGTGTATATGTGAGTGTGTGTCTAACGGTTAATCTCATTCATCAGAGAGCCGCCAGCGGAGCCGTCAAGTTGAGTTTTACACATTTTACGCCTGCGAGTACTACGGGCGAGTAGTACGCTCTCTCTCTCTCTCTCTCTCTGTGAGTTTTACTCTCTTTGCTGTGAGAGCAAAAGGATTTGGGTAGCCTGTTAATCCTGTTGTCTCGCTTGCTCTCAAAAGGGGGAGTGGTATGGTCGATGGCGAAGGTCCTTTTTGTGTGCATGTGTACACACTATGGCAGGCAGCATGCGAATGTGTGAAAGTAGTGTCACACACACACACACACACACGCACAGCCCAGGGTCAGGTCAGGAAGTGTGGTAACGGTAGGATTATTCTGTTGCTTTACCACCCTACCTCCCTACCCACCACTTGGCCACCGCATCATCCTTTGCTTCTCAGTTTTGGATTTTCTAATTTCTATTTTTTGTTCGACGAGGTCTTAGCCGAGGCCCCCGGACAGGTGATTTATTTGTGTCCGCACTCCATAAAGTCCAGTAGTTCTGGCTGCAAAGCGTAAAGCGTAATCCCCAGCCATCACACGAGAGACCCATTTAAATACAGTTGAACTTGGCTATAAGGCACTGAAATGGGAAACAAATAAGTTAAAATTAATGGGAATAAAGGATATTAGGAGAATATATAGAAACAATTTTCTGATTACAATATTTAAGTATTTCTTTTTTAGGTTTATTTCAATAGCTCAAAATACTCTGAAAATATATATTTCTTTCAGTTAAGATTTGTTGAATATTTCTTTATTTATTTATATTTAGCTATTTATAACCTAAATCTAAAATTTAAGAACTGTCTCTATACGTTTTCTGACAAAGACTATATTTCTATTTCTAAGAAACGAGGCTTTTTTTCTAACAGATTATATGTACATTATAAACAGGATAAAGTAGAGTTAAATCCTGACTAAACATTTCAATGAGGTTCTTTTTTATACAAAAGAAATACCATTCCAAATAATTGTTTAAAATCCATTTTCCTTACCGAACTCTCTCTATAATATTTTGATTTAAAGAACATTTTATTTCATAACGAAAACCAAGTTAAATAACATAAGTTGGCCTGCACATGGGGATAGCGATAACTCGAGTGCTGCTGCGGGAGTGGCCAGGGCAGCCAGGCGTATTAATCATTAGCCTGACCTCGACCCTTTCGTGCGTCGGCACCAGCTAGCCAGCCTCCCCAAGCTCCCCCCCTCCAACCATTTTCCCCACTCGAGAGGAAAAACAAGTTGATGGGGCTGTCAGCTTATGTGCTGCGCTGGGCACAAATGAGAAAACTGCCAACGGCTAAACATAAAAATAAATAAATAAATTTGATTGCGATTGCGGTTTCTTGTCTGGACTTGGACTTGGAGTTGGAGTTGGGAGTTGGCCCGAGGGCCGTGCTTCCAGCCTCCATTAATCTGTCAGTGGGATTTGGCCAAAAGGCAAATCGAGGACTTTGATTTTCTTTCTTTTTTTTTTGTCGTCGTACTTTGGCTTCCGATTGCTCTTGTCATCATTGTGGCTGGTTTTTGCGTCTTGGGATTGTCTCAGCTGTCACTCGTTAGGGTTTCTTGTCAACACCCGTACGCTTGAGCCACATCCTCAACCCGTAGTCAGGGGCAGTCCACCAGTTTCACGGTTTGTCATCGCAATCGCCATGGCAGCGCAATCTCATGATTTGGCACTTTTGGAGCTTAAGGAAATGGGCATCTTGAGTGGGAAAAAGGCGAAGGGTTGGGCTTAACCCTCCAACGATGCTGGTGGTTATTTGCGGAGTATAACGAAGAAGGCCAAGCAAATTGAAGTTTTTATTTAAAAAATAAAGGATATAAGGGTTACTTATTTAAAGATATTTTGCTTGGATTTCCTACAAATAGGAAATTGGATACAACAGTTTCATTCTTAACTTGAAAATTTCAAGTCTCTTAAAAGCTTTCTCCTTGCTTTCTTCTCTTGAAAAATGATATTCCAATCAGCAAACAACACGCTCAAACAAAAAAGGACTTAATGCCGCAGAAAATGACTTCAAAAATACATGCAAACATGTCGCTGGCACAAAAGAGCTAAGCGAAAGCGATGGCCAAAACAATGCCGCCATTTTGGCTTCTTCTCACTCTTGCTTCTGGAATTACTCATACGCCATGGTGCCCCAATGCACTCCCACAGTGACGTGTTTCGACTTCTGTTATTGTTGTTGTTATTGTTGTTGTTGCACTTGCTTGTTGGCAGCTGGGTTCCGTTTTCAGCAGACAAATAGACATGCCCCATGCAGACGTGAGTCAGACACGGACGGAGACCGGCGGACACGAACACGGACGGACGGACACTGGCGGACAAGGACGGTTTGGACGGTTGGATGGTGCAAAGTGGATGGCAAACATACGTGCACGGTGGGAAAAATATGTAGCCATCAATTTGTCAATTCATCTTTATTTATTTTTGGGTTAAATAAATCTTGGAACTAAGAAGAGTGTCAGGGAGATATATTTAACTTGAAAGAAATATTAAAAACATATATATATAATTTTAATTAGTAAAGAAATCCACTTCAAAGTATTACAAGTCTTTTATATTATTGAAGAAATTCCATCAAATCTCTATGATATATTTACCCATGTTTTTTTTTCTGTGCATGCGGGTGGCGAAACAAACAGAAAACAATATATATACGAAATCCTTTCGCCATCGCTGGCGGGTGCTGGCAAAGTGTTGCAAACATAAAACACTCCGCCGCCATAACGTAATTTCTTTTGTTTATAACGTCCTGCAGTTAATACATTTGCATTGTGTGTGCGAGGTGTCGGTGAATGCTCCCCACACGATTACAGCCAGGACAACAAAGCGAGTCCCTCCCTCATCCTTTTTGGCCATTGTTGCCACTGCTTTTACTGCCCTTACTACCAAGGTTTTTCTTTTCTTTTTTTGCTGCCTGCCATATTGACTGAAAGCCAAAGTGGTCGCTTTTTGTGTGCTTTTAACGCGCTGCCAAAAATGGTTGGTTCAGGTGCGAAGAGCGAGCTCAACTTTATGTCATACGTAGTAGTATATAAATATTTATAATGCTTGGGTTTCTGGAAATCATATTCTGGAAAATCAGTAAAAAGCTTATGAGATAGACCGTTTCCAAGAGATATGTGAAAATGTTTCCTGACCCTCATCAGCTGTCGAGTAATGCCTTTTTGTCAAGGTTTCTATTAGCCATTTTAAAATGTCTATAAAAACCTTAACAAAGGTCAAGTTCAATTTAAATTTCAATACAAGTCTAGGCAGTACATAATTTATATAATTTAATTTGCAACTAATTAATTATAATACCAAATACGAACTTTCTAAGTATTGATTATATTCTAATTAAAGTTAGCCTTCCACAACAAATTATTTATTTTCTTCTATAGATGCTCTACTACTGATATAGATTTATTTAGTACAACTTCATAGTACATAGAATCTAGCACCACAATCCTGGCTACAAAAGGAACTGCAGCGAGACCATAGAAAAAAAAAATGAAACCCTCCATATCTATTCGACGAGGAAACCCCACAGGGCCATTAATTGTGTGTCGCCTAATTTTTTTTCTGTTCACTTCTACGTTGTGCTGGCCATTTTGGGCATAGTTTCAGTGGTTGTTTCTGCCGCTGGTACTGTTATTGTTCCCGTGACTGCTCCGTTACTGTTGGCCATGTTTCTATGGAGCGGCCAAAGCCGCCTTTGTTGCGTTGCCAGCCTTCTTTGTGTTGAAAAGCTAGTGCTGGTAATTTATGCGGCTTCCCAGGCACCCCAACCAACCAACCAACCAACCAACCAACCACTATACCCAACAATTCTCCCCGGTATCCTGGCTTTGAGCCTGCATGAATCTAAAATCCCAAAAAAAAAAAAATAAACGTTGGCCAAGTCAAAATTATTCGCTTTGATTTGTATTTTCCGAATTTGTAAATTAGTGGGCAATCAAACCGTAAACTTTTATTTTTTGTTTGCTGGAAAAGCGCACGAAATTGGTCGTGTATCCTCTAATGTCCTTTCGAAAGCGATTTTCTCAACTGCCCAGAAAATTGGTTGCCATGGCGACCAGGACAATAACAAAAAAATAACAACCATGGAAATACACAACATGGCACATCCACATCCCTTCCTTGCACAACATTGTGTGTGTTCATGTTTTGTATACACCTACATTTATGTGCGGATTTTGTGTTCAAGTGTGAATATTAGGTCAGAGACGTGTGTACGGTCTTGTGTGTGTGTTTTTCCTCAAGAGCAAATCGCTGTAGCTCAACATATCCTCGGGTTCTGTCTGTCTGTCTGTGTTTATTAATTGTAGTTTTCCTTTCACAATATTTTGTAGGCTGTCTTTTATTGTGGGAAATGTAGTGGAAAATGTTTATCAAAGATTGGATTAAAGAAGAAATCGTGTTGTATATTTTTAAATAAAAAAGAAATAATATAAATATAATACAAATGTACATATAATATCTTCATTATGCTTTGATTATTTGTTATTATAAGCATTCATAAAATACAAATAATATTTTAGCTATTTATAAATATCCTAAAAACATTCTTAAGATCAAAGTAATAAACCTTCTTGAAGATTTTATTTTAAAATAAAATGTCTTTATCCCAAGGCTTGGCTTATAAGTTCATATGTCTTCTTTTATTTTGAAGGTATCTCCCTAAAAAGCTTTAACATCCAGTAAAGATTAATAATCATAATAATAATAATGATAAGACCCACTCTGGGAGCATCTTTTGAGGTGGTTTCAGCTGCCCTTTAAAGGTTCCAAATACTCTAAAGCTTATTGTTATTACGGACAACTCACACCGTTGCCTCTGAGGGATAGGAATTTATAAAAAATGAAATTCATCTGAAGGGAGCCCTGGGAGCGTACAAAGCCACCCGTGGGGAGATGATGATGCCAAAAGCAGAAAGAGTGGCTCACAAAAGAGGACAAAGTGAAAAGCTATAATCAGATTTAATTAAACACGAAATTGGAACGTTGCCTGAATGTCAGCCCCGGACCGAAGGAATGTGTGTGTGTGTGTGACACGGTCACTGGCCAAGTCCTAGTTTTACTTCCAACAACATATCAGTATATACATACTATATAATATGTATAGTATGTAATAGGACTCGCTCCTTGGCTGTATTTAGCCGTGATATATGTGTGTGTGCTGCATTTTTTCTGCAGGCTGCTTCTGATTTCTCATTATTATTTCGCTTTATGTGGAGCAGCTGGCCACGATTTCTAAGTGTGATAAACTTGCTGCCTCAAAGCCCCATGGCGTTTCTGTTTTTTGTATTTTTTTCACTCGGCACAGATGGCCAGTGCTTGGAAATCAACGCCAGCTTTAGCTCTAGCTTCTTATTGCCCCCGCCTGGCAGTGCAGTTGATGCTCATTACTTTTTAACACCCCCGCCCCTGAACACACACTCACATCCTTTGGGTATCCATGGGAATCTGCATGGGGCGACAATGTATTCATGGTGTGCGCTGCAATGATAAACCCATCCACACTGCGTATACGTAATATTTCATTTTGCATTTTTAAGGGTCCCCTTTTGCGGGTCTAAATTTATGCATTGATTGCCCCGATTTATCAGAGAAATATTTGGAGTCTTCCAAATATTGATTCTAGTAAGGGTTTCAGTTGAAAGCGAGTCTATTATCTTGAGTTTTATCTTAAAGTTTCTCTAAGCAAGCAAACTAAATCTATAAAATTAAACATAAATATTCCCTAAAATTGACTTCATTTATTTTATATATTTTTTCATTAAGCTAACAATCCAAAAATGCCCTGAAAGCTAGAGTTTAATACAAAAAACATTCAGTGCAGCGGAAAATTAATTTCTGCGACCATTATCTGTCATCCGTTGCCGCAAGCTGTTGCCAGAGATTTTTTTCAACCATCAAATTCCAGTTTTTTTTAACTAAATTCACTTTTTTTTCGTTCATTTGCAGAGTGGAATTGGAAACACTGACCGATGAGGCGACACATTCGGCGCCCTGGAAAGAAAATTCATAAATGAAAGCTTCTAATTGCCGGAGAATGACAAACGCGACAAGAAATCAGCGAGAGCGAACAAAAGCAGAGCCTTCGTTTTAGGCAGCCCAAAAAAAAACAAAAAAATCAGCAGCGAAAGCCGCGAAAATTGAGCCGCCGCAACGTAGGAGATGCTGTTGATGCCCACATCCTGTGGGCCGGGGCCACCCCCCGACCATGGCCCCCCATCCTCCCACACCCATGCCCACTGCCATGCCCCCCGCCGAGCAGAAGATGATGGAGAGCCGGTCCAACGGTCAGGGATCCTGGCCTCGAGGCCCAGTTCAGGGTCGAGCATTCCCCGGTGGCTGCTAATGCTGTTGATGCTCTTCGCCATCCTGGCCCAGACACCAAGGGGCCAGGTGGCCGCCGAGAAGAGTAAACACTGTGAGTACACCTCAAATGTGGGGGGAGACTATAATTTATGGGACAGTAGATTTCATTTTTATGAAGATGTTAAGGTGGAGGATTTTGTGGGGGTTAAAAATATTATGGGGTGTTAATGATATATATTGAAATTTTAAAGGAATTATCAAGTTAAATAAATAAATTAATAATAATTAAATTTTTTAAATTTATTTCAAAAAATTAAATTCAAGTTAAGCCAAGGATATACAAATGTATCTAAACTGGAGGTTTGAATTCCATAAAAAAAGGTTTCTTAAAATGAGAACTAAAATCTTTTAGTTGCTAAATTTAGTTTAAATATTTTTCCCTTCCAATATGTAAAATGTTTCAGCATTATTTTGACTACATTTTAAAAAGATTTCTTATATATAGTTATCTTTGTAGAGCCCCCTTGTAAGTTGTATTTAAAATAATAAAATATTTATGGTCTTAAATTTTTCCCATACAAATTTCTTCATTTAAATAAAAATATGTTTGTGCTGTGACATAATGCAAAATACTTATACCAGATCAGGATATATGTACAAGTTGATATGCATATATCAAAGAAAATGCTTTCCTCCCTCCATAAACTTTGCTCTTCTTGTACAATAAAATCTGTCAACAGCTTAGTTTTATGTGTTGCTGTGCGATTTCCCGATCCGCCTTCGTTCGACAATAAAAATTTGTGTTTGAGCAAATGTAATAAAAGTGCATTAAAATGTTGCCAAACAGAAAAAAAGAAGGGAAATGCTCGAACTATAAACATATAAACACCAAGCACACACGCGAATTCTTATATACATATACATATATATTTATATATATAACCGATAAACATTGTGTGGCAAGGCTCAGGGGGTAATTCATTCAGTTTCCGCATATTGTTTATGTGGCGAATAAACAACAAATAAATACATTTTTACGATGCAGTGTCAACGTGCACACAAAAAGCACGTGCCAGAGAGCCTTCGAATCGATTGTATTTATGTGTATCTTGTACTGAATAGGGAATAAATATTGTTAAACATATAGGAAACTTGCTATATTAATGCCATATTATTTACTAATTAATGCAAGTTTTTTTCCCCATTTTCCTACCTTTAAAAATAATGCCTAAAGCTCTTGTATATTCAAGACCCATGCCTTCAGGAAAGTAATCTTTACCGTACAAGCCCAGTGTCGGAAATAGTCCGATTATAAACTGGTTGAGGGAAGCGGAACGTACGTATATGGTTTCCCCGATACGGCTAAACGGAGAATAGCGACCGCAATTGCCGACCCATGAAATGGAATTACTCAAGCGCAGCGTCGCGTCGTTGCTCATTCCATACTCCCATCCTCTCTCCTGGCCGTAGCCATGCTCAGGCAGTTTGCGTTCCGGCGACGAAAGTTGTTGCCGCAAATTATTTCCGTATTTTAGCATTAAATCATAATTAAAATTTGAAGTAAAACAACTTACATGCCAGCAATTGGGGGCAGAAAATGGCGGAGGCGGAGTCAACGTGGCTGCAAAAAGTTTGCTTCTCGAGGGCGCTGAAAAAGTTCGCTGCATACTTATTTGGGCTCGTTTCCGGCTGCCTTGGCTGCTTCACGTTTTCCTCATGCTGCTGCATTTTAAGCCCACTCCGAAGCCTAATTGCAGCCTCCTTTCTAGGGGGAAGGCATGAGTGTCGATGCCAACTGGGTTTTGGGCTCACAGATCTCAGTTTCTTATGCGGAAAATAAAATGGAAATTTGGATTTATTAATTAGGGAGAGGAAAATTATGATAATTGGGAAATAATTAAATATTTAATGATCTTAAAGTCTTCTTAATATCAGTTTTATTATTTAATTATCAAAAGATAAGTGGAAATACTGACTTCCAAGGCTTCTTTTCTACATATAACATTTCTTATTGGCAATTATAACTTGTGTGTTATGAAAAGAAAACCCCGTTTTCCTTGGCTGTATCCGGTTGTAACACTTTCTACCTAGTACCACTGTGCCCCTGTGTCTGATTTAATTTTTCTTGCTCATTTCCGGGCGACAAGGACGACGCCCGGACGCTTAGCTGCACTGGATGGAGCTCCTGCTGCTCCTCCTCCTGCTGCTCTTGTTCCTACTCTTCCTGCTTCTTTTCCTACTCCTACTGCTCCTTATTCTCTGTGGTCATACACACTCGCCTACATCCAGGCTCACACTCAGACACAAACGCGCAGCTTTCCCCTCTTCTCCCCCTTTGAGGGCTGTCCCCGGCAGACTTGTGGCCCACGTGGCGTGTACTTAATTTCCCATGCTCATTGCAGGGGCGCGTTAACTTTTTTACCGGCCACATACTTACCTCACCCTCAGCCTCAGCCTCCTTCTCCTCATCGTCCTGGCAAACCCTTTTACTGCCACCACTCATTCCGCTGTCGAGCCGCATTGAAGACTTCTCAACTCGTTGAACAAAATTTTGCACAAAAGTTTCATAATTAATTTCATGTTAAGTGGAAATGCGAGCGATGGGCGTGGTCCTGCCAGGCACCCGGTATAACCCATACCCCCCTTTTGGACTGGTGTCTTTAATTTGAATTGTCATTTCCTTTTCTTCGGCAGCCACTCCGGTGTGTCGTCTGCCAGGCATCCGGCTTGCGGGCAGGCCCACAGGCTCCAACAGCAGCATCCTTTGCCTCCTGCGGTCGCACGTTCAACTTGATTAGCGTAACTTATAATGACTCGCAGCGAGCCTCACTCAAATTCCATTCTCGCAAAACACTTGCAAACAGTTGCCTACATAAGTAAATATATATACAAGGACATATGTGAGGGGTGTGGGCTTTTTCGGGAGCCTTTGCAAGTGGTTTTCATAATTACTTTGTGTGAGCACTTCATAGTGGCAACTTTGGCGACCGAACTTTGCTTTCACGTTTGCTGTTTCCTGTCTGCTCGCCATTTACAAATATGTGTGTGATATTTGCTCGTAATTATATACCCACTATATGTGTTGTATTATTACTTGGCATTTTGGTAATTGGATTGAGTCCAATTTAGTTAAATTAAGTATGCACTTATTAGGCTGTTCCGGCTTATCACATTGATATCCTTTTTGATGGAGTTTGGACTATGTGTAGTTTGAGTGTTAGTTTGGTTTACTCAGGACATTATATAAGCCTGTTGTATTTGGATAATGAATTAAATTCCTGGTGAGATTAACTCTTAATTGGATTGAGTGTTGTCTTTGGGTTATAATGTATGTGGTTTAAGTGAAAATAAGCTTTGCGGCTACTTGGAAATTATCCAAGATGGTTTGGATAATATTTTTTATAATTTGTATATAATTTTAATAGTTTATTTAGAGTAAGATTAGGATATAATTTTAGGGAAAACATGCCCTTAAAAATCTACTATTAACAGCTATACAAATAAGGATAATAAAGATATAGAAGACACAGTCATTTCTCATAAAAGACTGGCTTTACTACAAAAAGCAAGAAGACCAAGCTGGCCCAGCTACTCAAGCTCAACCACACGGATTGTTGCACCTTGATACGTGTCCTGACACTGGCAGGAGCCCCAAGAATTAGGAAGAGAAAGAGACACCTTGAACACCTCTTTACCCCCACTTAACCCTTTTATCCTAATATAAACCAAGCTCTTTAAAACATGGTCCACTTAAATTCATGTACATATGTATATATATCTATATCTATAATTTATATAATTTATCGATCTCATCTGTTGTATCCATATACTTAATTCAGAATATAAGTATAAGCATTTTATTGGATTTCCCTTTGTAATAGCTAAAATGCGTATGTTTTGACAAGGGACACGACTGACAGCTATCCAGGACCTTACCTCTCCAAGCCATTGTGCGATTTCCTGCAATAATGCGAACATTATACAATTTTTGAAAAATATGTCACGTTGCTGGGGAGCCAACTCCAACTCCGCCTCTGTCTCTGCCTCCTCCTCCAACTTGCCTGCCTTCCCCTAACCATTCTCCCTCGAATCCAACTCAAACAGAAGCTTGATGGCCGCCTGCCAATAAATTTGTGAGAAAAACAACTGTCGACGAGGACGAAGAAGTGGCATAAAACTTTTGCTCTTTGTGTGGCATAAATATGAATGGATTTGGACTTGGACTCCGGGCTCTTTTGAGACTCAAGGGAATGGCAGGAGGCAGTGGGACCAACTGGTCCACTGCGGCATATACTTTTCCTCCTCCCCCCAGCTCCACCTCCTTCCCACACACTTGCAAATATTCCAGAATGAGTTTCAAGCTGGAACCCTATGCGGTCTTCCCACGTCGACGGTTCAGTTCACAAAGGCCAAAAGGACTAAGAGAGCGTGCGGAGGGGCAAGGACTTTCCATGGGCAATAAATTTTAATTTTCCCTAAATCCTTGCGCATACGAAATGAGATTTGTAACAAGCCGCAGCAATCATCTGGCTTCGCTTTCTTTTCACTGCCTGAAAATTTTCTCTAACTGAAGAAATTATTGCCTATGGCATATTTTCATTAATTGTGAGTGGCATAATTTGAGTTTGAATAGTTTAAAGTTTTTAAGCCTTTTTACAGTTGGAATTGAAATTAATGAACTTGACTGAGGACTTTTAAAATAAATGGGGAACTACTAGGACAAATAACTTAGTTACTAAGAAACTGCTTTTTAAGATCAAGGGTCTAGGTTTTTGTATTGTAGAATTTTGTAGAATCTAGAGGTTGATATATAAATGCATTTATATATTCAAGTTCAAGCTCTAATAATTCCCTAAAAATTTTTTAATCAATTTTCCTTTAAATGGAATCATACAAGTGTTTAAATTCTACTTTAAATGATAGGGAAAGTAACTAAATGAAAGAAAAGCCTTAATATTTGAACCAATTTTCCTTTTCATATAATCATACAAGTGTTTAAAAATAATTTCATAAAAAAAGCTCCTATTATGACCATCATTTATTACATAAACCAGATTTGTTATTTGCCTTAATTCTATACCCTTAATACCTCCATTTCTAACACCATTCACTCGTGGTGCTGTCGCCTGCAATTCCCTAACCTCCTAATAATAAATCTTGGCTGAGTGACGATGACTCAGCTGCTTAGCGATCCCTGGCTCCCTGGAGAGCCGGCCAAGCCAGGCCAGGCCAGGTCACAGTCAAATGCGCAGATAAATGTTTATGGAAGATAAATTGCAGCCAGCGGATAGAAATCAGGCAACGCATAATAAATTCCATTTGTAGTTCGCAACTCTCTGGGCCAGAGGAGGCGGGGTAAAAGCGATGCCAAATCGAGTATTGATGCGTTGGCATCCCGCGGCACAATGACGACGACGACGACGACAAGGACGGTGTCACTGCCAAAAAGCCCCCGCCAGCCTCCAGCATCCATCCATTCCCCTCACCTCCTCCTTCGATTTCTACCGAGAACAGCGAACAATGAATTCGTTCGACGCGAATTGGTTTTGCGAAATTGTCCACGAACGTGGGCGGATCATTTATCAATATTTCCGCTCTGCTGCTGGAGAGAGTCGGAGTAAGTAATCGCTTATTATTCCGAATCGTTCGATAAATGCAATACATATACGTACATATATGTGTGCCCCACTAACCCCGAACAGCAGCGAATTTTCAAATTAAATTTATGTGTAAAAAAAAAAACAGAAAACACACATTCTGTCAGGCCTTTGAATTAGGTTTGACAAATGGAATTCTGGGTATTTCCCCAGCCATGAATGACCCATTTTTAATTGGCTTATTTATTGACAACTGGGATACATTTCGTTTCGTTGGTATTTATGCCAAGAAATATTTGTAACTTTATGTAATTTTATTTGTAAAACAAAGTTTGGTAATTGAATTGAGGAAAGTTTATAAGCACGACTATGAGGTACCCGGTACTCAAATGAAGATTAGGAAAATGTTGCTAGGAATATGTTGCACAACATTTCAAGATTGAAACCTAAGTTTGAGGCTTGACTAATAAGTGAACGAGATGGTTATAGAAGGTTGCAACTTTCTTGGCAACTCAGTTCGGTATTCAGTGACTGCCCAAGCCCATCATTCCTTCATTTAATTTCGAAACCTTAAAGCAAAACACCGAAAAAGCCTTGAGTACTGCATTGATGAATTCCACAAATCCTGGCAGGACCAAAAGAGACTCCGAGAGAGAGAGAGATAGCCCTGAAGAAAACTGTAAGAAACGGGCCACAAAGGGGCATAAAATGAGTTGAACATTCCGGGCATTGTGCCTTCAGTTAAGCACATGAATCCCTTTTGTAATCAAATGCACAGAAAATTGTATTCTATTCAAGAAAAATCCAACCGAGAGTCCCAAACCTCTTTCGTGTCGTCCTGATGGGCTTTGTATCGGGCGGAGACTGGGCTCTTCCTTTCGTGGGGGCGGATATGTCCATCTGTATCCCTCTCTCACTCTCTCTTTGTGTGTGTGTGCGTGATCCACTTAGGCGTTGCAGGATATATCCACGCGTCTGCAAAACAAAGCAGCAAAATTATCCAAGACTCCTTCGCTGTGGAAGGCGGGGCTGAGGGCGTGGCTGGAGGCTGAAAGCAAAATATTACAAAAAGCGCCTAGACAATAGCACCGAAATAAGTAAACAACAATAATAAGAAAAACAACAACAGCAAAAAAATAAAATACAAAAACAAAAAAAAAAAAGGAGCAACAACAATGGCGTAATAAACTAACGGTAAAGCTAAACTCGCCCGGCAAAACTATGCAAAAAGTTGGCTCTTTGTTTCGCAGCACCAGCAAAAATGGAATTAATAAAAGGAAAAATGATTTTTCGAAAAATATTTAAGCCCTCTCCGTTGGCAGTGCCCCCCTTTTATAGGCCAGATAAGACCGGCAAATGCCGGCGAGGGCGGCGCAAAATTTAATTAACAATTTGTGAAGGGGAAATAAACAAAAGCCCCGACGGGCTTTTTGCCCCAACATCATTGGATATCCAGCGGGCTCATCTGGATTTACCTTCCCCCATTGCCAGGAGCAGGACCAGTGCCAGTGCCACTGGGGGGGCTGATCTAGTCCAGGGATTGGGGAGCCATTCGATGGGTGCATGACAAGTTGAGCGCTCCTTGACAAGTTCTTAATGAAAAGTTGAAGAGCGCCCGTAATTAAACTGCCCTGTTGCAGCGAGCGCCGCTTGCAAAGTTTGCTTAAAGGACACCAATTTGAGTCCTAGGTCAGGAAAACTATTCAATAAAAGCGTTTTCTTTTTTGAAACAAACTTTTTTAATACTAAATCGGTGAATTGAAAGGGAGGGAAGACACCTTAAACAGGTATAAAGTTAAGGCATGTTCTAGAATAAATTATATAATATATTATATATTAAAAAATCAAATAAATACAGGTAATTGAATTTTAGCTAGAATATATATATCATGATAAGCAATTATATTCGCGTTTCCCAGCTCAGATCGGAAGCTAGGTATAAAAGTAAAATGTGAAATATAAATTCTCCAACTTTTGACTATTCAAACATTTTGACAAGCGACAATTCGCCTGATTATTGGAAAAGAATCGCTAGACAGGCAAGGCAAACTTCAAAAGAATCTTATCGTCTCAACTGGGTTGCTTTTTGTCGCAGCTCCTGTTATTGTCCATTTGCCACCCCCTTCTGCTCCTCCACAGTTGCTTCATTAGTTTGGCACTTCATCTTCGCTGCACGCTCGAGTGGCCTTGGTCTGAGGTTGCCACATCCCAGCAGTGGCAGTGGCACTACGCCCGCTTTGAAAAGTGACAAAAGTTTAATGATGCGTTTAAGTTGCACGTGGCACGCCCTTTGGCGCCCACTGTGTGCTCCACAGGACTCTCGACAGCATGATTTGATGAGCTCTACGCATTGCAATGTTTGTTTGCTAAAAGCCTGATCCTGCTGCTCCTCCTCATCTTCCAGCTCCTGCTCCTCCTCATCCTCCTCCTCCCTCAGGGGCATTCAAGAAATTGCAGCTGCTGGCAGGCTATTGATTTTTATCACGTAACTTCCAGACAAATTAAGGGAGTAGCTACTCTGACCCCAGGCAGTAAGTTAACCAAATTAACCAGAGAATAAATTTAACCTTTGGCTCTTCCGAGAAGATAAGATACTTTATTATAATAATTAAACTATTAAAATCCAGATAAATTCTTAAGTGAGTTAACAATTTTAAAAGTGTAAAAAGTAAAATCCCCATCTTAATCCTGATTAATTTCAATAACCTTAGAATCCTCCAGCTGCTTAAACTGTATCAAAATAACCAAATACGTGGTGACCGCCGAAAAGATCTTAAAAAGCGTAGAGTTGTCAATAGAGAAAAATCCATAGGCTGTAAACTGCAACTCCTGCTTGATGCTCTTGGTCAGAAACTTGTCGGCAATGTTCTGGAACTGCTTGCTCTTGCCATAAACCCGGGCCAGGATCTGGGCCGTGCCATTGGCCTCGGAGGCCAGACAATCGCAGGCACTACAAATCACCGCCATGGTGATGGTCTCAGCCAGAACCCAGGCACATGACAGGCCCATGGTATCAGCCACTTCCAATCTGGAATTGGTCGCACTGGCGGTCAGGGTGGCAAAGGCCAGGTAGCTCTGGTTGGTGACCGTATAAAAGGCAAAGCCAAAGAAGAATAGAAGAGCCACTCCAGCCACGGAGTTCATGTTTTCGGTGATGTAGCGGAATTTGCAGAGCACCTCTATGAGATTACTTAGCTCCCGCCAGTTTTCTCCGCTGGAGACGCTTTCCTGGAGGATAAAAGCATCTAGCTTACGGTTGAGGAAGCCAATTCGCAGGCTCAGATTCATGAGTATAGTGCGCAGGTAAATCGAGAGGACAGTAGAGTAAAGCAGCTGCAGGAAGTAGACCAGAAGCAGGATGCCCTGCCTCCTCGAACCGATCCCGCTTTGAAAATGGATGTAGTAAAATGCCACTCCCAGGACTCCGGTTGCTGCAGTGGCCACCAAGGTGCCCAACTTTCGACAGCTGTAGTTCTCCCGGAAGCCGCTCACCTCCAGGTACTCATCGATCCTTGCTATCTCCCTCAAGGTGCGGCAATGACGGGATGCATTCTGAACATTGGACAGGACCATCATTGTGTAGCTACCGATGCAGAGGAGCGTCTCAATCGTCCTGTTGATTTCCTCAGTGTCACCCTGGGCACTGGCCACCAGTCTGTACTCGCGGGAAGCAAAGAGTACATCCTCGCCAAAGAAAAGCGAACTGATCAGCATGATGAGGGCCAGGAGGCGGCCATACCAACGGCCAAGTCTGCCCAGCCGTAAAGTCTCCTCGTCGTCGCCGGTATAGAAGGGCACTAGGGCGCAGAGCTGCGAAGGCAGGGCTATGGCTTGGATATCCTTCAGGATCTTCATGGTGATGAGAACTGTTTGGCGAGAGTTACTAAAATGAGGTGTATTCTAGGTGTAGTCAAAGGGTTCATTAGGTTAACTTGGCTTTCAGTGAGTTATGAGCTGTAATTAAAATTAATTAAGCAGTTAATTAAGATACTATATTATCAGAATCGTGAATATATATTTATTACAAGACAAAGGGAAACTAGCTTAGGGAAAGCTTTCTTCTCTGTTTCACCTTAATTTCTCTATAAATATATTTAAATTTCCAAGTATTTCCTTTAACTTTACCCAAGTCCTGTTGCTCTACCCATCACTGCTAGGCTCTTGAATCTTGACTGATGATGGAGGCTAAGTAGTTTCCGTGGTACAATTACAATCATTGGCTAATTACCAGCTAATGCGACCTGTCATAATGGCGCCCTGACATAAATATCCGCGGAACTTAAAAGCCCCTGTCCATTGCGTCACGTAAATTGCCCAATTACTTTGACAAACCGCCAGCGGCGAATGGAGCTCGATGAACCACGTGGAATGGCTTGTCGAAGGACATCCCAGAGGCAGTCAGTCGTTGGAGCAAGAGCAGAGATTATGCTCATTATGCAAACGCCTTGGAAGGATGAGCTCGTCGAGGCGAAAGGCATTTACTTCAATTATTTCATTAAAGGAGGAGGAGTAGGAGGAGCAGCAGGAGGAGTAGGAGTAGGAGGACTATGAGGAGCAGCAGCAGCGACAAAAGTCCAGGGGCGTCATCTGTGAATCCTTGTGGCCATCGCAGCGCCTCGAAGATGCCATCGAATTTTGTGTGCCGCTAATGGAGCGTGTGAGTCCGGCAGCAGCTGTCGGAGCCAGCAGCTTCGGCTTAGTCAACTAAAAAGAGCATAGGTCGTGGGATAATGCACTGGAAATAATTTTAAAAAAATCGGAATAGACTTTTTCTTGATTTATATTTATGAAAAATATTTTTAAAATATTTTCCTAACTGCTTAAAATAATTATCAAGTTGTATTCACTATCAAAACTTACCAAAGATATATCTATATCTCCTTCTATTAAATGAATTTGTATCCCTAGTTTAAGGTCTTTACCTTTTCCTCAGTGTATCCCTTTGTGGGGGCGTTGACATCACACGAACGCCGGAGGTCACTCGGGGGCCAGTAAAATTCAATATCGGAGCCCAGGAAATTCATTGTTTAACCTTTGTTGCTTAAATTGCTCAAATTCCTGCCATTAGTTTGACAAACGAGCCAGCGAAATTATTTTGTTGCAACCAAGTTGCCGGGTACATCCGGAGAAGGAGCAGGACCGGGTCGGGGATGATCGAAAACCAACCAGATTTTCAGGCTAAAGTTTTTGCCACAGCGCCGAAAGCTGTAGCAGCAGCAGCAAACCAACAACTCTGACCCCCAATCCGCAATTCCCCAGCTCCTCCACACACCAACCGAGAACCGAACTTTCCTCCAATTCCAATCCTCGTGCTCGCTTTGGGGCACGCACTAAGCTTGCCCCTGTTGCGGTTTCGCTACCGTTGCCGTTGCCGTTGCCTTGGTCCGTTGCTCCTTGTGGCATCCTCGGATGTGCCGGTTACTCGGTTATTCCATTGCTGCAGATTTATTTGCGGTTTTGCATAATCACTGAAAATTAGTTTAAAATATTTACATTAAATTTGCATTTCGATGTCTGGGCCTGGGGTCTCTCTTCCTTTGGAAATGCCAAGTATAAGCCCTTAAATGGGCATTAGCCTCCTGGCTGGGTTTCCGTACCCAAAACTCTAAGTGGAGGGCTAATTAAATGAGGAGCCTTGATTAACTAGAGATTATTTTTAGGGACCCTGTCCTGTCAAGGCAAACATGTCTAGCGGGAAATTGGTTTAAATTAAATTTATTACTATTTATTTATTAGTAAACTAGCAACAAAAAGGATAACAACCAGAGGAATTTGTTTTACAAATTGTTTACCAAATCTAAGCAAGATATTTGGTTTGTAAATTCAATTTTTAAGGTTCCTTTAAAAGGAGAAAAAGTGTTATTACCGACTCACCTCACTCTAGGGCACCTTTAGATTCAATAAATACATAAGTTTTCCTCATATTTTTCTTCTGCTTTTCAAAAGTTCTTCTAAAATAAACATTTGCCCAAGCAATTTGAAACTTTCTCTAATCACAGCCTCGCTGCCAAGTTAAAATTGTCAAATAAAAACCTCTCACAGTCATCGTTTGCACTTGCAATATTGTATTTGCTTTCATATTTGCAATACTCAATGATTATCCTTGGGTATATCCTTTGGGAATACTGCAACTTTGACTCACTTGCTTACCTGTGTGCCAACGAGCATTATAATTCTCAGCTTCCATTTGCTTTTATAGTCATATTTGTCCAGTCGATACCCTAAAGGTGCCGGAACTGGTGATGATTGAAGCTTTCAAGGATACACTACACAGTGAAAAATATTACAAGTTTAGCTAGATATTTAATATAAATATTTTATAAAGTTAGAACTACGCTAAGCCTAGTGGTTTATTTACAGCTTACTGAATCCTTTATTTGCCAAGGTCGTTGGTCCAAGTGAGTGTGACTGGTGTCCCAAGGAAATTGAAGGCAACTCGTGAGGCTAAGGACAAAGTTAGAGCAGCAGGGTAAATATAATTTACCATCGGGCATAAAAAGAAGACATTGAATGTCCACAGAGGCAACTCCGGAACGAAAGAAAAAACTGCACTTGGAACGCATTTAGGACCTCCAAACACATCCGGCAGCGGAAGCATTAAGCTGCAGAATAGCCTCTCCTCTGGCCATTACCGATGCCATTCCGAATGCAGCGAGTTATGATGACGAAGACGATCCTGTTTGCCAAGTTGCCCTCCAGCAATGGTGGGGATTGGATTTCTACCATCAAGATAAGTCCAAGGACTGGCAACATTAAGTGTTACCCAGCTACTTGGAAGCAGCTTTGGTGGCGGCATTATTAGTCGATTAATAACGCGGGTAACAAAGCCCTGAAATTAATTATGCCAATTTTAATCCTTTTGGCAGTGGCAGAGGCAGTGGCTCAGTCTTAGCAAATGACATTGCCACCGAATAATCCCAGCCATTAACTGAAAAATTGGCTTTCGAGTGGCAGATGAGACCGAGAGTGGAGGAGGCTCTGTGTCGGACTTAATATTTTCATGAACACGCCGGCCAGATTGAGGATTTCCTTCTTTATTTTTTTTTTGCCAACTCTCGTTCCCTTTTCCTCCGGCTTTAATCCGAGCATTATCCCTAATTTCGAAAATGTCGTTTTCCTGTGTTTTTGCTGCCCTGCCATCAAAACTAAGCCCTGCCCCCGGTCCGAGTGGTTTTCATTCCAGGCCCAAGTGGTTTTCCTGCTCTCCAGTACTCATCCTCCTCGATGTCTTTCTCCCCTTCCTATTCCTCTTCCCAGTCCATTTGGGTTCTATCTTTGCTGCTTTTCCTCCTTTACTCCCTGCGAGTGCATAAACAAATTGAAGATAAACATGCTTATGTGTGGATATATCCTGGAGAGTTCACTGAAAAGATAAGGGAAAAGTATAAATTAAGATAAAATATTTACTAGAATTTGAGCCAAGTAGATTTACTCTATTTTATCCATGAGATACTCAGCTTATCTTTCACATATAATGGAAAGAATTATATTATTTAGAAATCTAAAATATTTAAATAAATCACAATTAAAATATATTTCTTTGACTGCATTGTAAAGCTGAACTTGAAGCATGTTGCAATTTCAGCTGGCGAAGCCGCGACTCCGCCCCCCATTGCAAATGGAATTGTTTTCCCTGGCGCTGCCGACATTTGTGTCAGAAATGCCTTAATTTATAGAAAATGTATCTGTCGGTTGGGAAGGGACTCCATCCCAGAACTGCCATGACTGTCGCATGGGCTTCAACGTCCTGCGCGGCGGCTTTCGTTTGTCTTTCACTTCACACAGAAGACCCGACAGCCCGAGGGTAGCTCTCCCTCCTCCCTCCTCCAATCCCAGTCGAAATTCCACTTCCTTCACCCTCTTCGCTTCTGTCCTATCTCGGTATATCTGCTTCCCCGGGGGCTCAGCGCAGATGCATGATAATCCCGATACGTACATGGGGGGGGGAGGAGTAAACACTGGCAAACACCGCTCCACTACCCACAATCCTGTCCAGAAATGATTGAGGGATTTCTGGCCGCCTAGGAGCCAATGATAACGGAAGCGGCAACTGAGCACTTTGCTCTCCATTTTCACTCCACAACGTAATTGATATTTTACAATTGTCTCTGACGGTTCATTTTCCTAGGTCCCCGGTTCCTCCTGCTCCTCCAACTCCTCCTTCTGATCCCTCGTGTGTCTGTGGCAAATTGTGCAGAAACTCTATTTCTATTTCTCACATTTCCCGTGCTCTGTGCCCTTCCCATATGGGATGCAGATATAGATACGGATCCGTGTGCGGATGCGGCTACAGATGCACATGGATCTGCGCCGCGCTGAGCGGAGCTTCTCCATTTGTCGCTGTCGATGTTCCAGTGCCAGCTGAGTGAAATTATTCAAGCAGTACCAGCTGCAAGTGAATTTATCAGGACAAAGGAACCTCCAAACAGCTCAGATGACATAACTTTTTATATATGCATATTCAGGAGTGTGGCCTAGATATATGTTTCCAAGCGAATTTGCCACAAAAGTTGATTTAAAATATATATTTTTCTATTTGCTAGAAATATGTCTTTAAAAATATATATTTTTCTCTATTTTCTAGATCTTTGTATTGGATTTTTCTGTATTTCCTACATGAATTTAATACAGAAATATACAAAAACCTATCTCATAAATAGATCTAGGAAATAGTGAAAAATGTATTTTAAATCAATTAAAAATGTAAGTAAAAGTAGGCAAGAAAATACTTTACAAGACCTAAGATTGTAGAGAGCTGTTTTCTTATTTCTTAAGACATTCAATATATTGTTAATAATTACTAAGACTAACCTAAAACTAACCTTGTCCTAATGCAAAAACTATTACCCAAACCCCAACTAATATAAACCATATTTCGTGGCTATCATGGTTATGAAACATTACTTAACGCTAATCTGTTAAGCCCTCGTTAAGGTCATGACTCGTGAAATATTCTTCACCGGCCTGGCTTCAGTGTTTACTCACTAGAATATATTTTTGGAGGGGCAAAGCACAGAAGCCAGAGGAATAGCTGCCTCCAAAAATTTTCCACGGAAAATTACTCACCAAGTGGCTTGCGGCCAATTTGTGCAGGTGGCATGGATGGGAGGGGTCGACCACGCCCACTATTCCACCTTTTCATTTTACGCCCAGGCCAGAGCTCTTTGCTACACTCGGCTATTTACTTTGCCGGAGATCAAAGCGAAATGTGTAACGAAATTGCCAATTACATATAAAGCAGCAAAAACTGTCTACCTAGTGAGGGAAAGACGGTAGGGAGAACCTAATACACTAGAGAAAAAAATTATTAGATAATTTTTAGATACTTTTAAATACAAGTTAGAAATTAGCCAGATATTTTTAATAGGTATTTGGTATTTACCTTTCGATGAATATTAATTCTAAGCTTAGTAAAAGTTTTATGAAAGTTTTATAACATTTAAATTTCTCTCTGTGTAGAAGGGTGGTTGAAACTAAAACAAAGGGCAGCCGGGTCTGTTCACAATTCAATCCAAATTGTGAATTCAATTTTGAAGTTGGCAACACGGCGACGACACAACATTTGTGACCGAAAATGAGGCATTTGCTGGGAGCCAGGACCTAGCCGAGCCTCACATGATGATGGCTCTTTTCTGACTCCTCCCCTCTACCCTCCTCGGTTTTGGGCGTAAAACGAATTTGTAGTGAATTCCTTGGGCGTGCTCCTGCCCTGCTTCCTGCTGCCGCCTCCGCATCTCGGCTCGCCAGGATGCGGCGTCATCTTTTCGTGTGCGTTTTATTGGGGGCGAAATTGAATTAGTGCGGCGGTGGCGGCGGCGGCGGCGTCGGCAGGAGCGGAAGCGGTTGCTAGGCAGGAAATTGCCTGAAATCAGGCGCACGTAAGCTTAGAGGGAGGGAAGTGTGGTCTCCCACTTAAACCCACCCGACCTTACCCGGACTCTACTTTTTCCAACTCACATTATTGTGTTTCATTAAAAACCCGCCCGTTGTCCTGCGTCGCTTTAATGGAGAAGAAGCCGGAGCCGTTGCATCCCATTTGCATGTGCCGATGTGTCCAGCAGCTCCTGGAAATGGCTCTCGTTTCGTGTTAATGCATTTGGCACTTAAGCGCCATAGTTTGCGCCATCAAACTAATTAAAAGTTGCTTAAATAATGCGATATTATTTTCACATTGCCGCTTTGTCTGCAGCTGGCATCGACTTCCTGCCATTGAGGTCCTGTTGATTGAGCCAAGCGGAAGCTGTCCCCTTTGGAACAATTAAAAACTTATCACTAGGAGGGAGGAGTGCTCAGCGAGTAGAGTTTTATCGAATATATAGAAAGATAATGGTAGAAAAATAGCTTAAAGTTGTTTTAGTAAATATATATTTAATTTTTTAATTAAAAGAAGATAAGTATGGCAAAAAAGACTAACTAATTAGCTCTAGAAAAACTATAATTCCTTAAATATTGCTTTCATAATTCAATATAAAAATTGTTATTAATTTATATTAAACCTTTCTAAGCACTTAAAAAATCATAAATTCAACTCTGGTTGCACCTGCCAGGTTATATAGTTCCCCTTACCAACTCATTTACTATTATTTTTTCAATTTAGAAAGCTTATTTCATGGCTCAGCCTGCGTGTAGATTAGGTATTAACGTGTGCGTTGAATTTGAGATCAGGTATTATGCAAATCCACCGCATCCAGTTGCCAGTTGCCAAACTGCACTCTGGAAGGAGCTGCTGCAGGAGCAGCAACTAGTGAGCCCGGGGAACATGTGCAAGTAATACGCGAAGCGAAGCGTAAATGAATTTTTCATCCTTCCATTAAAATTTAAGTGCACATTTTCCGGCACAACGCACGAGACGCCGCAACGCCATTAAGCCAAAGGAAGTTGCCAGCGGAGACGTCCGCAGACGTGTGTTGGCGTGGGCGGGGTAGAGTCCTGATGGAGGACGGAGGACGAAGGACCTGTGTGGTATGAGAACTTCAGAACTGTTGAGTTTACGGCATATTTGGGTTATGGAAATATTAAAATAAAGTATAGAGATAAGAGTTTATTTCACGGAGTGGCAAGTACAACAAAGGTATAACTCTTTTTAACGGAGGCAGAGATATGTCGCCGAGGATGGTATGTATTAGGTGTTAAAATAATATTAGGATATTAGGCTTATTTAAATTCCAGTTAGTCTCTTAATAAATAGAATAAATAAGCATAACCATAAGAAATAAAATTAAATTAAATTAAGCCTCTAAATACCTTCTTACTTCTTAATCACTTAAATTAAACCCTCAAATTACTCTTCTTCCTTTCAGACTACATGCAATCCCTGTGCAAGAACCACTTCCTCCAACAGCTGTACCGTAAGATCGATGGCGCCGTGCTCTGGTCACAGAACGAACGCAATCTGGACTGCATCATCACCTTCCAGACGCACTCGGTGCTGCAGCGCTTCATGCTGCGCTTCGACATGCTGCAGCTCGACTGCAACGATCACCTGCTGGTCTACGATGGAGCCCATGCCGTTTCCACGCCCAAGGTGAGTCCCCAGGAAAATGTCTTCTTACGGCAGATGTGTAATTACACCCACGAGAGAAAGAGAAAGAGCTCTGAGTGCATTGAAATCGCGCAGAGGGAAAGCTACGTGCCCCACATTTTTTATTAGCAAAAACACCCAATTTGCATATGCAAATCGAAAAGGTAGCGGAAATCTGATTGAGAGGAGATACACTGAGGGCTTTTAATAGGGATTTCAGGAAATTGAAAGTCCTGAAAGAATTGAAAAATTAATTATAATTGTAATAGAAGTTTAATATGTATTTAAACTTTTTAAAAATACAAATTTTAAGCATTTATTTTTAATATTTCCCTAAAAAGTAGCAACCCCTTTGAACCTAGTATTTGTTCAAGTGCACTGAACTGACTCGAACACTTTATTGATCCGCCTGAAAACGGCTAATCACGTGAGTGGGTCGGCCAACGCCGTGTGAACAATTAAATTGTGGCAGAAACGCAGTCAGAGCTTCGTTTCCCAGTGCCAGTCCATGTTCATGCTCATCTCCGTGCTGCAGGGAACTGGGAAATGAAACTGAAGCATCTGTAATTATGTGCATACACACGGGAGGTACAGAGGCACGGTACGCCTACGTATGTGCGGATGCACAGTAGATTGAATTATTGCCAAGTGAACTGTGAAACAGGCAATTCAAATTAGAATCACTCATGGCAGATGATATGTATGCAAATGTGCATATATGCTAAGTGAATTAAGCGATGTTGCTTCTCCATTTTCGTAATCAAATAAAGGCCATTGCCATATCACAGCTCCTGGTGCAAGGCAAATCAAATTCACCCTCTCTCTCTATATAGTATATATATTGATGTAAAAAAAAAAAGGTAAACCAGAAGCCCAGCATAAATATTTATTTATAGATTTTCGTTTCATTTGTTCAGCGATATGTTTACTTGCGGCGGGGGTAATGTATATTTAATTTGTCCCAGTTGGGTAGAAGATAGCATCCAGGCGGGCCATCAGCGTGCATATTCATATATTTGCATACCTTCATTACGGAATCATTTACTAGGGCATTCTTTTCATGTTTCCAAGCCTAATATTCAGACACTGAGAGGCAAAAACTGATACAAAAAATGGAATTTTGTATTCATTTATTTGGAAAAATGTAAATTAAGGCTGTTTTTTTCAGATTTGCTATTAGCATAAATGGTTTAAATTGTTTTCTGTAGTTTTTTATTTACAAAAAATTATATGGTTGCTATTTTTATGAGTGGTTTTTATATCTAGGTACGCCCACATAATTTTTTTCTTTAGTTTTTATTATATATACAAAAATATTACGTATACGCATTATGCATACGCCAGGTTGTCTTCCTAAAATCACTTTTAATTGGTAAACTCTGATTAAGTATCATTTTAAAATGAAGCTGTTTCGGATCTTAATAAGTGTTTCACTCACTTAAAATAATCCTGCTTAAGCCCCAGTTGTAAACCATCTCAGCTTTCGGTAATGTCTTGTTAAATTCCCTCGAAATTGGCCTCTGAGAGGGCGAGAACCCATTGATGCATTCCCCTATCGATTACATGCCACATCCCTGGAGCTGTGCTCTATCCCGGGTAAGTAACGTTTAAGGAATCCGATGACGCCGCCCACACATCCTTGCATATATGTAAATATGCTCTGGCATCACATGTCGATAGTTAAGGCCAATCATTGCTTAGTTTGCGACACACTCGAAGGCGCATCTAAGGCGGCAGGCAGACTAGGGGGTGGAGTGGGTGGTTTGATCGAAATTCCCAGCAATTTGTTGTTTTTGTTGGTGCCCCGAACTATGCAGGCGGACTGAAGGCAGAGGGTGTGGCAGGAGCACAGAGGAAGAGGAGTGGCAGCCGCAGCTACCGCATTATCCAGATCACGTTGATGCTTCTGACATTTTAGGTTCAATCCCTGTGGGGCTTCCGTTCAGCCAACATGCTGCACTCTACACACACACACTGGCACACACTCTGACACACACATGCATGCAGGCATAATTTTGTCGCTGCAACATTCGCAATGATGACAGCCGGAGCAAGGATGTGTGCGGGTGCCTGGTTTCCACTGCGGCAGCAATGCGGCAACAGCTTCTGGCGCAGCTCCTTTTGCTGATAGCTCTGTGATTTTATCAGCCAACAATTTCCATTTTTCATTCGACCAGCCGCGACACACCCTACCGCCCCTTCACTGCATTATTTAACGGCGGACTTGCTGGCAATGTGAGCCAAGGAAAGTGGCCACAAATAGAGCGCCCATAAGCCAAATCCTTTATTTGCCAACGGAAGCGGCGACAGTGCCACTACAAAAATATATAGAAAAGAAAATATGCATAAAAAATGTTGAGCTAGAAAATTAGAAAAATGCCAGCCAAGGCAGCCCCCTTCCCCCTACCTTCACTCTCTCTCTCTATCTTTTTCTCTCCAGGGAAAACCTTGAAACTGGATGTGCCAAAGCTGAAAACAAAAATGTGTTTCAGCCGCTTTCTGTCGCCTGTGTGGCGCGACCCAATTTCCCTGGTGGCGATGGCACTAGTTGAGGTTCTTGTGGGGCCTACAGCCTCCTTACAGCCACACTGGGCCACTGCCAAAGCTCTGTCATCTTTCATGGAGGAGAAACCGAGTGTGTTCCCATTGAGTGGAAAAGGCATTCTGTTTGCCAGGTTAGAGGGGGTAAAGTCTACATTTTTTTTAAAGCGATTTAAATTTATTTGAAATAAGAAATAAACTAAAGAGAGCTAAGAAATTTTAGATTAAATATATTAGGTAACAATACAAGGCTCCTCTCATAACTCTGAACCCATTTAAATTCCAAGTACACCCATTAAAAACGACAAAATCTTGGCCTGAAACTTTTCAAAATGAAAGCAAAGTCATAACCTTTTCCGAATCTAAACCTGTAACAAAAAGCTAAAGCTCTGAAGCAAGTGGAAATTGCATTCGAAATGACATCGTAAAGAAAGCCATTTCCCCGGGTTTTGCATCCCCCAACAAGCAGACTCCTCATCATCCTTGAAAGGAGCTTCGACTACTGAAGCATTATCGAACACCAAAAACGAGCCACATCAATATCGATGGCTTTGAAATTAACCTTAATTATGAGGGCTCTCTCTCTCTGAGTACATGAGATGCGGAGTTCGAGTGACAGTTATTGGCCAAGGGCAAAGTCAACTGTGATTTCAAACCACCTTCCTCCCCAATCGTAAATAAGTTAGCTGGGCCATAAAAGCGAAAGTATCGTAAAATCGTTCTGCCAAATCAGCGATGAGGACCCGGGCAAGGACAATAAGGCGAGCTCAACAGGCGCCACCATCACTCAATGGACCAGAAATGGCAATGGGAATGGGAATGGACTAGGGGCCACAACCTCTAAATCAAACAAGGCCAGCACGCACGTACGCCTTCATGGCCCTGAACAACGAGAATGGATGAGGCACTGAATCACCCAAATCGCCATTGGAGCACTGCAATGCTCCGCCTGTCAAATTAAGACACACTCATCGGCCCTTCGGAGGCTGTAATTTGTGGTGTATTTATTAGTGGCAAAGGTGGGGGGGAGCAACTCCTTATCGATACCCATAAATTAATGTACTTCGATTAAATAAGAGATGTTTTTAAGGAAAGTTAATAATATATATTACAAGGCTTCTAAAAGTGGTGTATATTTCATATATAAAGAAACTCTAGGAACTTAATAATATATATTCTAAAAGTGGTATATATTCCCTTGCAAATCCACCTTCAACTCCTTCTCGTTGGTCACACCTCCCCCTTTGAGGTCACACACATTTATCATAAGCCGGCAGAGCAAAAGCTGTCCTCCCAGGACGTCGGTTGACACCTAAATGATTCCGATAAGTACCTTAGCGGATGTGTACATTTGTCGAGTGACTTGTTTTGCACTACCCATCCTAGCCACCACATCCTTTGAGCAGCTCACCTTAGTCCCTCTGTGCATATTTGAAGATGCAGAAGTTGGGAATCAGTCGACTTGCGGTATTTGCCACCTAAGCTGCTTTGTAAGTTGCCCGGCTGGAACGGCGCTCGTCGGGATTTATGAATTTTGACTTTGGCCTGAACCACTTTGCTCCACTTGGGCGCCACTACACAGCCATAGGAAAGCCTGCAAAGTGGCAAAAGAAGTATGTAAATTTGCTCCTCCACTGGCCACAGCAAAAGGCAGAGGCTTCTGCTGGATGGAAAGAGTATACAAATTTTACGAATATGTAAATAGTTTTTGACAAAAGGAGTTGTCACTGCATCAAGTTGGGCGGTGGCCACAAAAATCCAAAATTAAAATTTTCCAGCACACAAGGAAAACTCCAACCGAGAAAAGTTTGCATTTTCGGGCTGCAACAAAATTAAAATATGCCACAAAGCGTGGCACGTCGAAGATGCAGGAACACACCCAGGCACACACACATGCAGGGAGAAAGGGATGAGGGATGAGGACGGAGAGCAGGAGGAGGAGGAGGCTGTGTCAAGAAAGGCAGCCACAGCAAAGCCTACAAGGCGGCTTCGGGAACGCTGGGGGAACGTTGATGAACCCCCAGTGGAACTTTCATGAGCCAAAGCCAACAACATTACAAATTTACACAGCTGCGGGTGGGAGCTGGGCTGGAGTTGGAGCCTGGGCTTGGGCTTGGGCTTGGGTTCTGGTGATGAACCAGGAGACGTGACGCATACACGTGCCAAGCGAAGTGGCGGAGAGTGGGAGTGGAAGTGGGAGTGCCAAAGGATGTAGCAGGAGGTGGAGACATCATCATCATTTTGCGCTCTGCGGCAGTGACGGTGATGAGGATGCGGATGGCGATGACGATAAGGTGGCCAACCAGCGCAGACGACTGTGGAGAAAGTTTACCAAGTTGTGCAAATTAAATGCGAAATCTAAGTGGAAACGTACATATTCCTGTAGCTTATTGATGAGGCCATGAAACATTGATAAAAGAATACATTATTAAAAGCATAATTTTCCCTCAAAATTTAAGGACTACATTTTCCTGGCAATGTAAAAGAGAAATTTTAGGGTCTTGAAAATGCTAAATTTTAAAGAAAGAAAGAAAGTTTCCATTTATGTAATTAAATATACAATATTTTAAAATATTTTGTAACTATATTTTAATATATGCTTTCTCTTTTTAAATAAGTAACTTATTTTCCCTGGTGTAAATTGGTCTTAATTTCCATTATGGCTGCCCAGACTGTTGCACATTTGCATGCGGGCCCAAAGGGACAGGTGTCGTGGGAGCCGAAAGCAATGCGCCATGTGATGCTCCATCTCCTGCTCACCTGCTGCCGCCCGTCACCTGCTGATTGTCTCCTGATTGCAGCGCCATACGGATACATATGCACATATACTCACGTGCAATTAACCGCAGAATCAGAGGACATCAATACGTGGCCTGCAGTTTAAGCGGGTTTGGATGCTGTGCCGCCTGATGCCAAGCTATTGATTGGGTCCAGGCTTTAATAAGGAGTTGCTACTCGGAATGAAAAGCTGATTTTTATTGATAAGAAAGAAATGGGGGAATTTTATTTCTTACTTGTGAAGTTGAGGTAACAACTTAAAGCTGTTTTTAACTCTGGGTTTTTAAGTCTTCATGGAAAACTAAATGTTTTAAAATGATTTATAATCCCTGTTTTGATCTATTTTATTTCCTGTACCTGGCAGTAAATCAATCTCCTTGGTTCAAGCCATAAAGAAATGATGTTAGCCATATAATCACGTCTAAATGCTGTCGTTAACAAATGTTTAATTCCCCTGACTGGCAAATGCAATTTCTTGTGACATAAATCACACAGACGCAACTCATTTGCATATAGTACACGGCTCTCGCTCGTTAGTGTAATTGATGATAAACCTGGAAATACTAATTTGTGGATACTTTGCCTTTGCAGATTGACATCTCCTGTCGCAACACAAAGAACACCGTCAACGCGCTCCTGACGCGCACGAACTTTGTGACTCTAAAGTACGTGACCGATGGCTGGGGAACGGATGCGAATGGCTTCAAGTTGGTGATTACGTCGGTGAAGGATCCCAGTAAGTGGAGAGTGCCGATGTCATTACATAAGCTAATTCTTGGTTTTCTTTCAGAGCATACCTGCAAGGACTTTACCTGCGCCACCCGCGAGTTTTGCATCCATCCCGATCTGCTGTGCGATGGGGTCAATCACTGCGGCGACAACTCGGATGAATCAGTGCAGAATCTGTGTCAGAGTACGTAGAATTAAGTGTTACCTGTATTCCCATAGTTAATGCTTTCTTTCCCCCCTTTCAGGTGAGGCTAGTAGCACCGTCTTTGGCATGGACATGACCTGGTTCGTCTTGATAGTCGTGGGTGTTCTGCTGGTGCTCAGTGCCATGATCGTGGCCATAGCCATTTGCGTATGCCGGCGTCAGGACGAGAATGCCGCCAACCAGAACACAGCACTCCAATGTAAGATCCTCCTCTAAAAGTATACAATTAGAGCTCCATTAACCTCAATAATCCTTTTAGTGCATCACAATGCCGACACGAATGGTTCGTCAAAACATCTGCACTACCATGGCATCAGTGTCGGCGGAACGCTGACGCGGGAGCACACCCAGCTGCCGACGTCGGGAAACTGGCATCACCCTGCGGGACCATCCGGGTACCACCGCACTCCACACAGCTACTTGAAGATGGCCACCAAAGTCCGTCCCATTTGGTGCTTGGCAAATTCCGTCAATTAGGTCAAGATCTATCGCATAACTCCGCCGGGCTCAGTCAGACGAATATAGCCGGAGCTGGCGCCGCGGGCGCTGCGCAAAAGGACGAATGGTTCGTCTAGGATTGCGTCTAGGAGGAGCATAGCGGAATAACCGATTGACTTGAGCACAATAATCTGTACTTTATTAAGTAAATTTATGGATATTTGCAGAGCATTAAATGAAGTGGGTATATAATATTATTATTTTATATTTTCTTATATTAATTATCTTTTCTTGACAGGACTGTACGACTATATTTAACAACAATTAGTGTGGACATCACCGCGCAGGGTGTATTATACAGAGATCTCTCCTCGTACCCAAGCAGAGACTCGAACGCATTGGGCAGGACTTGCCGGTCCTGTCGGATAACCAATGCAGCTGTACATAGTCTATAAATAAATATAACAATTATAATTTAACTGATTGACATTGCACGCTGGCTAAACAAGATCCTTAAACTGAACCTGATCCAGAATCCCAATACCTATCATAAGTTGGTGCAAGTACATACGTTGGCATTTATTTAGAGTAATTATTTACGTTTAGAAGGCAGAGTAACAAGTATTGATCTTCGATTTTAAAGTCAGTTTGCATTGCCTTGCGGTTTGCGTTCGATATGTGCACAGTTGAAAGTAAAATTATAGATATTGTATAACGAATCCGGAGATAGTCGCAGATTCTGAAAGGAACAATCGTAAGCATTTAAAAGAATTGTGAACAGAAACAGAAAAAACCGTAAGAAGTATTAAAGCTCAACTTGAATAACCAAACACTGTCATTAATATACAACTTCCGACTCTAATCAATTTGAGATAAAACTGGTCGTTTTTACCAAAAAAACTAAGCTGAATTCTAATCACAAAATGGACACAAGAAGATCAACAAAACAAGGGATGTACATAAGTAGTCGACAATATACTCACTTACTTACTTACAAAAACAAGGAAACGGAAACCGAATGTCATTAAGCGTAAACGGAAACGGAAACTTCAAACGTAACTTCACCGCCACTTCCCATTGTCCACAAGGAGACTCCGACATAAGCAAACATTTCACCGAAAGGAGACTCATTCCGAAGAAACCGAAGAACCGAAACCGAAACAATTGCTAAGCGGAAATATTCTGAGACATTAAGGACAATACAGTGAAAACTTTTGCTTTTGATACAACCAAATTGAGACGGTGCCGGTGGTTTATGGTGCATTTTAACCTACAGAAGTGTCCGGAATACGAATACGAATACAATTTTCTACAATCAACAAACCGAAATGGAATTCTACACAAAATTAAACGTAAAAAAACCGAGTTAAAAATTGAAACATTTTGCTACAAAATCGAATGATAACGATCATATACATATTATATTGAGGAGGAGTCACTTGAGAAAACCAAACTAAAATGCTTCAAAATGATTGTAGTACTTCCCGCCGTTAATATTTTTTTAAATATATCGTACATACTACAAGAATACAGATAATACTTAAACTAAGAAGCAATAAGTAAGAACTTTTTCCGCTGCTATAAACAAAATAATTGTCTTTCAAAATACTTCCAATAGGCCCGGGCCCGGTTAGCTGATTTTTCTCGATTTTAATTTACTTTCCCCGTTTGCTAAGCCAGAATATTAAATGAAACAAAAATTAAAGGCAAAATTAAACTTTAATCAGAGTGTTAGGAGGCATGTGTTCAGCCCGATCAGTGCGTTTAAGTCAAATTAAATTAAATTAAATTAAATTAGTTTTGTACTTAGCTGTAAAGTGAAAAACTTAACTAACTAAACTTCTAGGCATAATTTCCGCTGAAAGTCTCTCTCTCTCTTCTTTGTAACCCACTTTCCCTCCTTCTTTCTTTCGAGTGTAAAACTACATACATACATGCGTCTTATACTATATATATATCATAAATTATAGGAAAATGGTATTATGATGTATTATGATAAATTGAATTTTTAACCGAAACTTATAAGCAAATTGTATTAGGCGTCAAATTTTAGAAGCGAATGGCGAGGAGGAGCATACGTTATGGGTATGAGCTGAGGCCCCGCATTCACACCATACCAACAAATTAATCTTAATTACTTAAAACAAAAACGACGATAATAATTGAAACTAAATAACAAACTGAATAACCACAACGCTAGTTTATGCAATACAGGAAATATGGAATACTGAAAAATTATGCGTCAAGTAAACAAGTAAAAGAAAACGTTTACGCAAGATTGTATTGTAATATCTAATCGTAATTGTACTCGTAATCGCATGCCTACTCCCCAGCACTGGTGAAAATCGGTTAGATCATGTCGTACGTACGTATATGAGTGTAGTTAAAATATACATACATATTTACCTAAATACAAATCAATCGAAAAGGGGGGCTAACGGAGGATGAATCAGGAATAAAATCCTGCTAGATCGATCGATCTATATCCTCTAGACATCCCCGAGATGTTTTGTAAAAGCTAATTAGCAAGTGTGGATGGTGATGGTGGGAAGAGCTTTTCGTTTCTCCCAGTGTAAGTGTTACAATGTGTTACCATTAATTTTTTTTACCTTCAACACACTCTCCGCCGCAATTAGTCGAACTCTACTTAGTATATGTACTATATCTATGGTACTTACATGTCTGTACGTACTTAAATAAAAGAAACAAAAAGAGAAAGCGAAATGGTAACCTCCTGCTTTGCCCACTTAATCCATAGCCAGGACTCAATTAGATATATCAAGGCTCTTGAGTTCAGTAGAATGTAAATTGAGAGCTCATAATTTTATGTGGATGGAATGGATTACTATGGGTTGAAAGGTAGTTAAGTATAGAGATCGACTAGGTATACATCCGAAAAGGAGAGAGCCGTAGAGCAAATGTTATGCAAAATTGGGCAATAGAATCCGATAATCCTCTAGGGAATATTAATAATCCACAACCCGAAGGCAAAGAGGTCCACAATTTTTAGAGTTTATCACTTTGGTTAAATAAAGAAAAGTAAGAGTAATGAGATTTTACCAATACCAAAATACCAGCAAACACCACAATAACTAACCCGAAACGAATGAATGATTAAGAGCCTAGGAAGGAGATGCGTATGAAATGCTTAGCTTTGTGTTAAATTGCTGTTGAATATAAATGTACTTGTACAATGATAATAATTACGATGGCATTAGACACAACAAAACACACACACACAGTCAGAACAACAACAAAACAGAACACTCACCAAAAGATCAGACAATGCAAGAACAGAACCCAAATCCAAATGAAACTAATTATAATAAAATAAAGAATATAAAACGTTAACTTGATTGTGGTTTTCAATAAAGTATCCTAAACAAAGTGAGTAAAGAATCGATGGTAAGCTAATTTTGTTCAAAAGAAATCCTAAAACATCAACATAATAACCACTTAGACAGAGAAGTCCTCCAATGAGAGGATCATCTCCAATTCCCGCTTCTTGCGCCGCTCCTCCTGCTGCCTCCTGCAGTGGACTTGGGCCAGACAATTAACCGAGGAAATCACAAAAGAGGACACCATCACAAGGGCCAAGAACTCAAAGACCCAAACCACAATATTAAAGATATCCTGGGAATCTGATTTGCCGCCTCCATGCATCTGCTGCTTGGTGGAGCGCAGCACCTCCCGGATCAGCTTATGCAACGGTGGTCCTAGGTAGGGCACCTTTACCAACCAGTTTGCCATTTGGTCGACCAAATCATCAGTGAAAGCCACAATGACGCACACCTGCTGTATGGTGGCCTTGACCAAAGTCTTGCCAATCAAAATGGCCACAAAGAACCTCCAAAAGGGCACGAGAAAGTGGCCACAAGTGATGCCAGTCATGTCAAACAGAGGATTGGGTACACTTGCAGCGAGTAGGATGGCCACAAAGGACACTCGACCCATCCTTTCTGTTATAGATTGCTTTACCCGCTCCAGCAGGCTGAGGCTAGTACCCGGTCTTCCGCATGCCACCAACTCCGACTCCTCCTTCTTCCCAGAAAGACGGGCACTACGCGCTACAAAGTATGAAGGTAACTCTCCCAGGGCTGTGCCCAAGCCCCAGAACAGTGCCTCCGGTCGGACCTTTGCCAGGATATCCCATTCATTAAATTCCTGATGCTGGTACGGCTGCGGAGGGCAAATCTTCATGTCGGGATAGGGTGGCGCCGGAAAGTTCAGTGTGCCACACTCTTGAACGGCCAGGGTTACGGCGGCTATGTGGGGACCCAGGTAGAGCAGGAAGGTGTGCAACCCAGCTCCAAATCCCACGGATGTCAGCACTCCCAGGAACAGCCAGTAGATTGCGAATCCTAGATGATGCTTACATAAAATCACATAATCAGCGTGAGGACCTGGAAGGAAGCATATGATCCCCAGAAACATCGAAAAGCCCAGCAGCCACATGTTCATTAGCTTTTTGTAGGCGAAAAGAAGGAACTGACAGACTTCTAGGCCTGCATAGTTCAAGGTTTGCACAGGACGACGCCAAAGGACCAGGGACTTGCACTCGTCAGTCTCATCCGTTGGATGATCTACGGATGGAACTACTTCTATGTTTGCTGACATGGTAGCTTTAAATATTTCACAACTTGGTACTGATTGGTATTGTGTTTTAAGTTTACTTTCCAGGAGATTTTGAAGGGACAACTTTTCCATAGCAGCAATGATAACTAGGGTTTATTTTTTGTATATACTTTGTGTGTTTATTTAAAGAATGAGAATTTATTTGAATGATAATAAGATAATAAGAAGTTTTAAGATATATGTATAGTTGAATAATTAAGATATAGGAAAATGACTTTAATTTGTATAGTATTATCATACGTTTTTTAAAGGCCTCTCAGTGCTTTGAATAATGATAACTGAATAATTAAAATATAATATAATATGATATAGAAAAACGTATTAAATTTATATAGTAGTATTATCCTTCTATCAAAGATCTCTCAGTGCCTCATATTGCCAACGACTCAGTGGACCTGGCGGAAGAGAAATAAGTTTACCAACAAAATTCTCGTCCTTTGTCACAGCCGATTCTTCATCCTCGCACTCGTATTTAAATGTACTAATCTCGGTTATAAAATTTTCAAATTCCAAAGTCTCCTCAGACCCCTTCGTTAGCTCCTTCAAGCTGTGGATCGCTTTAGCACTGAAGAAAATCTACCATTAGCTTGAGGAAAACAAATTAATTAGGAAAAACTTACATGTTTATAAAGTGATTTTCCTGCAGACGTAAGGCTGTCAGCAGAGGCAGGACCCTTAGCAGGGGCAGAAGTCGATTTCGATGACGTGGACTGGACACCTCCAATCGCTGTATGCCCATGTTTTTGATCAAGAGTTGCAGCAATTCTTGGAACACGATCAACCTTAAAAGCCAGAAGTCAAAAACAGAGGAGTGCTTTTCCATTATGCTAAGGTGAGAAGTTAAGAGAACTGAAATCCGAGTCTTGGAGGTGTTTTTATTGCTGTTTACGTGCAACAGTGTGACTGGCAGGCAGCGGATATATCCTTGAATTTGGTGCTCTAGGAGGACACCCAGGAGTTTCTCCAACTCAAGGTCTAGATATTTTAAGCGGGCTCCTGTCTACAAAAAAATAAAGTAAAATAAAACAAAATAAAATCAGAGAAAACAAAAAAAAGGCTCCTACCATTTTATACTGAACCAAAACCTTCCAAATCCGATTGTTTGGCAACACCAAATGTTTCGATTGCAACAATCGACGGAACACGAAATGCATATCAGACACATAGCCCTCGACGAATGACTCCGACTGAGAAGGACGCAGAGACAGAAGCAACCAGTCCAACAGCGTGCCATATGTGGCATCATTCAGGCTCAAGTCCGGCAGATTACCAATATGCAGGATGAGAGCCGAGCAGAATAGAAACTTGGCTCGCACAAAGTCCAGACCAGAGTTGGAAAGTTCCGACCAGCAAAAGTCGAGGAGCTGATGCACCAAAAGGGATATCCTGACTCCCTGTTCATCGTTGGAATCCTCACGCTCTATAAACAACATGACCAGCATGGTGGCCAAGCTTTCGCTGCCATAACAAACTGAAATTTAAATACATAATATATAAATTTATGAAAAAACCGTAAGGTAGCCTCCACATCCTACTTAGATCTTTGTTCTGAACGCGTTTCTCCAGCAGCAGATTGGCCAGAGTCGGATAGATCTCCGCCAGATGACGGACATCAAACTTTTTGGGTATAAGCAAGGAGTGCAGGCGTCGAACACTCAAGGCATAAGTTTCCAGTAGCTCGGCCATTTGGGATTCCTCGGCATCGCTGGCATTCAATTGGGGCATCAATTGAGCCTGCTCCTCCTGTATATAATTCTCAGCTGTCGTGTGTATTTGATCATTTCCCGTGATCTCCACCGAACGATAGAGATTTATGTAGAGATCTTGGACCTCCAAATCGCTAAGGGTCTCATCTTTGAGGAAGTTTTCCAGGCAGAAATTCTCCAGGTTTAGGAGAAGCTGAAAAGATCAAAAGAAATGTTATATTTATCTAAAATATGTCTATATATAATTCTTACCTCTCCCTCCTTTTGAAGTACTGCCCCAAAATCCACCATCCCATAGACACTATACAGTATAGCTCGAGTGCCAGTTTGGTGGGATGCCGACTTCACAAGACCTGGCCAACAGCGTAGTAAAATGTTGACCTGCTCAAAAGCCTCCGGAACCGTTAAATACTCGGCCATAAAGCGCTCAAAAAGTATGCTTACGCACTGAGCAGCTATATGACTCAATTCAATTCGCACATTAGGAGCACTAAGCACCACTGCGTAGGACTCGAAACGATTTATCTGTGGAAAGTGCTGGCCAAGAACTCTCAGATATTTAGACAGCTCACCCCTGAACTGCGCATAGCTGGGATTCTTGCGGAGATTTCCCTGCGTCTTGACATACGTTTCCAGTATGTGCAGGGATATATCTCTATCCTGGTACTTGCGCCGCGATAACTTGACGTAGAGCTGGGCTGCCAGGTTGGGAACCCCCGAAGAAAGTGGAGTTCGCAGTATAAGCTGCAGCAAGATCTCGTGAAAACGGATCGTAAAGCATTCGACACTGACCAAGAGTCTGTTAAAGGTAATCAAAGATTGCATATAATCATATTGTATTGCTCATATTCTTGTTTAAGGATGGCTTACCTTTGAAGAGTCATTAGATACCTAATGGCAGCCAAGAGCAGCCGCCGGGAAGTGCTCGTCTTGAGAGTCTCAAAGATCAAGGCCATATATTTATCGGTGATTAGCTCATTGGTGAACAAACGCAGATACAAAGTGTTGTCTTGATCCCGCTCCCTGGTGGTTTCGAACTGCTTCAGCATGGTCTCCAAGAATTCGTAGGCTTCGATGTAACCGTTAGGCTTGTCCATCTGAAAGTAAAACCAACTGTAAGCTTTATTTAAATAAATCATTAAATTACCTCAACGATCAGGAGGCAGAATACAAAATCAAGAGCTGACTTCTCCGCGCCGCAGAAGGTCCTGTAGTGCGCATGGAACATGTCCAGCATGGGAGTTACAATCACCTCGCTAGTTGCCTCATAGCTGTATTCAAAGAAACATTTATAAATAACAAAAATACAACTTCTGAGGCACTCACAAGATTCCATAGCGAACGTCCACCGCCAGAGACAGGCAAATCTCCTTGAGACCGTCAAAATTAGCGTAGTCGGGCAGCAATTCGGAGAGTCCATCCAAAATGTAAAAAGCTGTTGGATTTTGAGTTAAAAAATACCAATTTTATTTCAGTGTCAACTCACACATCCTAGCCATGGGCTCGCAGAGATAGCGATTCGCAGAAGTGGTCCCACCCAGCTGCACGCTGTCGCAAATGGAGTGCACCACCTTCATCCAGACGATCACAACTCGGAAGTAGGCGGACAGCGGATGGGTTAGCCGATCGAAGCGGCAATTTTTCACATCCAACTTCAAAGCGGACGTGTACACCGACAATAACACGGGTAACTCCTTGAAAAAAGCCCGCACATTGTTCATCAGTTTCGGATTGGGATTGAAAATATAGTTGGGGTTGTCGTTGTGGTACGGATGGTTCTGCGTCCAAAAGGAGGCCTCTACGTCCACGTTGAACCTAAGGCCCAGCAGCCGAAAGCATTGGCTCACGAATCTATGGGACACTCGGGTGATCCAATTTTCGGGATCAGAGGTCACAGCTGTCAGGAAAGCCTTAGCAAACTCCGCGGTTGCAATCTGAAAATAGCGGTTATTCCAGCGGTTGGGTAAGGTGTAAATATGGTCACTAACTTTAATTTCCCCGCCCGTTGCAAGAACTGTATGGAAATCCATTTTAACTTGACTTTTTTAAGCGTAGTTTTAACTCATTTAAGCATCTTCAGTGTTGGAAAACTACAAAGTCGAGGCCATTGGCTGTTATCGATAACTGATCGTTAATCACAGGAAAAAAAGATAGTTAAACATGGTACAAAATATTCAAAATGCCGCTATAATCTTTTTTATTATTATTTTGTTTAAACGATTATTTTGTTAAACCAGTAATACCCATTTTAAAATGTTTTAAACGCAGTTTTAAGTCCTTAAAGCATTTTTCACTGGTGGAAAACTATAGATTGCAAAGCTATAGCTATACCAAAATTCTGAAATTCTGACTTTTTATAAAATTTAAACCGAAATTCTGAAATATTAAAAAATTACAATATCTCAAAAATTAATAAAATATGTTTAAAAACAGCCAAGTTAACATATTTTTCCTAAAAAGCGGTCGATCATTTGTATAGCAGCTATATGATATAGTCGTTCGATCCGGCCCGTTCCGACATATATGACAGTGAAAGTATTCAGAAGACTTAATCCAAAAAGGACTTCCGTTGCAATTTCATTTCAAACATCTGATTAAATTGAGATTTCCAACAAACAGTTTATTTGTATTTAGGTTTGTACATTCTGTATTTGGTGAAACACAGCACATATTACAAAATGCATATAGTATGTATATTTACAGAGCAGAGGTTGCACATGTAATACCGATAATGGCTAAACCTCGAACAAATCAAATGCACGTCTAATACAAAATGCAATTACAAATAGTTTTCGTTTAACTAGCCGTAGATAATTAATTTAAAAGCTCACTTAACCTAAATAGTGTGTGTTCTTTGCAGTCGGATTCACAAATACTTGAAAACGCCAACATTTGACATCATTCTGTGGGATGCCCAGGGCAAAATGACACTAGAGCAGGTCGGAGGCTATCGGATAGCCAGCGTGAGACAGGCACTTTAGTGACCCTTCTTCCAACTGTATTCTTAAGAATTAAGCCAGATCTGTCAGCAGATCTGATCTTTTTGGTTTTACGCTTGTACTGGGTGGCCCTCGCAGCAGGTGCTAGTACTTCTTGAGTTGCTCGTACGTGATGAAGAAGATGATGTTCCAGGGTCCCATCCTCACCCAGGTGGGTATGAATCCCTTGTAAAGGGCTAACAGTCCCTCGTTTCGGATCGTCTGCACGGCGCAGTCGAGACTTCCGCTGTACAGCTTTGGTGTGGCTGCTGCCGTGACAACGCCGTTTATCGACGACATGCTCACATGTCGCTGGTTCATCAGGCGGGTCTAAAGACGAAAATAAACCTCAATTCCTAAAGTCTCACTGGATTACTTTCTACTCACCCGAATAACATCAATGGGGGTAGAGGCTATGGCACTGCCCAGGCTGGCAATAAAGCTTGAGCTGCAATTTAAATGAATTATTTTCAACGAACTTGAAAGGTTTTTACACTCTCTTCTCACTTACATGAAATGATTGGCCACGTGATCTCCAAAGGCATTCATCAGCTGCAGCTTGCAAAAATCATAAACGGGTAGCTCCACAGAGGCAATAACCACGGCCCGCTGAGCCGTTGGCCCAACGCCGCGCCACAGTCCCCGAATGCCCTCGTATTTGTAGATCTCCCCGAAGCAGCCCAGCAGGCTCTGGTGCTGGCCCTTGCCATGCACTTGCATGCGCACCTTCAGCACATCCGTGGGATTGGCAATGGCCGAAGAGATGGCTCCGGCAGCCGCTGCGCATAGAATGTTGCTCCAGACCCGCTCGCTGCCGTCCTCATTGGTTAGCAGGCCGCGCTCATTGGCCAGTTTCTTGAGCGTATAATAAGTGCCGAACTTGATGGTGCCATAGGTGGCCTGCCGCAACACCGCTGGCCAAATGCTGCAAGGAAAAGTAAATATTGTTGCTTAAAATATGATGCTTTGCCCTGGTATCAGTTTCAGATACAAAGTCTAATGGGTTAGCAGCCGCCAGCAGGGCAAAGGTTGCCGACTGATTAAACTTTTGGCCTGCCGCGAGTGTAAGCCTTATCAATGGGATGTTTGTTTCTATAATACAAATTATACCCCCATAGGCCTTGCCTATAAATAGCTGCATCTACGTATCTCTATATTTCATGTATCATCAAATTCCTTAACCTGAAGTTCCCCCTCTAAAGTTCCTTAAACAAAGACTCCACTGTGCTTCCCCTTAATCCAATTATTATGCTCCCCAGCAGACGAACACGTGACCGTCACACGTTTTGCAATGATAAGAAGTCGCTGCTGCTCTCATGGACCCATGATGTGACAGCGTGCGCATGGAGCGAAGACTTCCCCACATTCTTACCCGGAATACAAGGCCCTTAGACCCTCCTCGCGGGAGATTTTCACAAAGGCATCGGTCATGCCGCGATATCGCAGTTGCGAGAAAGTTTGGTCGATTTTCTGACCTTGGATTTGGAGGCGCGTCTTGGTGGTGTCGATGGGAAAAGTGCCTGCAATGCAAATACGTAAGGGTTTGTTTACAAAAGATTCGCTGGTGAGATTAGCGATCTGTCTGATTCTGTTGTCGCCGAGACCACTGGCTAGCTCGCTAGCGGGGCAGGGGAAGGTGTCACCACCTCTGTTTTTGTTTACCAAATTCCGCCGTGATCGAGGCAACGCCGCCGTAAACAAAAGGCCGCCAGTCCTTCACTTCCGTCATGGCGCCGCACCTGTTGATGTCCGGTTTCGAATCGAATTACGCCCTGCACCCTGCCGTGTCCACCCACGCCAATTTGTCGCGCTACCTGGCAACAAATATGAATACTGTTCGCGATCGCCTTTGCATCCAGAAAGGAGTTTAAAGCAAAATGTTACGGATTAAGTGCGGTCCAATTGGAAAATTTGCGTAAGCTTTGCCAGTGTGACCAATCATTTATTACCAAAGTTAGCCACCTTCTGCGTCGAAGCGGTTACTTAGTGTTGCCGGACTGCTGAAATTGGAAGCCGAAAAGCAGCGTTGCCAGGTTTTTCAAGACAGATTTGAATTAGAAAAGTTAGACAAAGTTTAATTATGTTTTATTTAACAAATTTAGACTGATTTAATCATTTTTATTAATTATTTAAGTAACATTATCGATGAATAACCTTAAATTCCTATGCCCGTTAGTATTTTAACCAAAATATTCGCTTTAATAGTTAAATTAAATAGTAACGGCCAGTCAAAAACAAAACATTGAAAACCTGTGCCAAAAGTGGACCAAGAAACAGCATGCTCGCTGCCACAAACTTTAAACGAATATATTATTGACTACCGACAGCAAGTTAAATTAGCTGCGATGAACTGGGAATTCCTAGCGACCATAGCCCTGGCCTCGTGGTCCATCTAGTGCAGGTTCTCCGACAACAACGACCTTAGCTGGCATTTTGCGCTCTCCCTCTCTCGCTTTTTGTTTGTTTCGTTGCCAAAATTCGCATAATTAAATGTTGTTTTGGTGGAAGCAAAAGTCCGATAGCAGTGTTTACTACGATTTTTCTATGTTTAATTCACGTCACTCGCCGATCGCTCCGCGGAACCGGATCGTGAAAGTCGCGGCGTCAGACGGTCGCCGGGCTTATGGACCAGTAGATCCAGTGGGTTTAACCCGAAAATGGACAGCAGCAAACAAAGCGGAGAGTCCGCTAACAAAGAATTTGGCAAGTCAATTTAATCTCTGCAGCCCCATTGTTAGTCGCAGGCACAAATGTAATTTAAAATCGCTTTACAGCTTATTTCACTTTGCTTTGCATTCCGCTGCCGGTTTCTCCGCTAAGTGATTTTCGCCAGTGGAGCGTTCTCTGCCGGCTTAAAATGCGGGGGCGTGCGCGTAAATTGAGCGTTTCGGATTTGTTTGCAAATCAAATTAGCAGATCAAGTCAAGCGATCAGCCAAATGCGTGCGGTCAGATGGAATTTATTGGGACTTGAACTTTAAAGCATACAAATTTTTAAGTTATAAACATTACAAATGGCTGGAAGATGGTATAACAACTTTCTTAAGTCTACGGCAAGTTTTTGTAAAATAAATATATGTTTGAATATTAAATAGTGCTCACAAATGTGACTTTATCCAATAAATTAAAATACTGACAGTTTTCCAACTGAGTCCTCTTATCCCTGGTCGACCAGAAATACAATATTATGTTAAAAATATAAAAACAATACTTTGAACGCGTGCCAGTCACAAAGTTGGCATAGATTTCCATAATATCATATAACTGCTTTTTGACCAATCATTGTGCTTGGTTACTCACCTCTCCGGCATGCGGAAATTCCCAAAAAAAAAAAGGCACTGCCCATATTGGTTTTAATTTGATTTCAGCTTTAAATATATTTGAGTTGTAATTCGTCAAGGTTTCCATCAAAGAGAGGATCAGACAAAACGTGTAACAAATCTTAAATAAGGAAACAATAAAGGAAAAATAGAATGAGTTTCTTCTCTTAACTGATGATGAAAATACCTTAAAATCTTATGCACAAGTTAGGTGGATCTAATTAAGTTAGTGATGCCATAATTAAATCGGTCGGAAATGCTTCCTTATGGCTTTTATGGAGAAGTACCAAGCAAGCAAAAAATTAAAAACAAAATGTTGAGCATCACGAGACTTGTCTTGGTTTTTTTAAGAAGGTATTAAGACCATAAAATTCGATTTAAATTCATTTCCAATTTAAAGTTAATTAAGGTTGTTTCTAGACAAGATTTTAAATTGAATTCCAGTCTGATTATTAAAAAAACAATAACTAACAGAGTCTTAAAAGTATTTCCCAAGTAACTTAATTCCCTGGGCTCTTTAGATTCCCTAGATTGATGCTCAAAAGTATTTCCCAAGTAACTAAATTCCCTAGACTCCCTTGATTCCCTAGATTAATGATCTCTTCGGAACGCCTCCCTAGTTCGACAGCCCCAATTTGGCAAAAATGTTATCCCAAATCAATCAGCTAATGGCTCTATCAGGTATTCCCCAGAACCGACCGGGTGAGCACAGGGGGGAAAGGCAATAGAAATTTCTTTAATCCCAGACTCGATAAATTAATTTGTGGCCAATTTGCATATTTAACACGCAGGCCTTTTGTTTACCGTTTAGGAGTAAAAACCCCGGACTAACGAAATCCGCATACGAGCGCAGAAGCCAAAGTCTGGCGCCAAAGAAATTGCCAACAATCCATCAAGTTACCCGATCTCGGGCCATGTGCTAATCGCCTTTGGGAATGTTTACTACATATATCTATATGGTATAGAGTGTGTACGGCGTGAAGATTTTATTACACACCGCCATCGCTACTGTCGCCGTGGTGAGTGATAGCCGGACGGACCGGTCCAGTCCGAATCGTTGCCTAATCGAATCTATTTCCCGATCGAACTCCAACTCGCTGATTATGCAGGAATTTCATCAGCGACGTCTGTCGCGTCTCCAAGTCGCCACAGTAAATTCTGGGAATCTGACAGATTTTATGATGGCCTAATATTCGTCTCATATATTTATTTTCAGTCAAAACTATGCAAAAATGTGATAAGGCACATGGGAGTTTCTTGTTTAACTTGAACTTTGGGACACTCTGGAAAAGCCATTAATATGCTTAATATAATTTGTTTAAATTATCCCTAAATACAGATAAGTAAGCTTTATTTACATATTAATAATTTATTTCCTTAGACATTACGTACCTAATCTCAAAATTATAATTGAAACCCAGTAGCCCTTGGAGGCTCTTGTCTTCTTTCTTCAAACGAACAATATTAAAACAAATTCTAGTTCCTTTTTGCATCCATAGAAATATTTCTTAAGCCTTTGACTATGGCTTCCGAAAAAGAATTAATTGAACTCGTTAAATCAATCAGAAAGCCAACCAATTTGGAAAAACTAATGAAATCCACAAAGATTTCTCAGCTTAATACCGAGGACAAGGCGAAGGCAAAGGAGCTGCTGGTGGGTTTGTTGGGTGCTGCAGTGCGTCTGGGTTTTATTCACGAGTACAAGGAGCACTACTGTGATGCAGCCCATGCCGATGATATGATTGCACTTATGGGCTCAGATTCTCAGTCCGATTTCGACGATGTCAGTTCGGAGTCTATGGAAGGCTGGGGGGATTCTGGAGAAGATGAGTCTTGATTGCAGGAGATTCTTAAAAGTTTTCTGTGAAAGCCTTTGGAGTTGAATTAAAAATACCTCTTAGATTGTTAAGGAAAGTGCCCCGACAATTACATTTAAAATCTTATCAGATATTTGTATAATTTATTTTAGGGGGAAGGTATAGAGTATAAGTTGTCCTCGTCTGAAGCCCCCAGTCTTGGGCCAAAACTTAAGAAACCGGCCAAGTGAATGCCTGCCTGCCTGGTACACAACCTCATCCATAATGCATCACACCCGAGCGGCAATTAATCAACAATTAATTTTTCATAAATTGATCGTTTATTGGCTGAAGGCAGAAATTACCTGCTCGGCTACCGTGTGCGCCGCTGGGCTAGCTGTGGAATACAAAAAAAGGTAATATTAATTACTAATTATGCGCGGCGTCAAAACAACAAAACTAAGGCACATAAATATTTATCGATTTGTCTGCGGCTTTAGTCACAAACACGAACCGTCAGAATGGGTATAGGCTATGCCATGTCGATCTGGGAAACCAGAGACGACGACGACGACGACGACCTATGGCGATGGCACGTAGGCCAAAAAGTGGCCAATAAAATGGAAACGAATAAACAATAAATCAACCGCAAATCGGTTCGAATGGAATTTTTAGCTTACATACATACAGTTCGCGACCTTATCACGATGCTAGGCCTGTAAGGAATACCGTGGAATACTAGCGGCCTAGGGTCCGGCCATAATTAATAAATTCCAGCGTGCGCCGAAGCTCCAGTGCCAGTCCCCCGGCAAACAAACAACAAATTGACGTCACACCGGGCTCGGACTCGGACTTGGACTCGGACTCCTCGCAAGTGCGACATGGGTATCAAGGCTTGTCGGCGGTGGAGACGTTGGAAACGGGTTAAACAAGTAAAAAGATATCGAGAGCCCAAACAACAAACACAAACAACTGGCAAAGGGGGGAGGCCTTAATCAAAAAACGACGACTGGCTCAAAAGTAACTCTTGGCAGAAATTGGGGTGATCGAGAAGTTCAGGATTCACTGTGGTACAGCGTCCTTACAGCTAGAGTAGGTACAAATAAATAAATTTAATTTATTACCCGGTTTCCTAATTTGTTTAAAAACCTATTTAAGTTGCAAATAAATTCTTAAGAATTTACACACTGCGTATGAGCAATATAACTAACATTTTGCCGCTACATCACTCATACGCAGGGTGTTACAAATGTTCTTTAACTAACAAATTAAATAATGTTCATATTATAAAAATAATATTTATATGAAAAACCTTTAAATAATATTTTTAAAATAATATTATTAATATTTTTAAAGACTCACCTAAAAGTAACATAAGAATGCGGATTTTCAGTTAATATAAATTATTAAAACTACTTTTTCAACTTTTATCTCAAAATTTAAATTATGCAAACAGTACCATAAAATCCCAAGTGCACACACTTATAGCAGTCACTTTGTACTGGTTTCTGGCATGCAATAAAATCGCTTAAAAGTCGGGAAGCGACTAGTTTTCATTAAGCGTTACGCCTTCTGTTGGCCCAAAGGTGGCGGACGGCGACAAGTTGGCGTCAGCCAAATGGGATAATAAGGCCAGGCCGGCAGCCAGGCAGTGGCAATTTTAATTTTCAATCGGCGCCAGGTGCATTCACCTTTCTGGCTAGCCATGTACATTTTTTTTAGCAGTGTAGCTGCAAGTAAATTAGTGAAATTGTTTTATATAAAAAGAGACACATGCATGGAGAATTCGGATCAAAGTTTGATCATCAAACATTCAGAATTTCAGGTAAAATGCTGTTGACACCAAAAACTTTTATGAGTTTTTTATGATGCGAGTTTTTTTTTTTGATATAAATGAGGGTACAATGTAGATGATCTGGCCTGGAAATACACAGATTCTGAGTTAAAACATCATCTATACTACTTATTTTTCTGCTTAAAAATACTTAATACTTAGAGCTTGGTTAATTAATGTACCATTGTTCAGGGATCTTCTCATCTCAGTTCTGGTTGAGTGCCAGGAGTAAAACTTTAGTACAGAGACTTGACTTGGCTTTAACTGCCTTTCTTTTAAAACCAGTTAAATGTCAGAAAATGACCTGGCGGCACATGAAACTAATAAATATGTTAATGGGGAATAAAGGCTATTATTCTGTCAAGACTTCATTTGTTCTTTGAACTCCTACTCTCCCAACTCAACCCTCTTCAAAGCCATTCCCGGCCTTTGGATTGTTTACATTTTCCTCGCTCCGTTTAGTCATCTTCAAAAGCTCCGCCTGGGCGTCAGTGCATCCCAATTTGGCCAGATCTTTTAGCCGCATTTAGCAGTAGTCCATTCGATGCGCATCGGCAAATTCCCAACTCAAAAGCCGGCTAAATGGGGCTCGGCAGCTCGACGTATTGCCATTTATGAAGATTCAAGGGTGGGCGACCCCACCGCATACCAATGCCAATACAGCTAGGAACACCACACCCTTGGCCTGGCCATTTTTGAGGCGGCCGGTTAATTAATTACGCAAAACTGCAAAATAATGCAGAACAATGGCCGGGTAAAAGCATTTCGCCAGCTCGTAGCGATCGCTCCAAATAGCCGCAAAGCCTCGTGAGATTTATGGCGCTCGCCCAACTCCGGAATATCCCAGGCCCCCGACGAACCAAAAAGAAAACATGTGCTTCGGCCGAGAGAGTGGGTTATTATAGCCCGATCTCATGATCGGCGGCTCTCTCCGGCAGACATAAATATGGGAGCCCCCACGAAGGTAGCTTCAGTTGGTGACTGAAAATCAGACCGTGCACAACAGCTGCCCGTGACAAGCCCCAGCTTAACGCGCAATTCAAAGCCAGTGAACAGAAATACGAGAGTGGAAGCCAAGCTCGTCTGCAAATATTTATAAAAAATATATATTTAAAAAAAAACTCTGAAAAAACCCAAAAACTCAACTGCAAAATGCAAGTGGAAAAAGTTTGTGCCACCATCGCGGTATTTGCCATCTTTGCCTGCGTCGTGGATGCAGCAATTTACTCCCAGCCTGCCATCTTTCATCCTGGTTAGTATTATATATATATAATGTGAAGGAAGAAAAGTTAACAAATAGGGAAAATCTACTAGAAGTGTTTTATTTATGGTTTTCCTTACTACAAACTCCCAACTTTTAAAAATTACATTTTGAAAAAGTCATTGAAATCCACTTCATACTTAAATTTCCATTTAAATGCGAATTTTTTTTCCTGAGAATGATTGAAAATTCCATTACTCAAAGCTTGCTTATGGAGTTTTCTCATAAAGTTTCCATTTAATAGACAGGCGACCTTTGCCAGCCACAAAAACACAATAAAACAATAGCATTGATGGCGCTTTGCAGTCGTGATTGATTTACGATTGGGTCGATGATTTGACGAGGCCTAACATATTAGCTCATGCCTCGATCTCGGTCTCCAGTCCAATTCAAGCCAATAGTTTTCAAGAACAAGAATATTTGACGTCAAATATTGGGGCTAAAAATTTGTTTATCATTCCAAAGCCTGAGACATGTGATTTATGGCTTGATATATTTTCGATTTTTGGCTGCTTTCGCTGACGTCAACAACAAACAAAAAACAACGCTAATAAAAAACAAAAGAAAACAATGATATAAAGTCGAACAACGCAAAAGGCAAATACGAAAACAACAGATGAAATTTGTCATGTTATTGGCCCCCTTTCTGTGGTTGGTTGTGTAGCAGATTCAGATAAACAGATACAGATTCGGATACAGATACAAAATAGAGATAGATATGAATTTCGGTTTTTGGGTTTTTCGCATTCGCCAAAAATTAGCATAAGAAATGTGCTGATGTGGTTATTATTCAAGCTCTTGCCTAATTTGCATCGCTATGCGGATTTGAGTTAGAAAAATTATCGATTATCCCCCTCAGAGATCGCCAGATACTATTTTCCTTCTGCTGAATTATTCATGCGTGAAGGTCGTCCGACGTCTTTGGCTGGGAATTTCTGGCTCACTAATCTATAAGAAATTAGCGCCAAAATGGCTTAAAAATAGGCGATGAGTTCACGCGAGCGGCGGTATTAATTGCACAATTGGTCGGAATGCGTGTTCTTTTCGGCTCCTCGAATGGTAAATTAATGGCGAGTCTCATTAATCAAACTTACCTTTCTATTTGGCAATTTATTTTTGAACCCGACAACTCGGCAATTCGCAGCCGCAGGGCAGCCCAGCCAGGCCAGGCAGTTCGTTATAAATAAAAGCACGAGTACGCTTCACCGCCATCTGTCAGCTTGGCTCATTGCTTGAGGTTTAAAAATAAATACCAGTCCCCAGTTGCCAGTCTCCAGTCTCCAGCTCAAGCCACAGCCTCAACCGCAGGCTGTCTATAGCTCTGATGTATTTATATCCCGGCATTACCTTTACTTGTGTGCCAATTTTCTTGTCGAATGACTGTCAAGTTCGTGCCTTAAGTCTTTCGTTTTCTCAGCTTTAGCAAGTCATGGGATAGTTACAAAAATAGGCTGAGTGGCTGCGAATAATTGTTTATAAAAAGTTTAAAAATTTCCATGACTTTATAAGTGCCACTGAGGTAGTGGGTGTATTTTAATTGATGTAATTTTTATTGATTTTGTAAGAGAGCCTTGAACTTTACTTGTAAAATTAATAAATTTATGATTACTCGATTAAAAGCACCTTGAACTGAATTTTGTTTCGTTTTTTTTGTTTTGTTTTGTAAGTGGCAAGCACATATTTAAATTCCGCTCGGACACAAAGTCACGATTTATAGCCACTTCCTCATAAGCTCGCAAGACATAAATAAAATGCATAAATAAGATGCAGTAACTACGAGACAGCTTCGGGGAAGCAACAAAGAAGACTGGTACCACTTCCGCTTGCACCTATGTAAACTGAAAACAATTTTTTATATTCTCTGACAAAGGGGGAAAAGGAATTCTATAGTTTAATCAGATACCAAGAGAGTATGCTTTAATTTTAAAGATATTTTAAGTTAAATATATTTACTAAATACAATTTCCTCTTCTTTATTACAGCTCATCCCGGCAAATGCTTCGACAAGTTCACCCGTAAGGCCCTGCTGCCCGACAAGGAATACAAGCCGAAGGGCATCTGCGCCGCTATGACTTGCAACCTGGAAGCCCGCGAGATCAGCATCGAGACCTGTCCCTATGTGGAGGCACCTGGCTGCGAGGAGCTGCCCAGCGACCCCAACTGGCGGTTCCCCAAGTGCTGTCCGCAGTTCAAGTGCGTTGACTTCAAGACCGGCAAGGACTTTATTGTCTCGCTGTAGAAACCAAGTGCGAGAGGTGGCTGGCAGCCGCAACTGAAACGTGATTTTACATAAAATGTATTGGTAGTTTTTTAGACCCCGCGAATGATAGAGTGTCTGTGTGAGCAGGTGAATGTGTGTGTGCGATGTGTGATTCATTCTTAATTTATTTATTGTAATTTGTACATAACAACATAAAACAGCATAAAGCCCTTTCCCCCCCGTCATGTTTTCATGTGTGAACATAATGCAATTTGTTTTGATTTATTCAAAAGTCCCTGTATGCGATATTTGCAAGTATGACTAACTGTAAACAAACTATGTTTAGTTCGTAAGGTTTAAGCGAATAAACTAATAATAAACAAATCAGAAATATGCAAATGTTTGCTTTAACGGATTGACTTGGATACGTGATTAGCGGCGTCATGTCCAAGTTGGGAACGTTTTCCCTGCGGTTTATTTGCGCAGTCGCTGCCTGTTCCACCGGATTACGCGCTCTTCTTTTTTTTGGATTCTGTCAATAAGCCAAAAGATTATTGGCTGACTCATCTCTCGGCTTGGGCAAACATCGCACATGCCGCATATGAAGCGATCCGCGGCAGAGCTCCAAATACAATCAAAAGTTTATTGCTCGAGAGTCCAACGGTTTGCCGACTCTGCGCCTGAGACGAATGATAATTTTATGGCCGACGTTGCCCAGTATGAGTATTAGAGCTAACAGGAAATGCCAAGAGTCGCTGAATGACCAGCTGTGGATGTTCCAAAAATAGAATTAGAAATGGTAAGTAAACCTAATAATTAGGGGAATTTAAAGCTTTATTACTTCCAACATAATTGGTAATTTAGTTATTAAGATGTGGCTATTGTATTTGAGAAACTAGCTTTCTTTATACTACTTTGGGTAATCTATAAATATACATTACAATGTACAAGATTTAAAATTTTAAATTTAAGTTATGGCCATTACCGAAATTCAAACAATCCGATTTTCCAACACTGGACGGAAAAAGGGGCCACTAGGGCTACCAGACCGCATTGGGAAATTTTGTGAGATTTTTTAGGGTGAAAATCTAATTTACATCTGGCAGCACAGTTAATCGTTATCGTTGATCGTTATCGCCAGCTTGGGCGTTGCTTCTATTATTTACGTTTCTGAAATTTCTTATTTTGTAAATAAAACAACGTTTTAGTGCAGAAACTATTGGACAAAATGCAATCCCAGACGAATCTCATCGCAGTGCTGCTGCTGGCAGCTCTGATTCACGAAGGTTTGCACAGTTTTGCACGATTTTACAGAACTTGACATAATTAAACAATTAAACTGATTGACAGGCGCTGCGATCTGGTGCTACCGCTGCACATCAGCCACGCCCGGTTGCGCGGAGAACTTCAACTGGCGGGGCATAGGCTTCCTGGGCGAGCACTGCCCAGAACCAAACGACATCTGCGTGAAGGTGACAGAGCGACGCGGCGGTAAGTCCACGCCTCCTTATTTACTCCAGCACGTGTCTTGATTCCAAGAATCCCTTGCAGCCCAGGAGACCATTACACGCGATTGCCTTAGCGCCTTGAGCTTCCGCAAGGACATACCCGCTGACAAGTACGAGGGCTGTCGTCCTGCCGCCAAGATGGTGAAACTGGGGCACTACGTCAACCACACGATCAAGGAGCACGACATAAAGCGCGACTACTTTACGGACACAGAGTTCTGTTTCTGCTTCCTCGACCACCGCTGCAACGGAACCAGCGGGATGCGAGTGTCGGCCATACTGGGCCTGCTTGCCGTAGCCACTGCGCTGCTCTTCCGCTGAAGCGTCACCACGGAGGTGGACTGCCAAAGTGCCTTAGTAACAAAACTAAACAAAGACGAATCTCGTCCAACATTCCGTCCGCACATTCCACGACTTTGTACAACTTTTTGCGTATTGCTTACACGTTTTAGAGACTTTTGTTTACTCAACTAATTAAATACATTTTACAATATTTATAAACAGGCGTGAAATCGTTGCATTAGACGATCTCCGGATTCTTTGGAGCCCGGTAATCATAGCTAGCCACCTCGGGATGTGCGTTCACATGCTCTGCATATACTTCCGCCAGCCTCAGGCACTGTTCCACGGACAATTCAAAGGACCGCAGCGTGTCCTGTACCTCGGCGCGCTGGAAGAGCTTCTCGGTGACCTCTTCCCGGTCTTCCGGTGGGAATAGGGTGCCATAGCCCCGGTGGCAGTACTTTTGACGCATGCTGAAGATGTGCCGCACCACGCGCTCCACCAAGGGGAACGGCAGCTGGGTCTTTGGACGTTTCAGAGGCATTACCTTGACAACGCCGACATCCACCTGCGGCTTGGGCACAAACGCCTTGCCCGGTATGATGAACTTCAGGATCGGTTCCGTCCAGATTTGTGACATCACCGACAAGCGGCAGCGCTGCTCGCCACCGACAGGTGAGCAAATCCGCTCGGCCACCTCCTTCTGGAAAGTGAGTGTCATGCAGGTGTCGTTGCGTCGGAAAGCGCCTCGTCTGGCGGCCAAATCCTCGTACCAGTTGATCAAAAGGCGCGTGGAGATGGCGAACGGAAGGTTGCCGATCAAATGGATGCGCTGGGAAGTGTCCGGAATATGCTGCTCCACGTTGAAGCGCAGGATGTCCTCGTAGTACATGTCCACCTGGATGTTAAGTGGTCTGGCGCACTCCTTAAGCAGCTGGAGGGTCTCAGTGAACCGCTGATCCTTCTCCACGAGCATCAGTCGCTCCGGCTGGCGGCGCAAAATGGAGCGGGTGATGCCGCCGGGGCCGGGACCCACCTCCAGCACAATATCCCTCGCATCGATGCGGCCGGCAGACTTGACAATCTTGTCCGTCAGACGCTCGTCCATGAGGAAGTTCTGGCTCAGCTGCTTTCTGGCCTGAAGCTTGTAGAGCTTGACCAGTTCCCGGATGGTGGGGAGTGGCGGCAGGCGCATCCCGCTCTGGAGTATGCGGGCGGCGGCTTGTGACATCTGCAACAAGTGGAAACATCTAGAAAGTGCCGGGCAAGACTAAAAACCACACTCACCTTGTTGTGCAACGACTTCAGGGATGTGTAAAATGAAGAAAACGCTTACGAACTAGGAAAAAACTAACTATAACAGCTGGGGCTAGTTGGTGGAGACCTTCTTGGGCTCCTCAAAGTCGTCCAGGAACTTCTCCTGCTGCACCGAAAAGATAGAGTATCCGTAGATGGCCAGAACGGAGACTCCCAGGGCGCCGGCGGTCAGTAGATTGTTGCGGCGGATGCGCTTGAGTTTCTGCACGCGGTCCAGGTTCTGTTCCTCGATCAACTTCATAAACTGCAGCTGCGCCCTGTCGAGTTTGGGAGCGTTTTCCCCGTACTTGATCTTAGGTCCCTGCTCCGGCGCCGACATTATAAACGCTTACAAAATGTGATATTTTTCGTTCTTTTCGCTGTCGAAAATTATGAAATCTCACACGATATAAAGATGGAAGTAAAATCGATAGCACATTCGATAAAAAGGACCATCGATTTCTATCAAATAAATAGGGTTTCTGAAATTTCCGTTAGAATTTGTATTTTAAATTTCCTAAAAAGTTATACAAATATTTTCATTTTTTTAATATTTATAATTTATTTAAATGTTTGTTTATATAAACTATTTAATGAGCAATCGACTATCGATTGCTTTCGATTGACGGCTTGGAAACTCGGTTATTTTTGGCGCTCCCCCAACGGTCACACCAAAGCGAGCAGCGATTTTCATCCGTTAAAACGACTTAAGTTTTCCTCCTATTTCGGGCCCTGCGCCACGGCAGTTCACTTTTGTTGGTGGCTCGAGTGCGACGGCAGCGGAAAACGCTTTTCCAGGCAGAGTGCGTCATTAGTTGCCTGCAAGTCAGCCAAAGCCATTACTTGTAATTGCGCTGCAAAGTGCGTAATTAGAGCTTGAGGAAAACTGCGTTTTCCGCAAATCCAGAACGTGTTCCATATTTCTAAAAACGTACGTACACAGAGATTGCCGTGCTCGTGTTAATTACCCAAGAGTGGCGATCGAAGCCCCTGCGATGACTTTGAAATGCGGAAATGAAAGTAAAAATTCGGTTGCGTGCTTGGGAAACTGCTCTGAAAAATTTTACTGGCAATAACAACAAAGGCAAAACAAACGCGTAATTGCAGAAATCAGCTGTGTACCTACGGACGAACAAGAGCCACAGAAAGAGACGGAGAGCACAACACTCCGCCAGACCCCCCCACCGTCAGGCCCCAAACGCCTCCCCCTCCACCGACGATGGAAACCTAACAGCTGGTCGGAGCGGTCTCTCTGGCGTTCTCCCTCTCTCGCTCTCACTCGTGGGGCTAGTTTCGCCTTATTTGGACTGTTTTTTTCCTTCTGTTTTGTTTTGGTTTTTTATTCAACGTTTGTTGCCAGATTCGCTTCCAGGCAACTGGAGATTTCAAACTCTTGAATCCCCCACTCCGAATAGGTTTCGTTTCCGCAGTTCGGTTCTTAATTCCCAGCACCCTATTGCAATTAATTTTGAAATTCCCTCTTGCAGCCACAAATCAAATCGCGTTTCGTCAACCGCCGTCCGCTTAGGCAGTACAATTTAAAAAACAAAAAACAATAACAAATACAAATACAAATCTACAAGTTGACGCGAAAAACAATACGTTAGTGCAGACGCCAGACAAAGGAATCGGTATTCGAGATGGCGTTCATTTCAAAAGATTTTCGGTCGCCCGGCGAAACATGGATCAAAACCGATGGCGGCTGGGAGATGTCCAAGGTGCTGGAGTGCGGCGGCAAGCGGAAGCGGTGAGTTTTTAATTAAAATAATAATTATAATACTCTGGAGGGTGATATTATAATTTCAGTCAGAGGATAGTAACACAATGAAGTAGTCATTTCCGAACCCATAAATCAAATTAAAACATTAAATTCAGTATGCATTCTGCTTAACCCAATAAAAATTAACCCAGAACAACTTTCCTATTTGAAATTAATGAATTTTTGGCTAAGTTATGATAGATTCAACCCTTGCAAACGGTATACAATCTAAGTAAGCTTTCTTTCTTTTATTTTTTATTTGTATTTCACGCATTTTCTAATAGACGAACGAACACACGCAACTTTTCACAATAGACCCTTAATTTTGACGTCCCAATTATGAAATATATATTTTGTAAGTAAGTTGCTGTTGAAACCAATCGCACAATGCTCAATTTGCATTTGTAAAGGTTATAATACAGGCCAGGTTAACTTAGTTTCAAAATAATAACTCACAAATAAGAGTTTAGTATTGCAGAAATAGGGTTTCGAGTTTTGGAAGTTAAGCTTTCCAAAGCAACAACAGTTTTTTAACCTAAGACATTTATAAATAAATTAAATATAAATTTTAAATATTTTTTATTCAATTAATTTCGTATAAATATTACCAAGTCTCTAAAGTGCGTCTTAAAGGCATAGCAAACTTAATTGATTTATATTTCAAAAGCTATCTAATCTAAAATCAAAAATTTAAGACGTCATTTCAAATGTACAGGGAATGACCTTAAGTGAACTTAACTCTGTGGTGGTATTTGGATTACTCACAAGTAGTTTCTAGTCACGTTTCCATTAGCAAATAGAAATAGTAAACTAGATCATGGGCCTCACTTCCGTGTAAAAATACATAGTACATACACTCAAGGCTTCGATTTTAAAATGTTTTATTTACCATATTTTTCTGTTCTATGTGCAAAACCCACTTTTTGCAGACAATCTTATCAGTAAGAGATAAAGAATTACCTTGAGCCAATTTTGGCTGAGTGCAATGACAATTCCATCTCTTCAAATCATAATTCTGCCTTGATCTGTGATCATTGCTCCATATTTCGTAGTGTTCCATAAACCCTAAGCTCTATAACACACAAAATACAAAATCGTGGCATTGTCTGGCAGTTTTCGCTACCGAAATATTTAAATCATTCAATTTAATAGACTCGCTTTGGGCCCAATAGTATAATGCCCGGTGATGGTGCTGCTGCCATTGAAGTTGGCCAAAGCAAAGCGGCGAATAATTGTCGTGGCCCGAACAATGAAGCCCACTTCCCATCGGTCGACGAATCGATGATTTCTCAAACTCAAGCCGCAGGCAGAAAAATATAATCAACTGCGAGACCCAAGTTGTGCGTTTATGGCCATGAAAAGTTGCTACAAATCTTGTAGAAGTTTCCCCAAAATCTTCATTTATTTAAAGTGTCATATATACCGGCAGTGAGTCACTGATTAAACGCTGTGAAAGTGGTAGAAGTGCCACCAATATCCGTATCTCGAGTGGCGGCCTGGTGGTGGAGTAGTATCTCTGATCGATCGCTCATTTGATTGATAGCCATTGTTTATCGCTTGGCTGCAATGGGAAATTGCAAGTGGAACAAAAAGTTATTCAGACATTAAAACAATAGTTGGTGAGAGTGAAAACAGGGGCCCTGTTTTTTACGATTTGTGAGGTTTTTATATTTATGATTTTCTATTTTAATTGTATACTTTTATATTCTAGAAAAGTAAAGGTTGCTTTAACTATTATCTTGTGAATTTTAAGTATGCCATTCACTTTTTTGAGTTTTGATAGAATTTTAAAGAGAAAGAAAGTATCCAGTAATTTCCCGTTCTCTAAAATTTCGATGTCCAATAATTTTTAATTTATCTTATAAAGTCTACAATAAATATACAGCATCCTCTGATATCCTTAAACTAATTTCTCAAAGTCATTAATTTTTAATTCCCATTTCACGCCTTACAAGCAGTTTTTCTTCTGACAAGATGATGGATTTCCATTATGCATGTATTTATTGAAATTACTCATTCCGATGACTGACATATAACATATATCGATTCGAAGGGGGGGAAGTTGTTGGGTGGAAAGTGGGAGTTCGGAGGTCGAAAGTGGGCGGTGCGGAACCTTGAGCTTTTGGGGCCGTTGCAAACTCTCTCACATACTCTCGCACTTTGCACTCTTTTGGCCTAAACTTGACCGATTTTCACGCCTACGGTTAAGTTAGCCTTTGGCTAAAATGTATACATATGTGTGTGTGACTTTTGAAGTCCGCAGGACAGACTTTTCACAGTCACAAGACCGCAGTAACAAAGTCATTTCAATGGGGCAGAATGTGCATTCGTTCGTGCCTCTGCCCACCTTTCTTTGTCATTCTAAATTTGGAACATTTTTCGAGTTACTGGGGAATTTGTTTACAAACAGTCTAGGGTCAAAATAACAGACACTAAATAAAAATATTCTTAAAATATTAACTTTGGCTTTCTAAAATGAACTAGATTTTTTAGGATTATTTATTTTATTTATCTCCGTAATATTTTTGTATATTTACTAATATATTCAGATTATCTCAATTTTCAAAGAAAGAAATGTATTCTTCTAAATTTTCTAAACACCTATTCATTCTTAGACCTCATTTAGACCATTTTTGTTTATATTTCTATGCCCTCTACTGTATATTCCTGTCCGACTAGATCACTAGTGGCACTATTTCCGCATTTCCCCCATTTACGACCACTCGAAATGCCAAAAATAAACGCCCCTCCCTGAGTTTCGATGGCGTTCTTTATGACTTGTCAAAAGTGCACTTCAAGTTCTTTATTTTTGACATCCTCAGCGTGCACGCGTTTCTCGTAGTTTATGCGTAGTTCTGTCTTATGCAACATCTTTGGCTTATCTCATAAAATATTATATAAATTGTAGTCAGCCACTACGCATTTTCGAGAGATTAAACTCAATTGAAGTCGAACGAGCTGTAATCAGCGCCCCAAGGTTTGGGTATCCTAATTTTCCAAAACGGGGAAATGTGTATGGGAAGTGGACCAATAATATTTGAGTCTCACTTTCGTGACTTAATATGTATATATTTCTGAAATCCACATATTTTATTGCTTTATTTCGTAACCGTGTTAAGCACTCGTTTCGAGCATTACCCAACTTTCTTTCTGGTAAATTAAAAATTTAAATGCCCGTCGGCCGGCACTGAAGCCCCATTAGATAATGCCTCAAAAAAAAAAAGTAATAATTAGAAAATCCAAATTGCATGGAAAAGCGAATCCAAAGTGCACACGACAGAGTGCGGACGTGTCCAAGTCAGAGCCGGAGCCGGAGTCGGAGTCGGAATTGGACCCACTTTCACTGCACTCTTCGCTGCACATCTGCGGACCAACGATCGCCCGCTCGCTTTTTGATCGATTTTCCTGCCAGTCTTTTCGCTACCCATTGCTTTTTCCACTCTATCAAGGCCCATGAGGTCGCGGAAAATGGCTTAACGTATCGTTAAACATATTTTCCATGTGTGTGTGTGTGGATGTGGAGATAAATAAAAATAACGCATTCGCACATTCAGAGTTAATGATTGATGAATTTTCAAATTTTCTCTGGCAATTTTATGGCATTTTTGCTTGTAGGCTTAGTTTTAGTTTGAAATGAATGAGATTAAGTTAAGAAGTGTAAATTTAGTAGTTAATTTTATTATAAATAAGAAAGGTTACAGATTTCGGGAAGTCGAAATTTTGTATATCCCTGCAGGATGCCATAGGATCAAGGCATAGAATCATAAATCGAGCATAACTAAGCCAAAAAAGCAGCAATTATTATACGGAAAGCTTTTTTATGCAAGTCTTTTCTAGGCTAACAAATCTGCAAACGAAATTTTAGATTTTAAGAAATCAAGATTTTTGGTCATTTTTGAAAATTTTAATGATGTCACCCCTTATCAAATTTTCAAAATTTTGAAAAAAAAAATTCGTTCGATTAATGCTAGAAAGACTCGCCTGTTGATGCTGATCAAGAATATATATGGTTTATAGGGTCGGAAATCACTCCTTCACTGCCTTGAAAACTTTTGAATAAAATTATAATACCCTATATATATCTTTGTCATTTATAATTAAGTGAATAGTTTCTATTCTGAATCCCTTTTGCGCCTCAAAAAAGGTGGTAAACATGTTTTTGAAATTGTTTTTTGAATATTAAAAGTATATATAGAAGAAAATCCACAAAACTGTATTAGTCAACTATATTTTACGCAGTAGGAAATGCAAAATGCGTTCTTTTCTTTCTCTGATTCACTCATGCGCACTTTCCCAATTATATATACAATTTATCTTTTGCAACCAAATATTTCCATTCCCTGTGATTCCCCATTGGCGGCATCTCCGACTCTCTTTATAATTAGAACTTGAAACAAAGTCGATGCGCTTTCTGGGCTCCTTCAGCGGTCCTCAGCTCCATTACCAATTATTTATGTCGAAAAAGGTCACATGTTTAAAAATAGAAAAGCGATTTTCCGCTGCAACTGTGTATAGTTTTTCCCGCTGCGCCTGCCAGTCAAGGCGCATCGCCCCGCTCTTCATTTCATTTGTTTAATTCGCTTGGAGAAAGGTAAACGAACGCTTGATGGTGACGTCGTTGAGTGATTTATATGAATCACGTGGTCGTAGTTGTCGGCCACGGCACGGTCTGTTGGTTGGATGGGATGATGGCTGTGGGATGGGCAGAGCAGGGACCAGCCAGGAGACAGAAGCACAACAATTTCATTGTTCGTCAGCTATCTTTATACGAATCCGCTGAGATAATTGCATGTTTATCTAAAAAACAACCAGCGACAACCTCACGAATTTCGAGCGAAAAATGGGAAGACGGAACAAATTAATCAAAAAACAATAATTGGCACTGAAAATTACAATAATAAAGTGTTATTTGAGGGGTTTGGTTTGTTTGATTTGATTCCTTTGTTTCTTTTATCTATGATGAGCAATGCCAATGGTATATATCTTGTGAAATTGATTTTGAAAGAGTTATCTTGTGTATAATAATGTTTATTAACTGATAATTAGGGGATACTAGAAAGACCATGTTCTTGAAGAAATTAATAAGAATATTTATACCTCTTTAACCATTTTCCTTAAGTAGGAAAATCATACGATAAAGTTAGATAAAATTGTTGATATGGTTAAGGTTTTATTTAAGAAACAATTAACAACTTTAGCAAAGGAAGAAGCCTCTTATTTTCTTTGATTAATCAGTTTATTATTACCTTAATTTACATTTAAACCACCTTAAATTTTATCCTTTTAACTTCCACTTGCATTATTTCCCCTTATATCCTTTTAGTCTTAATTGATTTAAATTGTTTCAAACACATTTTCGCTTGCAGAACATCCCCCTATTGTCACTCAAATGCAATGCGAAATGCCAAGTCAAAACCAAAAACCAGAAAAGAAAACAATAACAGATCATAAAGCAGCAACACATGGCTGTGCAGTGCTTTCCCACATTACGTATACGTACGAACTGTAGTGGGCAATAGAGGCGGTGACCTACTTTGGACCAGGCCAGGCCAGACCAGGCCAACGACGATTCTCAGCTCTCGACTCGCTCTGAGCTTTTGTGCGTTTCTCCCTTTTGCTGTTTCTCGTTCCACTTTCGTAGTCCTGTCTTTGATGGCTGTTATTCTCCTTGGAGCAAGGGGCGAGCTTTACTTAGCTCCTGTTTAGGGACCGTGAGTGAATTACCACTGATTAAGGACCTAATTCCAACTGGCCTGCAGCTGATGCTGAATTTAATTTACTCTCCTTCGTGGAGGACAAGCACCTGGGAAGACCGGATCGATGTGCCTTGACCATTTGCTGGTGCGGTTGTGTGGATTCCGGCGAGGACGCTGACTGTCCTTGGCTGCCGCAAAATTGTTTTTGATTTTACCCCCCACAACTGGGTCAAAGTGTGCTCGCTCGCTCGTCTCCTGTGGCTGTTTTGCTGCCGACTGCACTTTATCTAATTGAAGTTTTTCCCTCCATAATTGCCTGGTAATTAGGTTTTCTTATCTCGGTTTTTGCACAACTTCCAGGGCGCCCAGTAAATGTCGATTTTCAAGGTTGCTAATGGGGAGGGGGCCTGACATTTGGATAATGGCTTTTCAAGTTGTAAATGTCTAGCCACAAGGGGGTTTTATTAAAGTAAAATCTAAGTAATCTAAAATTGAAACAGCTTTTAAAATAGATTTCTATCTAGTAAACACAACCATTTACTCCTACTTCCCGAATGACTCTTAATTCCTTTCAAATTGAATTGCAAATGTGTACAATCCTCACAAATTTGAGCGACCCAATGTTTGTAATTGCATTAAACGTTGCTTAAAAACTTGACACTCTGCTGGGTTTCCACTCTCCGCCGAATTGCTTAATTTAATAACCGGACAGAGCCGTGGATCAGATGGTGGGAATCGGCGGCAGTAGCTTCCGCCTTGTGAAAAGCTACTCACAAGCGTTTAACACTTGTAAGCCGCCAAAGCCAAATACTTGGCAGTTGCTGCACTCCAAGAGTGCCATACTGGCCAAACTGGTTAGCCCCCCAAGTTGAGAGGAGTGCCAGCTCAGAGTTGGACCGAATCACTTCCGAAATGTTACATTGACAATGGATTATCTTGTTTTTAAAATTATTTAAAGCAAAAAAAGTCATAAAAGTGAATAAGGAATAGATTTAAGACTCTGTTTAATATGTATAAAATAACATTATTCATTCATCTTCCCCTTGCAGTCACCACTCTGAGGGCAGCAGTAGCAGCTACCAGGATGCCAGCAGCGACAGTTCCACAGAGGACGAGTCGGCGGGGATGCCGCCCCATTACCACATCACCATTCGGTGTACACGTGAGATTGCCGGATTCAATGGCCTCAGTGAGGCTGTAAAACGTCTGGATTTTCGAAGATCAGTGCGAGATCGTAAGCGTTTCCACTACATCTGTGCTTTCCTGCTGCTCGTGTCCAACAAGGGCATAGCCAGCCTGCCAGGCAGTGCCCAGCGGCAGCTGCTCCAAATGGTTGAGGAAGTGGCCTCGCATGGTAAGTGGAATTTAGACTTTAATTTTAAATAAATCAACTTTATTTTCATATTTTTCTATTTCAGTAAATGACAGCCAGCAACATCCTAATGTTTTGCGTGGTCTGGCCTTAAAGCTGGAGCACATTGTCAACCAGGAGAACCAAAAGTGCTGGGGCAAGCCGCTGGGCAGCACCTACCTGTGGAAGGAGCACATGGCCACCATCAAGCGCATACAGCGTGTGGCCAGCCAAATCGAGATTAGGGAGGTGAGATCTCATTACAAACCAAGTCCAGCTTTTCTTCCATGCTTAATATTTCCAATTTCTTTGCCAGCCCGATCCCGAGGCCAAGCCCAAGCTGCACGAGCTGCCGGAGGAGTGCGTCCGTGAGATTATCTTGTGCATTGCCGACCATCGGGACCTGGAGTCCGCCGCCAAGGCTTGGGACACCATGGCCAAGCTGGTCTCCGAGCAGCGCATCTGGCGCGAGCTGACGCGCTTCCACTTCAATCAGCGCCAGATTCACACCATCCTCGACCTGGACAAGTTCAAGCAGATGGGCGAGATCAAGGACTGGAAGCAGATCTACCACCAGTTGCGTCGCACGTACGGCGTCAACGATGACTACCAGTTTGCCGAGGTGCTGGCCCTGTGCCGCTCTTGCTGCTGCCTCTTCTGGCCATCGGATGGACATCCGTGCATTGTGGACCAGAGTCCTGACTACAAGCAGCGAGTGGAGGAAGCGGGTGGCCAGCTGGCCTTGGCTCAGCCCGTGCCCCCGGCCCAGTTTCTCAAGTACTTCTCGTTGTAAGCGGATCAGACCAAGGGAGAGAGATTAGAGATAGAGATCGATATGTATTTTTAGGGAGAGAGAGAGGAGTGAATGGTGTCCCTGTCCATGGATAAGTTGTTTGGCTGCGAGTGAAAGTCTTTATGTGCGTGTTAAAGTTTTACCCTAAGAGAAGGGATGATGGAGGCGGATGAGGAGTGGTTTAGAAAGCAAAGTGATAAAGATATCCCTAATCTATAACTACATTATAATCGTTTCGACTGGTTTGCAGATTTGTGCAGGTTAAGATTCAGATTCTAGTTCAGTTCTCTGCCTTTGCCAACGCTCTTTTTGTATTGTTACCAGTTTATAGGGTCGAAGTCTGAACCACTATCTGTGCAGGACCGAAGATTACTATTAGTTGTGTAGAGATCAGGCGTGTCAGGGTCCAATTCGGGGAGATCCTTGAGATTTGCAGTTGCTATAGACTTTTTAAGGACACGCAACATAAAAACAAACTGCCACAAAAGAAACGAGAATAAGCGATTATTTTGTTGTCAAACTGAATCGAGAAACTATTTTTAAAAAAACCAGTATATATAATGTGTAATTATTACCGATTTGTTCATTTTAAGACAAACGACGAAACACACTCACTTTTATGCATGTCTTTTGATCGCGATCTATTTGTAGGACTTAAGTGTAGTTTCTTTTACGTCTGTATCAAGCTGCTTTTGGTGCTAAATCTTACTATAAGTTCCAATCAAAGAAATCAAATCAAACCAGGCTCTGAATACCCCGTCCCCCGATCCGCGTAGTTCCGTGTAGAAGAGTAGAAGGAGAAATCATGTGATGTTGCAGGAAGCAAAGCTAGAAACGAATACACCTACCTAACGATAACAAATCTTCAAGCGATCTGCCGCTAAGCAATGCTATATATACAAATATTAGAGATCGAGCAGAGATTACGATTATGATTACCTTAACCAATGCTAAGGCACACTGGCAGCTAAGTATATCACAGAAAAGACCTTATAAAAACAGGATCTGTAAGGCCAAATCGTATGACATTACTCATCTTGTTTTTACAAGTTTCCTGGCGGACCTATAGATAATGTTAATGTGTATAGATATATCCTTTAGTAGAACCTCCCGACAACCCGGCCTCATGATTTCCTTTCCCTGTACAAAATATCTGTTCGATCGCATTACTATTACTATACTTAATTACTATTGTAAGTATGAAGGTTTTTAGCATTCTCCGATTATTATGCGTTTGCGAAATAAATCTCTGATTTTATGTTTACAATAAACTTGCAAATATCTATGGAGAGCAAAGGTGTGGTTTTCATTTGGTGAATAATAAGCAAGGGGTTTTCAAGAGGTTTTTAAATATTACAAACATCCCGCCACAGTCTAGCCCACACTGTTGGGTAAATATTGACTTAACAATGGGTTGCCATGGACACAAATCAATCTTCAATAAAAAGCCAGAGCCACACAATTCAGACCTCTTGAAGCTTCTTAAAAGGTTTCAAATTATTTTATTTGTAAACCTGAAAAATGGAATTTATATTCAAGAAGGAGCGCCGCAGCTTTGGCGCCCGCGTCAACTTCGAGGACAAGGATGAGGTGGTCTTCAGCGAAAACTCCAATCCCGAGTTGGTGAAAAACTACATCCTCCAGAACCCCGTGGATAGGGTGACGCAATATGCTGGACAGACCTCTCTTAGCGTGGCCAATACCGAGCGAGCCACATACAAAAGCACAGGGATTACCCACAATGAAGGCGGCTGGCCCAAGGACATCAATATGCATGATCCGGAACAAACAGTTCGATATAAACGCAAGATCGAGAAGGACGAGAATTACATCACGCAAGTCATGAACTTGACCAAGCCCATGGAGCACTACATTCACCAGAACAATGCCGTCAACATCTATGAGAACTACTTCGAGAACCTGGACCCTGCTCCTTTGCCGGAACCCTGCAAGTCCCGCACTGTCAACGTATACCGGGATCCGAATCCCATCAAGGTGCCGGTGAAGCACCTTTCCTGGTCCCCGGATGGCGGCATTAAGATGGCCGTCAGCCACTGTGACATGCGATTCCAAGGCGACAAGTCTGGCCAAAAGTGCAACTCGTATATCTGGGAGGTGGAGAACCCCAACGAGCCCTTCCTCACCCTGGAGCCAAAGGTTCCATGCGTGTGCCTGGAGTACAATCAGAAGGATCCCACCAGTCTGGTGAGTGGGATGTACAATGGCCAGGTGGCCGCTTGGGATACGCGGCACGGCAAGAATCCGGTGATGATCAGCGAACGGGAGGTGTGTCACCGCGATCCGGTGAATTCGGTGCTGTGGAACAACTCCAAGAGCGGCACAGAGTTCTTCTCCGGCGGCTCTGATGGTCAAGTGTTGTGGTGGGACACTCGTAAGATGAGTGAGCCGCTGGATCGTTTGCTTATGGATCCTGTGAAGAGTGATGATCAGGACCTGTCGCGATCGTATGGCATATCGGTGCTGGAGTATGAGACCACAATTCCTACAAGGTTCATGGCAGGCACCGAGATGGGCATGCTGTTCTCCTGCAACCGCAAGGGCAAGACGCCAACGGAGAAGATTCAGATAAGAGTGGGTTATATATTTATCCCTTTATTGTATCCTTTCTACCAGGTAAAAGTCTCTTCCTACAGATGATGTGCCACCTGGGGCCGGTGTACGCCATCACCCGGAATCCAGCTTTTGTGAAGAACTTCCTGACGGTGGGCGACTGGTGCGCCCGCATCTGGTCAGAGGACTGCCGCGAGAGCTCCATCATCTGGACCAAGAGCAGCAGCTCCATGCTGACTGACGGCGCCTGGAGTTACACCAAGTGAGATTCAAATTCTAGTTTTTAGTTACCAATATTGTTTGTAATGTTCCTTCCAGGGTATCGCAGTTTTTTATAACCAGAATGGATGGAGTGCTGGACACTTGGGATCTCCTGCAGCAGCAGAATGAACCCGTTCTCACGGTCAAAGTGTGCGATGAACCCTTGTACTGCGTAAGGACCAACGAGAACGGCAAGTTTGTAAGCTGCGGCAGCCAACTGGGGGCCACATTCCTCATCGAGGTCTCCGACAACATGGTCATGTCCGCTAAGAACGATAAGCCCTTGTTAACAGCCGTAAGAAATGATAACCTAAATTTAAAATTAAAAACTTTAATGGAAAATAATACCTTGCAGATGTTTGAGCGAGAGAACCGACGTGAGAAGATTCTGGAGGCCAAGTCGCGGGAAAGCAAGCTCAAGGTGAAGGCCAATCATGGCCAGGATACGGCGGACATAACGATGGTGAACGGAAAGGTCAATATGGCTCCGTTTGAGGGAGCTTGTGAGCAGGCCGCCTCCGAGTATTTTTCGGCTGTGGAACAGGAACGCCAAAGGCGATTGCCAGGCGGAAAGCGTAGGTGAACAATAGCGGTTTATTTTTAAGTTATAACTCTTTTCCAGGAAGCCCTTTTATTAATTTTTTAAAGTTCTCCTTACAGAGGATGCGGAGGAGGCTGAAGTGTCGGAGGCAGAGAGCTCAAAGCTGTAGATGTTCAATTTAATTGTTATACATATTTCACGGACCAAAGTCAGATAATAGTCATTGTACAATAAATAAATATTTATCAATAACAGCAAAACAGACCAACATTTAAAATGTATGTTTAGTTTTACCTAAATTTAAGTTTAACGTGTTTTTATTCCAGTACTCAAAACTGTGCTACAAGCTATCGTTATCGATAAACGCCATTTAGGCAAACCTGATACTCAAACCAGAGGATTTTTTAGGTAGAAAGTCAAATTTTCATCTGGTAACACTAAAACACTGTTCCACGCGGCTCGACCAGCTGTTTCTAAATTAACAAAATTCAATTGACAACAGCGATTTTAAGTGAGTAATATACATTTAAACAATTCTCTGTGAACAGCCCCCACTACGCAGAATAAAGAGGTGTGAAAAATCGAAGTGCAACAAGAAATCAACATTGCATCAGCTGTGCCATTGAAACGTGCCAAAACTACACTCGCCTGCAAAGTTCGAGGCTAAAGGCGAAATATAAGCAGTATTAGTGACATAATATTTATCAAAATCGAAAGGAACACCTGTGAATACAACTACATCTTGCGGGAAAATCTGTTTATGGCGTTTATGGCAATATTTTCAAGTTGTACGTCAGGTAATTGGCTTGTACAGGTAGCAAACGCGTCTGCACCGAACCCGTTCTGTGTTGCACGGTGTGCGGCCTACGTGACTCAGAAGCAATTATCAATGGCGCAACACATACGGAGTTCAGTGACCAATTTCTGCAGCAGCCAAACGAAAACACACCCCTAGACTCGGAATCAGACGGCGTCTAACGTTTAACTGATAAAGAAGTTGAACGATCAAATAATAAGCCGAACAAAGTGTTTTTCATTAAACAATTCGTGTAAATTAAGCAAATAACACGGGTAAGACAAAGGCCTAAAACAAGTGAACTCAAAGTGTACTTTCGAATTTGTCCTACTTTGCTTTGTGAATTAAATCAACTTTATTATCAACATTTAAATCCCATTTAAACATCTAATGAAATAATCGAGTCCTAGTGCGTCTTAAAAAACAAAGATTTCCTTATAAACTCACGGAAGTGCATTAATCTAATGAGATTAAATAACTTGAATTAATCATTAAATCCAAAATAAACCCTTATCGACATGCTCTGCATTGTTATTTGCCAATTAAAACAGCCATAGAACACCAGTTTGTTCTGGTTTAAGTTTTTTTTATTGCCAATTGTTAATTGTTAATTCAGACCTTGGCGCGGTAGCGATTTGAAAGTGTTTCCCCCAAGGCGGGGTTGGGTTCGTGCACACCCGTGATTCACCCACCTGGCGTGGTGCTTGTGCTAAATACGTTATTTCGGGATTGCTTTTCCGGTTTTTTTTTTGCTGCCACTGCAATCCCAGGGGCCGGTCCTACCATTCCATTCTGGCCAGCAGTCACGTACGCCAGCCAGCGCATCGCCCAGCTCTTTGTTTATTGTTTATTTTTGGTAAACCTATCACAGACTAAAACGGAGGTTCCATGATTTAAATAAACAATCTTGACCTTAACAACGTTCAAAGCAAGAAAATATTTGAATAAACCGAAAACAAGTGATTAAGAAGATAATTTTTAGAAAAATAACACAAATATAACACATTTCTTGATAATAAATTATTTATAAATTCAAAAATAAATTCAAATATTAACCTAAAATATTCATACAATTAATTAAAATAATAATTTAATTTTCAATTATAAATACATAATATATTTATAAATTCAAAACTAACTCCCAAATTTACCTGAAGATACAGTTTATTAATGCTTTTTCCTTCAGAAAATATAAATAAACCTTGTTTCTCTTGTTTTTCCAGCACCATGTTGGACGTGATCCAACCGAGTAACAACCACCAAGCCAGCGACAACAACAACGATGTGGTGGTGGTCCGAGCCAGGCCCAAGAAGGTCTTCAAACCAAAGGCCAGAATCAATCGAATTCCACAGGAGCTGCTCGATGATCCGCTACTGCAGCAGGCCATCGATCGGCTGCCCTCCAACTACAACTTTGAACTGCACAAGACCATCTGGCGGATACGGGAGATGAAGGCCAAGCGAGTGGCCTTGCAGCTGCCGGAGGGACTGCTAATGTACGCCATGGTTATCAGCGATATTGTGGAGCGATTCACCAGCGCCGATACCGTCATCATGGGCGATGTGACTTACGGAGCTTGTTGCGTTGACGACTACACAGCCAAGGCCCTAGGAGCAGATCTTCTGGTGCATTACGGCCACAGTTGCCTCATTCCCGTGGACCAAACGTGCGGTATCAAAGTGCTTTACATCTTTGTTGACATCAAGATCGATCCGCTGCACTTCCTGGACTCAGTCAAACTGAATTTCCGTCCGGATGTTGGTCAAATAGCCTTGGTGAGCACAATACAGTTTGTGACCACGCTGCAGGCTGCATCAACGGAGCTAAAGGCAGCCGGCTACGATGTGATAGTGCCTCAGGCCAAGCCGCTGAGTCCGGGTGAGATCCTCGGCTGCACCTCGCCGCAGCTGCCGGAGGCAACCAAAATGATAATCTACCTGGGAGACGGGCGTTTCCACCTGGAATCCGCCATGATTGCGAATCCGCTGCTGAAGGTAGGTGGCCTAAACTTCAGGCTTTTGTTTGAGTCGCTGATTTTTAAATTTATTTTCAGGCCTACAAGTACGACCCTTATGAAAAGAAGTTCACCATTGAGGAGTACGACCACATGGCCATGCAGAACCTTCGTCTGGACGCTGTGCAGCGCGCAAAGAAAGCCCGTCGCATCGGCATCATACTGGGCACACTTGGGAGACAGGGCAGTGCCAGAGTGCATCGTTTTCTGGAGAAGAGGCTGCATGCCAAGGGCATTGAGACGACGACTCTACTGCTGTCGGAGATCTTCCCCCAGAAACTGGCCTTATTCGCGGACATTGACGCCTTCGTGCAGATCGCCTGCCCGCGACTTTCGATCGACTGGGGATCAGCCTTCAGCCAGCCGCTTCTGAATCCGTACGAGCTGTCTGTGGTCTTGGGAGATGTCGAGTGGACGCCACACAATTCGTCGCCGCGCAACAATGCCTATCCGATGGACTTCTATGCCAGCGGCAGCCTGGGACCCTGGACGCCCAACTTCAAGCCGCCGGCGCTGGGCGAGTGTGAGAACAAGCCTTCAGCTGATTGCTGCGGCCGCTGCACACGCGCCGAACTGGAGAAAGATGATTCTGGGAAGGCAGCGGCCATAGCCGATCTTCTTGACTACAAAAAGGGATAATCGTTTAATGATGGCCGCATTCTTAGCTCCCCACAAGAGCCCTCCATCTCAAGCGATCGGTCCAGGTCGTCTGCCCAAAAATAATGCTTACCTACTAATTTAGTTAGTACAAATTTGTTGTTTGTAAGTTCTATCATTTAGGTCGTCATCACTTGTGTTCATCACAGATACGTTTACAACTTTATGTTCGCAAAGGCATTCTTTAGTTAAGTTGGTAGTTTTATTTACAGAGATGCAATTGTTATAGTAACAGCAACAATGTACACTATTTGTAACATTAAAAAGGATGTTTAAAACAAACAAATGGGTATTTTTATTTAATATATTTCATTTAAACAAAGATTTGAGAGGGAGGATTATCTTTGGTGCAACGGTATCTGGTGAAAGGTTGAAGAAATACACATTCCATTTTGTCCCAATAATGCAAAATAGCTAGATGAGCATCACTGGCAGTTAGTGAGATTCCATTTTGTCCCAATAATGCAAAATAGCTAGATGAGCATCACTGGCAGTTAGTGAGATTCCATTTTGTCCCAATAATGCAAAATAGCTAGATGAGTATCACTGGCAGTTAGTAAGATGCCATTTTGTCCCAATAATGCAAAATAGCTAGATGAGCATCACTGGCAGTTAGTGAGATGCCATTTTGTCCCAATAATGCAAAATAGCTAGATGAGCATCACTGGCAGTTAGTGATATGCCATTTTGTCCCAATAATGCAATATAGCTAGATGAGCATCACTGGTATTAACCGAGAATTTATAGCCTCCCAATATAGCAATAGCTAGATGAGCATCACTGGCAGTTAGTGAGATGCCATTTTGTCCCAATAATGCAAAATAGCTAGATGAGTATCACTGGCAGTTAGTAAGATGCCATTTTGTCCCAATAATGCAAAATAGCTAGATGAGCATCACTGGCAGTTAGTGAGATGCCAATTTGTCCCAATATACAAAATAGCTAGATGAGCATCACTGGCAGTTAATGAGATGCCATTTTGTCCCAATAATGCAATATAGCTAGATGAGCATCACTAGTATTAACCGAGATTTTATAGCCTCCCAATATAGCAATAGCTAGATGAGCATCACTGGCAGTTAGTGAGATGTCATTTTGTCCCAATAATGCAATATAGCTAGATGAGCATCACTAGTATTAACCGAGATTTTATAGCCTCCCAATATAGCAATAGCTAGATGAGCATCACTGGCAGTTAATGAGATGCCATTTTGTCCCAATAATGCAATATAGCTAGATGAGCATCACTGGCAGTTAGTGAGATGCCATTTTGTCCCAATAATGCAATATAGCTAGATGAGCATCACTAGTATTAACCGAGATTTTATAGCCTCCCAATATAGCAATAGCTAGATGAGCATCACTGGCAGTTAATGAGATGCCATTTTGTCCCAATAATGCAATATAGCTAGATGAGCATTACTGGCAGTTGAGATTCCATTTTGTCCCAATAATGCAAAATAGCTAAATGCGCATCACTGGCATTATGTCCGATTTCATTGCCCCCTAATATTGAAATATAGCCAGATGAGCATCACTGATGAAGATGAGCATCACTGATGCAAGTGACCAAAATTTTTCATTCAATTTGGCCGCTTTCCAAACTGGGGTAACAGGCGAACAGAAACCAGCAGCAAGCAACTGAAAACTGGTATAAACTGTTATAAAAACTTTTGGGCAAAAATTATAATTGGTATAATCTGTTATATTTCATTTTATGCATTTATACCTATTTGTTGCCGACAACAACAGCTTATGGCAACAACAACCTTCTTACAACAACAACCCTGCAGCAGCCCATCCAAATTTCCGAACATTTCCAAGCAAATTGCCCGTTTCCCAAATTGGGGTAACAGGCGAACAGAAATCAGCAGCAAGCAGCTGAAAACTTGTATAAACTGTTATAAAATGCCCAAGTTCCAAACCATTTAAGAGCCGGCGCTAGTTAGCGGAGACTCAAACCTTTTGAATCTAAATTTAGGTGTTATTTTACAACTGCACCTGGGCACACTGAAACTGATCGTCGTTAAATTCAAATTCAAATTTGGCAGTTAAATTCAAATTCAAATTTGGCAGTTAAAATATTTTAAAAAAATTTGTTTAATTCTAAAAAAATTCTCTCAAAAAATTCTCTCACTCTCTTTTTTTATTATTCTAGAATTTTGGTATAAATTTTATAAGAATCGGACAAGTCTCATATAATTGCCATAGAAGCGATCGGTAAATGTATAAAATATGTAAAGCTGGGAATGTAAAACTGTAACTGTCAAACTGTAAACATAATAAGTATAGGTAAACTGTAATGAAACTCTGTTTTGTGTGTGTTTTAAGCATTTAAATTTATAATATAAATATCAAAACCAATCTGCAAGGGTATACAAACTTCGGCGTGCCGAAGTTAACTTCCTTTCTTGTTAGACCTTAAATTGAAATACAATAATACATTATTTCAATTTTTATTGTAAAAATATTGTATTTGTTGTTGTAGGTCAAATCAAGGCCTTCAATCTTGACCGTTTCAGTAAAAATTCACCAATTTCTGGCTTTCAAGAACCAAAGGTTTTTCAGGGAGAAGACTTTGCTGCATTATTATTATTATCTTTTAATTATTAATTTATATTAAAAACACATTCTTCTAGGTTGTTGAACTTCATTTTATTGCAAGAATATCACTCATATTTATAATATGTACAATTTCTTTAAATATTTTACTAAATTACAATTGGCTTATATATTTACAATTTGACTAAAAAGTTTTGCTAGTAAATTTGTCTATAAAATTGGCTATGATTTCTATGGATATGTATATACAATTGGTCTATTGAATTGTCTAAAATTGGCTAAGGCTTTTCATATGTACAGGACATTGGCTAACTAAATATATACAATATGGTTGGTGTATATATACAATTGAATTATTACATTAACTAAAATGTACAATTGAACTAGGATATTAACTAGAATTTACAATTGAACTAGATTATAAACTAGAATTTACAATTGTCTAAATTCGTCTAACTGCTGACACTGCAAGCGGATTTCGTTTGATCCAAGAGCCCAGGGTTTGTTTTAAATTTGATGGTCCTCCTCCACTTCCAGTTTTGAAGTTCAGCAAAGTCGCAGCGCCGTGTCCAAGAAGCTCCGCCAGGAGCTGTAGCCGGTCCGCGAGGGATGTTGTTGCCGGTAGGAGAACATCGCTTGCAGTGCAGGTCGATTCGTTGCCGGCAGTGAGTTTTTATAGGACTGTCATCAGGTAGGCAGGTAAGATCCTTTTGCCTGTCTAATGACTTTGACCTTGGCGGAAATTGCCGCACCGCGATTACCCAAAAAATTCCTAGAAAGGTAACTTTAAACACCTCGGAAAATGCTTAAGTACTCGCTGGTTTCAAGGAAAGTACTTAGGTTGACAAGAAGGTAAAATATGTAAAAGGAAAAGGTAGGTATCTGTGTATGTATAAGGGAAAGTAGGTAAGGCAACATTTTAGAAATTTTACCAGAATTATATACAATCTGTTGGGAATATGTATGTAAAAAGTAAACAATTAGTTTTATCAGTTATAGAGGAATACGAGGTACACCCTGACATGAATTTATGCATGTTTTGTATGCCTTTAAAAAGAAAATAATATTAAGAACTCATTTGAAAATATAAGGTTGCATATAAATAGATTTATTAACCATAAACCGCTTCTGTTTCCCTGTCTTTAACAATATTAACCTCTTAAATTTTGGCTTCTACTCTCCCTGTTAATAAATAAATAACCAATACCTTTGTTATTGTAAATGTTATTTTTATTCCAACACTTTATATAACTATAATTATATCTAAGTATATATTAATCTGTATTAGCTTTCATTTTATGTTTAAAAAAAAAAAAATGGTATACGATTCTAATGATTAAGTATTTCTTTGCAACCGTGAGGTTTGGAGAGAGTTCCGATGATTCTTGATTTCATCCAACAGTTTCTTTCGATCGGCTTTAAGAAAACCTACTTCACGCTTCAAGGAGACTCTTAAAAGAAGGCCTTAAAAGTAAAGAAAATATGATTTCCAATTTATAATTCCTTACACTTCCTCCTCCAAGTATTTCACATAAGTGTCATCTTTTGAGGCAATGGTCTCCACGTCATCATTGACCATTGTTTGTGTATAGTGGGGATCAATATTCTGTACCTCCAGATGCATATTATCATTAGTATTGTAAGATCCTCCAGATTCTCTAGAGCTGTGTTCAAAGTCCTCTAATAAATCCGAGAGAATTTCACATTCTTCTACAGCTTCTTCAACAGCATCTTGGAATGGGGAATGTTTAATATGCTGGGGGGATGAGGGATTCTTAATCGGATCCTGCTTAACTCGGAAGGAATTATTTATAGACCCTTTTGTTATTTTATTTGACAACTTTCTAGGTCCTTTACAAGTCGGATACGAGCCGGGTCTGAGTTTTGTTGGATTTTTCCGGGTAAAGCCCAGCTCATACTGCATATTTCGCTCAAAATCCTCGGCTACAAAGTGCTCATTGCAAATGCAGGCTATTTAAAAACGTAATACTGGCTAAACCTAGTGCTTTATTATCATTTAATAATTTATATTTACCTGTTTCCGGGTTTATGTTATCCCGTTCGCAGAAATCTACCCATTTTTTAAGCAGCGTAGGTTCCCTGGGAAAGTGGAAGAATCGCCATTTACTTTTATTTGAATGCCTATTGTTATTTCCGCAATTATTTACTGCACAGCGCATTTAAAAGACTTGTTTGATTTACAAATTTAACAACAAATTCATCAGCTGTTTAAGCGAGGGATGGAATAACGATTTCAATAAGTCTTTAATACAAAGGTTCGAGTCTTGGCTAAAACATAAACTAAATTCGTTTAAATATAGGTTTTTCGTGTGATTTATAATAAAATCTTTAACTAATAACTAAGTAAACTGTTTAAGGATTTCTTAATGTATTCCTAAATAGAAAACTCAATGTATTAACTGTTTTAAATAATCGATAGCTCGATGATTACATCGAATTTCTTGCATCTCTATTTATTTCTTATTGGATTGTTTTGTTTATTCTGGACGTTTTTTGTTATTATGTTGAAAAGCAGCAATATAAATAGGTAAAATGAAAAGTCTTGTTCTTGGTAACCTTGTGAAACATCAAATTTTCCCCTCACAGTGTCCTCAATGAGCTGTCGGAGCCGGTAGCCAAGGAACCCCAAGCTCAATCCTCCTCCTCCAATGGAAACTCGAAAGCAGCGACGGAAACCTGTTGCTCATCCAAGGACCAGGATGTTATAGGCAGCCTTGCCGCTTTGCAATTGTCCGCTGGCGTGCTGCAAATAGCGCAGCCACCACTGGACCACGTACGCGTCCAGCTCAGGGAATTGATGTAAGTGGGTGCCTTAACCTGAATTTCACATTGCTGAATTTGCTGAATTTCCTTTCAGCGGAAGACAAAACAAGATCTATATTGATTTGTCCAAGGAGAAGTACAAACTGGACTGCAGCGAAGTCGCTAAACTTAATGACATGGTGAGTAATGAAGCTAGGAGTAGCATTTTGCAAAGGGATTTGAGGATATTACGAGAGAGTTCCAAGTTTTCTATACCCTTCCAGGGTAATATAATTTCAGTCAGAAGCTTAGAACGCAGTGAAGGAGTCATTTCCGACCCTATAAACCATATATATTCTTGATCAGCATCAACTGGCGAGTCGTTCTAGCTATGTCTGCTTGAAAAAAAAAAATTTGGCCATTTTTCGAAAAAAATGAAAGGGGTTACATCATTAAATTTTCCGATTTTTGGCCAAAATTAAAATTTTTTAATTTAGTATGCAGATTTATTAACCTTAGAAAAACTAACTCAGAACAGCTTTCCAAATTAAAATTAATGCCTTTTTGGCCGAGTTATGATATTTTTAAGTTTAACTTTTCCCAAAAAATATCATATAAAATAATAAATACATTTTTGAATGTTAATGTATAATTTTAAACTAATAACTAAGGCTACTGTATTTTCTATTTATTTTTCCTATTTATCTATTTAAGAGAATAGTTTTCCTAAGATAAAAATTAGATGTAACACTAGGATATTGACTTAAAATAAAATAATTGTTAAGCTCAGAGTCCATTAAGGTGGCCCTTTCCTGAATACATCAGTACATAGCTTGGGTACATCAGTTTAATGGGTGTTTCCATATCGCTGTTACAATCAATAATGCCAAACAATTAGGGTCATTTCGAAGAGCCCAAATAGTACCCCATAACTGCTTAAGTGTACCAGCGTTTAGGTAATTAAGTTGGGCGGAAACTTATCAGTGGTCTGTGGTAACAATCTTATCTATAGCCGTCAAGCAGCTACACAAAGTAACTAGGCATTATAAAATACAAAGTAATTAGCCTGTATACAACCTCCCTTTACGCAGATGAGCGATGTGAGGCGCTACAAAGATAAACTGGCAAAGATCAAAAAAGAAATGCAGGGAATCTACCAGCGCACCAAGGACTTGAAGGTAAGCCCACAAATTTCAACCAAAAAAACCCATTCAAAGGTGATAAAAGTAATCAAAGATTAACACAAAGAAAAACACATGCAAACCTAGTAATTTAAAGACATTTATTATCTTTGAATTGCTGATTACAGAAACGCGCCGCAAACGTGGCGGCCTGCAAGCAGCGCGACTACCAGCGGAAACTCGACAGGCAGCAGCACGAGGAGTCACTCATTGGCGGTCATTAGAGGCAGTCGGCGCCGCCTTTACATTGGGATTCGGACTCTGGGTAATAACTAGCCAACAACTTAACACAGGCAAAAGTTGAACAAAAGTTAAATCAATTTTTATACAATATATATAGTACGTAATAACAATGATAATTGTTTATGTTATTAGAGCTTCTGGAAAACATTTCACTTTGTGGTACATTTTTCGTGTATAATTAAGTAAATACCTAGGAGATTACGCGAACAAAATGGCTACATGCAACCGGATCAAAGGAAGCTACCACTAGCTACAAATATTATTTATAATTATTATAAAAATATAATATATATATACGTATATGTTAAACAGTAAGTTGATGTGGTGGAGAAACAATGGTTAAACATTCACAGCGCCAAGGCAGCCGAGGCTTAAATTCACGGTAAGAATATTGGGATTCATGCTTAAACTCACCGACTGCGCTTGTAATTCTACAAATAATTAAGTTCTCACATTGAATTCAAAGGTAAATATGGGCAAGGTCATTCCGCAGTGTGTGTGGTGTGTGGAAAGTGTGTGGTTACTAAAATAAGTTACTACTAAATTAAAGCACGTTTACAAAATACAATACATGCAGCATCGAGAGTTGAAAGATGTCGAAGTGGAGGAGCATTCACAGCTGATCTGTCGAAGCCTGGGATCTGGTGACTGGTTGCTCTCGCTGGTTCATTGTTGGTGACTGTTGTTGGTGATTGGTGTTTGTTTTATTTGGTGATTGGGCTTAGCTAACTCTACTATACTCCTGATCATTCAGCATGTGCATTGCATCTGTCGGTGCGAAATACTTGACAGTGCCTAAAAGAATGCAGAACAGTTAGTTATAAAATGTAATAGATATATATAACTTATTGGATAAATAAATTAAATGGGGAGGAAATGCTTTTAATTGGTGAATTGGTGTATCCTCTTCTAGCCTTGGAAATGACACCAATCATAAACTAAATGTTTCTTGTTCTTGAAGACTAAAGGGTTTTTGTAAACTTTGAATATATAAATAAATTATGGTCGCTAAACATTTATATTTATTTAAATTAAAACATGCATATTATGTTTTTGGTTCATTTATTTCTACGACAAAGATTTTTAGATTTAGAAAAAATAAAATTAAAATGTTGGAAATATTTTTCCCCCTTAAGCTTTTCTACAATTATAACAGAAATAATATTTCAAAAGTGTTTCATATACATTTTGAAAGAATTTAATTTCAGTTTACACACATAACAAAATGAAAAAAGCAAGAGTATTATAATTACCATAAATTTCCGTTTATTTACACAAAATATGTATTATTTTAAATTCATTTTGAGCCAGTTTTTTACTCATTTACCTGTTGTTAAGCCTTAAGACAGTCTATATCTATAAAGTTTATGGCAGATCTTACAAAATCTAGTCTAGCAGCTTTCGTTTCAACTTAATGTCCTTAATATCAATATGTTTCTTCAGGGAAATTCTTCAAATGCAAAGCATTCTCCTAACTTGTTTGTATTTGAGACTAAATACTTTTCTAAATTCAGGCAACATGGCAAGACTTTCTTTAGAAAAACCCCAAAATCAACTTAAGTCGACTTCGCGGAACCCATCACTGTCTTTATGGTCAGTATTTTTGAGCTTGGCCGTCTCCACGGATGAAGATGCTGAGGCTGAGACTGTGGCTGAGGCGGTGGCAGTGGCGGAGGCGGAGGCCGAAGAGACCCTACCCTTACCGTTTTCGTCGGTGTTTCTATTGCGCTGCAGGTACATCTGTAGGGACACGTGCACAACGAACACAATGAAGGCGCCGATTCCAAAGATCTCGAAGGTGGTGCGAGCAGAAACCGACTCGAAGAGCAGGCCACCAATCAGGCTGCCCATGGAGACGCCCACGCCCTCGAAAATGGCGCCCACAAGGCTCTGTGGGAAAAGGGAAATAATAAATAGTATAAATATAAATTATAAGATTTATAAGAAACCCCGAAAACTCACCTGCATGGTGGCCTCGGTGCCCGGTGGCGCCACAATGCTCGCATAGGAGGCCATGGTGGCGTAAAAGAGACCAAATGTCACCCCGTTCATCAGTTCGATGGGCAGGATGTACCAAGGATTCTGCAGCATCGAGTACAAAATAAAGCGCACTCCGAAGCCAAAGAGCACCAGGCTCATGGCATTCACATGGCCAATCTTCTTCAGAATCCATCCCGACAGGAAGAAGAAGGGCAGCTCCCCGCCAAAGCATTGGATGCTCATGACCAGACCCTCCAGAGTTTTGATCGAACTGTCGCATCCCTCGAACGCCTTGTCCAGCTGCTCCAGATAGATGAAAAGGAAGTTCCAGATCAGCGCAGTGCCCAGGCCAATGGCCACGCACCACAGGAAGAAGATGACGCAGCGCAGCGAGAGAAACATCTGACCCACATCCTTCAAGATGTTGGAAGACAAATGTGTCTGGGTGTGCTGTATAAAAAAAAGATCAAGCTTTAATCCGCGAAAATAGTTTAACCACAAGAAGTACTCACCCTCAGCTTGGAGGAGGCAAACACATCCACTCCCATTATGATCAGAGCCATCCAAAACACAGCCGTGTAGTTCTTGTTCACCTCGCCCAAGGACATGTGATCGACGAGCACACCGGCCAGCAAGGCGAATATTCCCCAACCCAGGGATCCGCACAGCCGCTGCTTGCCATATAAATGATGGCGCTCGCCGAGAATGCCAAAACAAATGGCATCCCCGATGCTCACCACCACCGCCATGCCGATCCAGCTAAAGATGAGCATGCCAAAGAAGAACCAGAACTGCGGCATTGCCATGGCACTGCGTGTGTTAATCACCGCACTCTCCGCCAGCTGCTCCTTGAGGTAATCCTCCTTGCAGTCCATGGTGCAGTTGGTCTTGAAATACTCCTTCTCCTTGGGACAAACGAATGTGACATTCTGTCCCGCTATCTGGCCGCGGTCGTGGGGAATCATAAAGTGCATGCAGCCACCCGCGTCCAAGATGTCATTCATATTGATGCTGGTGCCAAAATCCAGCTGGGGATTTGTGCGATTCGCAGCACAGTTTTCTGTCTTGTTTTGCAGCCAATCCTGGCACACAATGTCCCACAGGAAGGGCTGAGCCTCGCACTGGAGTTCACAGCCCAGCGTTCTATTGCCATAATACCTTTCCAGATTCTTTTCCACGCACTCGCCGTACTGGGAGCAGAACTGTATATTGGATACGCCCTGATGACAGTGGAACTCCACCTTGGGCGGCGGCTTTTCCATTCCCGGAACGAACATGATCATGAAGAAGGCAAGGCCTGTGAGCACCTGGCCGCCTAGGAAGAGGGTGCGATGCTGATGGTAGCTAAAGGGGATTTAATAATATATTTATAGATGAATTATTCATTGATAGGTATTTAATGTGTCTATTTAAATTATAGACTATTTTATTTGTAAATAATATAAATTATAAAATATTATTAAATTAAATTATATTTTCTATTGCAACTAGTTAAAATGTATATTTAATGCTCTAATTACGATAGATAGCCCTTGTGTTTATCAAATAAAACTCAAGTACACTATTGAAAATGTCAATTTTAAATATTTACCCATGATAGCAATACTGAGTAGCTTTTCAAGTTCTTTTTTTGATAACAAAGTGTTTATCTTTGTCTATTGAATATTTATTTTAGAATCAATTATTTCATTTTAAACAAGAAAGGAAGATAGCTTCGACATGCCGAAGTTTTTATACCCTTCCCTTCAGAGGACTTAAATTGAATCTATAATAACTAAGCCAAAAAAGCATTAATTTCAAAACGGACAACAGTTCTGTGCTAGTTTTTATAAGGTTAACAAAGCTGCATACTGAATTTAATAATTTACAAAATTCAAAATTTGGCAATTTTTTGACTATTTTAACGATGTAACCCCTTATAAAATTTTGAAAAAATAAAAAAAAATGTTTTTCTTCCGGACAAGGCTAGAAAGATTCGCCAGTTAAAGCTGATCAAGAATATATATGGTTTATAGGGTCGAAAATGACTGCTTCACTAAATAATATCAAAATACCATTCAAGAGAACCGGAAATTTTTAAATTCTTTTAATGATTTGTTTATATGATAATTTTAAGTTCAGTTTAAAATCCTATATGCAGCTCAAAGTACGAGGTCAGAAGTTCAATTATAAATAAATTAGTGGGGTTTCATATACTAGATGACCTACCGGTCTGCAATGTAGCCAAAGAGGGGCTTCGCCAGCATTCCAATGATGGGTAAAATCATGTACATGGTGCCCACTACTGCGGGGGAGTATCCCAGCTGGCCGGCGAGGGTGGGCATAAAGGGGACCACGGGAGCGGTGCCTAGATAATAAAACAAAGCGAAAAACAAGCTCGATTATCTTCTGGTGGAGATGCGTTGAAGCTGATAAGGGAGTGGTGAGTGATGATCGTTGGGTGAGTGAGTGGGTGGAGATATGCATATGGGCTTAGGAATAGACGGCTAGGAATGGGTGTTGCTTCCCCGCTACTCCGATAAGCAAAGTCCAACGCCAGCAAGTGGAATTAGATAGTCCCGACTATATAGAATTTAATGTTAATTGAATTAAAAAAGTAAAAGCTAACTTTAATTGCTGAAAGTGGTTCGGCTGTCGGGCAGGTCTTAACTTTTGATGACTTTGGGAGTGGAGTGTGAGGAGTGGCAGGTCACTGGGCCATTGGGACTGTCACTATCTCACATTGCTTTACCTTTTCCAACAGTTGACACAAGTTGCTTTTCTGTTTCGACACTGTGAAAACGGTTTAGTCATCTACATATTCCGGGTGCAAACGACATGGGGAAAACCTTATCAGGCAAGTTATATGAGCTTCTTCAGGAATAACTTACTTTAGGGTGATTATTTATCTCTACTCTTAAAGTTTATTGGATACTATATAATATCTAGTTTACGAATGATGCGTCCAAAACGGAGCTAAGAGTGAGTGACTGGTTGAATTTTAGTGAAAAATAATATCAACAAAAGATTCTATTTAAAGAACTGAAATATGAAGATTTATTTCACTCGAAATCAAAGTGGAAATTTTATAATTTTGTTTCCATGCCACCCTTTGGTGTCGTTTATTCAATTAATTAGACTTCAGACATTTCTTCTCAGAATTTTCCATTAATTGATGTGATTCTACAGAAAAAAGCTTTATGACTCGATTGGATATCATTACCCAAACAAATTTATGCGAAAATTAAACGGTCAAACAAAGAGACCCCTATATATTCCATAAATTTAGATTTCAAGATTAAATTTCATTGTTATTATTAGCAAATCGTCGATTGAGAATAAGATTTAGCAATTTGTGAGACATAAAGATCTTCGATATGATTTTAAATAATAATTACATAATAATATTCTTTATAATTGGTCTAACTTGGCTTGAGTTTTTTCTTACTAGTTTCTTATTTATTTTATTTTCAAATATTTATTTATACATTTATATAATCCAAGTCGATGAGTTTTTTTTTTTAATTGTAATCCGATTACACGATTGTCAACTCAATCGAATCGTTGTAATTCCAATTAGAATCAGTGAAAATGCTGCCTCATTCGATGGGAATCGTGACCCAGAACAGCTTGCATTAGCTTATCGCTAGTGATTATTGGACTTTTGTGGTCTATAGCTCTATGGCATCGGGTTAAGTTCTTATCACAAGTTTAATGTGGCGAAATTCGATATTGAAAGTCCGCAATTTGCAGCGGGAAACGGCGTAGAACGGAACCACACTTAGCCCCCAGCACGTGCGTGCGTTTAAAGACCTGTACAGGCGACCTTATCGGCTGATGTAAGCGATGCCCGGTACTTAGATTAATGGCTTTGGGACAGGGGTGTGCTTACCGGCATTGAAGAGAAAGTAGTGTGCCTTCATTGGCAGCAGCTCCTTATCGATGGCCTTCATTTTGTCCTAATTACGTTGACCTGTGACGCGAAGATCAATACTAATGGCGTATTATCGCTGCTCCTCCAAACTTGGCACCGCTTTTTCAGTTCATTCACAAAAAGTGCAAAGACAGGCAATAAAGCATGTGTTTTTTGCTCACTCATACACAGCCAGCGCACGTGTGTGTGTGTGTTTATGCCGCGATCACGTTTCTCTTCCAATTGGAATTTGCTGTATCAGCGTTAAAGGAGACTTTTTTGGTTTTCTATCACAGTTCTGGCAGTTGGCAGCCACTAAAAGTTTGCAAATTGACGCATTTTTAGCTTTAATAATCAACAAACACCACGCACAATCCGCGCGAATCGACGGGTCCGGAATCCAAAGCACGACTGATTGGGAGTCGCTGGCGGCTGTCTACGAACTGCCGAGTGTCAACATGTTTGTTTGCGTTTGCCCCGTCGTTTGTTTACGTATCCCGCTTATCTGAGGCACACCAATTATTATTGTTAACTGGATACGCCCACCGATGAACATGACGCCCGGCCGGTCCGTTTTATTAGCACTAGAATAAGCTTAAAAATAAACCCAAATTGCCAAGACAGCTGATTTCGCCGATTAGGGATGGTAGTTAATCAAGCTAGAGATGGCACTTTACTACACGCAAAACTCACGAGATTTGGTTTCAAAATTCCTTAAAAATCTAAAAGAAAAAGTAAATAAAAACCTTGTTTACTACTTCATTATGCACTTTTTTGTATACGAATTCCTTTTGTACAACTTTTCACTTATAATTAGAATGACTCTATGCGTTGGGGCAGAACAAGGGGGAACTCTTGGAAGGGATGTTAATTTAATTGCAGGATATGGCCCTCAATCGTAGATGTGGCTGTAGTGCTGCTGGTAGACATGTATGTAGTTCTCCTTCTCCTGGGGCGTCATCTGGGCTATCAGCTTGTCGTCCAGCTGGTCAAGCGGATGCGGTCGCCCTGCCACCAGCACAGTGGGCACATCGTCGTCCTCCTCCCCAGAGTCTGAGTTAATGTACTCATCAAAGTCGACATCAGCTGCAAAATAAAATAAAATAAATTCAATGTAAAAGATAAACATAAAATAAAGTAGAATCTTACGAATCTTAGCATTGTCGATGTCCTTTTCGTCGTCGCTGGAATCGCTCGAGTTGGCATTTGAGGAGCCCATTCGCATACCCTTCATGTGCGGCTCCTTCTGGCCCGGCTGCTTCTCGTGCTGTAGTAGCACAGACATTATATCCTCGTTCTCCTTCCGGTTTCGATGTCCGGATCCGCTCGCCTGACCCGCGTCTACCAAGCCATCGGCTGTATCCGTGTCGGTTATCACAGTGCTCTCCGTCATCCAGATCGGCCGCGACTTCCGCTCCACCACAGAGTCGGATGTGTCGTCGCCGCCGATGGTGACGTCCACGCGGGTCTCCTCCACGGCGAAGCCTTGGTTGCGGGTTGCCTCGCCAGACCACGCCATACCGTCCGGTCGCGAGGCATTGGGTTTGTTCAGTCCTCGAATGGTGTCTATGTCCACGGGCTCCGGCTCGAGCACCTCTGGTGCCAGCTTGATGCCCTCCACCTCGCGCAGGAGATCATACAGAGGCTGGAGCTGCTCGTTGAAGTGGGCCAGGAGTAGGCGAGAATCCTTCTTGGGCATGGCAGCGCTGTCTTCCTCCACGGAGCTGCCGCAGTACGTGCAGCGGAACTCTAGCGTGGCCATGTCGAACAGCTGGTCGGCCTCGAGATCCGTGAACGTCTTCGAGCACATGGAACACTTGAAGCTGGCGCGACTGGTGGCGTCCCGTTCCTCCGTCTCCATTCGCTTGCGCATCAGATCCAGCTTGTACTTGACCACATTGACAAAAGTCTTGTAGTTGATGAAGTAGTAGTTGACCTTCTGGGCCTTGCCATCGGGTCCAGTTTCCATTTTGAGCCGGATCTGGATAAACTTGTCGGTGCGCAGAGTGGTGATCCTTGCCCGCAGTTGCTTCTTCTCGAAGCGCAGCAGTTCGCCAATGTCGTCCTCCTTCATGCAGGGATTCCGCACCAGCATGTCGATGATAAGGGCATCCTCCAGGGAATAGAAGCCGCGGACCACGAGGCGGGCCAGCTGCTTCAGGCTGCTGGGCACTTCGGTGACATAGCGCACCTCCGTTTTGGCGGGCGGGGCGGCGCTTGAGGCAGCCGCCGATGTCGACGACATCGTGGTTATATATCTGAAAGATCAGGACATTATTCGGGATTGTGCTAACTGGGGGCAGCGGGCGACCCACGCGACTCACCTGTATTCGGCAGCGGAAGCGCTCTTTTCGGTTATGCACAGTTGGCTGCGGTTCCGGGGATCTTCATGGGTCGTCAGGCAGGTCAGAGCTTCCTGTTTCGCTTGATTTATCCCGTTTTTTTGCAAATAAAATTATAAATTTGCGCCGCCACCTCGAATGTGTTTATGTTGGTGATAGTGGTGGCAATTACAGATAACTAAATATCGATAGTCATATCGATAACGTAGCAACGATGACGCGCTTAATGAATCGATATTTGAAATGTTGCTGTGATGTTTAACATTTTTTTAAGTGTTTTGAGGGTTGAATTAATTGTTTGTTGTAGATAAAATAAATGTTTATATTTCTTGTAATATTATAAAGTATTTCTAAAAATATTTGAACTGAAAGTATATGATATTCGTGACCTGGAAACCATTCCTTCGCATTCCTTTGCCTTGTCTGATATATCTTACTTCCCAACTGACTGTTAAATATTCATTTGTAGATATTAAGCAGCTGATTCTCTCGCATGTTTCGGACTCCGTATTGTGTGCCTGCCCAATTAAGTCCATGACATTCATCGAGGACAACAGAAATGTGGTGCTGCCTGCCAAATAAGCACGCAGGAGGTCCTGTCTACGGCCGACACACCACCACAACGCCCCCTGACCCATGACCTCGGGACAGTCCACCCACCACCCCTCGACGGCGGCAGCGACCGCTTTGTTTTGTTTGTGTCTCTGTGCACTGAGGTCCTGTGTGGGCGAGCCTCGTTCTGGGGGATTACACCGGAATGCACTCGAACGTAAGGCGAAGTTCGCGTTAAAAAATAGACGATTGTAGACAGTGGAGCATGAAATATTAAGCACTTCTCCCGGATAAACAAAGGCGGCGTCGGTGGCGGTGGCGGTGGCAACCAGAGAACGACTTGTTGGATTATATTCACTTATTTGTGCGGCCAAAAAGCACTTGAAAGCAAACACAGGGCTCATATGCCAAGCTCTCCATAAAGCCACAGAGTGCAAATATGGAAATAAAATGCATAGAAATTTGGTAAATACTCGTGGAGTGTCACTAAAGAAGAGATGGAGATGTACTTTAATTTTTATTATATCTAATATTTTAAAGTTTATACAAATTATATACATTTTGTTCTTAAAATTATCTTGTGAATTGTGTCAAAGCAATCGTAATCATTAAGTTTATGAGGGATCTTTTAATTATAATTTTTGGGTAAAGCGAATTCATCATCATTAAGTTTCTAACAAAAGTATATTTATTTTTTATAAAAACTAATATAACAAAGGAATTAATATTTCCGTTCTTCTTAAATATATTTCTAATATCGCTATGTATTTTAAATAAATAAATTTATTTAAGAGTTGTCTAAGAGTTAAAAGTAACCCTTCGAAAATTGTAGAGGATATCTAAATTGATTTTTAAAATCCACACCGAATGGCGTGGCACCCTTTACAATACCCCTGAAAGACCAGGCACTTAAACTTTAATTTATTTATATTATTAAATAAATTAAATCAAATTAAGCACTGTGTCAGTAATAATTAAATGCTGCAGTTCCAACTGCTGCACGTGAACGCCCACGGCGATCGGCCTTTAGCGGCTACACTGGTTTCCTCGGAAAAGCCCCACTCCGCAGGGGGGCTGGGGGAGAGTGGAAGTGGGCGCCACCTTCAAATGTTTCACCTGAGCTCTTGTTTACTTTGCAGCGGAGAGCAGGGCGCAGAATCGGAGAGAGAAGTAACCCAACACAACCCCCCAGAACCACGTCCATGGGAGAGCTTTTCCGCGAGGCAATGCGCAGGCCCTCGCTCTCTCCGTTTCTCTCGCTAGTTTTCGGGGGAAAACAGAAACAGGCTTTCCCACTTTCGCTGGTGGCATCCGCCTGCAGTTTGGATCTTGAGTCGTGCGCGCTAACGCTCGTTTTCCTCGCTTTTCCGCTCGACAATTTTCCAACGGCGGAAAACACACAACAATTACAGGCGACAAAAGCGGGCTAAAAGAGTTTTTTGTTTTGAACGTTTTTTTTACTGCAGTTTTCCTCCACTGTCTGCGGGACGGAGGGCTTTTCTTTTTGCGGCTTTTTGGTTTTCCTGTTCGCGTGTGTTTTCCGTTCGGTGTGTGTTTTTGTGAGTGTCTTCCGTGCGAATACGGGAAACTGAGGAAAAGCCACGCTAAACACAAAGAGAAATTGGGAAAACGCGGCGCCGCAAAATTTGCCAAATTGATTTTTATTGTATGAGACGCCGAGTTCAAACCTTATTATATAAAATAAGAAAAGGGCAAGAAAGAGGTGGGTTTCCCCAGTTGAAACAAGGATTATTTAACACCGTTTTTTTTTAAATTTAAAAACATTAAAAATTGCTTACTGCACGTGATTTGTTGCTGGCCAGTTTCACCCTCTTGACTAGGGAAATTGTATGGCTCACCCCCGAGTACATAGAGAGCCGGTCGCTAACAGCCCCCAGGGGGTGGTGGTGTTGTGTGGTGGACACCACCCCGCGTCTGTGATGTCATGCCGCCCACCAGCGACATTGCCATAATCACAATAATGGTCTTAGACATCCTGGCGCGTCTCCCCACGAGGCCCAGATGGAGCTCATAGATTTGTGGATTTCTTTAAGGTCCTTTGCTTACTTTATTATTTTGCATAATCATTGAGAAAACTATTAACACGACTGCATATGTTTCTTGTGCTGTGTATATAGTATATATGTACATATATATGGTCGGCCTACTCCACAAATCAGGTCAAAGTTGCATAGTGACCCAGAAACGAACGTTGACGTACGGCAAGGATACAAGTTGCTGGGAATCGAATCGTGACTTGGTTTGGTATTTTAGAATAAACCCAACCGGGAGATTGGGTTCCAACGAGCAATCTGCGGATGCATCCAGAATAATAAATCTGCAATATGGGACAGATATTTCCATGTTGAATTTTAATTGGGAAAGAAGCTCTATATGCAGTTTTATTTTATGCTAATTGGGGTTTTTCTGAGGAGTTAGAAAGTCCTTAAATATAGGAATATGGGGTTTAAAATTTAAGAAATTCTGGAAAGGTTTAGTCTTTATTTTAAGCTAAATTTGGTTAATATTAAAAGGCTTTTTTTACAAAATTAAATCATTTTTTGTTTCACTAAAGCAGCTTTGAAATGTAGATAAAGAATTCTTTCGATATTAAACCTCAAAACATTGTTCGTTTTAAATTTAAATTTGAGTCTATTTCTTGATAAATCATTAGGAATTTTAGCATTTAAATATTGAGTTTATTGAAACAATTACATTTTTAAGAAACCAATTAAAATTTAAACTAATTCTTTTAGAAAATATCTTACTCGTAACAGTGTCCTCCTGACAATCCTTGTTCTTTTACAAGCTAATCCTGTTTGACCCCATCAAACCCTCTGTATTATGCTGCTATAACCAGTACATTGATTATTATTTAATTGTTGATAATTATTTAATTGTTTTACTGGCTAATTCCCCAGGGTTTCTCATTGCTTCTATAATTATGTTGGGTATCCATCCACACCTCCTTTCCATTCGTACGTGCAACATTTTTCGCAGTCCCCGTGTTTTGTTCGCTCCATTCTTGGAACAAAGCGTTACACATTTTCTGGCTCCCAGCTGATGGGGACAAAGGAGCAGCAGCAGCACCAAACAACACTGAACTTGAGCGGGAAACGGAGGAACGGAAAAATATTGACATTCGCTATCCAGGAGGGTTACTATTTTTCCTTGCTGTCTCCGCACTTTGTTTTGTTTTGAGCCCGGAGAGCGGAGAGTCGACGAAAATCGATACTGCTGCTGTTACACCCCGGCAGCAGCAGCAGGCAGGTTTGGGCCCAGACTTAGACCCGGATCCGGGCATACCGTGCGGAGTCGAGTGGAGTGGAATGTGGAGCAGGGCCCTGACACAGAGCGGCAGGCCGGAGGGGGCGGCAAAATCCAATAAGCACGCGAACGCAAGCGGCAACTCGAACTCGAACTCAAACCAACTCCAAAAATAGACACGGAGCCAAGCTGCGGAAAATGCGCACGAGGCGCAGGGCGCACAAATATGAAATACACTACACAGGCACACACACACAAAAACAACAACCTCCCGCACACTCGCTACACACACAGAGTCACTGAAAGGACATAAATTTATAGGAACACTGCAAAAAACATAAGCTTTTCACGTTAAAAAAAGATTACTTACCTTTAAAGGGGACTTAAAAAAAAAATGAATTTTAGGTGCGATTTTATATTTTTTCAAAGATTTAATATCCTTTTTCTTTGGCTTTTACCTACAAAGGATTTAATATAAGTTTGAAAGATATATCCTAGATTATTAAGGAATTGCAATATTGGAGGAATTTTGAAAAACCAAAGTTTAAAAAAACCATAATTAAGTCAAAAAAGTATTAAATTCAATTCCGAAAGCAGTTTTGTGTTAGTTTTAATCAAGTTAATAAATCTGTATAATAAATTTAACGTTTTTAAAAAATTGAATTTTTGTTAATTTTTGATAAATTTAACGATGTAACCCCTTTCATTTTTTTGAAAAAAATTCAAAATTTTTTTTTTCTTCCGGGCATAGCTAGATCGATTCGTCTGTTGACGCTGATCAAGAATATATATGGTTTATAGGGTCGGAAATGACTCCTTTACACCGTTTCAAGCTTCTGACTTAAATTATAGTGCCCTCAAAGGGGTATTAATATTTAAATATTTATCCATATTTTTTAAGATAAGTTTTTTGACAAATCAAAGTTTAAAAATACCATAACTAAAATTACATATATTTTTTCGTGTGTATTTGGGCTTGCAGCATGCTGTATATTTTCTCCTAGCTCCTTGCAAAAACAGAGCAAAAGTTTTTCCAAATTTTAGTTGCATGTCGCAGTGGTCAAAGGGCGGGGCTTTTGGGCGGGGAAATGCACTTCCCGGGAGTATTAATCAAATTACTGAGACTATAATTAAACATTGTAGGGCAGGGCAAAGGCATAGCCCAAAACTAGCTTCCACTGGCTGCTCTTGAAAGCTCTATAAATTTTTAACAAGGTACCGAGTAACTCAATGAGTTTTATGAGTGCACTATAAAATGAGCTTTGTGTTTAATATTTTCTTTCTTTTTTAGAGATTAGGGATAAATATTTCCTTTTATTTTATATCCTTTACTTCCGTCTTTACAAAAATCTGGCTTAAATTAACCAAGTGCAGGCGGGGGGTTCCACATGCACAGTGATTTGTAAAATTATCAAGCCAATTTTCACCCAAGCGACGAGGCACTCTCTTCCACTCCGAGTAACCCAATTGAGTATCCTCCAGGATGAGTCCTTCCGCCGCATCCACCGCATCTCCCAGCTCTCACAGCTGGTACTTTTTGGCAAAGTCAAGGAGGATTGTGTAACTTGTAACAGACGGAAAGGGGCGAGGCGACGGCTGCTTGGATAATGCCAACTCTTGGCTGCCATGTCGGAGCCCAAAAATTTGTATTTGCATTTGTCGCACAATCAAATCTCAACAATAAAAAGCAGTCACATTGAGAAGAGGAGTTTTTTGAACAAAACGATTGCTAGATACTCTAAGGTTAACTTGAATTTTTAATACAAAATTATAAAAAGGAATTATATGTTGTTAAATTTTAGTTTATAAATTAAAGCTGAAAATAACCATATAAATTTAGATTTAAAATATATTTTTATAAAACCATCGACAATGTTGGTACCTTTCCATCTCTGGCCAGGACTTCCCCCCTTTTAAGGTTAGGTTTCTGGCGGAACATTCCGCATTCGGAGCGGAAGTGACAGACAAAGCTCAGTCAATGTCTCTGCCACGCCTCCCTGGACTGCCTTTTGTTTGGGCTCACGTCCAAGCGGAAAGACAGCAACGATGGCAAAGATTGGGACAGGCCAGACTCAGTCAGAGGAGGATGCAGCCAGGCGGACCAAACGATAAGCGCTTACCTTGGAGCTCTCCAAGGTCTTTCCCTTTCGAAATCCGCGCGCATTTATGGCAATTAAATTCTGTACTCTATATAAAGTACATCCTTGATGGGCAGGATTGAGGCAGAAATAAGAGGAAAAGCTTTGAGCTCTCCTCGGTTAATTGAGCATTTAAGTTTTTTATTTATGTTCTGGAGAATGAAAGCAATATGTATCCATTTCAGAGAGTGCCTGGGAATCGATTAATCTGATTTGCTTCATTAAAATGAACAATTACCGTTAAAGGAGGGAGGAAATTTATGAAGAATATTTAAAATTGCATTTTCTTTTCAAGGATAAAAGTTCTTGAATCTTTTTCTTAATAATTCTGATATTAGTAACACAAAAGTTGAGAAAGTTTAACCTATTTCAGAGCTCTTTAGCATTAAATCTTCTCTAATATCAGTGTATCCTTTGTAATCCCATTACCCATCTTTGACAGACTCGAAGGACCCCGCCTAACTTTTGCGGAATTTATCACTTCCGCCGATTTAAAGGCAATGCACCGATTGGCGCCTTACCTTGGCTTAGTTAGACTGCAGCTCTGGGTTGGTCCTAGTCCTATATCGGTGGAAACATTGTTTGCTTATCGGCCAACTCTGGCAGCCACAACAAGTCGGAGGTCGGAGGTCGGAGGTTATGGCCTGCACGCCAACACCGCGAAAGTGGGCCATAAATCTGTTCGCTTTTGGCCTTCTTTCTTTTTAACTTGGTCACGTCGTGGGGTAGGAGAAAATGCCAGTAAATGTGGTTCGACGTGAGGCAATACTAGGAGAAGTCATTGGAAAGTTTGTGACAAACTGCAGTTGGTTCTTTTTACACAAATTGTGTAATTGCAGTTGAAAAAGTAGAGGTTTCTTTAAGTATACTTGATTATAAATAAATTATACAAATATTTAAACAAATTGCAATGAAATAAAGCAAAGATTGGAGAGCTTACTGGATACTGAAGGGATTTCTACAGACTTTAAAACTTACATACTTTATAATATCTCCCCAAATGTATTTTAATATCTCAATATTCATAAATGCACGCATAATCCTATGTGGTAATCATGTGTAAACCATTAGTCATTCAACCCCTAAGCCAAAGCCACCCCCATTAACGCCATGTATCGTCTTACCTTTCAGGTTGGACCTCGCTAATTGCCGGTGAAAAGGGTCAGCAATGCACAGAGCGAGCAAAAGGATGTAAAGGATAACCGAGACTCTCGAGCAGAAAAACACACACACACTGAGAACCACAAAGGAGTAAGGAGTGTCACAGAAGACGAGAACTCCACTTTTCCTGAACAGCTTTTCCACCCGGTGGCAAGGTGAATCTGTTCCAGCACACCATGTCATCGATCTCGGCGCAGGGCGTGGTCGAGAGAGCCTCCGCCGAATTGTCGAAGCGCATCAACGGCCTGGGACTGCGCTCGAAGCATCACCACAGTGGCTCCGGTGGCGGTGCAGCCGGGGACACAACCACCGCAGCCGGTACCACGCCCACACCGCCCACGTCCAGCGGCAAGACATCGGTAATGGAGCGGGTGACGAACGCTCTGTGCGGCGGTGGCAACTCCAACTCCGGATCGGGATCGAATGGCGCCAATAGTAACTCCTCCTCGCCGGCGGCTTCCACTGCCGCTGCTTCGCCTGCCAGCAATGCTAATCCTCCCCAGACGCCGGACAAACCCTCCAGAGGCAGTAGCCCCAGTCCCGGAGGCATGGCCATACCCAGTGGCCAGCCGCAGGTGTCCAACTCCACACACCACCTCCTGCAGCAGCAGCAGCAGCAACTGCAACTGCAGCAGTCCCAGCAGCAGCATCTCCAGCTGCAGGCCTCCACGCTGATCAACTCCAACCACCACGTGATGGTGGGTCCAGCCCCGCCCACAGGCATGCCCCTGGGAGCCCCGCCCACGCCCACAGTAAAGTCCATTGCCAAGCAGATGAACATAACCATACCGGGCGGCGGTGTGGGACCAGGATCGCCCACCTTTAGCACCATGGGCATGGTGGCGGCACAGAAGGCGGCCGCTGGCGGTGGCATCGGCAGTGGTGGTACCCCTTTGCAGCTGAGGAAGCAGCTGCCCAATCCTCACCTGCATCATCCGTACGGGAACATGGCGGTGAATCAGTCGCCGCTGATCATGCAGCACCAGCTCCACCCGCCGCCCATCCACAGCATCGAGCTGCTGATGCTGGACGACCGCTTTCTGAGCCGCTTCTTCCAGTACTTCTCGCCGTACGAGCGGCGTATCCTGGCCCAGGTGTGCATCAAGTGGCGGGACACACTGTACCGCAGTCCGCGCTACTGGAGCGGTTTGTTGCCTACTTTGCAGTGCCGGGAACTTCGCCAGATGCCGGGCTGTGATCGCGGCAAGCTGTACAACTCGCTGATACGTCGGGGATTTCATGCTTTAGGGTTGGTGGGTGCCTCCGATGAGGATGCCTTGGATGTGGTGCACTCCTTCCCGCTGGCCTCCAAGCACGTCCATTCGCTCAGCCTGCGCTGCTCCTCGATCAGCGATCGGGGGCTGGAGACGCTCCTGGATCATTTGCAGGTGAGTTTTATCTCTTTTTAAAATCTAAAAAAATTGGAAAGTTTGAAACTTTGAATTTAAAATGGTGAAAAACACAGGGAAATACAAGAATACAGAAGTTTTAAGGAGGAGTTTTCTCTTTCTTAAATCTAGAAAGTGGAAAAGCTTAAAAACTGGAATTTAAAATAGAGAAAAATCTCAAGAAAACACAAGAAAGTCCAAGAAAATGTTGCTAGTGTGGAAACTATGTTTCTTATACGTCTTTTCCCCACTTCTAGCTCAAATAATGGACTGTCGTTTGTTTAAAATGCAAGACAACATGGCCTTAGGGCAGGCCGGAAAATCCAAAAATCTGGCCCCAAGGTCCCAAGCAGAGCAGCTGCTCCCAGCTCGGACCCAGCCATCCCCTTCCCTTTAACTTCCCCTAAAAATCCCCTGCGAAGTTGGATGTTTTTTTTCTTTATTTTCTGAGAGCGAACAAGAATCTCTTTTGTGGGTGTGCGCGTTGACAAGTTGACAGTGGTCAGTCCCAGAACCGAAAATAAATTCGCACACAAATCTGGGCGGCAACTATTTTCATTTTATTTCGGGACTTGTGCCGCGCGCCAGAGAAATGAAACGTGTCAGAGCCACAAAGTGTGTCATCAACGGGCAGCCTGAAAAGTGTAGAGTAGAAATTTGCGAGCATAATGAATTGATGCGATCAATTTCAGATGCAAATCACATCAAAGCCCCGTTCATAAATATCATTTAATTTAGCTTATTATTTTGTTTTGCGCTAATTTGTGGGGCAAACGGAAAAAGCACTCGAAAGGCATTCATAATTTCCACGCGCCGCCAGGTGAATCATTAATGAGTTGGGGCTCGAATATGGAAGAGAAATTCTTCATGGATAGAGGAAAAACAAGGTGGAATATATTTCTATAAAAGATTTGGTTTATAGAAGAAATTCTTCATGGAGAGAGAGAAAAAGAAAGGAATAATAAAAACCAAAACAAATAAAGAAATACCCACTTAAAATCAAGACAGAAATCACACATAACCCATAATGTTAATCCCATTTCCCATTCGCTATTATTGCCTCTACTACCATTCCCATCTTTTTCTGTATCTCTCTGAGACCTGTCCCAATAATAATCTCCAGCAACCCCAATCGAATTTGGGCGTATGAACAAGTGGGGGACCTTAATTGATGGCCAACTGCGGTGTGGAGGGCCCTGGGCAAACTAATCCATTCATTTCATGGACCAATCCCGGGCAATCTGGGGAACCTAACCCACCAGGGGCCCAGCATGAGGGCGTACCGGAAATGGCCCAATCACACACAAATACATATACATCACACACACACACACACACACACTCGAGCGGAGTCCGTAAAGTGGATAATGTTGGTGAAACTGGCTGTGGCCAAGTCCTCTGTGGAGCCGCTTCCTATATAAGTTTGCGGTCCTGTCAGCTCAGTCAGTCACACACTCAATGAGTTGACTGGCGGTCACCTCCTGCTCTTGGCGCCTCTCTGATTTTCTTTGTGTGTGTGTTAGGGTATTAGGGTGATTCTTTATGGAAAAACTTCTGGAAAAAGTCCATTAAGTTAGCGAGAATATTTACTTATTAAAGCGAAAATCAAACAAGGGGATAAAGAATTGTTTTAGTTTTATGTAAGCGTAGGACAACACTGCGTATGAGTGATGGGGAAGAGAATTAAGCTTCAAAAAAATCTTAACTGGGGAATAATCTGATTTAAGCTTTGCTTAAGGGGTAAAATGAAGACATCTCTTTATAGTTTTCTTCTACAAATTATCTTTAAACCTCAAAAAGGGGTATTGAATAATGTTTTTCTTGTTAAAAGTTGTAGTTAAGCAGCGGGCAACACTGCGTATGAGTGATGGAAAGTGATTTATTCTTTAAAAAAAGGTTTAAATAGGTAACAAAAATATTATTTAATCTAAATTTAATAATTTTGAGAGATATAAAAGAGATTTTTCTATAACAAATTCTTAAATAGTTTTAAAAAACTAAATCTAGTGTTAAAAAGTTTTGTTTAAAATCTGAAAACAACACTTTCCATCAAGTTTTCCTTTCTAAAAATTATCTTAAAATAAAACCAAGAAAACAAGGCTCTTTTGGTCCACCCTAGCGTGCATACATACGTCACTCAGGGCTGCTGATGTCAGAATTAATCCACTGTGAATGCATGTCATGTTTATGAGCCTAGTTCCAGAGAGAGGGTGTGCGAGTGTGTGCGTGTGTGTGTGCAGGAAGCCTCAACAAATGGTTTGATTGCAAATTGTTGTCGCTGGCAATGTCAACAACAATGACACACTGGGGACAAGTTGGGTTCGCCATGGGCCCCTGTCCCTGCAATGATGCGAGCGGATCAACCGCATGGGGCTTTGGAATTTGACCTTGGGGAGCTGAGAGAGAGCTCAGACTGGGACTCTGCAGAGGGAAAACCTCTATCCCCCCCCCTTTTCCCCGGAAACAGCCACAACATGCACGCGAAATTAATGCTAGTTACCGCAGTCAACTGCAACGGAAATGCGGCGACTTTCCTGCATTCCTATACATATTTAATGGGGAAATGTCCTGCAGTTGCCTCGGGGCGACTTCCGCATTGCTGCTTCTTGCGAAGCGTTGACTTGGGAGTGGTGGCTGGAGCTCGTTGAACCCCAACACCCATTGACCCACAAAATTATGCTACGCTTCCTGCACCTTTAGGTATTTCAAGTGAAATTATTATGCAACTTCAAGCTAAATTTAAAGGGGTTTAAGTTGTTTTATATTAAGGAAACTTATTTTGAGATTAAAGAATCCCAAAGTTCCAGTAGCTCTGTGTAAATCTGCCCAATTTCTCATTTATTTTTCCCCAAAACTTAAACCAAGCCAAAAAACTGCTGTACTTCAGCGAAAAACCCCAAAAACCGTAAAGGGAAAAACACGGCAAAAACTTTTTCCGGCTAAATAGTTACACATCCTTTGCATGCGTGTGTTCCGTGTGTGCCTCCATTAGCATTTCATTGTGGAACTCCCCGTTTGCGTGGTTTGACTTTTCCTATCGATTTTGGCTTCTGCCTGACACATGGCACCTACAAAAAGTTTTCCTCGACTTTGGCTACCGCTACGTGTAGGGAAAAACTTTCACAATTGTCCATAAAAACAAGAGAGAACAAAAAGGAGTATGGGCGGGGAAAAATCCAAAACAACAACCAAGCATTTACCATTCATAATGAAGTCATGCCGAAGGCTAGTTCTTGCCCCTGGCTGGTTGAATGGTTGATTGTTGGCCAAGTTAACAGAGAAACAGAATCCAATTAAAGGACATGTAAATGTTGTTACTATAAAGTATACATATAGGTAATTAGAACATTAAATACGCTAATGAGTTCGGACTATGCAGGATTTTTAAAGGATATAAAGGTAGCTGAAGAATAAGATGAACTTGGGGAGTAAGTTTATCGTTTTTAATTTCTAAAATTCAGTCAACAACTAAACAAATTTAGAGGGTAATCAAAATAATTAATATCTTCACAGGTATTAAAAAAATGATTAGGAAAGAGGATTTAATCTGGCTTAGGCTTACTTTTAGTTAAATAAAATCACCTAAAATCCACTTATAATTTATATTTTCAAGTAGTTTAGTACTAATTTTTAGCTTTAGATATATGAATAAATAAATAAATATATTTTTAAACTGCATTTGATTTATAAAAACCCATAAGACATTGGTATCTAGTCTCTTTTTATGTTCTTCTTAAACAAACCCGCACTTAAGCCTTATTTTTTCTCCTCGCTAAGAAACGAAATGAAGCCTGGATTTAATTATGATTTATTGCTTGGGTATTGCCATTAATAATACGGATTAAATTCATTCCCGTTTTGTGTCTCTGCAATAAAAATAATTATGATTCAGCGTGCGGGAGAGTGGGTTATGTTATATCCTTCCAGGGTTATAAATATATATTTCGTGTTTATGTGAGCATCCTTGCGATTTTCATTTTTATAACGTGCTTCCGGCTGCATTTGCTGTTTATCGCTTTTGTTGCTTTGTTTCCGGCAAAAAGGGAAAAGGGAATATCTGAAACGGTCCCCCCGGGTGGCAAACAACAATGGCAACCGTGTCCACTCAGCGACACAAAGTCTGCCACTCGAACCGCCGAGATGTGATGTGTTTTTCCTCGCTTTGACTTCCTCTCAAAATGTTTTTTCTGCTCTTGAAAAGGTCAAAGTCTTTCGAGTTACAACAGATTTTTAAAGTGCTCGCTGGGAAAACCATTATTTTTAGCTAGCAGAAAAGTAAATCCAAGCAGATTTAAATTAATTTCATGGGATACCCGCTGCCTTTTGGTTATTTTATCGTTGCAGGTGGCACCCAGTTTAACTGCCGGTAATTTGTTTGGCTCTCTGTGGTCCAGGTTTTTCATTCAATTTGCTCGCATTCCAAACCAAGAGCTACGGAATGCAATTCTCTGCGTTTTGTTTACGGTCAACCGAATGATATATATATATATATTATAGAGTGAATGCCATTAATACAGAGACCCAATTATATTTTACACAACTTTGAAGCCATCTAATTGCTTAGATTAAACTCTAATTCAAATGGTCAAACAAAATGGTAATTTTGTTAAGGTTTAAACACAGCCAACTGCCTCGTTTGTCATCTGAAATAATATTTAATTAAGTGAAAATGTATTCAACATTTCACTGGATATTCTATAAAATATTTACCTGGTCTTAATGGCATATATGTATCTTTTTATATATTTTCTGTATGTAAAATCTACAAACTCAGAGGTATTTTTGCTTTCCTATTTTCCAACTCGCCTGTGATTGGCTTATATTTCTTGCTCAGCTGAATGTCAACATTTGTGAAAGCTGTGAAATGTCCAAAAGTATATTTTTGAATTCTTATGGATGGCAGCTCATAAAAACATTTGACGTTTTGACGACAGAGCAGTCACACCTTCAAATGTATATAGCTCTTATTTTTTTGTTGAAATAGAGAAAATAGGAATTTTGTGAGAATTCTCTAAACAGTTGTATATAGAATTTACAAAATATTTCTTTTATTTTATAGAAATCAAGTTCATTGTCATGAGAAAAGTAATATTTACGTGCAAAAATACAACTTAAATCGTATAAAACAAAACTATATTTTTATTTGGCATCAATAATTTCTCTAGGAAATGCAAAAATAAATATTGATGTCTGTATAAATCAAATTCAAGCATAACCTATGACAACGCCAGCAAGTCTATAAATTGTTTATGGAAAATATAAATTCAGCGTTTTTCGTTTTCTGTGTGAAATGTATATGGAAATGTTTATGGAATTTTATTTACAAGATACGAGAATTCCTGTCTGTCTTTTAAGTATTTATTTGAATTTATTTTAGGGCCCTAGAATTAAATCTTTAACAAATAAAGGCAATTTTCTTATATTCTTAAAGAATTTATTATTATAAATTTATAAAATAGTTGCATTTCTAAATAAAATCAACCCACTAACAACTTCTCCAACATTTTCCCTTTAAATTAAAATATATTCAATATACAATATTATTTCCCTTTAACTTTCCAGAGTTTGTTTGAACTGGAGCTGGCTGGCTGCAATGAGGTGACCGAGGCGGGTCTGTGGGCGTGTCTGACGCCCCGCATCGTGTCGCTCTCTCTGGCGGACTGCATCAATATAGCGGATGAGGCGGTGGGCGCGGTGGCCCAGCTGCTGCCCTCCCTTTACGAGTTCTCGCTGCAGGCAAGTCCGCCCCTTCCTCCTCCTTTTCGAGTTTCTCGGAACTAATTGATTCTCCCAATTTCCCCAATCCCAACAGGCTTACCATGTCACGGATGCGGCGCTAGGCTACTTCTCGCCGAAGCAGAGCCACAGCCTCAGCATATTGCGACTGCAGTCGTGCTGGGAACTAACCAACCATGGCATCGTTAATATCGGTAAGCGAACCACTGTCCCCTCATCCAGAAATTAATCAAGTAACATGGTAAAAGCGTGTAAGGTGGGATGGTGGGGATGGATGGAAGCTGGAGCCCATTTGTCACACAAAATGCACGGGGAGAAAAGTCTGTGACAAATTTAAAAGGGGGAGATTTTTAAGACGGTTTAGAGGGGAGTTTCCTTTATTATTTTAGAGTTCAATTATTTATTTATTATTTAAAAAACAATTAAATATATTTATAAAGTCAGAATAAGATCTAAATACTTTATAAAATTACTCTCAGTGATTAAAAATTAAAAACAAATAAAATAGCTTTCGTTTCGCCCGGACGCAATTGGAATTTTTGAGTGAGGCTAAAAGCCATTTACCATTGGCTTTAATGTTTAATTCCGCCATGTGGATGCCTCCACGCTGGACGAGTGTGTTGATGTGGCTCCCGGCCGTGCTGATAGTATTCCGAAAAAGCTGTGAGGGACATCCGCCGGGAGTGTGCCGCCTGGAGACCGAGCTGTAAGAAATACATAATGCGGACATAACATTGTAAATGGAGTGACTATGCAGAGGGGAGTTACCATTCCTCACGGATGTCCTTCCGGGCAGGCCCCTCGTCACCAATTCTAAATACTGCACTCAACTAATTGAAAACTTTTTGTGGGACACTTTTTGTGCGACGATGCTGTGTGTGTTTTTTTTTCACCCATTTCCTGTCCAACAGAGCAGCTACTACTATTTTTATATCCTTTGACGTCAAACCCTTTTCTCTATGCCAATTGGCAGGGTCCAAGCTCTGCTTTCCGGCAGGAGTCTTTATGGGAAAACCAAAGAATTTGCAAGTAAATTAAACAAAAATAAATAAATAAATAACAGAATTAGCTAGTCTAAAAACAGAGAGAGTTTATAGTCACATTTTTACCTTTAGAATTTGATCAAAGCTTTGATTAAGCTTACTCCCAACTAACAGCAACTTTAGCTTGTTTTACTATCAGCCAACATATCCTTCTGTTTCCTTTTAAACTTGGCCATAAAACCACTTTAATTGAGGTGCACATTGCCCTTTAGCTGAGCAATTTTAAAGCGTGCTTAGGGTGCTTTTACAGGTGCCTGGAATGCAAACTCATTTAAAATGCGATCGACAGCGACAGGCAAACATAAACCTGCTGCCACTCGAGAGGTTTGAGAGCCCTCCGCCTGTTTTCGCTTTGCTTACTACTTTGACCTTTGAGTCCTGGCTCCCAGGTCCCAGGTCCCGAGTCCCGGAGTCTCCTAGCTCTTCAGTCTGTTTCGTAGACTGAGTTTGGGTTGAAAACTTTGCAATCAATTTCATGGCACGTCATTTTCTTTCCGCCTTTCCTCCTGGCTGCAATCAACAAAGGCTAAGGGGCTGCTCTGCGCCGCAAATTAAGCTGCAGGTTGCTGGAGGCGCTCAGGTAGATGGCTTCCCTTCCCCCCAGGTGCTTCCTTGCCGCTTGCCAACTCCTACGGCTTCAGCAGTTAACCAGCTAGATTTCTCGCTGCTGAGCTGCGCATCGAAATCGAATTATTGCAGTTCAGTGATCAACATCGATGCGGTTGCAGTCGCAGGTTGGAGGATATATAGCTAAAGGGATTTGCATAAGGACACTGGGAGAACAATCATGAAGCAGAATAAATTCTACACCATAATATATACATTTTATCATAATAAATTATATACAGAAAATAATCAACGAATTCCAAGTCTAAAAACCTTCCCAATTTAAGCTCCAAATAAATATTCAACATTTTTCCCGATGACCTCAGTGTAATCCCATTACAAAAACCGTTCCATCATAGGACCTCCTTGCACAGTAGCTGCAAAAAGTAAACAAACTATGAATTTTACAGCTTAGAGGGGAAAAAAGGAAAATTTATGAAATATTAAAGCTTGCACAAACAAACGTTTTCAGGCATATTTTCGGTGCGTTTGCAAACAGCTTGATGGATGAGGGAGCATCAAAAGCCCAAAATGCCAGTTACAAAAGTATGAAAAGCATATTACACATTCGCCCCGTATAACAAAGATTGGCTTCTGTGTCTGTGTGTGTGTGTGTGTTTGCCTGTGTCTGTGGGTATTTGTGTTGGGCGGTGGACGGTGCTTACGTGAGGACATCAGCAAATAGGCGCCATATTTAATGGCGGCATTTTGTATAAATTGCCGCCCAATCATAAACTGTTTGCCCAGCAAGCATAAGCAAGTCAACAAAAAAAAAAGGAGAAGAAAAATTCAAATAAAAACCAGGGAAAAACAGAGATTAATAGGGAAGTTGCCTTGTATTTATTTTACGATTTATTCCAAGTGACCGCATGTACCGGAAATACGTGTTTAATTAATGGCAACACTCAAGCCCCGAAGGACATGTGAATTATTCATTAATTTCCGTTATAAACCAAGCTCATTTTTAATAAAATTTAAAGTAATTTTTAGCTGGAAAATAAAGAAAAATTAAAGGAAAATATAGAAGCACTTTCCCCTCTTAATACTTAATATTTAAATCAAGTTCAAGTGACTTACAAATGCCTTATGGTCACTTAAAGTTTATTTTAACCCCAGAACTTCTGGCTGCATTTAAAGCACAACCTTGTCTGGTTCCCTGGCAGCTTGCAGTCTAAACCCTTGTCAGAAGTTGGCTAAAACCCACTCGCAGTTTACAGTTCACAGTTGCCTGATGTTGAACTTTTGCCCCGCCGGAGTGTGGCACAAACTTTTAATAACAATTCCCCATCCGTTTGCCACGACCCGCCGGCCATGAAAGAGCGTTTTGTCGGTGGCAGTGGCATTGGGTGCTTATCACAACATCGAGAAGCCATTTAGCTAATTGCATTTGGCATCTAATTGAATTGGGCCAGGCTCCCAGGTTTGCAGACAGGACGCGGTACACAGGAGGCAGGACTCGGGAGACAGCTAAGGCTCAGCTGTCGCTTAGCTGGCCAACTGCCAGGGGTATTTTTTTATGGCTAAAACAGAGGACACTGTGAGAAAGTTTTGCCTACAACTTCTATTAACAATCCTTTTTTTTCTATAAAAGAATACATTTTTAAAGATTACTTAGAATCAAATAGAAGTAATCCTTATTTAATTCTTACCCTTATCGTAATAGTTATAGCTCATATTTCTCCCTGTGCTTGGTTTTTGGCCACTGAAGCTTCAGTTGCTATTTTGCCACTTTGATTGCGAGGTGACACATCATTTGGCACGCAATCCGACTCGCTGGCGGAACCGGAAGAGCCGCTAGCCGCTCTAACTGACTGACTGACTGACTGACACATTGACAGGACGCCCTTGCTGGCCCGCGGGGCTAATTGCCAGCGAGGTCGTTCAACCGGGCGTATGCGTGATTTATGAGTTCGCACGTGAACAAGGCGAGTATGCGAAAATGCGAATGGCGAGTGGCGAAACGTAAGCGAAACAATGAACAAGTTAATCTCCCATTAATTAACAGTGTCAACAGAAATGCCGCCTTTCATTTACCAGCGTCCGAGCAAAGAAATAACGAATGGCGACAACTACAAACATGGTCGAGGCGACAAATCAAATTTTTCTACCTTTCCCACAAAGCTTTACACTCGATGTGAGGCATTCACAGCTGCAGAGGCAGACAGGGGCGTAGCCAGGAATTAATAATTGAAGAAGGGGTGGAAATTAAAAATTAAACTTGATCCTACTTTTAGCAACGTTTTTGTATAGAAAAATCTGGCTAAGCAAATTATAACTTTGACATTACTTGCATTTGTTAGGGTATATACTTTTGTGATCCCCACCAGCTGTTGAGGGTTACGCCCCTAGGATAATAAGCTTCTTCTATGCTTGATTGCTGGGGGATTCGGTGGGTGGAATGAGCTGGGGGGGAGGTCCACTGCTAATGAAGTGGTTGCGGTTCGTTTCGCGCCTGAACAATTGCACTTGTCGACGCGAAAGCGACATGTCCATCAATTTAACCGCAAAGTGCATGCTCTCCGCCCACAACCTACCCCCTTTAATATCACCCAAAAAGCAGGCGAGGATTGCCAGCCAATGATTTTGTTTATACCAAGGATACAGTGGTACTTTGATGAATGGAAACAAGTGAAAGGGAAACAATTTTAAATTAGGTTTTATTTAACTTTTGAAATTGAGAAAAAATATTTGCTTTTTTATATAAGTAATTTATTTACAGAATTCTTAATATTCTTAAAAAAATATTTCATTTTTTTATATTTAAATCAAAAGTTAATAGACGAATGAAAGGGATTTTTTTAGATTTAATCATTTCTATTTAAATTTAGAAAAATAGGAAAAGGAAAATTCCATTCCATTTAATTCAATTTAAATACGGAATTCTTAATACTACTTGAATATATTTTAAATTATATGCATTATGCTATACCTTTTCCTATGCTTAAATTAATATTTTATGTTAGTTATGTCACACTGTTAGAGGTTTGGCAACGAATTAGACTGGTTCTTTTACAACATCATTTAATATATGACTCAGAAATGTCTTAATATATAATAGAAATATTTTATTTATATAAAATCTATATTTTCTTTTGTCTAAGAAATATTTTTAAAATATTATTGCCACACAAACTGTATTATAAAGCTAAATAAAATCTATTTAAATACATTTTATATATAGTAAAAACTAAATAGACCAAAAGAATCCTTTTCTTGTGCCTCCATTTTCCTTTTAAAACAAGGACCACCCAAATGCTGATTACGTTAAACTCGTCAGTGGATAAGGTTGCTGTGTGGGTCTTCCTCTATTTATCTTGGCCGTCTTTCTCCCCCAACTCTCCTCTCTCTCTCTCTGGCTATTGCCCTGGCAAAGACCGAATTCCTGCTCGCCGAGACATCGAATTTATCTTCCTCAGCCGGCGGCAACGCCCGCTGTCCGCCCTCTCGGATAAGTTCCCCCACCCAAAATTGATAAGTTCCCCGGTTTGTAGCTGCCATATAGCCGTAGGAATTCCGTTGTCCCTTCCCCCTAGACTTTGTCCATC